CCCCCTGTTTGCGTCTTTCCCTACTAGGCAGTCGTTCAGCCGACCCAAGGGCTCTTACTGGTCAAGCCCCTCTCTCGTCAATTTCGGCCGCGCTTCTTAAGGTTGGCAGAACTGTGGGTACAACACGGCAAAGCAATAGCAACACTGCCGCGGCAGACTGTTTTCCCATCGGCGCCCATCTCTTCAGTACATTGATTAGGGTTACGAAAGGTAGAATCCAGTGCAATTGGCAAACGTGGAATTAAACAATTAAGATACGCGGCGCGCCATCCAATAGGGTAAACCCAAACAACCGCACCATACAGTCCGTTTCGCTGGCAGCGTCCAAAAATCGGAATTTAGCCTATTAACCCCGAAAATCAGTAAACTATCACAACAGGGGTCAAACTGGCCCAACTGGCCCAACTGGTGTAAACTGGCCACTGTAGCCCAATTGGGCCACTTTCGTGGGGCCCACGTAGTGAAATCTCTGTAAATTACAATATCTCGTGAAAAGCTTTTCGTGATGCCTCCTCGGCGGGCTCGGGCCCCCTCAATTGATAATACCACTGGGCCGGCGAAGCGAAAGCGATTGAAAACAGCAAAAGCCCTAGAGACGAATACAACAACCGGCTCGCCGTCGAGGGTAGTTATCGTACGTACGAGGGCGAGGGCGAGGGCGCAGGCGTCAGAGCCAGCGAAGACCCCAGTTAAGCCACCTCGACGCCGTCGGGTAGTGGTGATCCCTTCCCCAGCCCAGAGGGTTGCTCAGTTAGCAGAAACAGAGACAGGAATAACTCAACAAAACCTCGAAGTTGACGAAGTCGAGGAAACCCAACCGGCAGGCCACTATGAACACCAAGCTATTGGGCAGTCAACGCCGGGCCAGCGACTTCAATATAACCTCAACCTCGATGAGGATCCTTTTGCTGTTACGCCGGCAAGGCCTGGTCGACGGCCTTTACCTGATACCCCAACTCCTCGACGAACGCAACCACAGTCAATCAATTTAACTGTTACGTATACTCCTCTCTTCTCAGGCGGTCGCTCGCCGCCAAAGCTTCCTGAGACTATATACAAGTGGATATTTGACGAGGAGAGCGAAGTTGGTCATAAGTTGATTATCCAGTGGTCGAAAATCGAGAGGGATTTGGCGAAGCGAATCGACGCCCGTTTAAGGGCACAATATAATATCGAGAAGAGCTGGATTACCACGAAAATCGCCTGGAGAAGAATAGGATTAAAAGCAGTAACTATTGTATACCGCGAAGAATTCGCTGTTGACAGTGGCAACTGGCCGGTTGTTCCATGGTATGATATTTCGAAGCAAATTATCGAGAATAGTCGCCTTGGTGAGGTTCTTCTCGATGTTGAACTGGCCTACTCTGTCACTCCTACTGTAGCCGCAGTAGGAGAGCTAGAAGGCGTAGGATCACCACGAGGGCGACCGTCTCGACTTAGTCAACGTCAGACTGTAACAAATACGATGCTTCAAGCGATTGAAACAGAAGGCGATCGAAAGAGGAAGTTATTTCGAGACCTTCTTCGCCATAATCAGTGTAACGATTCAGCAACCTGTCAGAATACCTCGTCAGCTGATCCAACAGTTAACTGGTGCTGGGTCAACGCAAGAAAACACTATAAACTGACCGTATTTGATTTCGAGAAGTGGCAAGAAGCTATTCAGAAGGGCGAGGAAGGCGTATCAATATCAAACCCGCCTGCCCGCCTAATTGTTGATCTTGTTCAGCGTGAACAACGCGATATGAAAAAGCCCGATAAATCAGCAAATCGAGGAGGCCAAAATAGCCTAGGTGAAAAGTCTGCTAATAGAGGGCTTTCAGACACACAAGACCCAGCAAATACTGCCAATAATAATAGCGCAGTAGTCAACTTCTATGGCCTACCTCCGCCAGGCGGCCCAACGCAATATTGGCCAAAGTTGCCGCCGCCAACGATGCCGCCCCAATATTGGGATCTTGAGCCTCAATTTCAACCGCAGTCAGGTGATTACTCTGCCCGTCGGCAAGTAGAGGCTCCGATTCGTTCTTCGTCGCCAGTTGTTCCTGATTCGCCCTCAAAAGCAACACGCCAAGTTGATGAGTTCGTTTCGTGGTTTCTAGCTGTGAACGGCAAGAAGTTGGGTATTGACGAAGTGAAATTTACTCCGTTAAAGGCTTCAATAGTCAGTCTCCGCGTTATTCGTGATTACCCAGACAGCTGGTTCAAGGAGGTAGGGTTTTCACCACAACTTACCGCAGCAGTGAGAAAATCGATCAAACTTTTCACTACAACACAGCAATTTTACCTCCAACAGAGCGAACCTCTCGCCGCTGTACAATCACTCGTACAGGCAACGAAAAAGCCAGCAGTTGACCGTGAGGTTGAAGACGAAGTGTATAACCGACTTTTTGACGAGCGATTCGGAGAAACAGGCAATATCGAACGAAGCGCTAGTAAAGTAGGCGAAATAAGCGTTCCAGCGGGTAGGATCTCCTCACCGCTGCCAACTGGCGATATTGAGTTTGGTCGAGGTGGTGAGTAATATTGACGGAAGTGACGGCGTCAACTAACCAGAAACTAGAATTAGACCTCTTCGTCTCCTCGCCGCCGCCACCAATCCTTCCTCCTAATACCGAACAAAATCCGATCGAAGTCTCAGACTATATATCGTCGCCTTATACCCAAGAGGAAGAGGAGGTTAAACTAGGATAAATAGCAGCGACTACTGCTAGCGGAAAGCTTTGCTTGTGGATGTGAGCTGCCCTGCAACACCCGGGAGGATCAACCCAAAGACCGTTAGGTAGGTAGCAGAGCACTTTGATACGCCACGGATACGATTTATTTCACTATAGGCCTGACTTGAGGTTGTAAATACAGGCATTATTCATGTTTTTCTTCTCCTACTTCTCCTACTACAAGTTCAACAACTATTTACTACAAGAGGTGGATTCAACTCTCCTCCTGCCTCAATATACATATCGCTACTCGTCATAGCGTCACAGAAGATATCCTGTGTGCCGTCGAAGTTGATATATGAGTTACGGAAGTGCCCAGCTATCTGTGGGAGACGTTGCCCAACCTCAAGCGCGCAGTCGCGGAGAAACTCAGCAAAATCACGCTCGTCTAGTTCGTTAGTATTCCACGTACGGAATGTCTTTTTTACATGCTTTTTGAGGTCGCCAAAATACTCCTCGATGGGGTTAAAGTCAGGTGAGTACGGCGGGAGGAATTCGAGGCGTACGCCAGCGGCCTCACACGCTTGCCGTATATCCCCTTGCCGGTGAAAAGAAGCATTATCCATTATAATCACTGACTTAGGCCCAGGGAATATTCCACACTTTGGCAGTAGAAGTTGCTGTATCCACGCAGAGAAGCCCTCGCCATTCGTCGATCCAGTATATACCAGCAAGTCTACGATACCGTCAATTGCGAGTGCTGGCAGCAGTTGTATCCGTTGACCTCGCTCGAGGGGAACTGACCGCGTTGGCGTCAGACCCTTAGGCGCCCAACCCGTCCTTCTTCTTCCAGTGTTTTTATCAACGCCTGATTCGTCTACGAATATTAATTGTTCTGGGTGGTATCGACGTATACGATATAACCAATCGTACCGTAATTCTGGGTTTCGTTGTGAAGCAATTATGTGGGCTTTCTTTCTCGTCCAGCCAGCTGCGTGGAGGTGGCGGCTCAACGTTGATTTGCTGACTTCGAGGTTGAACTGTTCGTATAGGAATTCTTGCATCTCTTCGAATAGGAGGTCGTTACGATACTTTAATAATTCGAGAAGTTCGTTCCGATGCTGTATTTCCATCTTCTGCTGGCTTTCACGCCTTCGAGGGTATTGTTCTACCTCGCCAGTTATGTCGAATCGACGACGCCATCGTCGAATCGTTCGTTGGCTACAGCCAACCGCCTCTGCGATTTCTTCGTCGGTTTGAATAACAGAGGGAAGAAGTAGGTTAACTTTCCTCAGCTGGAGTTTTGAGAGACGTGGCGCCATACTGACGCGTTGAAATGAGTAGATTTGACGATACGGTGGCTAAATGCAGCTGAATGCGACCGTTGTAATTTTCCCAGCGAAAAAAACGGAGTTTAGCATGGGTTTGCATTAACCCCACCCTAGGGGGGTAAAAACTCGATTTTTGGACGCTGTCAGTGCAACGGACTGTAGTAAAACGATTCTAAACTTCGGAAATGTGCGTCTGCCGCGCGTGGCTTCTTCTTTCTTTTGCTCTAGAAAAGTCCTGAAACGACCCCAGAGGTTGCAGGTCAGTTTTGAGGGCCAAAGTCTAAATGTCACTCAAGATAAACTCAGGGTTGCCTATTACTCCCGTTGATCAGACGAAAAGAGCTTGGCTACATTTGGCTGGAGATGCCCCATTCGCAGGTCTCCCTACCCATGCGTTTCCCCCTCCCCGTCCGCAACCACGCGAGCGTTGTACCAGGGACCAAACCTGCCCACCCTTACCTGACTCGTGGTCTGGTACAGCTTGAAACGAGGATAGCCGCAATGAGTCCTGACGTTTTACCACTACGGTAGGGCCAGGATGGGTGAATTTTACGGCTTCATTTTGCCCTGGTAAATTGGCTGGCAACTGCAACCGGCCACTTTTTTGCATTCGTATTGTGCCGCGAAAGCTGAGTCGTGTCCGCTGTACGCGGGCCTCATAATCCTTACGGGAGGGATCATGCACCTGGTCATTGGCAGAGAAGGGATTAGGATGCACGCGGAGACTGAGTGAGACTGGACGAGTTTTCCCAGCAGCCTGGGCCGACACCTGTGGCTGTGGGGACGATGGAAAGATGTCCTGTCTCGGCGCTGCCGTCTAATGCGATCACCCGGATCGACGTTCGTCACATATCTGTTTTCTTCTATATAAGGCCTGTCGATCTCATCCTCCATCGTCTTGTTTCTCATCAGCTTAGACTCATCATCAGCCTTCAAGTACTTCACTCAACTTCTCACTACAAACACAAACCCTCTTTCCAGCAGGAATCAACCAACCTCCCACTCAGCCAAAATGCGTGCCTCCACCGTCTTCGTCGCCCTCTTCGCCACCTTGGCCGTTGCCACCCCCAACCCCGTCGTTGAGCATGACGGCCTCGACGTCGCGCTTGACCGTCGTCAGTGTTCTGCAGCGGGAGTTTGCTCCAAGGGCGGCGACAAGGGCGAAAACTGCTCTGCCCTCAAGTGCTGCAGCAACTCCAAGTCCGGTCGCGGCAATTCCGTAAGTCATACCGCCTGCACTACTAAATCAGAGAGACCTAACTGACCTTGTGATCAACAGGTCTGCTGCTGCAACTAAGCAATACCTGAGGCTGTTATCCTATCCCGGATTTCAAAGGTGAACACTTTCGGGAACAAAAATACAATCGTCTAGACGGGATAGAAGACATATCATTTGGCCATACGGTTTCCTTCTAGCACGGTTTAAGCGGTAGAAAGCGATTCGTTAGAACATGAAGTTCATTTTTCTTTAGAGAACAATAGAGTTTATCCGAACCAGTCTCATTTTTCAGTAACACTTAAACCTCCCGAGCGGCTTGCAACTGTGTCTAGTGAACTCAAAAAGAAAACAAAAACGACGCTAAGAGTAAAGTTCTTAAAGTTTTGCGCCTCAGTCAAGTAAACCCAAAAAACGGGCCAAGTTCGTCGGGTTGAATCATCCAAAGCATTGAATGAATTAAGCTTTATGTCCCGACAGCTTATTAATTGCCAGAGAGGAAACTTTCGACTCCAATAAATTTTGGTCAAGATATTGACTCATAGAACTACATTTTACTTAGATCCCTCAAAACTGATTGACAGTCGGCTTCATATCATGTCCGATGCGACGAGCGTCGTCTGATGTTTAGTTCCAACGTGTAGAACCACTCATGGCTCGAACTTCATCACTTAAGCGAGTAACTCTTCGGTTTTTACCATGAATAAAAAGGAGAAAGAAATTAAAGCCACATTATCTCATCTGGCTAAGGAAAAAAAAAGAGCACAAAGTCCTCCAGCACATCGCCATGTGTTATTCACAATAACTGGGCAAACAACTCCATCCCAATCCCGCTAAAGCCAGACCATGCTCAGAAAAGCTCACTCGCCAACTCATAATCACACAGGCCGAGGTCCTCTTCGCGGCGGAGACCCCGAGGTTCCCTGCCCAATCGAGTCGATGCCCCCGGTACCACCCGCAAACCACCCGCCGCAAGCTTCCGTCATAATTACTTTTTTTTTAAATCTCGATTGGTCCGTTGAACTTGCGGGTTGTTTAATCGATTTGTTCAGTGCATTAGCTCCAAAGAAAAACGTTGCGTTTGTGGTTATTGATGTATGTCGCATGTGTGTTGCAGTAGGTAATAGATGGATGGCAGTCGTGGAGAGGCGTTTGCCGAGCGGACGTATTCACATCCTCTTCAATAACAAAACCATGATTTGCACGGGATGCCTATCAGCTTTTCTAAATGCGCTTGAATATTATAAACAGCCCAATTTTCAAAAAGAGTCTTTTCCAGGAAGCTCAGAGGTGGTCAATATAGGGAGTTTTAATATATCCGGTTCACCCGGGTAAAAGCGGGCCAGGGGACTCCGGTACCGCCTAGGAGAGAAGTGCCCGGCGGGTCCGGCGGCGAATTCCCCCGCTCACCCATACCGCGTCCCGTGACGCCTAATTTAACCAGACCGCTCTGTACGGAGTGGTGACGCCGAGAATTATAATAATGCCCCATAACTGGCCCTTTCCCTGCAGACAAACCTCCGCGGTGCACCTCAGCCTCCTTCTCATATCAGAATGACAAAGGAGCACACAACAGACCCAAGGCTACGGATACTAGTTGAACATATCAGAGAACTGCCATTCCAAATCCAGCAGCAAGCTAACAGGCTCTAATCCAGGCTATAAAATCACACGGCCAAAAAACCGTCCACGCCACCCCCATCCGTGCCCTTGGATCCAGAGTTCGCGCGCCCCACAATTCAGGACAAACCCGCCCTGAACTCAGACACCCTTCCAAACTTTTCGCTGGTGTCCCTTTGGAGTGCTGATCCGGATCCCTAGTTCCGGAAACGTGGACTTGTGGGCAAGGGAAAAAAAGAAGACAACTCGTCGACCGCTCATCCCCGATAAGCCCTGTCTCTCATTTTCCTTTATTCCGTCTTGATGTCCTCTGTCTCTCTTCTCTTGCTGTGCATTGCCTCAATCCACGATGTGAGCTGTGGCGTCAACACGTCACGGGACCTTAGACATGCAGAGGCCATGCAGGTCCTAATCACCATTGTTGACAATATTTAACAGTTTTGTGTTTGCGTCATTGACTTGGTCAACTCACTTTTGCTTTGAAGATAACAATACTAGGGAGCTGTATGTTCTAGAGAGACGAATACTCTTGGCCATCAGCGTCGAAGAATCCCAAGATTACTTAAAGAGGTCAAGGATGAGAATCATATTTGATTAAATACTAACAAATGAGATATCCTATTAAACCCATCTTCTACATTCAAAGACGCCTTGTCCAAGCAAATTGGTATTTTGATTCAAGCCTCCGTTCCAAGCAAGCAACTCGTCCCCACCAAGGTCCCAATTACAGCCTCAGTGTAACAAAAGAAACCACCAGTAAGTCACAAGCCAAGATACTCTTAGAAGTAGCCGGGAGAGGGAATAGCAACAAAGATGGCAGAGAAGATACCAGCGAGCAACAGGGCGCAGAGCATGGCCTGAAGGAAGATGGTGTCTTGGATAGTGCGAAGAGCAGGTTCTTCGATCCAGATTTCGCGGTCGAAGATCTTGCGAACAATGTTGCGCTTCTCGTACTTGACGATCCATGGCTCCGACTCAAAGCTATTGGCGGAACCAAATGACTCAAACGATGACTTGCTTCTTTCCTCGTCGGTTTCCTCATCCACGAAGAGCTCCCAGGGGCGGACGTGCCGATGATGCATGCCATGTAAAACAACACACATGCCCTTGTAAGCTGCAACGAGGGTTGAGATACCTAAGACCCAGCCGATAGCTGCTATGGCACGCCAACCGCGGCCTGCATGGCTAAGTGTAATCAAGACGGCGACGACAAAGGCGATGACAATGAGACTGACACCAAGGCCGCGGGCGAAGAACACGCGAGCGGGGTTGCCGTTGCAAATCGACCAACGGATGAAGTTAGGGTGAGCTTGCTTGCGAAGAGAGTCTTCGACGACCTTGAGGGCGAGGCGGCAGGCCGTGGGGTGGTTGGTGGCAGCGAGGGCATGGAGAGTCGCATCACGGTCTCTGGCGGAAAGGTTGAGTTGTCGCGGGGCACCGTCCATGATGTAAGTGGCGATCACACGATCAATCTCTTCACGGAATGGCTGGATTGTAACTGAAGGATATCAGAGGTGGACTCGAGGCAAGGGACCATGATCAGACTTACAAGGTTGCTTGGCTCCGGCAGCTGTGAAGGCATCAGTGGCTTGTGAACGGTAGGTATCGGCGTTCGATAGGCCGTTAGAAGGCGTGTAGATCGACTCATGATCCTCAGGAGTGCGAGGTGGTGTTCCGAAAGGGTTGCTGTCTTGCACAATAGCAGTGGCAGTACCTGTCTTCTCGAAATCGGTCCCCTTGAAGATCTCCTGGCCAGGCTTCTGGCGCATTCTCTGTGATTTCTCTTTGAACAAGCGTTGGAGGACTTCGCTCTCTTTAGCCGGAGTCCACTCTGGGGCAAGTGCAGTTTCGGAGGCCTTGGCCTCGGCGAAACGTTTAGTGTAGTCTTTGTGCCACATGAAGAACTGAAGGTTTTCGGCAGCGAGTTCAATATAAACGAGGTAGTTCATGAAGTCACGAACAGTGCAGGGCTATGGGGTCAGTAAACACTTGGGGTGAGTTTTGGAAATGAATACCTACAGGACATGTGCCACCGTCGATGATTTTGTCAAAGGCCAGTGACTCCGGGATACCGGAAGGGGTGCCGGACTTGCCGGAGCGCATAGAGGACGAGGCATTGCTAACCTTCTCGTCGGTAGAGCCATTTTCCGACACGTCGGACGAGCTCTGCTGGAAGGTCGAACCGTTCACATAGACCGGACGGCGGTAGGTGAGGGGAAGAAGGCCCATGATGAAGTGTGGAATGGAATGATGAGTAAAGAAAGGTCTTCTAATAGGGGGTCGGCAAGAAGATGATAGGTTTTAGGATCTCGTGAAAAAGGATGTGTTGAAGAGGAACGGATGGACGTGAGCGCCAGGCGGGAATGTAATCTTCAGAAGGTAGTCTTGAAATTAGGTACTGATGTTTGGCAGGAGCCAGACGGGAACGAAAGATGACTCTAAGGCAGGTGTTGTTGTCTGACTTGAGATGGAACAAGGTCTGGGCTACTGCACGACCAAACTGGCGCTCGCTTGGTGGGAACACGGTGAGACTGGAGTAGCGAAGGAACAGCCAGGCTTGAGGGGTGCGAGAAATGAAGGGACAGAGGCGGGAACAGAGGGGGGTGATATATCCGTGGGTTTGTGGCATGCTGCCATCCCCTCTACCCACAGATATCCCGGGAACCAGCAGTTGATGTGGCAGCCAGAACGGCTACTCCACCACCCATTGATGGCTAGGCCTGCCTGCCATTCTTAGGTGGGCTTCCATTGACGAAGAGGGCTGAAGCTGGACCAGTCCACAGTCTGATATTCGGTTTGCACCGGACGTCTAGTGGAACCAGATGGATGAGGCGTCCACACGTTTACTGTCAAAGACAGAAGGAAACTGAGAGATAGCAGCAGGGTAGGTGGGGATAATCCCCCTTCCCGGCTTCATAAGAGCGATACTGATATCGAGACAGGCTAAGCGGCATGGGGATGGACGGAGATGTACTAGTGTCGACACGCTTGAGCAGAGGCCATGTAGTGTATTTGAGTTGAGAGACATGGCTGCAGGTGTGTGTGGATGCATTGGTTTGAAAGAACAAGGAACCAAGAAGGAGGAGAGACGACGCTAACCATGTGCATGAAGAGGTGCCAGTCACCAGTGTCAACCAAGAAAAGTCCAGGCTTTGACACTGCTTAGACCATTGTTGCTCTCAGTTGGGGCATTCAAGTAGAGCAATGCCTCAATCAATGGCGGTCGACGAGGAGAAAACCTTCAGTAAGTCACGATAAATCTGAAGTCGAGTACGACTGAACAACCCTGACGCCTCATCAACGCCCCTTCCTGCATTTTAGGCGTCCTCCAACGAGGAAGCGACGAATGACCCAATACGGCAAGGTTCAAGCCGATCACCCGCAATAATTGTTGATTGGTGACGGTGGAACTGCGCTAGCATCTGGAGTCTTCCTAAATAAGGCAAGACACGTCTGTTCAGTCTCTGAGACATCCCAGCTAGACTTGCTTTTTTCCTTGGAACCCCTTTCAGCTGTACTGCGTCTTTCTTGCCATGCTGATGGGGAAGTATTCCAAACAAGTCAAACGCGTGTCCCTTAAGATTAGAGAAGATGGGGACAAGGGTGGTTGAAGAAACATGGGTCCGCCTTCCTGATGTTTGGCTGGATATGATTCGAACAGGATAAATGAACTGGAAAATCAAATCTGGTACCTAGATCTACGTATGGCTTGTTATGTACAGCTTCTCCAAGGGGCTGGGCCCCAAACGAATGGGACTGACTACCTACCCGTGGCCTTCGGGGTTATGACGATCATGGCGCCGCTTCCTATCTAACGACTGCATCACTAAAAATCTTTTTTAACAAGGGCAGAAGTGATCAAGCCTGGAGAAAAGGTCTGAGACGCGAACTATGAATAGGTTTGGCTAACTTTGACTGCTGAATTCGTCCAGTTTCTTTCGGCCGTTCAGCTAAGATCTCATTTACGTAGTCCCATCACAAGGTCCTCTGGGAAAAGAAAGCGGGCATCATCAACGTGGGGCAACCAATATCGATCATCAGCTGCAAAAGAAAAAAAAAAAAGTTGTTTACATGCTGAGCCAAGTATGGTGTATTGCCACCTACCTTGACACTAGCCCAGGCGAGGCGGGTAAGAACAAGCTGGGAACAGACAGTGGAGGAAGAGTTGAGATTGAGGCGTCAAGACGGACTCGTTAGGAGGGGAGCTTCGGTTCCAGGACACTGGAGGGGAAAGAGCCAGGGGACCATTCAGGTCTGTGCTTCAGTCTCCACATATAGATGCCGCACAGGCCCCATCTTGTCCCCGACCCGATCGCTCTTGCACTACGACAGGGGGTTGCCGCTCAGCCGCTGCATCACCAACTTTCCTGCAGGAAGTACCCTGCAGCTGCAGACCTAAGGACCAGGCACGCCAGTGCCAGTGGCTGCCCAAATGGCTCTAGAGGTCCAGCAAGGCTCTCGCCTGGATGTTCAGTAACACCTCGATTGACTATGCGTATAGCCTGACAGCATCTATACCAAAGTGCTTTTGTAAGACCTAAAGAAGGGGGGTCGCCGACCATTTAGTCTGCCACATGCATCCTCAGCGTCACAAGAACGCCGCTTCAAACCTTGTTATTCACTCTACGCCGTTGCTAAATGCCAGTCTTGGACTTTGTTCGTGTGCCTGCTACCACGTTTCCATCACAATGAACAGCAGAATGCTATTTGTTGATAGACGAGCTTGATGGCTTGGAAAAGTTTGGCCTTACGGCACGTACTCAAGCCCACCATCCTCATCTGAGCCATCCATCGTTCTTTATCTTCCTCGCCACCAAGAGCCTTTCAATTCAATATGATCGAACCACAGACCAATCCACTCTCATGCCTTTTCTGTAGGAAACAGAGAGTGCTAGGATGATTTGCTTTTTCTTCTTATCTATCCCTGGGCAAGGGAATCTCGATCATGTCTCCTCGCCAATCGTTCCGTCAACACCTTGCTGAATAAAACAGCCAATCAAGGCATCGACTGGTCAGCCATTTCGGTTCGTCACATGCAACATTCAGCCACTTGCAGTCCTAGTGCTAACCCATGATTGCTCTATTCTGAATTGAAACTGGCCCCAGCACCTCGCGCTTTCTTGGCTTGCTAGCCTCGCCGACCTAGTCTGACGAAATCGTCTTCTGTTTTAAGGGGGGGGGGGGGGAGGGGGTTGTGGTAGCTTGCAAATTGTGTTTCCATCCATTCTTTGCCTGTACAACCAGATTAGCCAGCTATCCGGTCGAGCCGACCACCTGTTCTGTTGAAAGAGGATATCTGGTCTAGTCTTGCCTGAACTACATCCCCAGAACGCTTTGCTGACGTCGAAAACTCCCATTCGCTGTCACATTTGAGAGCTGAAAAGACCCCGGTGCAAATCATTACACTCATTTCGAACCGACGCTCTACATTGGGTCAGGCGTGTTGACATCTTGACAGGACCCCTGTGTCGGTCTACCGTCACATTACCAACTGCAACGCTGTTTACAATCTGGCGAAAAGAAGATCGACCGGACGATGTCTGATTGTGCTTGGTATTGTTCCGCCTATGATTCCAGACAGCTGCGCCTCACACAGACCTTCATTGATTCTGTGACCAGTGGATTACATCGACATAGCCCTCACCATCTTTGAATTGAGGAGGGAGAGACAAACGTTGGAGTTGGGATGGCAACAGAATTGGAAAGCGAATAGGTTAACTTCAGCTAGACAGTATAGGTCGTTCCGTCCGTTGTATCTATCCCTATGCAGGGGCCGCTCTTGCCCGCCGTCAGTCCCCGTCCGTGTACTTGGGATGTGGCGCTAAGCTCTTGTCACGATCTTAACTCCTAGCACAACGAACCGTCTCCCGGCACATTGCTACACTAACATACACCGCCGCTGCCGCCGTCTCTTTACCAGCGTTGCTTTTTATCACCAATTCTGCCCCCGACCACTGTTCATTTTCAGGGATGTGGTCGCCCCAGGCGAACTATCACACTTTACACGTTTTCCATTCATGAGGACCTCAAGGAGGCTTGGTGATCGACAGCAATGGAAGCTCACCAAGAACGTTGCTGTTTCTTAACGTGTCTTGTAGCTTAAGTTTGACCACAGACACGTTGGTGCCACGAATCTGAAGTCTCAATCGGGCATGCTCCATTAGTGGCAGAGACATCACGTTCCAAGCAAAAAGTAAAACCAAGACATTCCCGTACAATAGTCTCAAATTTCATTACGTACGAACTTCAAAATCAACGCTTAATGGAACCAACGGAAAACCAGTCGTCTTCCGATTTAATAGTCTCGGGACGAGGCCTCCTAGCACAGGACACGTACCGGCCAAGTCTTCCGCTGTGATACGAGAGTCGGCAGGTGAAGATCAGGTGTGCAATCCAACACATTGTCTGAGCTCTGGGCTAAGAACTGGTAAAGACGTACCTGTCGCCTCACCAGTGCTGCTCAGAGATGGCGACCGTGTTTACGTCCACACCGTCCTTGAACCATCTCTGCGATTCCTCAATCTTGACATCGTTACCGCTCATCTGCCTCTTACGCATGAGCCCGTTCTCCGCAAAGGTCCAGTCTTCGAGACCATAGGTCCGCCACCATTGTCCCGACTCGTCATGCCACTCATACCAGAATTGGACGGCAATCTGACGAAACTATTAGATGTACTCCCAAAGCGCAGCCAATATCGGAAATAGACGGTAGCATGTTCCTACCTTATTGTCGGTGAAGGCAAATAGCTCCTTTCGGAGGCGGTAGCCATCCTCTTTCTCCCACTTCTTGGTCAGCCACTGCTCGACCTCATCTCGGCCCTGAAGAAAGGTGTCCCTGTTCCTCCAGATGGTGTCGGGCGTGTATGCCAGCTTGACTTTGGCCGGGTTTCTAGGGGTGTCAGTTGTGAGGCACTTCAAGCAGTAAGCTACACACACTTGGTGTTCCAGGCGTCTTGGGCCGCCTTGACTTTGGTTCTCGCTGTTTCCTCGGTGAAGGGCGGGAAAGGCGGTCGCGACTCGTTTTGGGTGGCCATGATTGCAAATAGGTTTTAGTTTGTTAACAGAATTATCCTCGGACTCGAGAATATGAACTACACTATGGCGAAAGGCACTGATATTATAGTATATGACGCAACGCTCACGGCTTTTTACGGGGAATGGCCAGCGAAAGGATAAAAGTAATAAGTGGCCAATCACATCTCAACAAAGACAATCGGGGTCTGGCAGCTGTCATTGGCAAACGCCCTTGGGGTTTGACAGACGCCGCGCGGGGTTTGACTTGAGTGTATTACTAAGAGGCGAATGCTGGGTTTTCCCATATTGTTAGAGCATAAGGCTGGCTTTGACTTTTTTTTTTCTTCTAGTTTTTCTTCACCATATGCCGAGGCAGTGGTAGATGAGTCAGCCACGTCAGTAAACCCCGGCAGAGGCGACATGGGATGCATGCGGCAGTACCGTGAATCATTGCATCAACTTGCCGAATTATTACCTTCGGTGTCAGGCGCAAATGGTCCGGCTGGAGCACCATATTCAACAAATTGTCCGACGACAGCTTGTAGCTTTTTCACAAGGTCAATTACGATCAAATCAGGCGCATCGGATCTGGGGCATCCGGCGTGGTCCCGATCCTTGCCACGATGACAAACCACATATCGATTGGCTTGGCACATTAAATCCGAAGAGTGGCTCAGGGTACCGAAAGCCAAACTGCTCGGACGGCCGAGAGAACCATTTCGCCCCCACCGGAGAAGGAGGAAGGGCCTGAGGTGCCGGGGATCGGAGGGTCAATCGGACGCGGCATAAAACGCCGGTCTTGCGTCATGTGGAAGCTGTGGGCCAAAGAGGTGCACAGCGAATACCAAGACAGATAAGGGATTCCAATTAGGTTTCTTGGGTTGCCTTCCGGAAGTTTTTACTCAAAGTATCTGAGACAACTCAACGGCTGGCTTCCTGCTGAAAAGGTGCGTCGTATTCCCGTGAAGATATCCACCACCCACTTCTTTTTTGTCACAGAATCCGCAAGTGCGAATGGGGAAGGAAGTAGGTACTATGTACGGAAGGGTAGCGGCCAACGGAAGCAGGTGCTGGAGGCAAAAGACAAAAAAAGCTACAGAAAAGTAGAGCCGAACAGGACCCGGTCTACCGTCCAAAGAAGGAGTGGCCGCCCCGCGCCTATCTCGAAATACAAATCATCGCGAGCTCCACTTCCCTGGAATCTCGCAGAATTCGGCGCGGGACCCTGACTCGACGATCCATCTGGCGTTGCTACGAGACCGAGCAGAGTACTAATTAGGACCTTCTCTTCTCTAGATCTCGACTTTCCTCTTCTTTCCTCCATCAACTCACAACTCACAACCAAACAACCTTACTTTCTCAACCCCTTACCAAACCACTCACACATTCACAAATCTTTTATCACAATGGCTCCTATCAAGGTCGGCGAGCAGTTCCCCGAGGGTGTCTCCTTCCAGTACATCCCCTACCAGGCTGAGACCTCTGACTTCAAGGTCTGCGGTATCCCCATCAAGTACGACACCGCCAAGGGTAAGTTTCTGTTCCTCTACTCACCAATTGATGCCATCACATCGTGCTGACCTGCCGTGCGTACAGAGTTTAAGGACAAGAAGGTTGTCATCGTCGCCCTTCCCGGTGCCTTCACTCCTACTTGCTCCGCCGCTCACCTTCCCGGCTACATCGCCAAGCGCGACGAGCTCAAGGCCAAGGGCGTTGACCAGGTCATCTTCCTCGCCTACAACGACCCCTACGTCATGTCCGGCTGGGGCAAGGCCAACAACGTCACTGACGACTTCATCGTAAGTTGCCCCTTTTTGCCCGTCGAACTGCGATCATCGTGGTGTTTTGTCCTGCCACATCACAACACTACCCCTCCCCCTCCATCCGTGGTCCCTCACCGACTCCGATAAAATTCCCCACCCCCCACTCTGACCCCTCCTCCCTTCCCACGAAAGCTGCTCAACATGATACCACGGAGCACAGTCTATCACCTCACATTCCCCCTTCTCACGCAATCCAATGCAACCGTGTCCTCTGCCTTTGTTTGAGAAATGCAAGACGCTAACCTCGATGCCCTCTACAGATCTTCTGCACCGACAACAACGCCGAGTTCTCCACCTCCATCGGCTGGAACCACGGCGAGCGCACCGCCCGCTACGCCATTGTCGTCGACCACGGCAAGGTCATCTACGCCGAGAAGGAGCCCGATCTGCAGGGCCAGGAGGTCTCTGCCGTCGAGCCCGTCCTCAAGGCTCTGTAAGGTGCTGACCTCAGGAATGTTGTTATGAAGAGATGCCCCCCCGAAGATACACGTAAAAATTAAAGAGAGGAGTGAGGAGTGCGTTTAGACAAAAGTCATAGAGCTATTACTCCTTTCACCATAGATTTAGAGCAATGAAATTCATGAAGACAAATCTCAATGTGTTCCTTTGATTCAGTGACATTCGTGATGAGGCATAAGACGGTGTGCGTTGTCCATACGGGGGAGGGCGGGGTTGAGCTGAGCTCGGAATTCCGATGTGCTTCCGGATGGTGCTCCGATTGGGCTTGCCACGTTCCCAGCATGCGCGACGAACCATCCGGGTCTTTTTTTTGGACGGGAACGCCATGTCTGTAACGAAAAGGGAGGGGGGGGGGGGGCGCTAGCTAGAACGTGTCGATTGTCTGGCTTACCAGTGGTTTGGAACCAAGTATAGCTAGCCAATACTCAGTTTGTGTCTACAAGAGCGAGCGTTTCTCGTTGGGATGTGGCCTCCGCTTGGTAGTTTGATGGAGAGTATCTCTCCGGATACTCCGGATAATGCCATTTTCATTTTCATTTTTTTTTTCTTCTTTCTTCTTACAATGATGCAGCTTGAGTTATTCCGATACTTTCATGATCTTTGGGTATGTGAGATGAGGCTACGAAACAGGGCTCATGTTGTGAACAGGAAACGCGAGAGCCACGATACGGGACTGTAGGCTGTTGCGAGTGAAAAGTGTAATGAAACAGACAGGTGGGTTGTGTGGAGTGTTGGGCGGATAGATCGATGGCTTGGTTCATGATGAGAACTGCAGATCTTGTCACAGCGTTTCAAGCAGCTGACATGACGGCCAGCAAGTAAGTCTAGGATGAGACTGCAATCGACGACATCAACATCATAGCTGAATCCCACAACCCAACATGTTCAACATTTTGAAGCCTGAGAAGACTTGAGATGCCACACATACACATCACGACAATCACATCATCTAAACAACACCAATATTTAACTTGGTAATCCCGTGGGACAATCCATGCATTCCGTGCTACCGTGATTGTGTAGTTATAGAACCAGCCGTCAAAGCACAAAGAACCCTCGACTCCGAATTGTGACCTGGTCGCGTATTGTCCCTTTTTCACAAAAGGTTCCTCATCCCCACCAGCCCTTGGCACGTTCCTTCTCTCGTTGTGAGTCGCAAGAAACCACCAGTTTTTTGATTTGCTTCAAACACCACAGGAAAGTCCAATTCCCACATCCTCGTCAAAAACTTGGGAGCTATTTAACGGGTGTTGGCCTGGACCTTGGTGGCAGCGCCCTTGGAGCCCTGCTTGCTGGCAATGCGGCCCTTGGCCTGGCTGGCGGCGTTCTTGGCCTTCTCGGCCTTCTTGGCGGAGGCGGCGGCGGCCTTCTTGTCCTTGGACTCCTTGATGGCGGCCTGGCGAGCGGCGGATCTCGCCTCGGGGCGCATGGTGCGCTTCTCCTTGATCACATCGAGGGAAGCACCAACGATGGCACGCTGGGCCTTGACGGTGCGGCGAGTGCGCTTCTTGGCAACCTCCTAGAAGGGGGTCAGTCATATGTCTTCTTGAGAATGTCCTCTCGACCGCGAGGCCCAGACAGCTTGGGGTATAGCTGTCCTGGGAAGCTCGAGGGAGTGGAGGGTAAGAAGAAACGTACCTCAGAGATACCCTTGCGGTGCTGGCGGCGGTACAGGACAGTCCAGGAGATGCGGCGGGGGTTCTTGCGCTGGAGGAAGAGGGACTCGGACTTTCCGTTCTGGAAGCGGAAGATCTTGCTGTCACCACGGACGTAGAGCTTACCCTGCAGTTCAGAGTCTCGTCAGCGCATGTCCCTTCAACATCGTCATGCCTCCCAAGAAAACCATTTCCCAATCGTCCCGTCGATCGCGTCAGTCCTGCTCTTGATCCCAACCGTTGTCTCTTTCCTTGACATTCCATAGCAGAGCTTGGCCTCGTTCCTCCAACAAAGGGCTTTCGATCGACGGGAAGAAGTAATGGTATCCGGGAGAAGAAAAAGTAGTCCAAATTCATCGTACCTTTCCAGGGTAGATTCTCTGGCCCGAGAACGTGTCGTCGTACGTGCGCATCTTTTCGAATGTTAGTGAACCGCTTCTCCAATCTCTTTCTCAGCCTCTCTCATCGAGAAAAAAAGTTTCCCACGCGACGGCCGTAGCCAAGAGACGTCATTCCTCGCAAACGGGGAAAGAAAAGAGCGTCGAATTCAAGGCTCGTTGTAGGCGCGGTCGCGAGGGAAAACTCATTTTCGACATCTGGCTGGACTCTGGGAATATCACGTACATTGGCGGTAATGAATGCGAACGTTGGCTGACTTGTCGGTGATGAGGTCAAAGAGGGGGGGAGGAAACGGGTTGAACGAGACGGGCAAGCGGCTCTATTCTCGAGATTCAATTTTCGACTGCGCACACTGCGGGCTGGTAAGGTGTCGTGGGTCGGGGGGAAAGTTGTGCCCTGGCCCCACTCCGTGCCTTCGCTTAACAACGCCAATCACGTGCTGTTTGGACCTCTCGTTCGCAAGGTTGTGTGCTGAGAAGACGTGTGGCTGGTGGATCAAGCCCTGGCGTGGAGATGGGCTGCCCTGTGGCGGTGCACCGTCGATGACAATGACGAGTTACAGTCAGTTGACAAAATGGCATAGCCGAGTTACCTCATTGGCTCCACTCTCATGGCCACCGCGACGTCGGGATGAGCTGCTGGCTGAAGGTGTCCAGACCACTGCTTCAACAAATGACGGCCGCAGACGCCAATTCTATTGCCGACTTGGTCTTGCGCCGGTTCCAACAGCTTCCTGCGAAAAGGAAACCCCAGATTAGAGACAATGGCCTGCATGAATGGGTCCCCATGAGCGGCATCGTTGCTGAGCAGGATGGCGTTTTGACCTGTCTCTCTGTTGCGTAAGTTGGATTTGGACGGATGTTCTCAGGATTGGCTTGCAGAAAATGTGCTGGGTGGTTGAATATCTCTCACTCATTTCTATTGGTTTTGCCGGAAAACTCTTCGCGATGTCATGTACACTGCCCCTCATTAGACAGCAAAATCAAACCAACCATCTTTCGCATGTTTGTTCAGACAGGCTGTAAGTGAGAATGCGGCTAACACCTAGCAGGACGGGCATGAAATGTCTCCCGGCCTCAAAGCTTCCCCTGGCAAAGGGTAGCGCCCTTCACGACTGGCATGCCGAAGTTCTTGCCATGCGGGCTTTCAACCGCCATCTGTTGGATGAGTGCCGTCGTCAACTCGGAAACGATTCACCCTCCGCCCTCATCAGGCGTCGTGAACCCCACGAGCTGACCCCGGACGCACCTCAACCCTTTGCCGTAAAAGACAACGTGAGACTGCATATGTACTGCTCCGAAGCACCCTGTGGCGACGCGAGCATGGAGCTCACGATGGCTGCGCAGGAAGATGCAACCCCTTGGGAGACCCCTTCCACGTCTGTCCCTGACACTGCTTCCAGCGGCACAAATGTGACTACTGAGTCGTTGCCTGGAAGGGCGTACTTTTCACAGCTGGGCGTTGTTCGTCGCAAACCGGCGAGAGGGGACGCGCCTCCCACCATGTCTAAGTCCTGCTCGGACAAGATTGCGCTAAAGCAATGCACCTCCCTTCTATCTTCACTGACGTCTCTGCTTGTCCACCCTGGAAATGCCTATATGTCTTCACTCATCCTACCAGAGACGCAATACTCTGCCACCGGGTGTGAGCGGGCTTTCTCCGAGAGAGGAAGGATGGCAAACCTTGCAGGACGGGCATGGAGTGGGGGATATAGATTTTCCCCTTTCGAGGTGAACACTACAGATAGAGAGTTTGACTATTCTAAGAGGAGTGTGAAAGCGAAGACGGAGAAGATTGTGGCGAGCAACCTGGCTGCTGCTCTGACCGCCAGCGGCATCGATGAGGGGACTATGGGTGGTGTTTTACAGGGACGAAAGGCATTTGATGCCAAGGGGGCGAGTGCAGTTTCTAGACGGAAGATGTGGGATGTTGTGTCGGGCATCGCCACAGACCTTGGAGACGAAGGTGTTGCTTTGCGGAGTGCTCTGAAGGCATCGACCTACGCAGAGGTCAAGAGTAGTAAATTGCTTGCGATACGACGGGAGGTTAAGAAGGATGCGAGGAGCAAAGCTTTGGCTGGGTGGGTTGCGAACACTGGAGACGACGACTTTGGGCTTACATAGCATTCAACCAAGCGAGTTCAATCACTCTTGAAAACAATCATAGGATGAAATATCAACGAATGAGCGAAGGAAGCCCGAGACTGACTACGGATAGTGTCAAGTCTCAAATTCTTCAGGCATAACATCACGTCACAATCATCATACTTCCAGGCTTTGCATTGTTTCATTATGCGGAGGCTCGGTATCGCATGGGGTGGGAAACATTAATATTCCCAAGAGCTTTGATCGAAAGTCTTTTATCAACCCTCATGAAATCCAACTGTGCCCAGAGCGAACAGAACGATGGGCAGGTTCGTGTCGATCGTTTGTGTTGCGCGGAAGTTTTGGTATGTTTTCCCCTTTCCTTTTAAATCCACACGCTGTGAGAAAAGATATTTCCACGGGAACCCGGCGTTTCGACAACTCCAAACCAGCAAAGATAGCAGACAACAAACGTTTTATTTTATTACGTCATGTTGCAAACCCCTTACTCGACCTTGCTCTCGAAGTTCTCACCCTCGACGAGGTCGGGGATGTCGTCCTCCTCACCGTCCTTGCCCTCCTTCTGCATGTTCTGGTAGCTCTCGGCGAGCTTGCGCAGGGAAGCGAGAGAGTCGGGGCCGAGCTGGTTAAGGATACCGGGGACGAGCTCGGTGAGCTCCTTGTCCTCACCGTTGCCGTAGATGGCGAAGGTGTTGGCGGGGACAGCGGCGTGAACTATATGGGTTTGTCTTAGCATGACGTCTCTCTTGCACATGGCGATGGCTGTCGTCCTAGGTAGTCTAGGAGCAGAAGGTGAACGTACCCTTGGGGGCAGCAAAGTGGATGACGTTGCCGTCAGACTTGAACATGTTGACCTCCTCAATAGCCTGGATGGGCTGGACGTTGAGCTTCTTCAGGGCGGCCTGGAGCTTCTTGTCGTCGGCGGCGGAGCGAGCGGGCGCGCGCTTGACCTTTCTGCGGGGGGTGCCCTTGCCGCTATTGTCGGGATCGTTGCGTTAGCCATCTGCATCGTAACAAGTAAAAAATCGCAATCGCATGTTCTGGTGCCTGTGTGTATGGATTTTTTTTTTCTCGGTCGGAGGTAGAGGTAGGGGGAGGTGAGGGGTCATTTTCGCGGATTGGTCACAACATACCCTGCGCAATCATTTGGTTAGCACTTCTACGAGTCAAACAACTTCCAAAAAGCGATTTAATAGAAAAAACGTACCGATACGCGCGGAGGCACCGAGCTTCTTGAGGCGTTCCTGGACGTCCGACATGGTTGCGGCAGATATCGACAGTTTTTGGAGGGAAGGTGGTGGTGATTTGGCGGGAGTGGGGGGATGTAGTAAGGTAGAAGGAAATCGGGCGGGTTTAGGGAAGCTGTGCGCGGGTACCTCAGGGCAATTAGCAAAATGGTTCGTTTGCAGGTGGAAAAACCCGGGCAGGCAGGCGGCCCGACCGACTCGGACAAAAATCGCAATTGGCACGGCAGCAAAGCCGGGAGATTTTTTTCACTCACCCGTAAGTCGTTCGTATGTCCCGTATTATGTCGTAAGGCTGAGCCGCTTGAGCTTTGGTGATGGTCAATGTGAAGATGGACGTTTTGTGCGTGCCAAGATTCTTCGCTTGCGGAAATAGTATGTGCCGAGGTCTGTGACTTCACCGAGATTGACCGGTGCACACCACCGTCGGTGAGGGGCAGGTGGAGGAGATGGTCTTATGAATTCGCCAGCACAATAGCACAGCCCTCTGCAAAGTATTAATAAGTTGAGATTATGTTTCCAATCCATCTCAGATCATCGCTTTTTTGTTTTAGCGACAGACTATTTCAGGTGATATTTTCCCTGAACGCCAGTGACCTGCCCTCGCAGGTTTAATGGTATATCTCCTGTTATTTTACAGCCCATTATGGCATACACATCGCAAAATGTCCTGGCCCAACACGTATAATACAGTAATTTCCCCAATAAGAGAATCAATCCACATCCGACAATCCTGACTCTTTCCTCATCGCCTCTTGCTGAGCCTTGAGGTCGTTGTCCTTCTGCTTCTTCGTCGCAAGTTGAGCTATCCGTTGTCTCTCGAGGTCCTCATCGCGCACCGTCCAAACTTTGTGAGTGTTAGCTCTTCCATCTCCCATATATCGGAACCGGGCATGAAGTGAAACATACTTGGCCTGTCCGACTTGGAATATTCCTTCAGCTTCGTCACGAACTGGTCGAATTCGGCCTGTGTTTTCTCGCGATTCTCCAGACTCCTCTTCTGCAACTCGGGGTTGTATCGCTTGAACAGCTCTTCCTCGGTTGGAGTCACCCACATGGTGAAAGCCGGTCCGCCGACGCAGATGGCCGCTCCTCTGCAAATGTCTGTTAGCCTCTGTCGACGCAAATTTCACGCCAAGGCATATCCGGCGTACCCCAGGAACATCTTCCCCCACAGCTTCCAATTGGTGGCCTTCTTAACCATCTTGTCCGTGTCTCCTTATGAGGTCGTTAAAAGGGACAGTGGAATCGGCTGGAGACCTGTGTTGAGCTCCCTTGCCTGGACTTCGGCGACGAAGAGGCAATTGCGACTTAGTCGATGACGAACCTGATGCGCTTGATTGGAGATCTGCCTCTCTTTCCAGTAATGGAAGGCGGTATAATGAGCTCAGCATCTATTATGTAAGCCCATGTTCATTGGCTACAGACACAACGGGAGATCCATGCGGGTGATTCAGTCTTGGCAAGGAATGTGTGGCTTGTGCTTGCCCTGTATGCCACCTGGGACGCATTTCATTCGTTACTCAACGGGAAAGCAACAGAGCACGCTGCAGCTCCTGCTTTTTTGCCTCTCCAATCGTCCAGTCTAGATCCCGTATGGAATTGATTGAATTCAAGGGCACGAGACTCAGTGTCCGTTCAGCTGGTGTGGTACACTACTCCGTCATCATCGCCTCCCAATAAAACCCAGAGACCAGTTCCCGGCATCGCATCTTCCACCCCTCCAACATTTGTCTGCCGCAGGATCATCGATGATCATGAACTGCAAGTCCGTGGCGCAGGCGCTGGGGGGGCTGTGTGGTTCTCATGTTCACCACAGGCACTAAAACGTTTTGTTGGTTGGATGCGACATGGCTGTGGAAGAGGCAGAGCATCGAGAACGAATGAGACGCACGGGAAATGGCCAACACGCACCGGATTCAGCTGCAGGAACGCAAAACGTCTCTGGTTCACCCATGCTCTCTGACGGGCACTTTGTTTTCCCAAATGACGGGACGAAATGACGAAAGCACCGACCGCATCCCCTGATCTGTGATGGCGCAGAAAAGAGTTCCCCGGAAACACAACATGTGCAGGAATCTGCGCTACTTGCAAACGCCTTGCAATTAATTTGGCTTAGTCTTTTCTTGAGGCCGGCCAGAATTTGAGCCGCCGTGGCGATGGTGTCCTCGCGGGTTAAGGAATTCCCTTCCGTCGTTCCCGTCTTGGAACTACAGGCTGCCGTTCCATTTTTCAAGTGTTTGGTGGTTCGATCGCATCCTCATTCGACCGTTGGCGTCTAAAAGCCTCGTGCCCTACAGGGAAACGCCGGGCTGCAGCCGCTCAGCCATCTAAGGTTAGTTAGTGCAATTTATCAGGACGAAAACGGTGGTGCCTCGAGGATGAGGCCGTCCGCTGAGTGGTAGAAGCATGGAAATTTAACTGGCTAGGCAAATGGTGGAAGCTATCTTCTATGTACGTCCATACTCTTGGCCGTACATTGACCGGCCCGAACGGCTCTGAATCTTACCTTGGGAGGTTCCCACCCCGGAGGCGGCGGGGCGGCAAGCGAATTAAAAAGAAAAGAAAAAGAAAGGAAAAGCACGCGCGGATTCCATCGTAAAGGATACGACAAGACAGAGGCCTCCTAGGCATGACATCTAAATCTAACCCTAAGAAAGAGCTACAGCGGACGAATAAAGCAGGTGCATGGCCATATTCCCACGAGGACCATCCTATTTGCCCCCCTCCATCCACACCGAGAGGCAACATGCTAAAGTCACAAGGAAGCTCTGCGATCAGAAGGAGGCTAGCGGCGCTGCCTCGGGCTGACTGCATGAACCGGCTGTCATTGTATGGAATCCCGCAAAGCCGTCCACCACACGCAACACACAGATAGCACCAAGCAACAATAGCAGGACGGGAAGATGACGGGAAGTGGAAGACAAGAGGGGGAGAGATGAGACGAAATGTCGCGGACAGAGCAGGCTTTCGGCGCACAGAGGCTCTCTGGAAACTTAGTTACCCCTGGTATTGGGCACTGATGAAGCATTGAGTGAGAGTCCAGAGAGTGAAGGAGTGAGCTGCTTCTTCGCCCTTGCTTTTTTTTTTCTTCTTTTTTCTCTTTCGGACTCTCTTACAACAAGCCATGACCTATGGCCTGCAAAGCTAATTGGGAAGACGGCTGGGCCCCTCGTTGTTACTGACGCTGCTGACTGTGTGATGAATACTGGAGACAGAAGGGCAGAAACCCAAGGGGGCTTGTATACTACTGATCAGGACCCAATCATGGGTTGCCACTCTGGAGTCCCTGATACCGCTGCAGATACAGCAGCGATGTGCTGAGGTGGAAAAGGGTACCTTGAGACTAGGCGGCGCAATGCTTCCACTCTTAAGAGGCTGATCCTTGCGTCTTAATAAGGCACCTGTGTTACATGGTACTTCAGCCAGGTAGCTACCTACTACCTACAAGTGCCGGGGGAGAGAAGAAGGGATGGGATGCCCTGATCAAGGCTGCTCGCAGTATTGCATTGCTCGTAGTGGCTGAGGGAATTTTTATGATGAGTTGTCGGATGAAGCTTTAAACCGTGGTGGAGGTCTATTAAAGTGTCTTTGATCTTGCCTCGTGAGCAAAGGCCGGAAGAGGCATAGCTGGTGCCGACAAAATGCTAAAGACAATAGGGCCAGTAAAGACCATAGATCCAAGGTGGAGGAACCTCACTCAGAAAGAACTCAGCCGTACGGACAAGGGGAAGAGAGCACACCCAAAGTCCCAAAGTCGAATGAATGACTGACTCTTCAAGCAGTGGGGGGCTGCGCTGCGCTGTGGAATGCGTGGAGTCGATGTATCCGTAGCCATGACCTCAGTTCCAAGTTAAGACGCCGGGAAGACCCTCGTTATAGACGCTCGGATGAACTTTTCAGTTACCCTCAGGCGAGGAAACATTGGAGTTGGGACTGTTGTTGGAGGAGTTGGAGGGCGGAGGTAGGTACTAGTATGTAGGTACAGGTACCTTGCCTAACAGAGAGACACAAGCATTGGGGGGTTTCTCTCTGCCCAGCTCATGCACTGCCATGCAATGATAGACCACCGCCATTCTTCATCTAAGGTTGTCTCCATGGACAGCAGAAAATAAGCGGCTGCCTTGCTCCTGACCAGACTTAATTTACTCGGACCATGTCGCGGAGGGGCGGGAAAGCGGGAGGCCCCAGAAGCGACACAGGGACGCCTGACGATGATGCTGCTGCAATGGGGCGGCCTGACTGCTGGGATCCGGGGGTTGTTGACTGTTGAATCTTGTTAATGCACCCTAACGGGTTCTGTCTGTCTGTCTCCCTCTCTCCAATGGGGTTTCTCGTCATTGCCTGGTATCATGGCTGAGCCGCGAACAGTACACGTACAACGTGTTAGCATGTAGTAGAGCCAGCCAAAGACCAGCGAGTTAGTATGCTAGTAAAACGAGGACGAGAGCGACAAGATGGAAGGGCCCCTCCCCCATAGGCTGAGCTAATTGCGGCAGTGTGAAGCTCTGCATCGCGTACCTTACCTTAGTGAGGTACTTGGGACTACCGAGCCCTGGGTAGGGCAGGTACGTGGCCCGAGCAGTGAGTACCAAGGTACTCGATATGGAGGAGGGCGATGGCGTGGTATCTGGCGGAGACCTGGAGATTTGATGTGAGAACCACCAAATGAAAGAGTCTAGCAGACGTTGTGTGAAATGAGGAAAAGAAAAACCAAAACTGTAAATGAAATAAGAGCAAGACCCCCCATTTATTATTTTGTTTTTCCAAGTCTTATGTTTGGTAGTTGCGTGCTTTGGTTCACTCAGCTTATCATTTTCCCAGGTACAGTAGTACTTGGGCTTTTTTTATTTTTATTTTTTTTCTCCTTCTTTTTTCTCTTACTGAACTTCAAGTGTTACGACCTTCTTCAGACACCAAAGAAGTGTCGCGGACATGTAGTAGCTCCCTCCCACTCTCTTGGATCCTTGCGGCAACGAGACGGCAGGAGTACGTACCGAGACCGGCCACCAACCAACGAACCCACTGTAACATCAGCAAGACCGCCCGGGGACCCCTGGAAGACGAGACACAAGACAACCCCTCGTCCTGCTGGGCTTGCCTTCTATCCGCATCCCGTCCTCTTATCCATTCCGCCCAGCCCAGTCTAGTCCACTCCCCCAGTTTTGTCTTTATTCACCTGCAGACCACACATACACACACGCACACCCACTAAAGCGCAATAGACTGACAGCTACGCTCCTTGGTGTGTATTCGTATGTGTGTGTGTGTGTTGTGTATATGCGAGTGTGGTGTGTGGACGCATGCATGAAGCATACCTTACTCTTTCTCTCTTCCTTGCCCTCTCTGTCTATCTCTTACCCTTCCCCTTTAACTCTCCTTAAAGCCCAACACCGCACCATTCCTTACCTCTTGTCCTCGCCTTAATAGGGTACCTTACGAGAAACACTGGAACGACGCCCAGGGCAAGTCGACCCGGAAATAGTCGACGACCCAAAACAGCTTTCCCAGCTCCGGCTTTACTCTGCTTGTCTTCCCCTTGGCTATAGACATTTGGGCTTGGTCCATCTCCACCGCCATTGCCACCAATAGACGCCGTGTTCTGGAAACACCTGCGATCTGCCCTTGGACGGCGGTTCTATTGTACTATTGTTATTGGAGAGAGTGTGAAAGCGTGCCCCCCGGCACTACGCGCGGCTCAACTCAAATTATTTCTTCTTCCCTCCTTTTTGCATCCTCTTTCGTTCGGCACCGTTGATGTGTGCCGCCGAATCCGGTCCCTTTCTCCCCCCTTCGCATTTCACCCACCGACTTTACTGTGGACAACTTCCAAAGAGAGAGAGGAAAAATTAAACCAAAAATCTCTTTTCTCTTTCTCTTACATTCTCGACATTGGATCCCCTTCAGAGCCTGCACTTCCCGCATTGCCTGGCCCGCCGAAACTGTCGATCAACATTGAGCCGAAACGCGCTGAACCCCCAGCAGCGCCTACATCCAAAAGAGACGACCCCCCGCCGACCCTTGAAGTCGCGCTTCTTCTCTCCTCGACCGGTGTACATAGCTATGCGCCTGTTGTAGCCCGACCCAATTCCGGAAAGCTGTGGAGCTGCACCTAATTTCTCTCCTTTCCCCGAGCAACCCTTTATGCGATCCCCGAGCCGCGCAGGAGCTGCTGTCCTGAGCCCGGTACTTTTCCGACTGCGTCAACAGCACACAACCACCATCACCCAACCTACGACACCCCCCTAAACACATAAACCCGACCACCCAAAAAACAACACGGATCGCAACCCGTAATTGCACCAATCCCGCGCCAAGAAACCCGCCAGTCGACTGACGACGTTCTCTCGACCCCCCCAAGAGCCGCGGGAGAGCACACCAGACGATGGCAGGATATCCGGGACAGCGCCCCTACGGCAATGGCCCCCCCGCGCCTCGTCCTGGTCCTGGACCCGGTCCTGCACCTGCGCAACGGGGTCCTCCTCCACCACAGCAGCAGCAATTCGATGGCTACCAGCAAGACGGCTACGGCTACGATTACTACGATGAAGGGGGTTACGGGCAAGACTATGGCGGAGGTTATCAGGACCAGAACTACGGCAGAGGTCCGCCGCCGCCCCAGAACCAAGGTTACCCGCAGCAAGATTACTACGGCGGTGGCCCCGGACCCAATGGCCCGGGGAGAGGAGGGCGCCCTCCACCACCGATGGGACGAGGCGGTCCCATAGCACGACCTCCGACGGCCGATGGTGTTCGTGGTGGATATCCGCCTGCTCGTGGCGGTCCTCAGGGCCGAGGTGGTTTTCCCATGGGACGCGGAGGCCGGCCTGGTCCCTTTGAACGAGCGGCAAACTCAGATCCCGCTGGTAAGCCGTGTGGCGAAGTGTGAACAGTCGCCTATGCTAATCAATCTCTAGCCAATCGCCCAAGACCACAAGAAGGCGGCCCAATAAGCCCTGCCGGCCCCCAGGGCTTCGGCGGCGGCGCGTTCCCCGCGTTCCCCGGAAAGAACCGCAAGACCGATCTCGACGAGGAGACTGCGATACTGAACAAGATGGCTGGGGTTGACATTGGAGGCCAAGGTCATCCTCCTCCTAGAGGGCCAAATGGCAGAGGTCCACCACCACCAAGGGGATACCCAGACCCGCGACGCGGTCCTGACCCTGGATACGGTGGGCCGGACTTTCGGAACGATGGATACGGGCCGCCGGGTCCGCAAGACAACTTTGGGCCTCCGTCGAGGAGCATGACCATGCCGGTGAACGAGCCATCACAGAGACGCGGACCCCCACAGCGTATGGACACGTATGGAGGACCTGGAGGACCAGGAGGACCACCAGGGCCTCCTCGTGGCGGAGTGCCTCCTAGGCCGTCGACAGCGCAGGGCAACCGACCACCGCCGCAGCGCATGTACCCCCCGAACCCACCACCGCCGATGCCTCAACAGAATGGATATGACGAGTATGACGGGGGTCATGATGGTTACCGGGACACTAGGGCATCCTTTGGAGATGTGTACGACGCATATTACCATTCTACTCGCATGAGCAACCAGAACGCAGGCAATTTCGATTACAGAGGGCAGGGCGGCGGTCCCGACTTCAACTCCCAGCCCTCACACCGTCCTCACGGCTCGTTCGACCAGCACATGAGGCCTGGGGTCGCCGAGCATACCCAGCCTGGCGCTAAACGCATGCCGGAAATGAGTCGTACCAAGTCACAGCCTGATCTTAGACAATCGCAGCAAGCCGTGTTTGAGATGGCGGGCGACGCTCCCCCGATGCCGTCGATGGGGCCAGTAGATGGGGGTTATCAGAATGGCTACCAAGGGCAGAACGATTGGGATCAGTCGCAGCAGTCGCACCAGCCGCCACCGCCGCAACAACCGCCGATGGGACGCCCGGGTCTGCCTCACGGCCCATCTTCCAGTCGCAGCGGTGATTCTCTGCCGTCTCACCCTACCCCCGTTCGCCCTGGCCACATGCCTAATTCCATGGTCAACATGAATGATAAGCCTGCGCCTGTTCGTAACTACGGTGCACCCCCCGGACCCGGCGGACCGACACCGCCTGCCGGCCCTGGTGGCCCACCGCCTCCGCAGCAGATGGCACCTCCCCAACAGGCCAGCACCCCTTCTTTCACAGAAGCCACAACGCCTGTGACGCAGGAGGAACTCGAACGGCTACGCCAAATCGTCAAGTCAAACCCCAACGACCAGGAGTCTGCCCTAAGACTGGCAAAGAGGCTGGTGGAAGCGGCGGATACACTGACGCCGAATCTTGCCGACCCCAAGATGAAGGTTCGCGCCCGCGAAAAGTATCTAATGGACGCGAACAAGATTCTCAAGAAGCTCTCGAACGCGCAAAATCCCGAGTCTATGTTTTTCTTTGCTGACTGCCTCGGACGCGGTCTGTTTGGAATGGAGCCAGACAACAAGGAGGCGTTCACGTTGTACCAGTCGGCCGCTAAGCTCGGACACGCCGCGGCAGCATATCGAACGGCGGTGTGCTGCGAAATTGGGCACGAAGAGGGCGGCGGTACGAGAAAAGACCCCCTGAAGGCGATCCAGTGGTATAAGAGAGCTGCGACGCTAGGCGACACGCCCGCCATGTATAAGGTTGGCATGATCCTCCTGAAGGGACTCCTCGGACAGCAAAAGAACCCGAGGGAGGCCGTAGGATGGCTGAAGCGGGCCGCCGAACGCGCAGATGCGGAGAACCCTCACGCCCTGCACGAGCTGGGTTTGCTGTACGAGTCCGCGGCTCCCAACGATGCCATCATCAAGGATGAGGCGTACGCTTTCACATTGTTCAGACAGGCGGCGGACCTTGGCTACAAGTTCTCGCAATACCGTCTGGGTTGTGCGTATGAATACGGTCTCATGGGCTGCCCCATCGATCCCCGGCAGTCTATCATGTGGTACTCTCGCGCCGCCCAACAGGGCGAGCACCAGTCCGAGCTATCGCTTAGTGGTTGGTACCTGACTGGCAGCGATAATGTGCTGCAGCAGAGCGATACCGAGGCGTACCTCTGGGCTCGCAAGGCTGCTATGGCCGGTCTGGCTAAGGCCGAGTACGCGATGGGTTACTTTACTGAAGTAGGCATCGGTGTGCCGGCCAATATGGAGGACGCGAAACGGTGGTACTGGAGAGCAGCTGGTAAGTTACCCCTTACAGTTCAAATTCGTAATAACAGCATTTACTAAACACTTCGCCAACAGCCCAAGATTTCCCCAAAGCCCGCGAGCGTCTCGAGGACCTCAAGCGCGCGGGCAAGAACGGGCCCCGACAGCGCGAGCGCATTTCCCGTAGCAAAATCGGCAAGCAACAGGAGGGCGAGTGCAGCGTCATGTAAAAGACGGAACCAAGCCTCCCCCTACGCAACAAAATCCCATGTAATACGAGCGGTTGGCCAGAGCTGGACTACCCAGTGTTGGAGACTGCGATGACGACAAATGAGAAAGATTTTCAACCAGAAAGAAAGACCAACGAAACTGTGTACTTGTACGGGCACACAAAACACATCCACCAACGACTAGATGTACGATGCCGCTGCTACCAATGGAAATGCATTGTCCCCCCTAGGGAATAAAGAAAAAGTTTTTTCCTTATTTCGTCTGATGAGGTTGGTGTGACAATGGCGTTTTTAGGCATGTTGATTTTTTTGATTTTTTTAAGGGTTTATGTAGTTGGAATGGAGGTAAACTTTTTTTTTTTTTTTTTTTAGGTGAATTGTATGTGAAGATGGTGATGGAGGTCGCTTGCATTGTGCCGGTCCTAAAGGGCATGGCGTACTGATGTGTTAAATGCGGCATTTAGCATACATAATTCATTACTAAATATGATTGATTATATGTGATGTGATGGGCCTGAGAACGTGATTATTGTGACTTTTGTAATTGAGACCATTTGCGATTTCTGCTTTGTAGTGCGATTTGATATGGCGGTCCTTGTTCGTAAGCTGGGTCCCACTGTCTTATTCTGGCGGACTTGTCTTTGGCAGAGAAATTGGCAGTTGAGGTTTCATTGAGAGGGACATCACGGGGTTCGAGAGCGATTGTCTCTTACTATTCACTGGCTATGCGGTTGCCGGCTAATCTGTCATATCGACCGAGGTCAAGTTTGGCAGGGGAAAGAGAAAAGCATTGTCAAAGCTATTATAATGCTTCTTTTCAGTCTTGCCGCTTGCTCGTGCCCGAGTCGATGTCGGGAACTTTGCCCATTTCGCAGGTTGGTCCCAACGTTTGAGTAGATGATGACGATCTGGCTCGAGATCTGGAGTTTAACTCTCCCAAGTCAAGTAGCATTTAGAGAAGAAATGGAGAAAACGGGGCTGGATAATGAATGTCGTTGCCGGTAGCTGCGGGGCATGGCCGGAGACAGGCATCCGCTCAAGTGAAGAGTCCCCTTGATGCTGTCCATTGAATGGCTAACGTAGGGCACTTGGATACGTCCCATCGCCTGCAGATGATCCGACAGAGACCGACAGAAGACGGTTCTCGACATGGTGATTGGTTTGCTGCGAGCCCAGCCATCATTCGCCACCATCCCCCCGTGCCGCATGCCCGCTTCAGGCAGGCTTGCTTGGGCGACGTTGAAAAAGCGTTGTCAGGGCCGGCTACTCGGTTGATCAGCTCGGAGTAGTCATTTATCTTGAACCCCAAACATCTGCAAACTATCCACGAGGCAATCAAGTCCACTTAGAAAATGGCACAGCAAGGGGGCATCTACAAAGTCCCGCCACGTACGTTCTCCCGTCGTTTTGTCGTTTTGGATACTGGCTGATAGGTTCTAGGATTCACGTACTCTTTCACACGTCCCATGCCTTCATCCCAGCCCGAAGAAGATACCCCCTTCAATGAGAAGTCTGCTACAGCGGACGGCGACGTCATAGGCGAGAAGAAGCCCGTCACCGCGGCTCCCGCTTCACCGCTGCGGAAGACTGGCGGAAAAGGATACGTCAACGACGACGACTGGGTTGTCGTGCCCAGCAACCCCGAGGACGACCCGGAAGAAGAAAGGAGGCAGAAGGGTATCTTTATTGATTACCATGCCGGACGTAGCGAATTTCACTTTAGTCTTGCGTTAGGTAGAGACCAAACGCCGACTGATGAGACGAACCGGAGGGGCTGTGTTCATTCACATGAATGCTGAAAGGGTAGGGAGTAATTGAGGATAGGATGATGTAGTGGCGATAAGGGAGACTGTTGTGGTATTACATGTCATCTATTTTTTTGGTGGTTATGCCCATTTAGCATTACTTCAAGTTGAGAGCTTGATCCAACTCGGTGATGCATATTCGTCCGGGTGGACCCCCTCAGCGGGCAAAGATAAGCCCGCAACGGAGCGGGGCCGGACCTTCAGCTTGCCCCGGCTTCTGTTGGTCGTCGCATGCTGGCTTGTTCGTATAAGACCTCTGTGATTTCGCTGAGCCACCCACACGTTCATACCAAAAACCAGCCATCAAAGTATCCAACCTCGTCAAAAATGCCAATCTACCACATAGGTCAGCACTAACATCTTCTTCCCCATGAGCACCGAGTAACAGTCTTCAGTCCTCTTCAAGCTGAAGCCCGGTGTCTCGTCCTCGCAGGTCGACGAAATGCGTGCCGCGGGCGAGGCCATGGTCGGCGTCATCCCCGGCCTCAAGTCCTTCACTCTCGGCCCACCGCTTGCGAGTACCGCGCACCGTGCGCAAGGGTTCGACATGGCGCTGATGACGGTCTTGGACACGGAAGAGCAGGTGCTCGCTTATGCGGGGCATCCCGCTCATCAGAAGTATGGTTTACCTCATGCTGTTTTGTGACTATCCCACGCTGACTTGGGCTTCTTGCTAGGCTTCACAAGCTCCGCGAATCTTTGTGTACAGAGACGTTGGCTTATGACTTGCCTGCGCCTTGATTTGTTGAGTTTTGAGTAGTTTGCTTGGTTGCGTCTTTGCGGGGTGTTGTCGGATGAGCTCCGTCGGAGATGGTCCGATGCAGTCCGGCAGTTTACTACCGATGTCACCGAAAGGAGATGTAAAATCGCAGGGGTATTTCAGCTGGCTCCTTTTAGTATTGTTTCTGTTGGGATGTTTCTGCAAATTGTTTCGATACATTCCTAGACTTTCGGTAGATATAGGTAAATTGATATGCTCTGCTTATCTCTTTTAGTAAAAGTGTAGTAACTGCTCTCGGCTGGCTCATGTATGGTTTACTGAAACCAATTCTCATTTCCTAAGCCCACGATTGATTCCCGTCAACTACACGGGTGACCGCCGTGATTGGTCTAGGCGACTCTGGTTGTTGAGAAGGCCGAGTTCTTTTCACCATATCACCCGCACGCTTCGAATGTTCGATGCCTGGGGAGCAGGTTCGAAACGAAGAGGGCGAGACTGGGTCCCTAAAAAACAGCAACATCCAAGTCAGTTGCTCAAAGAACTAAACTTGGGGGCTACTTTATGGAAAGTAGAAAGGAATGAACAGGCGTTCAAGGCGACTAAGATGTCATTTTTCTTTCTGTTTCTTATTGTATTCAAATGCCTTTGGCATTGTGACCACGTTTCTCAATGTTTTGAATGTGTTCATGTTAGGACGAGAACTTTTTACTAATATCGGTCAGATGCTGGTGCCTTCCAATAGGGATGGCAGAGCCTTTCCCTCCTTCCTGCTTTCACTTGAAGGTCGCTTCAGACAAAGCGCGTTGGTGACCGACCCTGCTTCTTGCCTGTTTTACTTCCACCTTTAATAGTCGCCCGCACCTCCCCAAATCAAATGAACCTTTCCCATCTTTTTTTCTGCGGCTCATCAACACTAAAGTCGACTCTTTGCTCTCGTCAATATCTTGGACACATTCTCAAAACCAAGGCGATTCACGTCTGAGAAGATGGCGGCGCGCTCCTCTGTCGAGGAACCCCTCGCTGACAACGATCGCTGGTGTCTGCGATGCCTGACTTGGTACGCTACTATGGACCACAGAACTTGCGGACAGGAATTCAACGCCGACTTTACCTGTGAGAGTGTTGGAAAAGGTAAGCCCGCGCCTCTTCCTTTTCAAAAGAGGCTGTCTAAAATAGAATACAGACAAATGTGAACGTTGCAGAAAGCTGGACGTTGAGTGCCTGACGGTAAGCTTAACTTTAAGCCCATATCCAACACACTACTAAATAGATACTAGATCCCTCCCACGGTATGGGGCAACGCTCAAGAGATCATTGCCCGCCGTGGTGCTCTGTTGAAGCTTCCTCCGAACGACCTGAGTACAAAGATCAGTACTGCCGTAAGTAACCTCACATCCAAATCATCTCAACCTACATGAAGTGCTAATGAAACTGGTAAGGAGGCCAATTCTCTTACACGCGCTTTTTTTGCCGTTCAAAGTGGCACCCAGAAACATTACAGTCGCGATGGCAACCTGCAGCAAGAACCTCTCCGCCAGACCGAAGACGAACGGAAAGATGGAAATGATGACCGAAAGAACGACCAAGTGTCAAACTTTGAGAACCAAGACAACGTCGAATCTGCTGTCCCTGCCATCGGTCCTAATCGTCCTCGGCGTGCAGTACGACCGGTCAGTTCTTACGCTGAGAAAGAGTATGAGCCGTTCAAGGAGATCGGCGCCTTAGTCGCTCCGTCGAACAAGAAGTCCAATTCGACCTCGGGTGGAGTTAAAGACAACTCTAACCTTTCTTCAAATGCGTCGGCAGCCGTCGCCCGTTTTGCGCCCATCCATCCGGAGGCTACGCGAGCACCCGCCGCTGTGCAGGCCTCGGCTGCTGCTGCCGCTGTGGCGAACCCTACCAGCCCCAGACGACTTGCACAAGTGGTTTATGCCGTAGACGAAGTTTCTCGGCTTACTGCAGCTCGTAACGAAGCTGCTCGCCGGTTGGGAGAAGCCGTTTTTGAGGCGATCGCGCCTGGAGGCCCAGGTCCCCCACGCGTTGCGGACGGACACATAGACAACGTGCTTCAGATGCTGAGACAAGCCACCCAGGGTAACGTTGTGACCCAGAGAGATGCTCACGGATCTGGCAGACACAGTTGATCGGTTGGTCGAACGGGATTAAACGTGTTGACGTTGCTTCGGGATAAGAGTTTCCCGACTTCACATGCCCTTGTTTAAGTATTTGGAGTATTAAGGATTCACAACATGTACATAATAGTCTGGCCAATCATTAGTGCTTGACACATCGTTGCGCCACTGTCCCATGTAGTAGTAGGGTGATTTAACTCTGTAATAGTAAGCTTGGATGCGCGTTGTATTTTTACTCATAAATGGCTTTGCACGATACTTGCAGCTTTCAGAAAATGAATGCACTCTGATCGGAAAGCCACTGTGGAGGAATCAGGTCGAAGCAGCGCCACATCACATGTGGGCGCCCAATCCAGGCCCTAGCCACAGCATGTCGTCATAGAGCCATCACTGGCGGCATGCCAGGGAGCTCTAGCTTCAGCAGCTCAGGTAGCTACGCAACAGTCAGATCACAATCGTCAGTGCCAAATAAAAGGCTGGCCACCTGCCTAGACCATACCAGGCGCCAGCCACTTCTTCTAGCATCTCTTGTGCCCCTCATTTTGACAACAACACCACAAAATCATCTCGAGAATCGCATCTACGAACATCGCGCGAACGTCACTACGATGGCAGACGAACAGACTGTCTCCGAGAGGAAAGCTCCTAGCTCGAGCAGCAGGGGCCGAGTCGCCAACTCCGTGCAGGCCAGAGCTCAGGAGGTCTTGTAGGTGTTACCTGCGAATGCTATGGTCTCAAAGAAGCTAAATATATGCAACAGGCAGGAGGATTATGACAAGGCCAGAGGTCTTGTTGCCGACGCCGCCAAGAGCAGGTCGTACCTGTATCCTATTAAGGGTATCATCTACTTCGCGTCCCATCGAGCATTGTGGAAGCCTCTCTTGTCGCGTATCGGAAGCTATATTCTGCTATCCGCGGGTGTTATAACCGGCATGTTCGTATTTACCTATGTGCCGCAGCTCGCCGTCTTAGTCTTTGTCAACGGTCCCCTGGCCGTTTTCACCACTGTCCTTCTGATCCTGAACGAGAGTTCAGCAATCATCAACTTCGTCTCGCGGTCGTACTTGTTGCAGGATGCACTGCTGGATATTTTTGACGGCACTCTGCTTTCAAGAGGCGAGGACGGTATTGTCAAGGAGGGTAGACAGGTTGGCCCTGGTTCGGACCCCATGCAGAAATTGGGCAAGATCCTCAAGAACCCATTCGAGAGATTCAGCCCGAAGGCGCTCATTCGATACCTCGTCTACCTTCCCTTGAACTTCATCCCTATCGTAGGAACTGGAATCTTCATTCTTCTTCAAGGTAGGTTAACCAGAACCTCATGCACGGATTGGTTACTGACGACAGTACAGCTCGGAGCAGAGGACACAGTGTCCATGGTCGTGTAAGTACTCTCCGACCAGCAAAATTTCAGAGTTTTTAATTTCTGTGTCTAGTACTTCCAACTCAAAAACTGGTCGGCTTCTCGAAGAGCGGACTGGCTCAAGAAAAACACCGGACCTTACACGGCGTATGTCTGAACCTATCTGTATTTATCGACTAAAGAAATTAACTTACTTGCCATAGCTTTGGTCTCGTCGCCACTGCTCTTGAGATGATTCCCTTGGTCAACATCCTCTTCACGTTCACGAACACAGGTAAGTCAGACGAGACATACTTGGCAGCAAATCTCTGACAGCTGTCGCTAGTTGGTGCTGCCCTGTGGGCAGCCGACATTGAAGCCAAGGACACAACCATGACGGATGGCACAGCTCCGACCCTGCGTGAAACGGCTAAGAAAGCCGAATAAGCGACAGCGCACAACACTGCGGAATCGATTCACTCCCCCGGACCGGAGAGCGGACATGGTTTAGCACTTGCTGAATATGTGTGGGTGCTAGTCCCACAGCATGTTGGCAGCCCTTTAATGATCTTGATTTGACGTCGCCAACTTCTGGTTCTTGGGTCTTTTACGGTAATGCACATGGAATGGAGAAAAAGAGGCGAACAGCAGCGTTCATACATGTTTTATTGTTTAGTGTGAAGTACACACTATGATTGAGTGCGTGAGAAACATATGTGAAAAATTGGAGGGAACTGCAAGCAATACCTAATAAACAACGATTTGGAACTTTACAAATGAAAGGAACGGTAACGAATGCCTTCCGCGTAGCAGTGCGTCTTGTTGCACCTCGTCTTACGGCATTCTGATGTCACGTCAAGTGCTATTGCAACCTATTGCAACGAGAATGGCTCGGCTCGACAAGATTTTGATGAGCACTTGAAACCCTCAAGAAGAACAAAGAGCCGACGAGTATTCTTGGGTCGTTAAGGGTACTCTCCAGTTCAACCGTTCTGAACAATAGGACATACTCGCACCAAGCACATCAGCTGTGTAAGACACATTGCAGGAACCAGCAAGTCTAGTTCGAGGCACACGGCTACTTGCATAATAAAAGATCTGGCCCATAACACTGACCACATGCGATCCCGACTATCCGCCAATAGATATGAGCCAACCCCTTGATCCCCATAAGGGTATGCTACCCCAGATCCTTCTTCATCTCCAGTGAAGGCTTGTCTACAATTAACATGTTTACCGCAAGTGCGACTCTGGGAATGATCCCGTCTTGTTTTGGGCATCATGCCACTCTGTGCATGGTGAATTCATGAGGGCTGTCATGATGTGTTCAACTTAAACGCGCTCACGACCGGGCACAATTTTGTTCGCCCGATGGTCCACGAACTTGAAGTGAACGTAATGATGAAGTTACTCAACTTTCCGCATTTATAATCGCTAGATACAACTAATTTTAGAGGTGAGAGGTGCTCACCGAGAATTCTTCTGAATCAGTGGGGTATCGTCATGCAACACTCGGACGCTTCCTGGTGGACTAGTATGATGTAGCTCCTTCCTTCTATAGGGAAATCGCAGTGACTTGGGTCCTTCCAACTTATACCACATTGAAAACCAGATGTAATGGCAGGTACAAAGTGGGTGCAAGAGGTGTGACCAGGTCAATCGAAGAGGCACACTTGGTTCCTTCCTGGAACACATGCGGGAAGAGGGATGAGGAGAGGCAGAAGTCTCGCTTGCTCCTTTACAGTTAGTCCTTCTATATGATTCCTCCACCTCCTTCTCTCCAAGTCCATCCATCTCTTCTTCCGCTTCAACCTGGACCTCCGTCTTACTTTCCCTCTTTTCCTTCTCAGCAGCTTGTTCCGTCCTACTCAGTCAAAGATACTGAGGACGCCATCGCTCAGTCTTCTATTCCGATATATATCCACTCGTTTGTCCTGCATCCCAAACGCCATAGTGACTTCTAATCCATTACGCCGCGGTATGTCTTTACGTGCTCTTCCCGTTTGTCTAGAATTCATGGGCTGATCCTCCTTCCTTCGAAGTGCCTCAAAATGAGAGCCTTGAATGTAACCTCCAGGCTCGCAGTGATAGCCACTCTGCTGCTGTCCATCGTGGAACTCGTTGCGGCTACTCTCATTGAGAAATACAGTCAGGGAGAAAGTCTACAGGCAGCGGTTCCCCAGAATGCCGAATACCACGACAAGAGCCCTCAGATACGTAACGCTTTCGTCAGCTACGATTATGGATACTCATATCCTCCACCACCACCTCCAACCACTTACGGAGAGCCGTCGTCGACTGCCACTTCTACAAGCATTACAAATAACGGTTAGACGCGGTGGCCCTATTGAGAAGCACAATTACTGATATTTCGTGACAGCTTCCAATGGAGTAAGTTCGGGGACTAGTACTACGGGAACCTCTGGCGCTTCTCGTTCTACACCAATAAGCCCCGTTACTTCTGTGTCCAAGACTGCCCCATCTCATAGCAATACCATATCGAGTCTTCTTTCAGCCATTGAAAGCGCATCTACCTCACGAACCTTGTACAGCAGCTCTTCTTTGTCAACTGATCTATCTAGTCCTACCACTTCGAGGATCGCATCATCTTCTCTGACGCAGACCACTGTTTGGCCTTCAGCTAATACCTCTTCCATGGATGGTCATCTCACCAGTTCAGTTCTCAGTCTTCCGGTAACACCCAGTGTTACTACACTAGTTGAGAGTACGATGCTCACAGATGGTGGTTCTTCCTCGAAAATAATATTGTCTCGTAATACAACTGTCACGTTCTCATCGATAGCCGCTACAGTTACTGAATCCGGTACCCTCGCTACAATTTCAGATGTGCCTGCAACATTGACCATGTCAGAGGTGTCTGGGAATGCAACAACGACATCAAGCCATCTGACAATGAATTCTACTCTATTATCTGTGACACCAACAAAGTCATCCATCAATTCCAGAATAGGTATCACCTCGGGAAGCTCTGTTTGGTCTGCTGTGAACACCAGCACTTCGACAGCGTCATCAGCTACACTCGGCTCTGCCTCCGCAACATTGGCTTCATCTCGCTTGTCTCAAGGAACTGCAAATAATACTGGTTCTTTTTCGGTTACGACAAAGTTCCTTTCAGAAACACTCACTCCAGGTAGACCGACATTGACCCAACCTGTTGAGAGTCCATGGCAGACATGGAATTCGTCCGCTATTACCTCACTAGGCCCTTTTGAGTCGTCTCAGCCCTCTACGACAGAAAGCTTGAGTTCTCTCCCCGAATTTCCAATCCCACCCGCTTGGACATCAGGACCAACGTCTCAAAACACGAACCCAACGAGCTACGTTACCGCCACGAGTAGTCAAGCATCTGCTACAACGTTTTCCACGCTGATTCCATCCGTAATAAGCATCAGTAAAAATAAAACAATAGTTCTTTCTACAATTATCTCGACGTTCCCTGTAACTGTTTCGACGGGAAATTCGACGGTGTTACCTACTTCCGGGGTCTCCAGCTCTTCGTTCGATTCTGCTTCACCTACAGAAATACTTTCCCCCTTCACATTCCCTAAGTCAACCATTATGATTTCTACTGAAGGGACCATTTCCGTCTCGACAATCTTCGGCACCGTCCCGGTCACTTCGACAAAGCCGGGAATCCCCATTACTCCTCAATTCCCATCAAACTCCACCGCTGACCCTACTGGTTCGGCAACCGAAGTAACACTATCTTCCATGCTATCTCGGACGACTTCTTATACGTCGCTGGTTGACACCCCTGATCCGTCTTCCGATGCCACCATTCCGACCCACTCTTCATGGAACAGTACCACAGTTGTATCGTCCATTTCTCCGGTGGCGGATCCAAACTCATCAAAACCATCCAGCTCGACCTCTTTTAACAGTGCTAACGCTACTTGGACAGGGAGTAGCCAGTTTGGAGATCCGGCAACGTCAACAGCCACGTCTAGAACGGATACATCCGTGGGTATACCGCCACAGCCATCGTTCAACTCCACTATATCCGCATCAGCCATCGGCACTGTTTCAATACCAGTGATTACATCTTCTGCTGTCTTCAGCACACTTGCGAACGGTTCTGTCACTGGTTCTGCTTCAACTGCATTCACTTGGACTAACATCACTTCTCCTGGTGTTGCAACTGGCAGTTGGACAAGTGCAGTCACCAGTAGCGTGGTTACAGTAGTTGGAGGAGTGACCGTGACTCTGTGGCCAACAAACAAACTTATGAACACTACGTGGTCGTCTCCAAAGAGTACTTTGTTGCCAAGTAAGGGCACAGTATTGCAGACGTCAACCATAAATGCAACCCAAGCCCCAACATCTGTTGGCTCTGTTATAGACTCGACATCTTCATTCACAACTGGAAACTCAACAATAATTCCTTCTCCAACTGTAGCAAACACATCACATCTCCTGACATCCATTTGGCTGTCGACAAAACAATCACAAACCAGCACTTCATCAGTCAGCATTACCACCATCCCTACAATTTCCGGACAGCCCTCCTTCCCTACGTTAAACATAACTTCAGTGATTACCAGAGGAACTGTGATTTTACCGGCGTCACGCACTGATATTCTGGTCAGCTCAACATTGACTAGAGATGGTTCAATCACTGAGTCTATAGACCTGCCGTCCTCTACCCACTTGTCGCCATTCTTAACTATTAACTCCACTTTAGTCACCACAAGCGGTTTGGCTACGGTCTCAGGGATAAGCGCTACAAATATCCTGACCTCGGCTACAGATACTGCAGCAACCAGTTCTAGGCGCCCTTCATCTTCTTCTCTATCACCGCCCTATCCAACTTGGAATGTTACTTCCATAAAAAAGCCAACAGGAACAGATGTGGGGACAGAAGAAACCATCTCTGGGACTTCGTTCCAAACGTCAGAGTTGGTGAAGTCTTCGAGCAAAGTGAATGCGACAGCTACACCTACCTCTTTACAATCCACAGCTAGCAATGTTATTGTGATTCCAGGATCAACTGGTAACTTGACTTTCACTTGGGTCTCGACCGCTTGGTCTGGCATATCTGTTTCGACCTTGAAGCTAACTAGAGCCAATGGACGAATCACGCAAACTTTCACAGTTTTGCCTACACCACCGTCACTCTCAACATTGAACGTCACCTTAGTTCCCACTCTTACGAAGTCAACCAAGAGCACAGGCACAACCCCTTGGCCAAACTCAGACCCAACATCTACACTAACAATCGCAATATCAGCCTCTTCGTCCTCCACCGATGGCATCGTCACTTTTTCTTCAACATCTACGAATTCGAATACACCATCTGTGACTATACCAATCCAGTCACCATTAAATAATACCACATCAGGGCTGCCTACCACCCCGACCGGGACAGAGTTCGCTAGGGGCACGTCAAGCACAGCCTTGAGCTTGCCCACTGCTCAACCTCCATTTGGGAATTCGACCATCACCACAGCAACCATTCCAGTAAATCCCACTTCATGGGCTTCTGGAGGTAGTATAGTTTCCATCCCAGTGTCGTCTGAATCTACCCCGTTTCTTACCAATTCAACCCTGTCATTCCAAACTTCCTTTGGCACCACGTTGTCCAGCAACCCAACATCATCTGCAGCGAGGTCAGACACAATACCAAGTCCCGCCACATCCTCATTGCCATTTTCATCAGACTTCTCTTCGACTAAGCCAACTTCAGTTTACTCTGCTGCTGTAAACTCCACACGACCTATTCAAACCTCGTCGCCTTGTAACACCGTCACCGTCACGAACGGTACGATCACCCAGATCATAACTAAAAGCGTTCTGGTCCCTACTGTGTCCGCAAGTATTGAGCCAACCATCGTTTATCCACCTCTGACCTCGAGCCATACGTCTATCTTGTCCAAGTCAAACTGCACCTCCAAGTGGCAGAACACAACGTCTACTGGCTCACCGGCTAGTTCTGTTAAAACATGGACGTCGATTATGGCAACAAACTGTAAGCTTCCTTTCTGATCCTTCACGCAAGCCCTGCTGAATAGTTCTAGGGACTTTTCCCCCTGGCCCTAGCACAACATTCATCACTTCAACAACAAGCGGTCTAGGGTCTCCTGACAGAAACATCAGTGTTATACTTCAGTCTGCAAAGCTGTTGATGCCGACTACAACTCTCAGTGCTTCACCTCTGCCATCAAACGCAGCTTACCCATGGGGAGGTATTGGTCCTCTCTTCCGACACCCTCACATGACTGTCCCTGGCAATGACGATGAACCGAACGAACCGCCAGTGGTTCAAGAGGTGAATGGTATTTGGTGGAGCCGATGGAAACAACACTTTGACCGCCTCCAATCTGGTGAAATGGAAAATAAGGCAAGTGAAGCTCGAGACACGTAAGGTCCATCATATCGTCGATGTCTTCGGTTTTGTGTTTATTATGCCAAATTGCATTGACAATCAATTTGTTCAGACTGTGAGAAAATGGATCTCGCCTTGCTTCTCTGTCTCGTCTAGCCGGACAGACTACATACTAATGGCTCAGTTTTCTTTGTACGCCATAGAATTGCGTACAATTTTGTTGCTAGAATAAAAGAATGCGAACCTACAATGGAATGAATCTGTGCTTGTCCTTCTCGCAGCCTTCCTTACTCCATTTACTCCAGAAGGTCATCCACACGTCTACTTGTCCTGTTGGTCATTGCCCAGGCGATAGGATCCAGGGGAAGGATGTGCAACCACTGAGAAAGACCGACAAGAAACATGATGCGATTCTAGTGGCAAAGTGATGCAAGCTCCGAGGCTCAGCTTCATCGTCAGCTCATATCATCTTTCGTAATGTTACCTTGCTGCACCCCATGCGGCAGGCCAGACTCAAGACATTAGTACAATCTCTGTATCATGATGACTACGAAATTACAGTCAATGTCTCGAAGCCCCTATATGTCACGTTCCGATTATGGTGGATAATCCATCCAGTCTCTTCCGATCAGTGTTCTAGAGCTTTTTCTTGGCTTCAGTACGGCCGGTATCATCATCTGACTCTCTTGACATGGTCACATGCTGCGAAGCCGGAGAGGAAGTTTTACACCGAGAGGTGAGTCGGAACCGAAGTCGGAGAGATGTAAATAGGCAGACAGCATAGTAAGCTGGGCGGTATACTGTATCAGATTCGGGCTGAGATGGCTGGGTTAACCCCTGTTTTGACAAACAAAGACGACCGTGTGTTAACGGTCGCGATACTATGCGGGAAGGGAAAAAAAAAAACGTTTCTTTTTTGTAGATCTGGGTGGTTTATTTCTGGTCAGTGTCTTGTTCGCCTCATATCGGCACCGGCTTCCGGCGCCTTCAGCCTGGAAGGGAGAGAGAAACGCTGACGGCCGAGAAGCGGGAGAAAAGGAAACTATCGATGAGGCCAGGTGAGCCGCTGGTAGAGGGCGAGAGATGGGGTGATTATGATGTACGTGGTGATACAGCGCGGGAGAGCGGAAGTGAGGAGAAAACGAAGTGGAGGATCTTTATTTTTTTTTCTTTGGGGCGTGGTTCTTGGTAATGTCGGTCGCCCTTCGGCGGATCTTTGATGAACTTTTGTCCTCGCAGAACCCGAGCCGCGGCTCTCAAATCATAAGAGAGGGGGCTGGGCTCAATGTCAATTTCTTTTGGATTTTTTGACATTCTGCATCTATGAGAAGTGGACGGGGGTTAGTGGCCGCCCTAGTGGAGTGGCGATTAAACAAGGCCGGGGAGATGAGAGTGACGAGATTGGCCTGGGAGCAAGAGCTATGAGTTGGCCATGCATAGCATTGGCATATCTACCTCGAAGGAACCACGTGGTTGTTGCTTTTCTGGAAACCTTCTCGATGGGACGGGGTTACATCGGAATCGGGGCCAAGGCATGAGTGAGCATCATGGTGTTTCTTTTTCCACTGCGAGGATGAGAGTAATAATGGGAGCAGTTCAGCATTTGTTTACTGGCACACATGTGGACGTATAGACATTTCGGATAGGATGGCAAAAGAGACGGACCAAAACACACACAAAAAAAGTCTTGGTATCTTGTCGACTGGGACGTTCCAGCAGTTGGCGGAGATGAAATCTGTGATGGGGCGGCCTGGGCCTATCGACTGATGTCGTACGGGCGGGTCTTGCCTTTCTGTTTGATCATCGGTTCATCTGATCGGAGTTACACCGATGATACGCGCCTTTTGTTCTCTAATGGGGTTGGTGTTATGTATGTCTGATCTGTGTTGCGGTCTGTCTTGCATGACTTACAGACAGGCAGCTCTGAGGCTATCTCCGATGCTGTTCGCCCTTGCTGCTCTTCAGCCGGTTCAACAACACTCTTTCCAATGCAGCAGACTGTCGATTTCGGGTAGCTGATCTTGCACCTCGATCGATTGAGTTTCTGAGAGTGCCCGTGCCTTTATGCCGCCTGGCGCTGATGCTGCAGAGACCGACTAAAGCAGCCCGCCTGTCCGCGCTGAGGGTCTCAGGATTATCTACTGCAAGCCACCGAAGCCACGTTGCTGCAGGTTACTGTGAACCTAAATCTCCGCGCGTCGATGGCTTTTTTTTCATCATCATCATCATCAACATCTGCTGCCCCCTTGTCGCGCTGTGCATACATGGCGTCAACCACCCGGTCATGAAAAAGGCAGGTCAATCCGCAGATGCCTCGTTCAGATCAAGAAAAACCTCCGATATGGTACTTCAAACCCCGGTCTTCGGTAGCTAGTTCCTCCGCCCCAATGGGATTTCATGATAACGAAAAGGCGGAACGTCGTGCCCGTGACGGGTTGTCACCGTAAAGACTGCCAGATCGTTGGATCGCCAGATGCGTGTGAGGGAAAGGGAGGTGTGGGACACGATGGACACGCACACACGCACCACACACACAAACGCACAGATGCAGGAAAAATGATCAATCTGGCTTGCGGGGGGAAAGTAGCCAGCAACCCTTGTTGTTTGACAGGGATAAGCTTGCGAAGAAGGGAGGGTGGTACGGGGAGCAGGGGATGTAAGAGATCGAAGGGTGGGTTTCGATCCCCTCATGTACGTGTGTATACTTGCTTTTTCCAATGTCCTACTTTCGCCTTTGCGATCAAAACTTTCTTGGGGACTTTTTCAGACACTATTTCTTTGGGGAGAGGGAGAGGGAGACGGCACCCCCATGCCCCCGTCTCAGATTTTGGGACTCTGGGGCTCTGGGACTCTGGGGCTCTGGGACTCTGGGACTCTGGGACTCACACATGTCTGCCATCTCGTGACTTTGATGTTGGGTAGATTATTCTGCTCCATCGCCATCCGAGACACTTCGTCTTTGAGACATCGTCCTTGAGTACGGCATTGGTTGTGTCTGAGGTAGTTTAGGCAAGGGATGTTGAGGCTCAAGCAGAGGCATCAGGTAGTTGCTTGGTGATGATGGCCCGTCATTCTTCTAGGTCGTAGACGTGCTCATTTTAAGTTTAACACTGCAAGTTTTAGGGAGATAACGGACCGAACGGAGACTCCCGTTATTATTGCCATTTATATGACATGGACTAGTAGGGCCCCGGATGCCGCTAGGATCAGCCAAGTCAAGTGGGAGTAGTTAGAGTTTGTGAGAAGAAAAGAAGCGGCACGATCGCTGCGTTGAAATCTTGGGATGAATCTATCAGCGGGTAGCGGCAGCCCGGGTAGATTGCCTTAGGGGGCCGTCGAGCTTTTACAACTGACATCACCATCAGATAACATGAACACAGGAAAAGACGAGAAAGAAATGTGACTGGTACGTCCGTACACGAGCGCTTCTGACGTGGCTCCAATCTGACGATCTGTTGCTATGCAGCCTGCGAACGAACCTGGACGGGCAGCATGCGGTTGGTCCCGTCCGGCTCCCGCCGCTGGGCAAAGAGAGGGAAATAAGCAAAACTGAGTACGGATAAGAGAGAGAGAGAGAGGGATGGATGGAACAAAGGCTTCTTGATTTGGCTGCCAGGAGAAACTTTGAAAGACGTTAGAGGCGTGGCATTGACATGTTCATGTCGTGTGTCTGTGTGAGTGCATGGCTCCCCAAGAACGGGGCCACATGGAAACCACACGGGATGACACGAAGGGAAAGAAGCGGTGAAACTTAAGCGAAGGGGTTTCGAAGGATGAATAGAGTCATGACCCGGCGTTTCTTTCTCTGAAGATACGGGAAACCCAAGATTGCTGCATCGGGAATGAGATGCTGCCGTTCTCAAGGACAAGGATCTCCGGGGAAGAGACGCGGAACATGGAGGCGTGGGAGGAGGCCTGCGATATGTATATGTCGGCAAGGAAGCATAGGCTTCGTTTTTTTTCTTCCCTCTGTCTCTTCTCGATTTGACAGGATTCTAGCCCTTGATTTGTGTTGCAATGACCGATTTCGATGACCTCCTCTTACGTTTTGGGCCTGCTATAGCAAGAGAGGGGTTTCTGATCTATCGCCGGGGAAAGATCATGGGATCTCCGGGGAATGAGAACCCTTGCTCCCGTCGCAGGATCCTTGCTTTCCTTGGCGGCGTTCACGATCGTGTTCCCTTGCTCTCCTTGCTGAGAGGCTTGCCGGGGGTTTAAATTGGTGCGAAGACTGGGAGAGGGTTGCGAATGCGATCGTGGGGGGGCTTGCTGCTGGCTTGAGGGGAAACGGGGAGCTGAGGTGAAGAGAAGGAAAAGCAGACTAAGGTAGAGGCGTTGAGGACGCAGCCTGTTCGGTTGACACACGCCCAATCATGAAGTCCATAATCTAGAGCTGAGGAGGCTCACAACCTTACCACAACTTATGGCTTGCAGGCAACCATTCTTTCTGATTATTCTATCTATCTGCCTGAGCTATGACAAAGGTTACCCACGGCTTACATTAAACCTATCAACCGGGACATTCCTTCGTTGCAACTAGCTGGCGGCACCAACCAACCAACTCGTCTACCACTGCACCCTCTTTTCCAACCACCATTTTTCGGATTTGAATAATGATATCACAAATGACGATTAAACCTTGTAAATGGAAACATCGCGCACTAGCCGAGGCATCGAACCTTTCCACCGGTAGGAGCAAGCAGGTAGACGCAATAGAAACAAGCTGTACTGGTTCCCAGCCCGTTGACATCTTCCGCCCACATTGCCGAAGAACCCCAGCCTCCGGCCTAGGCCCCAAACCACTCGCTTACCGAGCGCTGCATGTTCCCAATCTAAGAACAAGATGAAGCCCGTCGGCGCATCCCGTCAGGCCGATGCGTCTTGACGCACCCCTTACAGCCAGGGCTAAACACATCCGGCATCTTTCCCCCAAAAAGCTCGGGGCGGTAGACATACCATTCACGGTAAGACTTCCACTCCTCGAGATACTCGACCCAGTAGGCCAGCTGCTCGACAAGCCAGCTGTCGCGCAGGCGGTCCTTAACCCACTCCGCCGGCTCGTCTTTGCCCTTGTAAGTACGGAGCACCTCCGGGCGGACGTCAGCGACGCGCTCGGCGGTGTAGTAGACGAAGTCGGCTCGGCGGCCGCGCGCCGTGAAGTAAGGCACGGAGCCCCACTCTACCACGGCGCGGGAGGTGGTCAGAGAGACGACGCGGACCGTGCAGCAGATGCATTTCGCCTGGGCGAGGAAGTCCCGGAGCACGGTTGATACCTTCGGGGTACTCGTACGCGGGTGGAGCCGCATGGTTGCTGCCGCTGCCGCTGCTTCTATTGCTGCAACTGACATTGGAGAGCTCGAAAGCTGGAGCAACGGCGCCTGAGATGCCATGGTGAGAGGGGCAGAATGCCTGGATCTGCGGGCGTCGGCATTGTTAGTCGGTCTTCGGGTTGAATGTTTCCATCATCTGTGGGGATTATGCGTAAAAGAGGCAAAGCTCACGAGATATGTTCCTCTGGTCTGGCGTCATCAACCCGGCTGTATCCAGGGTCTGTTTAAAGGGTACCGATACGCGAGCGCAAAGTATCCCGCCTTTCCAAGACCTATTTTTTTTTTCCCCTTCTTCTTTTTTCCTTTCCTTCGTTCCCCTTGCCGTGATCTGATCCAGTCCTAATCTCAACACGCAACGAGGATCCCGATGGCCCGTCGTCTCGTTTTCGTCAAACCGGCGGCTGGCTTGCAGCGGAAAGGCGACGGATGAGCGAAGCTTGGCAGGATAGAGAGCTGACTGACTGGCTCATCCGGGTTGTCTTTGACCGTAAGGGAGGGAGAGTGCCAGGCTAAGGGTGAGATCCATCTTCATGCAAGGATGGTGGTCAAGTCAATTTGTTCATTTATAGGGGCCTCTTTTTCCTTCTCCCTCTCGTTTCACTCGTTACCCCAGCTCTGGCTCTGCATGCCTTGCTGAACCCCCCCGCCATAGTGTCTCACTCGGCTTGGCAGAAAGAGATCGATCTTCAAACATCATCGTAATTGGCTCGGTGATGCATCTTAGGAAAGCTCACCTGACTGGCGAATTTGTTGAGTCCGTCATTGCTGATGAAGCCGGCCTGCGTGTCTTGAAGATTTTCACAGCAGAAGCCCGGAAGGAGATGATGCACGAAGAAAAAAAAAAAAAAAAAAGGACGGAAATAGGAAAAAAATGAAAACCGACGAAAACAAGGAGTGATGTCCCTCACTTCATGCTATCGTTGCCACGAGACGCTTTCTTTTTCCGCCCCGTCTCTGTGGACACCCATTTGCGAGAAATAAAAAGTGATTACTATTTTTTTTCCCCCTCCCACACCGCAGTCACATTGATTTTTTATTACTGGCCTTGTATCAATGACTCCTGCAGAGGTGTTGGAATCAAGAGTGTACTGGGGGGTGTATTACCCGGCCGATCGTCCGCCCCAATCGCGCGGAACCCCATCGGCGGACACTATCACATCTCAGATTATAGGCCGCATGACAGCGCCACGCAAGGATAACCCGCCTGGGTACTTTCTCTGCACTGCACTCATCGCCGTAGATTTCAGTGAGATGTGAGAGGGGAAGGGGGCCTTGAAGGAAAACGACGCCTGCTGGTGCAAGCGAAACCATCCCTCATCCCTTCATCTCGCTGGTGCACTTTCAAACTTGTGGATTCTCTTTATTTTCGGACATATTCTGGAGGTTGATGCGGTCCGACAAACTCAACCCATCGTAATTCCCCGTCGAGCAGATCTCACTCAGATTGATTGGTCTTGACGAATTATCCAGCTAAAACATCTCATGAAAGCGTTATATCAAGTCTGATATTCGCTGGGATTTGGCTGTCGCCTTTCGGAGCGGGACACTGCCCGGGGACAGGGGACAAGGCTCGACCAACAAGGCTGGCCTGGCTGGGTCCTTAAGGTCCATGGTCCATGACATTCCCCTGCGAAGGCCACTCGTGAGCAGACGAATGCTTGCTTTTTTCCCACGAAAAACCCCCCAAGCCACTTAGCAAAAGGGGCCGCTGTCTCTGCTAAGGTCGGGAGGAGGGAGGGGTGGCCAGGTCGTTTCTGACTCGAACTGCTCATTCCATTCCAATCTGTGTTCCTCGGTGACCACCAAACGGGGTAGAAGTCATGGCCAACGAGAGACGGGCGAAAGGCCGGGCAAGGCGAGGGCCTAGGTCATCCGGATTTCTTTTGGCAGACATTCACCGCAAATCCAAGGAAAGTTAATTTGATATTGTCCATTTTCTTTTGGTTTAAGACAGGGTCCTCGAGGAAACCCACCTGCTTTCCCTTGACAATTTGGTCATCCATACACAATCTGAGAGTGTTTAAGAAAAAAAGGTCACATATTTCACCTGCTAAAAGAAACCATTCCGAAGGGCCAGCCCACACGCACACACCCCCTCCCCAGCAAAGTCAGCGCCCGCCAAGCGTTTTCCAGATAGAGACCGGGGAGGAAGGGATAGAGTACGGGCAGATCGTTCATGGCACGCACCTGTTTTTCGGACAAGGTCCCCTCTCTGGCCCATCGAAAAGTTGTCTGCTGCAGCCACCCAGAGTTAGGATCTTACATATACCCGCTCGTCGAACCAGCACCTCGGAACGTCGTCTGACAGGCTATCTTCGCTCACCGGTATCTGTCGGCCCTTGCTACCTGCCTTGACCGAGTTGTCATGCCAAGTCCCCTCTTTTCAGTCTAAATCAACTTCGCACAACTTCTGTTTGCTGTGAGTCCGACTTTGCGCGTTTCTGAAGGAAGCCCGAGCTAACGGTAGAATAGCACTTTGCCCCATTTCAGTACCAACAAAAAAGCCCGCTAGCTGCCGCCGCACCAGAAAAGATGTGTGAGTGGTACCGACGCAACTACGCCTGCGGGCACCACTTCACCGGCGCCTCTGAGTGGTGTTACCGGTACAGCCAGACGCAGAAACGCTGCAAGGTCGTCGTGACACAAGTCGACTACGACCCGTCTGTGTGCAAAAGTTGTGTGAAAAAGGGCGTCAAGACCGAGGTGCCATGGGAGCACATGATCGACCGGACCAAGTTCGACCCCAACCGGGACGAGTGAAGTTCGTGTCATGAGGCGAGGACAGCGAGCTGTAACAACAACAACAAGAACGACCTGTGACCAAAAAGGCAGGATGACAACAACAACAACGACAAAACATGCCACGACGGAACTCTGGCAACCTCTTAATGAATCGCCGGCACGGCGTGGACTTCTTCGGACGAGACGGAATCTCTCGCGGCGGCGTTTGGAATAAACGTGACTGGGACTGTGTAGCCGCATGCATACATGGCTTATTAGAGCATCTGGGCCGGCGCACCTTATACCCATTTGATTTTTGATTTTAATTTCCTTGGAGTCAGTTGGATTTAGGCACATACAACGGTGTATCTGGATTCGGAGTATCGGAAGCGAAGGTCTTCGAGAAAAGTGTATTTTACCGGTTGACAGTGTATGCATGGTCGTCGGTAGAACCGACCCGAACAAGTCAGTGTGGTTTCTGTCTTGTAAGCCTTCATAGTTCTGATGCCTGGTGACCACTCATGGTATAATGCTTGAAGCAATAGCTCTGCGGGACTATTTCTCACTCGCTGAATGGCATCGAAGTGTTGCCTTCCTTCGCTCTCATAAGATTAATTCGTTCTGTTATCCGGCAAGGAACGTGGGGTTTCGAATCTTAGACATTGAACAGCCGGAGTAGCTCCACGTCCAAGCGGAGCTCGCGTCTGCCGCGGAGACATGAAGTCAGATGACGAGGCTCATGACGGGCTTCCATTCCTACTCTTGATTAATCACGACATGAAGTTCACGCGCAGGAATAGAAGCGATGTTGACGGCCCGCCTGTGGGCGTCGCATGGCGCGAAAGATGTTTGGGGGCCACGGCACATGCTCGATGCTAAATTGATTACATGCGGGCTAGCAGTGAGACAGATCGACGCGACCCGCGATCCCCAAGATGAGATGGCCGGTGGAAAGACGTGCTCAGCTGAAACATAGCTGACGGAAGGCTTGGGGAGCTGAAGAGGTAAAGCGTGCGTGAAGGATTTTGGTTGTGAACGGGGCAACATTCCGGAGAGATCCCTGGGAGATGGCACATTGTCGAGTGGCTTGGGTTGCTGGGCTCCCAAGGTCCCTTAATCCCTTTGAGGCGTCATATGGCCTAGGACACGTCTCAGGTGTATCGTCAGGGTACATAAAGTGATGTGATTGATCATTTCTGGCCATTGAGGTTGCTGTTCGTTTATTAACCCGGACAGGTGCGGTAAATGGAGGTTACAAGCCCGGCACATGCACGGACAAGAGCCGGAGCGCTTACCCGGCGCCGGGCATCCAGCGAGCCCCTCATCCCGGGCCACTAACGAGGGACAACTCCCGGCCCGGCTCCTAATGCATGTCGGTGTTATGCATCTTCAGTAAAACCAAACCTCTCCTGCTATGAAGCTATGCCATCCAGGGAAGATAGCAATTTGCACGGTTACAAGGTCGGTGGCTTTAGTAGAAGCCATTAGTGTTTCCACTGGGGGCACTATTGGCCAAAGCCAGACTTCTGTCTCTCTTGCCCTGGCCTCGTTGACCTAGCATAGAAGTGCGCCTCGCAGCTTGTGCATCACTATTGCTCCGATTTAGGTCAATTGAGCAGGACGATAGGTCAGCTGGCTATTAAAGCAACGACGAGTGCCTGTCTCCTAGCTAGTTCTGGTTCTAGTCAACTTATCGCCAAACCTTCAGCTTGACCGGTTCTACCTGGTTTCTACTTCGAAGATGAAGTTTTTCTTGAGTCTCGTCTCTGCACTGTTGGTCACGGCGGCTTCAGCCTACGTAATTAATATACCGGCGTTCGTATTTTTTTCTGGTGATTAACCAGTCGAAATGCTAATAACAATCGTCCAGCGACGATACTAAGGAGGATGTTCCTGTGCAGCCCAGTTGGCGGGAACCAGAGCACGTCTTCGGAGATCTTGGCGCCATGTCTGGCAACGGAGAGGGTTTCTGTAAGTCGAGCCGTGAGTCTAAAAAACGCTAGACTTACAAGAATATAGAAGAAAAAAAGTAAGGAAGAAGAAGACGAGGTTATAGATTCTGTGGACAGTGGTTGTGAGAAGTACTCATTCGAGTAGTAATGATGAGCAACACCTGTGCTGTTTTCAGAACGACCGTTTCTTCAGCACGTGGGAATAGAGTAGGAGGAAGTGGGGTTACCTCTCCAGTGTGGCAGCACATGTGATTAATTGTATGATGCATACAGGTAGAATAAGAATCGGTAAGGTAGTTCGATATTTTCAATGGATTGGAGCATCCGTAGACCAGCACGTGACTGCGGACCAGAAAGCCGGCTGAAATTGACTTTGCGCTTGAAGGTCATGCCTTCCTCCGTGTTCGAACTACTTCGTTCGGCCCTTCCCATCGTGTGAAATCGGGCAATGACTCCGGTGGCAGACCGGGGGCCCAGAAGCAACCACCAACTAATTACACTACTACAGCGCCTGCAAACGGCGCGACTCCCCCACTGTCCCCTCCCCCTCCCACCTCCTCGGGGCTCTTTCCCCCCCTCCACAAATGTCACTTGTGTCACTTGCTATCGTGAATGGCCCATCGCCGCTGTCGGCCAAGTTAATCCAGTGTTGCTCAATAATGCCCCCACGCAGATTATCCACTCTTTTAGCTGACCATTAACTAACCAAGGATGGGCATGTCAAATTGTCGAATCACGCTTTTCCGAGCTGATTAGTTGAGTACCTTGTTCACGGTCGTAATCGCCCAGCACAAGGATTTTTTTTTTTTCACGCGCGCAAATCTCGCCTCTGTTTTCGCTCACGCCACGACCCCAAGCTTAAATACCTTTGCTTTCTTTTTCCTCTCTGCAACGTAGAGCTAGCCTGTTGCATTTCTTCGCATCTCTGGCGTCATTCTTGCTTCCTTACTTGGATTAAAGCAGATTCGTTGAAATACACGCCAATACCTTTGCCATAATCGACTCGCTACCATGGGACAGCCATCGTCAGCGGCATCCAATGCCATCATTTACGTCACATATGGACTCTTCCTGTACGAATTTACGAGAACCTCTCATGAATTGAACCCCCCTTCTTGTCTCTGCGCGCGAAAAAGGCTCAGTACTGACGGGTGGTATTCACAGGATTATGGGGACTAGTATTGCGTGGAAGTTCCGCAATCAGTCCAAGGGAGAGTTCTTGTCTGGTAACCGGACTCAGTCGGGTCAGAACTCCCCCTCTCGTTTGAGACAGTCGCCGTGGAGCCTCACCGCTCACTACGGCCCTGTCCTCTCAATCTTGAAAACCCATTTTATTACTCCGTCATGATATCGGCAACTAACACTCACCCGCAGCCTTTCCTTTGGCCCTCAACTTCATCGCCTCTGGTGAGTGAAGAAGTCGCAACAGCGCTTCTCCGGCTTGAAAACCGACGTCTCTTTTTTTCCCCAAGAGAAAAAAGAGCGGCAGAACACACATAGCAGTTGAAACGAAACCCAACAAACCCTACGAAAAGCAATGCGCAGACGACAAACTTGACGTGAGGCGGGGATTCAACTCCCTCCTCCACACCATCCGAGTATCATGAGACGAAGATCAGGGTGACACATCCGACGAAACTGACAGGCAGGTTCGTAACCCAAGATCAACAACTGTCCTCGCCCCTTTTCCGGTCCGCCTTGCGGGCTCCTTCATGCTCTTACTACTCCTCACACCTCTTGCGGCTGAGACCGTAAGAGTGGTATCGGACCCCCAAGACAGACCGGAAAGGGGATCCCGAGGATGCGGCTCACTACGGGCGCGGATTTGAAGCAGACCGACGTGGCATCCACCCTCTCTCGCTCTACGAGAGAGGAGATGCTCGTCCTGTGGAAATGAAGCTGAGATTGCACCGTAATTACTCGATCAAGTTAATGCTTGCGTGGGAAACGTGCTGCCGCTCCAATATCTCCACCCCTTCCTCCCCTTCTTGTGTGCCCGTAAAACTGACCACCATAGCTCTCGGCTCCGGTATCTTGTTCTCGTACCCCGAACTTGCCACAATCACTGGTATCCAGGGCGTGCTTGTGTATGCTCTGTCGTCTTCGCTGCCGCTCCTCATCTTTGCCGTCCTCGGCCCCATCATCCGCCGCAAGACGCCTGAGGGTTTCGTGCTGACGGCATGGACACGGCAACGCTATGGCACCGTCGCCATGCTCTACCTCAGCTTCATGACGCTGGTGACACTGTTCCTGTACATGGTCGCTGAGCTGTCTGCCATCGGGCAGGTTGTGAACACACTGACGAACCTGGATGGTTTGCCCGTCATGATTGTTCAATGCGTAATCACCACCATCTACACCTGTACGCTTGTTCCCTTTTCCAAGCTCACACGTCCAGTTCTAATATCTCGCAGCCCTCGGCGGTTTCCGCATCTCCTTTCTGACAGACAACCTCCAAGGTGCGATGGTAGTCTGTCTCATCATCATCGTTGCCATCACGATGGGTGTCAAGACGGAGATCGACACCTCTTTGATCGAAACGTCTGGTCTGCTCAAGCCCACGCTTCTCGGCTGGCAGCTCCTCTACATCCTGCCCATCTGTATTCTCACCAATGACTTCTTCCTCTCCGGCTTCTGGCTGCGTACCTTTGCCTCCAAGACGGACAAGGACCTGCGCATCGGTGTCTCCGTCGCCGTCGTCATCATCCTTTGCATCCTCACCATGGTCGGCGTTACGGGCCTGGTCGCCGCATGGTCTGGCGCTCTGCCCCTGGATCAGATCTCCGAGAGTGGCTCTGTCGCCTTCTTCCTGCTGCTCCAGCAGCTCCCCGCGTGGGTCGTCGGCATCGTGCTGGTGATGGTCTGCACCCTCAGCACGGCCGCCTTCGACACTCTCCAGTCAGCCATGGTCTCCTCGGCGTCCAACGACATCTTCCGTAACCGCCTCAACATTTGGTGGATCCGTCTGGGCGTCGTGCTCCTCATCATCCCGACCGTCGTCATCGCCCTTAAGGCGCCTTCCATTCTGCAGATCTACCTGGTCTCCGATCTCATTTCCGCCTCCGTCATTCCTGTGTTGGTCTTCGGGCTTATGGACCGTTTCTACTGGTGGCGCGGCTTTGAGGTCGTAGTCGGCGGCCTGGGCGGCATCCTCACGGTCTTCATTTTCGGAGTCATCTACTACGACGGCAACGTGCAGAAGGCCGGAAACCTGCTCACCATCTCCGAGGGTCTGTACGCCAACGACTGGAGCGTCTTTGGAGCCTTCGTCGCCGCTCCCGTGGGTAGCTTCCTCTGGGGCTTCGGAGCGCTGGGATGCAGACTCGCGTTCCAGTACGTCATGGCTAAGAAGAGTGGCCGCCGCTTCGACGCGCTCGACCGTCCCGTCGGCCCGGGCTTCACTTCCGAGGTCGACGGCGTGCCGCGTGCTGTCGACACCTATGAGAACGCCGACGTCACTTCGGACGTGGAGATCGTCAAGCCCGCAGGCAAGTTTTTCTAAAACGCAAACTAGTCTATCTCGACTTTGCAAAAGTAAACACGCCTGTGTTCAGACGATGAGGCTTACTCAAGTCAACCACAACAATCACATGATATAGAAGGTGGGAGGGGAAACGCCGGAGTAGGGGGAGATTTTACTTGTGATTTTTTTTTTTCCTTCAAATGGTTTGGAGAGTCTTTTGCTCCTATGCAACCAAGGCTCATTCTATAGCCAGATAATCAGACACATATAATACACTCATTACATGTTTTTTTGCTCCTCATACACACACAGACACTCACAACTTCAACCGCCAGTGACAACCTGCTCACCAACCAATCCGCCCTCTTGCCTGGACCTTATATAAAAACAAGTGATTTTCCTAATTAAACCCTCTTCCCCCTCCTCTTGGCAAAATCCTGTTGCTCCATATGCGTCATAGTCTTCTGCTCCATCTCCCAGTCCTCTGGGGTAGTGGCCTGCGTGTTACCCCAGACGAGCCACTTCTTGGGTTCGTAGGTGTTGGGGTCGAGCTGGCGCGTGATGACAAAGTACTCGGTCTGCTTCTGCACGCGCGTGCTACCCTTGATCGGGTTCCCCGTCGCCTTCTCGACCTTGCCGAGCTTCTGAGTGCTGGTGATGGCGACGACGGCCTGCTGGACCAACGGCGCCTTGCCGACGGGGGGAAGCAGGGCGACTCTGTGGCTCATGACGCTCGGGGACCCGTGGTACCGCACGAGTTCCCACGTGAGCTTCTCAGAGGCCTTGCGGCGGGAGATGGTGGCGCTGAGTGTCTCGTAGAGGCGCGGCGTGCAGAGCTCGCGGAGGGCGTCCTTGTCGCCTGACGCGAGCGCCTCGGCGAGCTGTCGGTGCAGGGCCTTCGCCGTCGGGACGATCTGGGTGCGGTGGAACTTTACGCGGGGCCGCTTCATGAAGGAAGGCATGGATTGGAATTTGAGGCCGACAAAGGTCGCGAGGTCGCGGGCGTGCTGCTTGAAGCGGTTGAAGTAGTAGCTGAGGAGGACGGACGGAGACTTGCTGAGCTGAGAGAAGGGGAGCGGGACGAAAGTTCCTGTTCGTCGCGTTGCATGTTAGCTGATTGTTTCGTCCTCCCCTTTCACTTTGCCAGTTTCACGCATGACCTAGCTTCTCCCCTTTATTTGAAAGATCCACCTGGCTCTAGGAAGGAAAGTCGACGTACCCGGGAGCAGAATGTGCATGACGCTCTGCGCCTTCTCCATCTCCTTGGCCGAGAAGCCTTTGGCACCCAAATCGGCCATCGCCTTGTTCATGCGCTGCGAGGAGCGCACGTCCGCGGCGGATGCCCTCGCAGCGTATCCTCTCGTAGTCGTCGCGGGAGCTATCCTCTTGGCCGTCGTCGGGAACGCAACACGGGCGAAAGTCTGGGGGCGCATGGCGGCCGCTCTGCTCAGGCCGAGCAGAGATGTTGCGGAACGGTACATGGCGGGGGATTGCAGGTGTGGGTGTGTTTGATCTCGAAATGGCTACTCTGTCCCGCTGCTTCGTCGCCGTGGCAGAAGAGGGAGAGAGAAGTTTGAGGGGACACTCGTGTTGGAGGTTGCTTCCGTGGTCTGATGCCGCACGATTACCACAGCCTGGCCCAAAGCTAGTCTCTCTATCGTCTGCCTCAACCAAAAAAAATCCAATTGGAAAAGAAAAATGGTCCAAGCTTCGGGACGTTTTTTCTCGAAGGCCCGGAGCCTCGGAATCCTCCGCGCCTGCTGTGGATGGTGCATGGAGCTCGGGCCCAAGAGTTGAGCCACATTGTGGCTTATGTTTAACGACCACCACCCAATCAAGACTATGCCAATCATCATGTTCTTCAGGTGGAGTTTCCCCCTTGTTCAGACATGACGAACGATGACACGAACGGTGTGGGCTGGGATCCGCCGCCAACGTAAGGGACGGGTCCCAGTGCGGGCCAGTTTGAGGACCCTGCTGCTGTTGTGCTACAGCTGCTACTTGCTGTTGATTGCTCCAGGGACTTTGACTACAGGTTGAGGAGGGTTGAATGACTGATCTCAACCTCGTTTCTGGGGGGTTATTACACAAGTATTGCCCCTGGTCGCTGAACTCATATTGTTTCCCCTGGCTGATTTAAGGTGGCTTGAGATAAATAGACTCTCCAGTACGGATATGGAGACATACACGAATAGGTAAAGGGCCCCTTAGCATACCCATCAAGCATTCACAAAAGGCATGCCAACTTGCAGCTTCAACCCAATGGCCAGACAAGTTTCCATTTCACTCTAATCCAATTGAGGCGGCAGCGCCGCCGATAGGGTCACCTATTGTGCGCCATTAACAACCGCAGTACGGAGTACAGTATAAGTATGCTACTACTATATGTTCTAGCGGGATTTACTATGAATGGCGCAAGCGGACATAAATGAGACTTCTTGGGCGGGCTGGTGACGTGGTTGACGAAGGTTGGGCACTCAGTCGTCAGGAACCGTTCCCATTCCCAGCCCCCCAATCTCAGGCCACTGTGTCCTTGTGCGTAGTAACTCGTCAAAACCATAAAGATTAGAATCCTTGGAACCCCAATCCGGTATCTGTCTTTACGCACTCTGCAGCGCCGATAACAAAAAGGAAGAGGGAAAAAATAATATTAATACCAAAGTGGAAGGTGGTGCAGATGTGCAATGGCAAGGTATTGAAAGGCTAATGACACAATTCCACAACCCGGCAATATCCCCACGCGCACACTATTTATACCATTTCCGTAACTGAAACCTTCGACGCAATTGCGGGCACGCGACCCCCATCCCCATCCAGGGTTCACTCACTCCAAGCACCTCCGACTCTCCAAAAAACCGGGAACCAGCCTGCTGTGCTGCTCTCCCCCTCTCAGCTGTCGCCAGTCAGCGAGGCACCTCGAACATCGAGAGAAGAAAGGGAAAAAAGCCCCCCAGAAATTTGAGAGAAGAAGCTTGCCAAAAAGCAGGCTCGCCTACCCTAACAGCAAACACTACTACCACCACCACCACCACCGACGCCGCCGCCGCCGAGCCGGCACAAGAAAAGCGCTCGAGCCGGACCAATCTTTTTTATCGACCACTAGTCTCATCGTACCTTGCTTCTTCCAGACCTTCCAAATAAAAAAAATCCAAGGAGACCCCCAAACCAACCTCTTCTCGGGGAAGGTCCCTGGTCGACCACTGCTCCTCAATATAGCTTCCCTTCTACTCCCCCCTCCTCCCATGCCGAAGCGACCAACATCGACACATTCCTCCTCCTCCCCCTCAATGGCCGCGCGCCCCGCCGCAACACACCTCTAGATGGCCCCCTCCGGCGCCCGGCGCCCCTCCTCCTCGCACAACAACCACAACTACACGAACGGCTCCTCCCCCGAAGACGACCGCCCCCCGCCGTACAACCCAGACCTGGTCTCCTCTTCCCTCCTCGAGCCCCGCATCGCCGTTGTCCTCAATGTCCCGAAGCCCTGGCGCCCATGGCTCTTCGCATGCCGCCTCCTGTCCATCGGCCCCGCCATCTACTGGGCGCTCTCGCCCACATTGACGCTGCTGGTGCAGATAATACCTGTCGCCGTACCGGGCGGTAAAAAGGCCGCCGCCAACCTCGCCTCCACGGGCCTGGCAAATGCCGCGGCCACGGGACTTAGTAGCGCCCTCTCGGGGGGAACCGGCGCCGTTGCTGCTGGTGCTGCTGCCGCCGCATGTCCGCCGAGCAATTGGCCTCCCGGACACCCTGAAATCCCGTTCCCTTGGACTGAAATGTCTCTGGGACTGATGTGGGTATGGAACTCCCACGCTCTGCTGCTCTGGTATCGGAGGAACAAAATAAGCTGACGAACGATATGAAGTGTGGTGCTTCGGCCTATCTTGCATTCTTCTTCATCGACTGCTTAATGTCACGCTGGTAAATGCTCCCCCGATCAAACTCCTCGCAGACTAGACGTGCCGCTAACAAATGCGCGACAGGCTCATAAACTATACCCCGCAAGCCACAATCATCCGCCTCCTAACAATGAACGTCACAAACGCATTCCTCACGGAACGATTCCTCACATTCTCCGGCGGCTTCGAGGATCCCAGGTTATTACTCCCCGGATGGGTCACAATCGCAACGGTCAGTCTGACATGCCGTCCCCCCAAAGGTGAACAGGCGGCTAACTCTTCGTAATACAGACCCTAACGATAGCATACCACATAACTCAACGAAGCATAAACATTGAAAAAGAAACCTCGACCTCAATCAATATCTTCTCTATAGCAAGCTTCATCAGCATGGTCTCGCTACTAGCCCACCTCCACTACAACGGCTCCGACTACCCGGAGAAACCATTCGAGTCGCTCGCTCGACTCCTCCTTGAACTAGCCCAGCGCGTGACGGGCGACGCCATCCTGTTCGCGCCTCTCAACTCGACTTCGTCGACGTCGCATACCGAGCTGTGAGGGTCAGTAGTTGGAAAATCACCGCCGCCGTAAAAGGTGACGCCGAAAAGCATGCAGGGCAAAAGGTTAAAGTAAACTGAATGGGGGGAAATAGCGAAATGTTGTTATTTGGGAGAAAAGATAATGAGAACATCTGCTCGGGTTTTTTGTATGGAACGCCTTTTATTTATTTATTTTTTTCAAGAACATAGATACCCACAATCATGGCATATTTTGCACTGCATTTTCCTCGTACCTTTGCAAGTTGCATTGACGTGTGCCACCACCAATTCAGCGTGGAAGAAGAAGAAAAAGAAACAAATTAATTAAATAAAGCCACCGTCAGTCAGATGGGATGGATGTACCAAAGTCTTCCGCAAGGTTTGATGCTAGTCACTGCGAGTCACGCATGCCACGAAACTAAAGTTTACTTTGGGGGCACGATTCTTCGTAATGTTACTCAAAACTCTCATGCTTCTGGAATGACGGGGCGGCCCAAGGTGGGTGGTAGTGGTGGTGGTAGTAGTCTTCGAGGGCGCTGTCAGCCCCCCGGCGGGCAGCCTCTGTGTGAGCGATTTATAGAGCCTGGCTATCAACAACCAACAAGTCCCTCTGTAAATATCGTCGTGTATCGACTTTCTCAGAATCCCCGTCTTCGGTTGCACCGAAATGTCGTAAACTCGTTCCGGCAAGGGTGGCGATTTACCCCCAGGAGTGGAGGCATTGCGGAGAAAGAAGAGTCACCAGATTGCACATAGGCTGCTCATGAGTAGCAACATCATTACCAAGAACAAGACAAATGTGACAAAGACGTCAATTTCTAGACTATGATCCCTGGACCACCCAACCGTCAAAGAAAGCACGGCAAGCCCTAAGAGATACCTCGATATCTGACCATCTCATCATTGCGTCGAGAGCAGACGCAAGTCGCCCTGAACCTCGCACCGATGACCTCTTCCAGTCGGTGGGAGGTATACCGTCCTACTACGTCAAATCGGGCGCCGGCACTGAGCGGCGTGGGAAGCATCGGGTTATTATACCCGGCCCTCCTCAAACCCGGACGTCAACCTCAAGCATTTTGCTGAGGCTAAGCAGGAACGGCGGCGACCTGCGGCGGGCTTAGAAGCCGTGGACTTTAATGCCCTTGGCATCCAGTCCGAGACCCTCCTTCTTATTGATGAGGAATTCCTGGACAACCTTGCGCTGGTCACCCTGGAGCTGGATGACCTCGCCCATCTCGCTGTCTGCTACGATGGTGCCATTGCAAGCTACGGTTTGTTAGTTGTTTATTGGCTGGAAAAAGCATGTGCAAGTGGGGTAGCAAACATACCAAATTGCTTCTTAATGACCTTAAGAATCTTCTTCTGGTCGAATTTCTTTGGAAGACCCTGAACAGTGGTCAGAGTCTTTCGTCCATTTCGCTCTGTGATCCGTTATGTTAGCATATGATGAGAGTTACATGTACACCACTGACTGCGCCACCCAGCGCACAGGAGCACAGCTTAATTGGCACGTGCGGTATTTGTGCATCTGAGGCGGCAGTCGGGAGTGATAGATGTTACGTACGTTGGATTCGTATATGAATATAATTCTGAGCCTGTTTGGTCTCTCCGGTGTCTTCGCCGACGTCGGCAAAGGGGTCTGTCAGGATGGAATGTTAGCGGTCTGGGTCATCGAAACATGGCGGTCAAGGGACCAGCTGAAGCGACGTGTCCGGGTCGTGACGTGACGTGACGCACATGGCTAGAAAAAAGCGACGACACGAACACTGGCTGCTGCCCGAACGCAAGGGATGTAAACATACCGTAGGACTTAAGATTTTCAATTGACATAAACTCGTCTGTTCGGGGGTGACGGTGGGAAATGGGTTTGGTGAGGGGACTCGAAATCAGCGACGGACGGCTTGGGCTAAGCGGTCTCGCTGCAACGGGTGTAGAGATGGAGAGGGTTGGAGGTGTCTGAAAAAGGCGAGTGTGGGTTTCTGAAGCCGAGGAGAGCCTACTGTTGATATAGTTGACGTGAGGGTGGCGAAGACAGGACAAAATCGAAGTTGGCGAAGTCTGCTGGGTTTTGTACGTCGGAAGATTTATGGGGGGTGGGTTGGTCTGCAGATCGATGACTGATATTGTGGAAGTTGGGAGAAATGACGGACTTGGTCGGGTTCGATGGGGGGTGAGAGAATAGAGGGGGGCGTGGGTGAGAGGAGAGCACCAGATACACGTCAAGAGAGGGAAGGGGTGCGCAGGTGGAAGACACAAAATGACGAGGGGCAAGTACGCACGGTCCCTCTTTTACTCATCCAGCAGCCTGACGACGAGGCACTGTAGGGAAGGTGCAACAGAACGGACTGACCGCCGTGACCACCCATTGTCCACCCACTGTCCATCCACTACACTCCGCCCCAAGAAAGCGCCTTGGTTGATTGGTAGGATAAGGCGGAGTGGGAAACGGAGGCCCAGCCGACCCAACCTACTCAGGGGGGAAGAGGGAGCCAGGAGTGCCAGGGAGCCCGCGCAGAAAGTGCTAAGCCCAGCACTACTACCACACCACCACACACCATCACAGCAGCCACCTTTTCAATGACCGTCATTCGCACACACGCCCACCTTCTAGTTCGTTTGTCATCCATAATCAGTCACATTTGCTGTCATCCCAAAATTGATTATTACTACAGCTTATTTATCCTCTTTCCCGACAACAGCTTGGGTGAGCCCGAGTCTAGCATACAGTCACATCTTACAGTTTATGCATTCACACCAGCACGGCCCTCCCAGTTGTGGCTGGACTTTGGTCTTTTCCAACTCTCTTCCTCGTCCAGGGCCTTTGACCCGAGGCTATTTGCGGTTTAGCGTGCCGGGAAAGCAACAATACCCGTGGGCCTTGCTGCGTAGTACGCAGTAGTGGTAGTACGAACTACTAACTTCGTATCTCGGCGCCTTCGACTACCCGATCTCCAGGTACCGCCACCTGTGGCCAACAACCAGATACGCTGCGCCACTCAGGCCTTCCCATACCCTCAATCAAAGTATCCCGTCATCTTACGCTACTTTCTGCTCACAGCAGGCTGAGACATTGACAATCATCTGACGGGGAAACAAACAACATTGTACTGCTGTACCTTGTTCTGGCCATGCTTGTCCATGAGGGGCGTCTGGCGGGCATGCCAATGCCATGCTTCGTTCTGTTATTCGAAAGAGTATTCTCAAGACCCCCTCCTTGCATCTTGCTGTACGAAGGACCCCATTCAAGCTGGTTCATTTTAAGCCAGCCAGCCTAGACTGTGCGGCGTTTCGGTCTTTCCGCACCCAGTACTGCGACCAGCCCTACGAACTATCCGGATCCGGGCCTCCGATGCCTAGTGTGCCAGTCTAATCCCTGGTCCGATGGAGCTTGATCTGGACCGCACAAGTCTTTGGGTTCTCGTTCCATGAGTTGTCCATGATGGCAAAGAAATGACATAATTACGGCTTGTTCATCAATCCAGCTCCGGCACGGGAAGGTGGTCCACAAGCTTGAGATGCGTCAATCCCAGCTTTCCCAGCGCCTCGACGGCATTCCGGTCCCGGAGCTCTTCCGTTTCCTTCTCCGTTACTAGAACAAACTCTTGTTTCAGCAGCCAGCTGCCCTCTTTAACCCCGTACTTCTCAGCCGTTGCCTTGTCAACCTTGTCGAGGTCCACCACGAGGCTCTTCTTGACGCCGAACACGGCATCCGACTTCTCGTACGGGTCTCCTCGGATGTACAACGCGCTGATAATGTCGTCAGCTCCCATTGTTCGCTGATAGGAGAGCCTGAGGATGGGGATGCAGAGGATGACTTACGTGATGAGGTGATCCCATCCCTTCTTCTCAAACATGAAGTGCAAATGTGCAGGCCTCCAGCAATGTCGTCCCAGCAACTGTAGCAGCTTCCCTACAGGCCCGTCGTGTGGGATAGGATAGCTCACAGGCTTGATGCCTTGGAACCAAAATTGGCCATCATCATCGGAAACCATGACACACCGCTCGCTCGCCTCCGTTCTTCCTTCGTGTTGCACATCATAGTGGCCGCTGCTGTCCGTCTCCCAGATATCAATTTTGACCCCAGATACCGGGTTACCCTTGCGGTCCTTGACACTACAGATGACCAACAATGGCTCACCTTCGGGGTCTCCCGACATGTTTTCCCCATTCTTCAGTGTTGGCGCGTCGTGCGTGTGAAATGGGCCCAAGACAGAACCCTCGGTTGAATCGGAAGGCTTGGGATGGTTGATACTGTCAACTAGCAGGGATAGGCCGAGGATATCAGAGAGAAGAATGAATTCCTAACCAGTCAGTCGTCCTTCGCATTCATAACAGGGCAGGTTTGGTTTACATGACGGACGTCGGTACTAATCTGTCCGCATCCAACAAGGAAGTTGAGAGCCTTCATCCACTCGTCAGTGCTCAACCGGGTCTCCCGCGCAAAGTCGTGCAGGTGCGTCACAAGCCGCTCCATAAGATACTTAAGGCGCGCATCTTCGCTTTGCGAGTTGATGCGGATCGTGTTGGGGGTGATGTTGTCGATTGTAAGATCGAGGAGCTCGGGTGTCTTTTCGTTCGCCATTGTGATGTTGTTCCAAAGCAATTGGGTAGGCCTAGCAGCTTCGGTTCCAGACGCGCAACAGGACACGAGCTCGGGTCGGTAACTGAGTACGCCTCTGTGCTTCTTTATAAGCTCTTCCTCAACAGTTCGACAGCCACGGACCCTCTTTATGTAATGCTCGGTAATCACCGACCTTCGAGTGGGCTCTGTGGGCGGGCTGGTGCTGCGTACTTTTTGTGTATGTACCTGCGTCCTGGTGCCGCGATCTTCGAACAATGTTCTTAGCACTTCGCCATTCTAATCGATTAGTCTTTTAGCCACAATGCAGCTTTTATTCAGTCTCTTCAATTTCAGAGAGTAACAAAAGCTCTCATACCTACTCCCCTTGCCTGAAGAGGAATGCCCAGACATACGTCAGCGAGTTTCAACTCAAAGGCCGTCACTGGCCCAGCGGCAGTTCCATTACCCCTCCTGCAGCGGACAGCAACAGAGCCCCCGTCTGCGGGGTTTTAGCGCGTTTGCGGTGTATACCATCGTATGTGCCCCGCCCCCACGTCAGTCGGGTAGTGGAGGGGTAAACCAGGGCCCGAGCGTCACGGAGTCGTACTTCGGGACTTGAAAGCGGTGATGAGTTTTTGGCTTTCCTTGCTATGTAAGCGGCCATGGGCTCTTGATTCGGCCCAGCCGGTTTGCGAAATCACGGATTCAAGCTCCGGTTGAGAATTTTGAGATGCCCCACATGTTGGACAACATATGGAGGTTGCATAGACATCACCCTTTTCCAAAATGCAGTGTGGCAAGAAGCTGTCATACCGTTCAAGTCTTCACCGGGACTATCATAAACATGTACACAAAGTGTACTTGCAGTTACACACTGTTCTGGGGATTTTGTTTGTACCAGAATTTTCGCGCCGTGTTTCCATGTAAAGCAAGACCCAAAAGACAAAAGAACAGAGAAAATGCAACCGCCACCCCGCTAGCCCTAGGTATAAGATACATATTGACAGATAGTGTCATGCTGTAAGAAGACGTCCCATTCTGTTTCCCGTTTTCTATCTTTGTTTTTGTATTCTTCATCATTGGTCTACTCAAGCCCTGCCGGTACAGTCGAGCTTGATGATCCCACTGCGGCGGTGGACTTCGACAACGGCTTGCGTCCGTAGACAATATATCTGCGACTCGTCAGCAATTTTCCATAACGGGGATCACACAACTCCCTAATCCTAGCCCAGGAGCATAAGACCCAGCTAAAGGTAGACTCACATGGGCAAATACGCATGCACCCTAGTATCCTTCAAAGACGCCCTCACTTCCGCGCAAAAAGCCAAAGTTTCCTGGCTCGTCCAGCCAAGGAACCTCGTAAACAAAGCCAACGTCAGCCCTTCGAGCCCCGTATCCAGATTCGCATGTGTCCACAACCCCAACTCTTTATAATGCGGATCTTTCGGCCACCGGTTAACGGGCCATTTGCTCTTCCACTCGACGACTCCCTCGAAGCCCACCTCTTGCATGAGATTCCTGTAAGTGGGCGCCTCGTCCATTCTTCGACCGGCTTTGGCGGTTCCTTCGAGGAATAGGCTGGTCAGGCGGTGAAGTGGGGAGTCCGTGGGGAAAGTGCCATCATCGCATTTGTAGGGAAGGCAGAAGTCTTGCATCTCGAGGTAGCCACCCGGCTCGAGGTTTCTGAGGCGCGTCAGATGACTAGTAGGGACGGAAAGGGTAGGCAGAACGTTACGCATAGGCTTTGGAGATGAAATCGCGGTAGTTGCTTATACTCCCTGCCAGAACTCTGCCGAAGATGAAGTCAAATGGTCTCGACCATGTCCAGTCCTTTTCAAGGTCGTCTAGTTCGAAAGAGACGTTCGGTGGGACCCTAAGACTTCCAGGTCAAAATCAGCACCAGGAACCTGAAGAAGATGAATTACCAAGATGGCTGCATCGGGCTCAGATCGACTCCGATGACCTTGAAGAACGAGTTAGTCGACGTTACAGCGGGGGAATTTGAGTACAACCTGTGCTTCCGGATGCGCATCGGCTGAAAGATGGTCAGTATTACGACATTACACGATAGCGGGCGAGTTTCTTTACCATATTCCATCGCCCAAATACCTGTGCCGGTACCGCAGTCCAGCACCCGCTTGGCAGGCTCTTTTTGTTTCGGACACAAGCAGAGCTTCCCCTTTAGCGTTAATAACCATATGTGGTGTTGGAGGTCTAAGCCAGTTAGAGTCAGCTGTATACCGGCCGGTGCCCAGCAAGTCGCATACCGAGGCGCTCGGCTTCCCTTTCATCGTTGGGGAATGAGTATTCTGTCTTTATGTAAGTTGACGCATATCATGTTGGAGGCCAAAAAAACGTACTCCCAGAACTCATGGAATGGTAGGTCCTGCCATTTTCGACATGGTACCTCCTTACGCTCGATCTTATAGACTCGAGGCTTGATGGAAGCTTTTATAACCCAGCGTTAGTCTTGTTGCCGCCAGATTTGGGGTTGAAACTCTGGACACGTAGGCTGAAGATCCTCGGGTGGGATGTGGGGGAGTCATACTTCTGAAATGACAGAGTCGGAGTCAAAATCATCGGCCGCCTGTTCCAAGCACATCATTAGTACGCCATGTCGACTGCGACTTCGAGGCAGCTCACTAGAGGTTGGTTCGGTGAAGCCATCGCCGCATTCCCCAAAGAACGACGTTCCGAAAATTGCGAGCAGAAGGGAAGTGTTCCACACCTCACAAAAGGAGGGTAGCTTCAGGTGGATAAGATAACCATGGTAGGCAAGTTTGGGAAGGAGAGGAAAGCGGAGCTTAAACAGATCGCGCGACCTTGCATGAACAGCAGATCGCTTCCTTCCGCGATGACATTGAAAGCCGGGATCTCCTTGGTTACATCCCAGCTCCACAATCCGGTACTTTTACCATAATCAGGGGTTATACCGCGCCGACATTGACCAGAAAAAAAAAGCTCGGACACCTCCAAACTATGAAAGCTACATGTGACGAATTGATGAAGGGTCCCGTGGCTGATTATGCTTCGAGTAGCTTTTCTGTTTGCTTGTTCGCAGAAAGCGGGCAGGCAGAGAGAGAAAGAGACAGAGAGGGGAAGAGAGTGCGTGTGTGATAAAGAAGCTTAAGATACGTTATTCGTAAACCTCGGCAGGCGTTTCCTGTGCAGGTCCCAATTTTAACCCTGAGGAGATGGTGGGATGACCTGTGCACCTTTGGACAAGACTATTGGCGTCGTAACTTTCATGACTCGAAATGAGCTTGACCAAATGTCTTAAAACTATGTTAACTGTCAGCAGTGACGCGTCTTCGAACCTTGTTCAAACTTCAAATTTTCCAGAAATGAGATAATTAGCATACGGCAACCTTTTTAAGGACATAATTACATTAGCTTGTGCCGCCATATGTCAAAAGGAGCTCGGCACTTGCGGGATGAAGACCCCCGAGGTTCCCACTTGTCGACCGGAGGTCTATCCGGACAAGTGGGACCTATAGATACGGGACTACCCAAGACGCTCGAGAACGTTCGATGCGGCAAAACTGGTTTAAGCATAATTCTGAATCCGATGTAAACATTGAGAGGGCTGTTTTTGGTTTTGCAAGTGGCCTTTTCTGATTGCGCCATATATTAGTTCTCGCCTTGTGAACCCTACCTAGAGACAAACAAGAAACTTTGCCAGACAAGTAACTACTATTTCCCCTCACGGAGAGGGAAATAAAGCATCGTTGGGCTGACTACATCTTCACCGCTTTCAAGCAAGTCGGTGGGCTTCTCATGGAGTTTTCAACTTCCGCAGGCACTGCGCTAAAAGCATGCACTTTGTGAGGAATTATCCAAGGCGCCAACAGGCATTTACTCCTGCATTTGAAGTCACTAAGGCGCCGTTACAAGGCTCATTCTCATTCATTGCCAAGACATGATGGTCCATATATTCTGTGTGTGCAACTCTTTAACACCAAGACGATTCAACAACATCCTCTCAAATGGCTAGCTAATGTGTACCATGCTCCATCGCATATGCTCCAAGTTGTGTTTCAGGGCAAATCTGGGTGTCATCCTGGATGAACGACACAAAACTTGTGGTTCAGTCAAATTCGGCTTTTTCAGTACACTAAGGTAGTTCCTAGTCACCGATACATATACTGTCTCAAGTGATGGCAGTATGCACGCCATCAAGCGTTTGTGTCTGTCGATCGGATTGACTTTACCAGTAAGCAGTTGTGCTATACAGGGGATGGTATTGCAGCAAAACATCGGCAGACATCTTAACATCAAGAACACTGATAATAGGATATAGAGAAATAAAATCGATGGCTAATTAAATTGGTCTGCATAATCTCTGATGTATGACTAAAATATCTTACAGAACATGTCAATCTGATGGCATTAGTTCCATAGACAAGGCTAAACTGGTGAATTTTCAATAGTATAATCCACTACTTCAGTCTGTGCCACTCGCTTGTTTGCCATATAGGTTGCTAGCATATTTCAGTACGACGTAGAATATTTATGCCGAAGATTCGACTAGAGTGGCCCAGTATACATACCATTGATCAACTACGCTGATTAGCGGTAATATCATGAAACGAAAGCTGTTTCCCCAGTTGATAGAAGGAGCTAGCCAGCAATTTCAAAAACTTGTCCAGCTTTTATTGTAAGTAAGAAGAGGGTTCAGCACTTTGTCAAAGTAATGGTAAATTTGGCCTTGGAGACGAATGAATAGATGTTGGATTCGTTTCTTTTTACGCCAGGTCTGAGCTTTGGGTACTTCGCAGTATTTCTCACGAGTGTCTAATCGCGAGAATTAAGTCAAAAGCCGCATCACTCGATTCAATTCTATGGTAGTGGAACGGGTAGACTAGAGAAATGTTGTTGAGAAGACGACAAGTTTATCATGTTATGGCTTGGCCTGCTTAATACCACAACATCATTCTCAATAAGGTCTGCGAAATCTCAGACCGATCTCAATTTTTCTTCTTCGTTTCTCATTTACAATCAATGCCTGGCTCATCTTATGATCGGCTGGCTCAGATGATGCTGGACATTGGTAAATGGCCTGCCCAATTACCATGGTTCAGGCACATATGTTTACACAAGGGAAAGATCACAAGTCTTAGTCTTGCACCAAGCCCAATCAATTGCAATTTTGGTCATGCAATTTCTAATAATCTATACCTCACAAGTTGTTATGACGATCAACTCGGTGAAACACTTTCGTGATCTTGGGCAGGTTTGATGTGTTTACTCTAGTCATAGTTTTTTCCATAGCCCAAGTGAGATGTGTAGTCTCAGGGGACTGAATCTGGAACCCTTTTCCCGTTCTTTGAAACGCCCACCTCGATTTCGACGGATGCCCCATGCCAACACATGGATTGAGTATCTCTGGCTCATCCGGCAGCTCCACTTCCATTCTTGGCTTTCGGGAGAACGACTCGTGCACGACCGATTCTAGGATGGCCCGCCATCAAAGTGATAACACATTACATAGTATTAAGGCCTGTTCCAAAGCTTAGCAAACCTGACTTTCTGGATGAGCACGTGGGTGGGTAAGAATGAACATGGGGAGTTACAGCAACGAGCTGTGAAAACCTTAACACTCAAGTGGAGGGTTTGTCTTAGCAGTCTAAGGGCGATCAATGACGGGATTCGAGGTAAGTATTACACCACACCATGACTGGCTTAATTTTCACTCAATAATCTGCTGATGGGGATTCGTTGGAATTTCAGGGCCGGCATATCAAGGAAGACCCTTGAGCATATAGGCCAGCCCTCCATGTTGTACGACCAACTGGTCGCGTCGCCTTTGATGACCGATTAGACCTGAATCATGTTTACCAACTACGGCAGCGTGGTGGAGCCACCGATTTTCCGTCAGCACGGAAACTTCCATCTTGGCAAGGATTTACGAATGTCATTAAGCTAAAGGCCCTATCTTTGCCTTTGTATCAATGTTGAACACTTGTAAGACTGAACTGAGAAATAGGTTTGATACATAGTTCGCAGATCTATTTCTATGAGACCCTATAGCGCATCTAGTTCCCTCCCTCAACCAAGCACGTTCTCAACATGAACCAAACCAATCCAATGGTGGAGGGATTGGCCGCCCTTCGCTTCAAAGTTTATTGCGTCATTGCGCTGCCAATATGTCTGGAACTGGGCTTTCCTTTGGACGTACTACAGAAGTCGATCCTTCATAAGGGTTGAAGATATGTGGGAAGCCGGCTACTACGGCAAAAGAGACCCATTAAGCAGAAGATCATGACCTATTTCATTCATTCTTGAGCTGTTCATAAATCACGAAATCACTCACATATGGCTGATGAGATCTTGCAACATAATTCGCGAGCAAGTCGCCCCAGTTCTACGTAACCTCCAAAGCTGTTTAACCCTTAACACCACTCGTAACTGCCACGTGCAGGTCATTTTATGTGTCCTGTTGAAAGACCAGCCAGTGCCGCCATAGTCCTGAGAAAGTTTGATTTTTTGCAGAATCATATGTTGAAGTAGAAACTTTTGACTTTAAACTTAGTATGATCACATGCGGAAAATTTACGATGCTGCATGTAGAGGAGGGGTTTGAGGAGCCGCCTATCAGTCTTTCAGAAAGGGAAACGTGGTTTGTTGTGCATTCCTGCGAGAAGTAGAAGCACATTCGAAGTGAGCCACAAGGTTTAAACTGCCTTTGCATTGGCGATAACTAATGAAATTGATTTTACTATGTCTTCACAGTATGCAATGTTTTACTTGGTTTTCTTGTCTTCATTTTTGAAACGTCTGTAGCCTTCACAATCTCAATGCCATAAACAGTTGTCTTCAGCAGGCAAACTCATCAACTACCTTAAACTAGATCGATATTAAAGCCAGCATTACACCCATTGTTTGAACGCCTTCTCGTGGATCATGAAAACCATGAAACTCCTTTTGACCATTCGTTCTTTTATCCCCAAAGTCATCCTACCCATCAACGCAACAATCATCACGTACATGAGCCATCCAAAATACTTCGGCATTGTTAGTTCTTGAGCGGGTTGAAAGTCCGAAAGAGACTCACCATTGCTGAGTCTGGCATCTCCCAGTCACTGAACTAGGGTACTGGCCTGACTTGGGCTCGCATTTAACAGTCTTACCACCAGTACACGTCGCACCTATGAAGTTGCCCCATTGCGCGAACTGGGCCCAGTAATCGTCACCCCAGGCAGTCCAGGCACGCCATATGTCGAAATTTCCGCTGAATGTCTTGAAGCCTTCTGCGCATTGGCCTTGGCCTTGGTCTGTTGGCGAGCCGGCCTGCCAACTCGCGCAGTCGGGGCCCATAATGGCAACTAGCCCAAGGCTCGCCACATTATATGCTTCGTCTGCGTTAGGGGCACACACAGTAACTTGACAATGCACCTGGGTGCATCCCGATGCTACGGCTAGACTGTTGGCCGAAAAGGCGAGTATGAGGGATATGAGACTGGGAGTTGTCATGAGTACCTTTGTAAGCTGTTGGCATAGATGAGCACATGAACTTACAGTCGAAGACTCATCACTATCGATGCCGTATTCTGAGAATATAGCGTAGTATGAATTAGAGATTTCTTTTTATTTTCTCGGAGGTCCAAGTGAAATATTATTGTTGATTATGTCTGTCTTTCCGTGAGTTGGGATAATTGGGCGTCGTTTGAAGAACTGGGTATGTTGACTGAATTAAGTACGACTCAGGTAATGACAAGACGTCGTGCCTTTGGACGATGGCCCAGTATGAATCAACTCTCATTAAGATATTACTAAATGTGAAAGAAATGTTGAACGGAGCGTACTTGGGCCAAGGTTACCAAATAATTGTGTACATTGAAAAGCTGGAGGAGCAAAAATAGCAAGAAAACGGGTTGTGCGTTAACCAGTGAGCGTACCACGTGTGTGTAGATCCCATCCCCGTACCTGTCGATCACTGCGCTATACGGTAAATAATTTCCCCCTTGGCTATTAAATAATAAACCTTATGCTGGGAAAAAACTTTGGAAGCTTATGCGACCCGTTCATTGATCTGCGCCCCGTACTTTGCGATGCCAGTATTTGTGATTGAGTTGCACACGTGCGTGGTCATTACATTCTCAGCAGGCACTTGTCCATTGCCTACTTGCGGCTTAGCCTTACCAGGTTGAGTATGATGTCTTACGAATAGTTCCAAGCACCATTTACTTTAAGTGTTTTTATGTTACAGAATCCCCAGGCGATGGACATGAGTGTTGGTATCGCATCGTCTCAAACTTCACCTTCAGTTCGCCGAGAACGATGCACATCCTAACGTGTCTCCTACTAGTATCCACCGTTCGCGCATTACCAGCTGCGCTCTGGACGCGTGATGATGACGAGAGATGGGAGACAGTGAAATGCTCAGATCCGAATATCACAGACGCCAAGGTTACAGCTGATGTGCGCTGGGCAGCTGCTGATACGAACGCTTCCTGGAAGGAGGCCGTAGCTGCGTGGCAGAACTACAAACCCGGAGAGGGCGAGGTCAAACTGAAATTCCCAGCCTTCATAAGCGACTATTATGGCGGGCCGGAAGGATGGGACTGCCAAGACCCTGTTAACACGCCATGTTCAACAACGGTTCAATGCGATGAGACCAAACATCCGGCAGGGTAAGTCGGACTGATTTTGTCGACTTATTTTTCTTTGAGTACTAACAGAAGCCCAAATAGATTCTTCGTTCTCAACTCTTTTGCGAAACTTCACGATGTGAGATCAAAGCTTGACTGATGGTCTGGACAGTAGCTAATATCAAAAAAGGTATATCAGAAATACCACGAGTCTCTACAAGATGCCCAACTTAGCATTTCTGCCTCCATGGGCGAATTCACTGAAACATTTGCTCCGATAAAAAAGGGGAAAGATCAGTCAGCTCTCACAAAAACAATATTGGACGTCTTGGCATTCGGTATCGGCATAGCATCGGCTGGCCTGTGGAATATTGGTATGCTTTGTCGATAGTAACAGCAGAAGAAAAATACTGACTTACGCAGTTCTCAAGGATGCCGGCATGTTTGCTGTTACCCATCTTCGTGGGTTTGCCAAAGACAACTTCAACGGTGTACTTGCTGCTTCATTCGTTTTAACGAAAGACAACTTGAAAGCGTACGTGACTCTGCGCTATACATCTATCAATACCTTAGAGTAGCATTATGAGAGGCTGACAATCAGAAATAATAGTGCCAAGGACTCTCCAAGCGCACAGAACGACATAACCTCTGCTATGGGCGCCTTGTTCGACATATGGAAGAAAACACAAGGCGACTTTTTAGCACAAATATTTTCTGGATCAAATGCTACCACATTAGGGATGCTTGATTCGGTAATCAGAGATGGCATGATGAATATGGTACCTGTCGACATCAACCTGTCAGGGATGGTTGACGTAGTCAAGACCATCATGTTTGGACAAATGATTCCTATTGCCTGGAAAGTCGCACCGGCTGGGTACAAACCATTCATACTGTAAGTCAATAAAGTTGTTTTCATTTTACCTTCTTCCATGAATCTCCCGAAAATTTACACACTCCCGGAGCCCGCTAATCCTTTGTATCTTCAGTAAAACCGGCGATGCATGCTCAGATACAATGCCCAAGACCCTAGACCCATATATGACACAGAAAACGCACGAGAAAACGGGCGTCTGCTGGAATGGAAATCAGTTTTACGTGCTTACGGTAGGGACGTATAGGGTTGATGTCCAAGTCGACACACCGGGCCTCCCCGACTCAGATCCGCCATTCCAAGCGATGGACAGCGCCAACCACGACGTACTCGACGGAGAGAAATGGGGAGGGATCACGCTGGACGACGTTGTCATCAGTTCGTACAGTGGTTATCTGAATAATGGCAACCGGAATGGCTACAACCTGACCTTGGATGACACGAATGGGGCTGTTGACCAGCTCATGTGGAGTGGCGGCGTCAGGACGCCAGGCTTTTTCGCGCTCCCTGTGTGCACCAGTCTATGGAACACATTGATGCAGATTGCTGGGAGTCCAGAGGACAAACCTGACTATCCATGCGGTGTTCAGGTGGAGCGGACATTCAAGAAGGATTAGGTTCAGGGACGATGCGTAACAACTGTTTTTAGCAAGCTATCTCATATTAGATAATCATACAATACCAACAATTTAAAACAAGTTTGTGAAGTGAAAGAGCTGAGATGGGATCGCGACGACTAAGCAGGCGTGCTTCATGTCTACTAAATTGCAATTGCAAGGCTCCTTGTTTCCGGAAAGAATAACTACGGCGGGATCTGCATTCTTGCTTGTCTCTTCAAGCAGTCGTGGAGTATTCAGGTGGTGAAATCATGTAATTACTAAGAGACTCACTCGGTACTTCATTGATTAGGGTCTCCCTATGCCTGAAGCTTGAAAAAGGCTGTGTTGCCATGTAACAGAGACTATACCCTAGCCTCCGATCCCACGAATCTCTCCACTGCACTGGAAACTAGCCTAGCTACCAATATAGTATTGCCTGGCGTATCAAATTACCTAAGAGGGGGCGAAAATATGGTGTCTGAACAAAATAGTTCACGGTCATTCGGAAGAAGGAAAATAATAGGTTTCTTGATGTCATTAGCTGCTTCAAGTCTTGCGCAATGAATGGTCGGAGAAAGCGGGGTGCAGGGGGAATGACAAGAATGGCAACGCCAAGACAAGAATGGCCCAGGTACACGACGAAGAGGTTGCTCACCACTTCCACATCCAGCTTACACAAGATATTATTCGGGCTGTGGGGTTGAGTTCACCGGCACTAACTATGCCGATGCCGCGATCGACGTACCGCGGCACTTCGTCTGGAGATATCACGATAGCCGAAGGCTGGCGGATAAACTGCAGCATGATGTTACCTCGTTGAATAGAGTAACGACTTTTGGAATGTAAAATCCAGGTTGCCAAAAATGTCGACTTTAGGTTTAAGCGCCGTTGCAAACTGGTTGAGTATTTAATGCTTTGCTTTTCCATGATGTTCAAGCCTCCGGGATGAAGTCAATTGTCCTCTCAAAGCTGACTGCCATTGCCAAACTCGCTCGCGAGGGCTAAGTTCCAAGTTCAGCATGGGTTTCTTTCAAAATTTCAGGCAAGCTTTTATTCTCATCTCTGTTATCGCATATCAATGCGCAGCTGAGTGCTGGAGAGATACTTCTTGCCACGGCCCATCTTCAGCATCATTTGAGGGACCATGGGACAAGTACAACTACGCCCCTAGCACAAGAAACGTAACTCCCAAGTATGTCCTTTCTTTGCCAAACGGAGAACACATTTCGGACTACAAGTCCCCTGTTGAACTTTCGTCCGGAATCGAGGGGTTGGTGTTTGACTTCGGCATTGAGGTCGGCGGCATCGTGACGGTTGATTATGAACTCTCCGGAGCCAGCAATGCCAGTTTAGGGCTTGCTTTCACCGAAGCGAAGACCTACATAGGTCAAAAATCGGACAATTCAAACGGCGGCGCTGGTCAGGATGGCGCTCTCATCTCCAACATCTCTGGTGGAGTCGGTACCTACGTAATGCCCGACGCCAAACTACGTGGCGGTTTCCGCTATCTTACCCTTTTTCTCACCTCCTCGGCGTCCAATGCCTCTTTGGAGATTCGAAACATTAATCTCGAAATAAGTTTCCAACCGACTTGGTCTGATCTGCGAGCCTACCAGGGCTATTTTCATTCCAGCGATGAGCTTCTTAACAAGATATGGTATAGCGGCGCGTACACGCTCCAGACGAACTCTGTCCCGGGAAAGACTGGCCGAGTCGGTACTAGTACTCTGCGTTCCGGTTGGCAGAACGATGCATACATTGGACCAGGTTCTACTGTTCTCCTCGATGGAGCAAAGCGTGACCGCTGGGTTTGGATTGGGGACATGGGCACTGCTGTGCCGAGCGCATTCGTGAGTACTGGTGACATGGAAAGTACCAAGAACGCGCTTCTTGCGATCTATGACAATCAAGTAATGCACCTTGTTCCTGCCTGTCTGAGCTGTAAATAACCTAGAAATAGGCATCAGATGGCACTTTGCCAAAGGCTGGCCCTCCTTATCCTTCCAAAGACAGCGATAGTAGGTCAACTCTTGTTTCATTTGGGGATTCTGACCTTTCTGACATTACTGTAGCTTACCATCTGTGGACTCTCGCCGGCACTTACAACTACTTCTTGTACACTGGGGACGAGGAGTTCGTGGAGTCCATTTGGCCCAAATATATCAAAGCTATTTCCAATAGCAGGAAAAAGGTCAACGAAAAGGGAATTATGAATGTCACGGGTGACAAAGACTGGGGACGATGGACGTACTCAAACGAGCGCAGCTCAGCAAGCATTCTGTAAGTGCACATGGTTTCCCTCCATGATTGTAAATCTAATTATTCGTTAGACTGTACCGCGCCTTACGCACAGGTGCCGACATTGCCTCCTGGGCCCCTGGACTCACCAACGCTTCTACTTACAAACAAGAATGGCTCGATGCTGCTGCCGAACTTCAAACGGCAATGATGACTGAACTGTGGGATGATGCAAAAGGAGCCTTTAAAGACAGCCCAAATGACACATCTCTTTATCCTCAAGACGCCAACAGCATGGCAGTTGCCTTTGGTGTCGTGCCAGCTGACAGCGATCAGGCGCAGCGCCTGTCTGACTACCTTGAGTCAAATTGGACGCCTATTGGACCTCGCTGCCCTGAACTCAAGAATAACATCTCGCCATTCATCTCCAGCATTGAACTCTCCACCCATTTCCGAGCTGGGAGGGCTGACAGGGCTCTGAAGCTAATTCGAGACGCATGGGGCTGGTATCTGAACCACCCTAACGGCACCCAGTCCACCGTTCCGGAGGGGTACCTGGTTGACGGCACTTGGGGCTATCGTGGTGATCGTGGATACCGGAACGACCCGTCTTATGTGTCACATGCGCATGGATGGAGCAGTGGTCCAACATCGACGATGACAGAGTACCTTGTCGGGCTGCGGGTTATCAAGCCCGGAGGAAGCGAGTGGCAGTTCAAGCCGGTCTTAAGTGAGCTTCCTGAAGCAGAAGCTGGTTTCACCACAAGCTTGGGTAAATTCTCTGCAAAGTTCACAGTCGGTGATGATGGCAAGGCTGTTGTGGAGTGGGATACACCGACAAACACAAAGGGAAATCTGGTGTTGCCTGGAAAGGAATTGAAAAGAGTCAAGGGCGGGAAAGGATCAGCAACTATCATCATTTGAGCTTTTTTAACTACTTAGAACTAAAGAATAAGCCTGATCTTGGAGTAGATTTATAGTTTATGGCCTAAGTTTTGATCACAGATTAACAGATAACAGAGCTCTAAGCACGTAGTTTGAATTGAAAAGCAGCAGGAACACTAAAATAGATCCATAAGCGGATGTCAGTACGACGAAGTCCTAATTCCACTTCAACGCCCCGCGGATGTAGATTCCGGATGAAACAAATGATATAACACACGTCTAAACCCTGCCCCCCTGCTTTGACATGGTGGAGAGAGGCCTGCGGGCCGAGTCAAAGAGGGGAAGTCTTAAGACGCGGGGAAACCACCCTACCAATCCAACGAGCAGAAACATCAGATTTAGAGGTCCATTAGCATGACAGGCCACCAAAATCAAGCAACGAAGCCTTTCCCGATTGGGGCCGAGTCAATTAAGTCGTCAACTCGTGTAAGCCGACGTGACTCTGAGCTAGAATTTGTGCTTAAAAAAGGGGATCATATCCAAAATCTTTTGAAGTGGCCTTACTTCAAGGGATGTCTCATATCTTAATCCAATTGTCTCGTGAAAAGACCAACTATCATTACTTAAAATGGCCGCCGACGACCTGCTGTTGATCTTGATGCCCTGGATTCCAGATCCAGCCTGGGTCGTCAGTCTGGGAATGCCAGTTGAGTTCCGTCAGATGGGAACGTACCAAACAGAGATTCCAGAAGACATTAGTGCAGAGACATGGGCGAAAGTAACGGTTTTATTCACATGGAAGGCATTCCCAACCAAAGAGATGGTACCAAAATTACAGTATGTGCAGCTTCTGAGTGCTGGTTGCAATCAGATCTTCGGACTGCCGGTCTTTGAGGATACAAGTATCGATTTTTGCACATCCAATGGCGTACACCCGTAAGTATCAAATCTAAAGCGGCGAGGCCAGGCGTGTTCGCATCGTAACTTATAAGATGTAGGCCTCAAATTGCCGAGTGGGTCTTTTCGACCTTCCTGGCCTTCCAGCATCACGGCAGGTTGCTTGCTGCCGGAATATCGTTTCGGTGCTGATATTATGCCAAAGTTCCCGAGTACCTCGAGCTCCAAAAGGAGTCCAAATGGGTCGACCCTCCATCAGACGAAGACACTGAAGATGCAGTGGGTCTGCGAGTGTATGCTTCGTTGACCCATTTAAAAGAAAAAGAGTCAGCTAACAAAACCAGGGGAATTCTTGGCTACGGTTGTGTAGGCCGTCAAGTCGCACACGTAGCAAAGGCATTCGGCATGAACGTTCACGCCTACACCCTACACCCCCGTCTCACGCCTGAATCCCGCAAGGATGACTCTTTTACAGAGCCTGGGCTAGGAGACCCGAATGGCGAGTATCCAGAGAAATGGTTCTATGGAAAGGAGCAACTCAACGAATTCCTCGCATCCAATCTCGATTTGCTAGTCATCACGCTACCCCTGACGGCTCAAACCCAGGGCATGATTTCTGCAGAGCAGTTCCGTTTGTTGAGCAGGAAAAAAGCTTACGTTTCCAATGCAGGAAGAGGCGCTGTCATCAACACTGACGCCCTTGTCGCTGCGCTTGATGAGGGTCTGATCAGGGGCGCAGCGTTGGATGTTACAGACCCGGAGCCTCTCCCAGCTAGCCATAAGCTGTGGAAGTATAAGAATGTTATCATAACGCCACACTGCGCGGGCAACTCAAACCATTATTACGAAAGAGTGCGTAAGATCTTGGTGTACAACTTGGAGAGACGCGCGCGGGGGCAGAAGCTTGTCAACGTAGTTAATAGGTCAGAAAGATACTAGGAGATAGAAACCATAGCTATTGCTTTGAAGCAGGCTTTCAATACATAACAGGTAGCAGAAGCTAAGCTCAACTGCTGCTTCGCTAGTCGTTTTGTGTAGAACCTTTCTCCAAAACATCTCACTAAGCCTAGCTGATATGAGTATTAATGTAAAGGTAAACAAAGACATAGACTATACCCATTGGAAACCTCGGGATCATATCCGCTCTTTCCATATATGAAAGTACCTGCGGGCGACAGAGCGGGAATGAGGTGGTGCGCGTTAAGGGCACTAACATACTACCCAACGCATTCATGGTGAAACGCGGCGAAAGTGAGCCCGAGCCTATAGCAATCGCAATACCTGAGGGGCTCTGGCGTCGGTTGCGGCTTGTGGCAATGCTCACTCTGATACCTGTATAGCGAGAGCAAGACTTCGAACTTGTGGAAATCGGGGCACATGAAATATCTCAGAGTGTGATTCAGATGGAAATAAAAATGGCAACTGAAGCAGCGATGACAGTAGTGATGGCATAATGTCTATAACACCTTCTTTCTTGTCACCTCTAGGCCATGGTCGGCACCGTGAAACCGCTGAGCCTAACTAGACCTACGGCCACCTAACTACACAAAGCTATCGTTTATATGCCCAAAGTTTGGTAATCACAGCTGATGGAGAGAATAGGTTATAGAACCCGATGACTAGCTTGCGCAGGCACAGGCGAGGCTCCAAACCCCGCTGTCATAATGTCTATAACACCTTCTTTCTTGTCACCTCTAGGCCATGGTCGGCACCGTGAAACCGCTGAGCCTAACTAGACCTACGGCCACCTAACTACACAAAGCTATCGTTTATATGCCCAAAGTTTGGTAATCACAGCTGATGGAGAGAATAGGTTATAGAACCCGATGACTAGCTTGCGCAGGCACAGGCGAGGCTCCAAACCCCGTTTTTCTTCGCGCATCAGGGACAACTGTGACAGGCTACATCGCGGTTCCCCCGTGATTCACATGGCTCTCGTCATATTTGACTAATGGTATCCGGATCACTGTTTCCCCTTTTCGTAGTCGTCTTTTTCTCGCGGTTCTCTATTTTCTTTTCCTTTATTCCGGTTTCACCCCCCTACCGTCTTAGTTTTTGTAGCCAGAAATCAAGTTTTTTGCGTGGTCGAATCCATGAAAAGATACTCTCAATCGTTTCTGGCAACTGTGAAGAGGGATTCCGCTTCTTGTAAGCATTGGCTTGTGCCATGATCGCGTTCCCCATTTTGCACATAGGCTGAGGATTGGTTGAACTCGAGGATGAAGATGCTGAACTTGAGGATGAAGAAGTTGAACCAACGGTGGATGAGAAGCTCGAGATAGGTGAGGAGCTTGATATTGTTGAGGAACTCGAGATGATACTGGACGTAGATGGGGTGAATGAGGTGGTAGCCGACACGACAGCTGAAGAAGATGTTGATGTTGCGACAGAAGTGGGGTTTACGGTACCCTCCGAGGTAGAGGTTGTTGACGCTTGGGTAAGAGAGCTCGTTGTCGACGATGACGACGATGAAGATGATGGCGAAGCACTCGGAATACTCGACGACGACGAAAAGCTCAAGGACAGATTCGGTGTCGTGGTAGAACCCGAGGCAGTGTTTGAGACTGGTGTGGGTGTGCGAGTTGACGTGGAGCTGACTTGAGGCACACTGCTTGAAGCTCTCGTACTCAAACCGCTTGGTTGGCCACTCGAGAGCCCCATCCCACTTGAACTTGCAGCAGATGGCCTCGAGCTATCCTGGCTGGACAAGCTGGAGACTACGATTTGGCCATTTCGACATTGTTCAACTATTGTATTTGTTAAATTAGTACCTGCACGACGGAACATGAGAAATCCTGGCCTTGTGATCAATCTTACCTGTGTATGCTATGAGAGCCACCGGTTCGCAATTAGGTGGTCTGGAAGCAAAAGTGATATAGACCTGTGCATTGTTGTCCTGGCAGAAGCTTGCCTGGTCAACGGGCAGTACCGGGTTAGAAAACCGAAGAATACCTCCGGAAATGCTAAATGTGGTTGTGATGGCGTTCTCCGGTGGCGTGCTTCCGGCGTTGAGAAGTTTGTAGTTCTCACCAGAGTAGTACACAGGCACACCATTAAATAACAGCCGCCCAAAGGCCAAGTTGTAAACGTCTGCGCTGTTGCAATTTTGGCGATCTCCATTGGTATTCTGGGCAACGAACCCCCCTACGATTCTCTTACTTAGGCTTCTTTTCTTAAGTGTTGAGCCTGGAATAACGAGAAAGATCAGTGGTTGAAGGGCCGACGGAGAGGAACTGGATAGAGCTGTATTTGTCGAGGTTGAGATACCGGGTGTGGACGTGGTAAAAGATGATGAGGGAAGGCCAGATGCTGAGATGAGAGAAGAAGAAGAAGACTGTAGAGGCGGAGCTGGTCCTGTTGACGTAGAAAGCGTTTGGGAGGCACCACCTGAGAGATCAGTGGAAGCTTTGATTCCTGTACCGACGGACGAAGTAGTAGTTGTGTTAGGACAGACTGAACTCAAAATGGGCTCTAGATAAGTCGAGAAATATGTAAAACAAACTGTCGCTGGATCATTTTCACTATCTGGGGGTGCAACAGCACTTGCGATGATGTGTGGCACAAGGAAGGAACTGACGAGAAATTGAGGCTTCATGTTAGACAGATTGATAGATCGCAACTCCAAGCTCAGTCAAACACTCAGGGACTAATAGAAACCGCTCTGGAAGGATACAAATAGAAAATAACCTAGAGGCTGGGAAAATAAGGGGGTGTGGGAGCTTGAGGCTATCATAACAAGGGGGCTCCACGGGAAATGCTCCTAGTATTGCTGTGACATCATGAACTGTCTGGTATCAATGATCTATCGCTATTGATTGACGTCTAGAATTTAAGCTGCTAGCATGGGTCTTGTCGCTTGTAGAATGCAGGGAGACTTGGGAAAAGTCTCACAAAAACGTCACGAAAGAAAGTCGACATGATTGCTGGCCCAGCCCAAAGCTGATCTGGAATAGTTGGTGTAAAATAGACAGGGCAAAGCACTCCCGTTGGGATGGTGTGCTAATTCGATGGGTAGATTATGCTAGCATTTCAGACTGTCATAATTAATGACAAGTGTCCGTTGTTGTTCGGTCTAAGGCTCACTAGACGTCTGCAAATCTGAATCATAATAATAACAGGAACCCATTCATAAGCCGTGCCCTTGACTCCTGTATCATCCCGCAAATCCCATCGATATTCTTTCAACTACACACACCGGCACTCGAAGACTTCATAATAGTCATTGGCTCGTTGGTGATTATCAGACTTACACACATTTTTTTTTTCTTTTTGAGTAGAAACGCTCACTCATCCAGTCTGCGTTTTAAGCGACATTCTCCCCACATGCTACTGGCCTCCCAAGATATTCTCCCTGCATGTCGCGCAGCCACCATCGTGCAGTGTGCTTCACCAGCCATCCAGTAGCGCTATCATGTGGCAAGTGAGGAAATATCCATTAACCACGCACCATCTGCCAGAGGACAACCAATCTCCGTTTGTAATCCGCCCACCCTACCTAACGATTCTAGCTTATCCTCACCACCCCGGCGTCTTCTACCGCGGCCGGCCCCGACAGCATTCTTAATATTTCGGGTATTTGGACTGCTATGTAGTGTTTCCAGTGCATCCGCGCTACGCCTCTATTTCCGTTCCTAGCAGGTGGACTAGTGGTTAGGGCATACGCCACCCTTTGCGTCCCTTCCGCCCTCGCCCTCCCACCTTAGTCTTCTTTATCTCTAGCTGTCTCCCAAGCTATATATGTGAGAAAATATTTAAGTGCAAGCACCCCCTCTCTCCCTGCTTTATGAGTAACCTTTTAGAAAACTTTAGATCTTACTTACTTGCCTATCCATAAGATGAAGAGGTCAGAAGAACCAGCCTCGAGAAGGCTAACCAAGTATACGGAGCGGCTAAAGACTGTAGCGAATACAACGTAGGCGTCGATGTTCAGGGGGCGTAAAGAGACAATGCATTACCAAATCAAGCAAGTATTTTGACTTTGTGAAATTGTTTCTAAAGCGAATACGCATTGTGGACCGCGGCTAGCCAAGTCGTAGACGACTCGGTCGAGACTTCTCTGTAGGTCTCGACCAAATAATAGGGTTCGGTAGACACGGTCGTTCGTGCCACGACTCGAATAGCGTAATCTGTCCCACCCTGTAGGTTCGTTTCGATTGCTCTTACGACGTATTGGGTGATTAGGTTCCGCAGAAGAAGTATATTCCACGCCTACGACATTCAGCAGGGGCGTTCATCGTTGTGTGCTTTCCTAGAGCTTTCCAGTGTAAAGTCAGTACGTGGAATCATCGCAAGGGGCAACTTTAGAGCGTCTAGCAACCGTAACTTCTCGGTGCAACACACTACAATAATTCCGTTACTCAAGATAGGAAAGGTAAGAAAGGAAACTCAGCTCTCGAGACGTCACTCAAGTCAGGCCCAAAAGCCCATGACAACCATCTACGACGACGCAAGCGGCAAACAAGAAAACGATCCCAGTACAGCAACGGTAGACTGTAACAAAAAAACCAAAACGCCGAGATATCGCCCTAAATACTCGCCCAACCCGCCAAGCAAACCCAATCTCTCACCCGAGGAAAACCCATCGCCGACGAAGCACGCAGGGCCAAGTCTGCAGTTCACCCGACGGACAAGCCTTCTTCACGACTCAGTACCGAAATGTTTAAAAAGTAAAGCAAGGTGAATGAGCGCAACTCTCATCTCCTCGGCAGCCCGCCGCGCAGCTCCTACGGCTAGATATGGTTTGCGATACGGGAAGCATCCGTATCCCTCGGAGATGCCCGCAGAATAGGTACCCTCGTTCACGACCCATCCATCGCAACATGCTCCCAAAGAAAGCATCTACATAGAAAAAAAAAGGGGCAAAAGAGAAAGCGAATGCGAAGTTTCGTAAACGTCCGTATTGCGCACTTACCACCAACCTATATTCGCAAAATAACCCGATGATAAAATAAAGCAGACATTAAAAAGTAGCACAAAGAGTCATGAAAATAAACCTCCAAAACAGACAACCTACCTAGGCACACCGAAAGAAGCGAGGCGGGGATGGGGAATATTTAAGCGTCAATCAATCTCAAGAACAATTTGAGACTAATAAAAAAAAAAAAATTCTCCTAATTGGAAGCGGGTCTCATCCCGCCTAAAACCCAAAAAAGAACGCCATCCCAACGAACCCCCCCCCCTCCCCCATGACATTTCTCATCTTTCAAAACCCTGGGTGGCTCGTGTGACATCGTGTCCCTGGTAATACTTGCCGTCATAAAAGGTCTAACTGCGCCCAAAGCCCCCAGTCGTCAGTCGTCAGTCGTCAGTCGTCACAGGCCCCTTGCTTCCGTCCCAACTCCGGGTGAAGGTCCAGCAAAGGACCGCACTTGAAACGTCTCGACAAGCCAACCAAGCCCGCACAAGCCACTCCTCATGTTTCACGCGATTTCCTACCCTACTCCCCCCCCCCAGCATACCTTGTCACACTGCCAAGCTTACAATTACGAATAATATTCGTCTGTATTTTACTACATGGTAGTGCTCTAATACTATAGTAGACTCGCAATACTGCCAGAGTGCCGCCCCTACCCCCCGGCTTACTAACCAAAAAGTCGCGTCCCGCATGAACTACAAAAAAGTCGAGACGTCGTGCTCCTCGGCTTCTCGCAGATCAGACGCCGCAGCTTGGACCGGGGCCTCGCGAGGCGTCCTTAACTCCACCACGCACACGTTCTTTCTTTTGCCAGTGTCAAGTCAGAGCGCTGCAAATTCCGGTATACTTCCTGCCACCCCAAGAAATCGGTCGTGCGAGTGGGTTCAACCCATCTTGAGACCAGACCTGTCTCCCAGTCTTGACGTGTTGTCACCTGTTGGCTGAGACTCTGAGATTCTAAGATTCTGCTGCCCACCACACACCATTCTGTCACACGGTCATAGATGTCGTAGTTAGCCATCACTATCTCTCTCAAGGTCACCAAACAATTCAAATAAGACCAAATAATATACCAAAAAGTGTACAAAAATAATTGTGCACTCTACTGGAATTGTGTCTCCCATTTCTTTCCAAGCCATGCTGCGTATCCTGTCAACGGAAAAAACAACTCCCTCTAAATATACAGAAAGGTCGATCATGAAAACGGGGGGATGTGTGTGTTGTCGGGGTTGAGGATGAGGAGGAGGGGGACATTAGAACAATAATATGGAGGGAGAGGTAGCTTTGCTGCCCAATTTTGTCGTTGATGAGTTGGTATCGGAGCACGGTTAAGCGCAGAAGGGGGGTTTTGTCATGGGACCAGAAAACAAAAGAAAAAACCACCACGCCCAATCCTAAACCAGACCACGTCTAGTAACCTTGCTGCCCATCATAGTCGTCGAATAACAACACAAGAGAAAATAATTAACACCAGAACACTTTTCTCGGTGACCCGTAAAGAAGTGGAATTGTCGGTTCGGCAGGTCCGTGTCCGTGCAGCGTAGGTCTCTTTCAAAAATATTTCCTCGGTCGTCGTCATCGTCGTTGCCGTGTGTGTGACTCTGAGCAAGAAAGGTTACGAGAGCTCCTGGATGCAGATCTGGACCTGGGCATCGCAGTCGGATGTGGAAGCCCCATTACCGTTCCCACCGTTGATTAGATTGAAGCAGGAGTTCCGCTGGATATCGCAAGCACGCTGCACGGCGCTGGCCTTGGAAACGAAAGAGTTGCCGTTGACAGAGAAGGGTCGGCTGCTATCGCCGGATTCCGTGACCGCCGGGGCCGCTTGTCCGCCGATAGCATTCGACGTCGCGCCTCCTTTGCCACCGCCGGATCCGGAGTTACCGTTGGCGGGATTACTGGCGCCCCCGTCCTGACCGGAGTTGTTAGCATCAGGTGTCACTTGTGCATTATTTCCGGTCTGGGATTGTGTTGGTGCCGCACCAGGGTTACCGAATCCAGGGAAAGGGGCACCTCCAAAGGGATTTCCGCCACCAGGGTTTTGAGGGTTGAAGCCACCAGGGAATCCACCAGGGAAGGGGGCTTGAGGTTGTGGGGTTAGCGCGAGGGTGCAGAGGTAAGGAGGGGGTTGAGAGGGGGAATAGAAAAAGCCAGAAGGATAAACAGTTCAAATGAAGGGGGGTTCTAAGGTTGCACGTTTGGCATTACCTTGACCGGCACCTCGTCCTGCAGCGGCTGCTCTGCCGCCGTTTCCTTTTTTGCCGGCGTTTTGCTTACCTCCTCGGTTTCCGCCGTCTGTGATGTTGTTAGTGTGGGACCATACAAGTCTATAAATTGGCACTCACTTTGGTTGTTCTGGTTCTGACCATTGTTCTGGTTCTGACCGTTGTTCTGGTTCTGACCATTGTTGTTGTTGTTGTCTTTGATTTGTCAGTATCCATTTAAAGCAGTGATTAAAGTACTATATAAACTGGAGGATAGCTTACTCTGGCCATTGTTGTTGTTGTTGTTGTTATTGTTGCTGTTGTTGTTGCCATTTCCACCAACAGTAAACTTGTTGCAATCATCCTGAGCGCCACGCTGAGCGACAGGCATGAGAACAGGCTGATGGTTGGAGGCACTAGACATGGTGCAGACACGGTAGTTTCCGGCGGGGAGACCTCCGGTGACAGTGGCCTTCAAGTTTCCGTTGCCATCTCCGGCATCGTTGATACCCTTGAAGAAGACAAACTTGCTGGCGTCCAGAGGCTGGTTGGGAGTCAGGGAGTTGCCCATATCCTGAATGGTGACGTGGACGTGACCGATGATCTCGTTCTGTCCGTTCAGGTTCTGGGGAGCCGAGTAGTAAGTGGCCTGGGCGTCCGTAAACGAACCGGCGGCCAGGTTGTTGACCTTGAGCTCGACATCAAAGTCCTGGTTGGCTTGGATGTTGCCGTTATGAGGGGGGTTTTGCAGGGCGGTGGAAACCATCTTGTTGTTGGGGGGGATCTTGCCCATGACAATACCATTGCAGGATCCTCCAGTCTTTTGCTGGCCATCGGTAAGTGTCTCGCCAGAACAGAAGTTGATGAAGTTGGCATCGTCACTGCCGGGCATGTTAGTGCGGACTCTCCCACAATTGGCCTCACTAAGTAAACTCACGTGGCGGACTGAGCCTGCTGGGCAGCGGGCGTTCCGGCAGACTGAGAACCCTTCTGCACCGCGTTGGTCTGCAAGCAAAGCTGACCGTTTCCATTATTTCCGCCATTGTTGTTGTTGTTGTTTCCTCCATTGTTGTTGTTGTTATTGTTGTTTCCACCTCGGTTTCCACCTCGGTTTTGACGCTTCGCCAGAGCAGCACTGAGAGGCGAGTCGATGTCCAAGAAGGTAACGCCAGCCTCGGCAACGACGGCCATGCCCGCGAGGGCAGCAACAAGTTTCTTGATCTGCATCTTGTTTCTCTGGAGTGGTTGTTACTTGTCGAGAGATTCAGAGGGAGCTGTCGACCGAGTCGCTTTCAATAAAATACTAAATTTGTCGTTCGAAGAGGGTGGTTCCAGACCGAAGAGCGAACAAGAGTAGAGTGCGAAAGGAACGATCACAGACACTGGATACGGAGCACAGCTGAAAAGAAATGAATGAATGAATGTGAAGACACACTCCCAGCGTGAGGCAACAGGAAGAATGAAAATAAAAAGGTTGAGAAGTCGAAAGGAATGATCGAAGCTGAGCGTGACTGCGGATTAAGAAGGGGAGGACGGGAGCAAAATAGTCTGCGAATGCCAAGCTATGGAGACTTATATGCGCAGGGCTGCGGTGGCAGGCCGCTGCCAGTATGACCAGGGACCAGGGGGCCGTGGGGAACAAAAATGACAGGGCCCCATGGCGGACTTGGGAGGAGGAATCGTCTCCACGAGTCCAAAACGCGGCGCAGGGGAGTCTTGGGAGGAGAGGCGAGGATACGAGGGCTCGCCGACAGGAGGAAGCAGGAGGAGGTAGAGGAGGTGAGGGAGCAACAGAGTGTGCGCCTCAAACAAGCGGCCGGGGGGTGTACACATGGATGCCGCTTAGCATCCGATCCCCGTGCATGCACCTTGCAAGCAGCCCGCACCGGACGACGAGCAAGGGGTGGAATCTCTAGTAAAACGAGAGCAAGATGCAGAGATACACTGGATGCGGGAGTAGGTAGATGGGAGAGAGTCTAAGCCAGATGAATTATGGAGCAAGGCACGTCAGATGAGATGGATGCGACGACTCGCTTACAAGGAAAGACGTACAGAGGGTAAGTACACTATACAACATGTTAATACAGTAGTGTACAGATCGAGATGATAAAAAGTGGAGGGGAAAAAAAGAGACTGAGAAAGACGGCGAGATTAGAGAGACGGAGATCTGAGCTTTGGCAGGGGTTCTTGGGGGCAGAGAGTATGGGACGGGAAGAACGACAAAGTTCTTGGTAAGACTACTACTGGTGGTAGTAGTGGATGTAGTGCAGCCAAGTTAGGACAGGCCGCATCGCAAAACAGGGGCAACCGCTGTCAATATCAACGGACGTTCCTGACGGACAGTTCCCGACTCAACAGGATGGCAGGTAACGGGACAGGGACAGCAAGAACTTGAGTCGAACAGGGCGGCGGGGCCCTGTTCAGTCGCCTGCGGTAGACCAGACAGGAGCCATGTAGAGACGGCACGAGAAGGAGGAAAGGAGTTGGTCTGGTCGTGATGGCTGATGCGGCTCCTCTCGTCACAGAATGGGGTCATGGAGGCCCCACATGGTCCCGGCGCGGCTTAGCGAGCCAATGGCGGGGTCCAGCAGCCGGCACATCAGGCAAATAGCGTTTCGCCCGAGGCGTCGATGAAGCGAAACGAGACTGGACGACATTTTGGACTTTCCCCAGCCAGTTTAGGCGCGGTACGGAGCACCTCACACTGAGAGAGAGGGAAGGTACGGTCGCTGATGTCACTGCTGTACTACGTGCCCCGTGGTTTCTGTGGTACTGTCGCTCTGGCGGGCAAAGTCTGGCAGCCTACCTTAGTGTAGTCTGAACCCAACCGTCCGAGCGGTACATCCTCCACAACAGCACCGACGTCCACTCTTTTTTGTTGCTGGTGCTTCCGCGCTGACAGTGCACAATCGTTCTCTGCTCTGCGTTGGCCTTCAGTTGACATCTAATCAGGGGGATAACGAGTCCCTGAGACGAATATCACGCTGTCAATTTTTAGGCTCAATTGACACTTAACTGACCTTGACTGGCCTTAATTACTGAATCGCCAAAATGGTTATTACCCTATGCTAAGCATTGATGATCGGCTGTGATGTACTCTCACTTCCGAATACCCGCTCCCTTTTTTTGTTTGGACCGACGCCCCAGATGGCGATGCCCACGTCTATAGACAACCCGTGAACGGCGTCGAGGTTGCAATTTTCTATATCGCTGCCATCGATTCGGTGATCTTCGAACCGCCCTACTTTTGTTCCCAGCGCTCCCCTTTTTCTTTTTCTGTGGTTTTTTCTGTGGTTCTTGCGGGTACCCGCGACACAGAGCGGTCTCAGTCTTGGCCGGAGACAAGCGGCAACTGGATGATTGGCAGCGAGTTGGTCTGGACGGTTCCTGACAGGCGAGACATGGCGTGTTAGTGCGACGGACGGCCAGTCGCACGAAACGGTAACAAGCGGCTCCTCAATTTGCATGCACACTACAGATTGCATTGGCATCGAAGCGCCGGCCTAAATCCGGAACGCGATAGACGAACAGTAACTCTTCTTCTTTCCTCCATTACGAAATACCTTCCCAGCGCGTCGCATAGCATAGCGTCATAATCGTCCATTACAAATCTCCACCAGATTTCGTTCCAGCAGAAAGCCTGCCCCTTGAGTCTTGCACTGCGCCGTTGCACTCAAAGTATCGTGTGCCTCGCTCGCATCGTTAAAAAGTGCTTCGTAGGACTCGGCAAAAGAGTGCACGGGTGCTAGGTGTTCGGCGGTATAGGTGGAGGCGGAGAGTCCGCCGAGGTAAGTTCGCTGGTGGAAGAAAGGCAAAATAACCCATCACGCAATCGGTTTTCTCCTGGCATTGCGTAGTAATGTGGAGTATGGACGAGAATCAATTGTTCATGCATGGGAATGCAATACGGTGGTGGTGGTGCATGCCTTACCGAGCGCGACAGGTGGGTGGCGGGCGAAGGGTGACGATGGCATCAAACATCCAATAAACCTAATCTCTTTGTTGGCGACTTCGAATGACGACCAGACCCCTGGACCAAAAACCTGCTGCAGTGCCCATTGTCTGTCGGTTTGAGGGAAGGAAAGAAAAGGGCGAGTCACTGAGCATACGAAGCAAACCAAGACCAGGGACCGATAACCTTTTGGTGAGGTTGGAGCGTTCACGAGATTTACATTTACCTCCCGCCAAACTTTGATAGCCAAAAGGGGTCCCAAGGTGCCCCCAGCCCGGCCAGGGGAAGGCAGAGGTTTCCTCTCCTTCCACCAGAACGAATTCTAAAGGAGAAAGTAGCAGGAAGGAGAGTGAAGTACGTACTACGCCGTACCTCAACTACACTTGGTACCTGCAGCGGCCCATTCGCGAAGATCTCCAACACCCCCATAATTCCACAACGCTCTGTCCAAAAACGGAAAGGGTCAACCCCTTCCCTTATCACTTTTAAGGTTGCCTTTAACATCCCGTCCGCTAAGACCCGCCCCACCTTGGCTGCCCTGGCCAGACAGGGGAAGGCGTGGAGTCCCTTGTCAACAGGGGCTGCTGCTTCACCTTGTGTCTCCCATCTCGTCTCCTGGCCCTACCTCTTTTTCCTTCTTTCCCCCCCCCTCGCTTTGCCCAACCAACTCGACGACTGGGCGGGATCTTTGCCGCCTCGTAATTGGTCCGTAGGCCTCGCTTTCTTTGAGCCATCCGAGGAAAAGTTAATCTGATCTTTCTCATGGCCAACCCCGGAAGACCAAGATGCTTGTCAATGAGATGATGGTTTCGATTGTCATCCGGTCTGCACTTTCCTGTCCTGTTCACATATTACACATTGTCCACGAGTCGACATATTTCCCGTTTGGTCGATTTCGGGCAGTCGGGGTCTTTTTACTTTAAAGCATGTGTAAACGTTCTGAGTCTAATGCTATTGATTGCCCACCTAAATTTGGACGGACGATTATAGCACCAGTCTATTTGTTGGGCAACATCTCCATGGTTGGTCTCCATTGCATACAAACGTCTTTTTTTTCCCTTTTTTATTGTTTTTTCGCCCGCTTAATCTTGATTTCGTAAATTACTGGGATCCGCAGTTGAGCGAGGGCTGCTGGATATGCATGGGGAGTAGACGGGCAGACTTTCTCGCCGGTGGCAACTCGGTGCCGTTACGACATGCCAACTCAACCCCCGTGGCTGTCACGGCTGCACGGCTGCCTCCACTCTAACCAGATGAACGGCTTTTCGGCTTACCTGGTGGATTGAACCCTCAAATGATCGCCTCGCGAAACCACCAAATCCTACAAACACAGCAAATTTCTCGGCACGCGGCAAGCCGGCGTCCCCCATCTCAGTCTCATTGCATCCCGTGTCCCGCAAAAGAGCAAAATCCCCTCTTTGCGCCCTGGAGAGGGGTCCTCCAAATGCAGGAACAGGCAATTAAAGGGCTGGTCAATCCAATGTGTTCCTTCGATATGGCCCATGAATCCGGTTTGCTCGACGTTACCTTAGCCGGTAATCCCTGCCATACAAGCGAAGGGAACCAAAAAGCCTCCACCAGCTCCGCCAAGGAGGCGCTCCATTCTGCGACAAGAGGCTGAGTTTGAAGCCTGTGCCAAAATTCCAATGGTGAAACAGGTTCACCTCAACTTTCTGCTTGTCTTGTCACTTGATGTCAACCAGCCCAGCCTCGCTTCTTCCACACTTCCGTGGAAATCACTCCAGGCATTCTCCTCTGACCTGGGCCGCAGACCTACCTATCATCCCAGCTCGGAACGTCCAAGTTGAAACTCGACAATTGTCGGAGAAGTCAGCAAACGGATTACTCCTCCAGCGTACCATTCCGCTTCTTCGCCATACGCATGGACTGCCAACACGCCGTCGTCGCAATCTTGAAATCCAGAAGCCGTGCCAATCCCGTCCAGTCTCCTGCCATGCCCATCTGTCGGTGTCCAATCCCCTTGAAGGATTGCGCTTCCTGCTCGACTCGGGCCCTCGGCAAAGACTGTCATCGACATCATCTTGTCACACGTCACCTATCATCCCAAATGCCACACCCCGCTATTACGGTACGGGAAGAAATGAATGGCGAGGGTAAAAAACAAATTCCAAATGTCCCCCACAACTAGAGCTCCGAACTCACGCCACTTTCGCAGCACAGGAAACGTTTGCCGAGCGTTGCTCAAGGAAACATTTCCTCCCATGGTAATCAAACGTGAGTCGTCATGACAGATGTCCTTCTTTTCTTTCCCTACCCAGGGTCGTCCAGGACTATGACATGCCCGGCGTGATCTCTTGCGAGAATGCAACATCGCAGCTCTCACTCTATAGACCACCTCTGGGCATACTTGGCCTTTACTGGACTTTGATGTGACATAACCATGAAAGACTTGATGCGTCGTCGTCGGTCATCTCGATAGCAGGCGCCGCCATATCAACGGCCTACAACTGCCTTAGTGTATCTGAGCGGAAAAGACATCGCGCGGAGATGAGCATGGCGGAATCAATTAATCATAGCCCCCAACTGGGCCAAGCTTTAGATGCGTCAAAACACGTTTTGCCCTGCGGGACAAACGAGTGATCTTCTATAGAAACTTGAAAGGAGTGCCACAATCGACGGAACATGCTTGGCGTCTCATCTTATTACAATTCCTCCGAGCCCATGTCGGCGTTGGCATTGTAGCCGATGTCCCTCTCTGTTTCTTCCGTATACGCCGATGCAATCAGATCCAGCCAAGCTGCCATTCTCACTCCCGCGCGGGCAACCTGAAGTTCAATCACGGGTGCCGCCTTTTGGAAGTACTCGCCGCCAAGTTCCTGGCCGGCGATCGCACGCGGACCTTCGGGAAAAACTGTGATCGAGAAGAAGCTTAAGTAAGTCACCACATTTCAATAGGCGACTTGCGACCGGGGGATCGACGTACCGTGGGTGCAGACATATGCATTTCCCTCCCTCGCCCATCGCAGACCGGTTTCCGTTACGTTGTTGAAGTCGAGGCTTTTGAGCCATTCGTTCTTCTGGTCTGCAAATTTGCCCATCTTTATCTCTTCGGCCAATGCGTCCGCCCACCGCTTCGCGTTGTCATATGGCCTGCGCCTGGCGCCTCCGATCAACTTCTCGGCAATGGAGCTGTCCCAAACATGATGTAGGTTGAAATCGGTACCGTACCACTTGACGTGGATGCCGTTGCCGCCTCTCGCGACATCTTCATTGTGCAGAGGCTGATGGATGTCTCCGATGAAGTGGACAACGAAGCGGGCAGCCTGGTTGCGCTCCCAACCGCTCAGCTTCGGGTCAAGAGAGCGGGCGGTATAGTTTGCCAATGCCGTCACAACACAGCCCTCCGCTTTGCAATCACGCTCGAAGTCGATACCGCAGTATTCCGGGGGACTGTCCTTGGCGTCAATGAAGTGGAAGGGCCCTGTGAAATGACCCCATCGCGTGTAGCGAATTGTGTCGGCCCAGGTCGCGATGCCGGCGAGATAGTGCTCAGTCTCATTTCGCAGTAGGTCCTGGAAGAATGCCTCGGTTGTGTTGGCAACAAAACTACTTGCGATATACGCGGTTGTGATGTGTCCCAAACCTATGGCGATGACAGTCAGTCGCAAAGAGGGCTAAGCGGCATCGGAACGGTGATGGAGTCAGTTCCTCAGAAATACTTACTTCCCCACGCTAAAACTCCGGGCATAGATGCACCGAGCAGGGCGACGGCGCTGGTCAGTTTCATTATGGCGAGCAACTTCAGTCACGGAAAGCTCCCAATCTTATTGGAGGAGAACTTGAGCTTTACGACACGATACCGGTCGTTAGACAAAGTAGGCTAACGATTGCGAGAGCTAACAACTCAGTGACGCTAGCAAGAAATGCAGAAAGTGACAACAAGACAAGCACCAAAGGCAAAGCAGACGGCCAACGCGAGCTTAAATGACGGCGCAGCGCGTGGTCAGGTCGCCAGCGCGCATCTGCATCCCCCACGTCGATAGGCCGTTGTAGAAGACGGATGAGTTGGCCGAGGAACGGGCCTCTATCAAGCACCCACATCGAATCCGTCCAGGCTGCAGCTCATCCACACTGCATCAGCCACACGGGTGGGCGAATCATGGCGGTGCTCTCTCATAGCTGGGCCACGTGAAACACCACCGGAAAATGCTTACGCCCGGCGGATGTCCGGTGACCGCCGTCAAATAGGGACCGCATGCATAGAGTTACTGTGACACTGATGCGTTGGTCATTGACACAAGATCAGCGAGCTTTAATTTTTTTCTCTTTTTTTTTTCTTTTCAAACTTTAGATGATGGCTTGGGTGGCATATGCATTCAGACAACCAATCTGGCTGAGCGCGTACAGTTCATCTCGATGCAAGGCTGTTAAGGTTTTTATGCAATGACTGATTTCAAGCTTCTTTTCTCAGCTTGCGATCTTTCAGCCAGAGCCTTGCTTGACGGCGATGACAAAATAGGGCCTCCTCATTGGCGCGTGTGCAGTGTAACTCAACTCGCGATGGGGGCAAGAAGCCCCTCTTGAGGAAAAGTGGCGGTAAGCCCGCCTTTTTTACAAGTTTTCCTGGAGTCATGCTAGTGTGTGCCCCACTAATTGCCCTTCTGCATCCCCTAAAGGCCATGGCCAAGGTTTTTCTCAACCCATCGGTTATGTCATGCAGGGTCCCCTTATCGCTGACCGCATCCGATAAGAGATAACGGGCAAGGATGACTCTGACCTGATCAATTCCTTACTGTTACTAGTGGTGCAGCGTGACTCTCTTTCCAGCCATCCCACTTGACCATTTCGGCACACCTGACTGAGGGAACACACGAACAAAAGGCACTTCGCCCGCGGCTCTGTCTTTCCCCTCCTCATCCGTAGTCGTCCGCCCTATTGTCTCTGATCAATTCGACATCGGCGGCTCTAATCAACATGGCTTCTTTCGCTATCACGGCCTATGCCGCCTTATCGCAGACCCCCAAAGTCGAGGACGCTCTGTCGGGAATCTTTGGCAGCATCAGTTTGACCGCATGGATCTGCCTCCTCGTTCGTCTTCCCGCTAATTGATGAAGCACATGTGCCATTCCTTTGGGGTATCAGTTTGCTGATTTTACCATATAGCTCCCCCAGCTTCTTGCCAATTACAAGGCGCAAAGCGCCGACGGCCTTTCCATGGCCTTCCTCGTGGTCTGGCTTCTTGGCGACGTGACCAACCTGCTAGGTGTGTAACAACGTCGCGCTACTTTTCTGTTATCCCCTTCATCTTCTTCACATCGCGAAGTGTCGGTTTTTCACCTTGAGCACTTCCAATTGCAGCCTGCCGAAAATTTCCCTACAACGGCACCCACTGACTCAAATCCCCCACAGGCGCCCTCTTCACCCACCTCGCCCCAACAGCAGTTGCCCTCGCGAGCTACTTTTGCTTCGCCGACCTGGTTCTCATCACCCAATGCCTTTACTACAACACTAAGAACACCCGTCGCGCCGCCCGCCGCCGCTCCTCCGCCGCCGTCACCGCGACGGACGCCCCCGAACCCACTGAACACGAACCCCTCCTCTCGCGCCGCCGAAGTTCCTCTGCGGGGCTTCCCGGCTCCCACCGTCGACATGCTGTACACCACGAGAACTCCCTTGATCCCCTGCGCAAGATGGTGACCGGCGAGGATGAGACCCCTGATAGCAATCCCTGGCTGCACAACACTCTTAGCATCGTCGCTGTTTACCTGGTTGGTGCTGCGGGGTGGTTCATCTCATACAAGGTCGGCGCGTGGGATTCGCCCGATGTTGATATTGGCACGCCGGATGAGGCGCAGGGCACGTTTGAGAAGATTGGCCTGGTCCTGGGTTACATCTCCGCTGTGCTCTACCTCTGCGCGCGAATCCCGCAGATCCTGAAGAACTACAGGGAAAAGTCTTGCGAAGGTATGATTTTTCCTCCTCCTCTAAGCAGATTTGGCAAGTTTACTGACCATGGTGCTACAGGTCTCGCGCTGCTTTTCTTCCTACTCTCTCTCACCGGCAACCTTACCTACGGCGCCAGCTTGGTAGCGTTCAAGCAGGACAAGGCTTACCTTCTCAACGCGCTCCCCTGGCTCCTTGGTTCATTGGGCACGATCGTCGAGGATTTTGTCATCTTTGTGCAGTTCCACCTCTACGCCACGCGTCAGGAAGCCAAGGTTTCGGATCACGCGTAGGGATCTTTATCAGCTATCCAGCGGAGCTGATTGGCCACGGCCCATGCATCAGGCGATGCCACCAGCGGTAGCTGAAGGAATTCAAGGCCGCCGCCCATAATCTGCATTTAGAAACCAGGGTGTATATCATCATGTTGGCATTTGCGGCGTCAGGGTTTAAATTAGGCACGGATTGTTGTCTACATGATTCTTGCGGTTTATGTCTTTTTTCCACGAAGCATTTTGCATATGATGAACTCCATCTAACTTGGGGTATGTTTACTTATGAATTTAAAGTTTTTCGCATGCATACTTTGCAGTCCGTGGTGCTTGTCCACTAGTGGGGATGTACTGCTTTGAAAATGTCTGTGGTATGGTTATGCTGAGGGGAAATAGAAGCCACTGGATTTCTGTCAATGTTTGTCTCGGACGCCACGAGAATGGCTTGTCTTGGTTATAATCTCATCACGAAGAAGCTTGCCTAATTAAAATCCATGCACTTTCTTTTTTTCCATCTTTTTTTTTTTTTCTAATCGCCAACCAAATCTCGGTATTGTGTCTCAAAATTCCAGCGCGTAATTGCTATGCACACAACTACACTAAAGTAAAATGTCCGTTAAAAGGCCAAATCATGGCAACCAATGTTGCCGCGGAACACGGTCCGTGATGGAACCTCGGCTCCGGAGACTCCGCATGCCGGTTCATACTGCCGGGCACGTACCCGGCGCGGGGTACGCCCCACTACGCGGTACCACTTTCAAGCTGCTTATACCGTGTGGCATGCTTGTTCTTCTCGTGGATTTCATTCAGTGATTTTATACAGTTGTTGCTCAAGTCGAGTCGAGGAAGTTGGACTAACTTGTTGAAAACTGACAAAGAGGACCATAATGGAGAAAATACCCACGGTACAAAAGGCAGCGGTGCTCCAGGACCCAGGACCAAACGCCAAGGTCGTGATTCGCAACGACGTCCCCGTCCCGACTCCGGGGCCTCACGAGGTTCTCGTCCGGATCAGTACGACCGGAATCTGGTACCAACCCATCCCACGTCCCTAATCCGCAAATGTGATGTAAACCAAACTAATTGAATACAGCGGCTCGGAAACCCGCGCCTTGCGAGGCTGGGGCGCCTACGACCCGATCGTAGGCCACGAAGGCGTCGGCATCGTCGTACGCCTCGGACCCTCCGCGCCACCGGACCTCCTGGGTCGCAAGGTGGGCGTGAAGTGGCTGTACAGCGCCTGCGGCACGTGTTCCGCCTGCGTCCGCAGACATCATAACAACTGCCCTAAGCAGATCAACACGGGTAAACAGCGTCCCGGTACGCTTCAGCAGTTCGCAGTCGCAGATTCGCGGTATCTTACGGTCATCCCGGAAGGTCTCGACGACGCGGAGGTCGCGCCGTTGTTGTGTGCCGGGTTGACTATGATGGGCGCCGTGTCCAAACTCCAGGGGGAGCTGGAGAGGGGCAACTGGGTGGTTATCCAGGGGGCCGCGGGTGGGTTGGGGCATTTGGGGGTGCAGATTGCTGCGCGGATGCGCGGGTTGAGGGTTATCGCCGTGGATAAGGGGGCCCACGAGGACTTTTGTCGAGGCTTGGGCGCGGAGGTGTTTGTGGATTATCTGACCGAGGATGTGGAGAGGGTCGTGACGGAGGTGACTGGCGAGGGGGCGCACGCCGTTCTAGTTGTCCCGGAGTCCGAGGACGCGTATAGGATTGCACCTAAATTGGTCAGGGCCATGGGCACGATTGTCTGTGTGGGTTTACCGCATAATGAGTTTTTGATTCCGGTGTCGGTTACGATGTGTGCTGTTAAAGGTATGTTTTCCTTCGTTTTTTGAATTGGAAAGTGGTGGAGGTGGTTGACGTGCTGCTAGCTTTGAACATCAAGGGCGCTATGGTGGGGACGGAAGAGGAGATGGCTGAGCTCCTTGGTGAGGCTGCCAAGGGACGTGTGAGGGCTTGTGTTGAGCGGTTTGGTCTTTCTCATACGCATGAGATTATACAAAAGTTGTCGAGGGGCGAAGTTTTTGGGAGAGCTGTTGTCACTTCTTTTGATGCATGAATGCGAATATGTTCGGCGCTGCTGCAACTGACACCTGTAATTTTGTAGAAAATTTGTCAGTAGGTTGCCTAGACAAATCAATAGAGTGGATGAGATATGGCAAGGTTGGAGAAGGATATCGTTCGCCACGTTTAATTGTCCCCTGTCTGTGCACATGAATATTTTGCCTTGCACAAACAGCTTGTATAACACGCTTCAAAACGAACAACCAACAGCTCTTGTTTCTTGAGAAAGAACGAAAGATGGATTGGCATTCTGGCTGCAAGAGGTACCAACGTCCCGGTTAACGTAGAGTAAATGCACAACTCTTGTAGCTTGACCAATGTTAGACAGAACCACATTAGTCACTTTTCTTCCAGGTAGAGGGCAAAACTTTATGTGCTGGTCTTAAAGTCTAGAAAAATTCAGTACCGTTCATAGGGTGCTATTGCTTTATCCGCATTTCCAGGTTGCTCGAGGCATTAGCTTCCTTCCGAATATTCTCGTTTTCAATCACTCCCATTTCTTGCAGGTCTGAGCAATATTCCTGCTCTATCACCCTTGCGGCCATGCCTTGCATCTAAGTGCCATCTTCTGTTTACCGCTTGGTGAAGTCGTTTCATCTCTTGAGATATAGATTGTATTAGTCTGGATCGCTTTCCAACTTCTCATAATTCTGAGTGTACTTGGTAATGGCTGAATCAGAAGAGTGATGCTCTGTGTTTTATCATTACGTGTCTTTAAAGACTTTTTGCGTAATAGGAATTGTAGATCGCAACGACAGAAATCACGGCAAGAAATCGACGGGATAAGCCATATGATCGAGTCTGGCACCAGAGCAGGGCCTTTCCCAACTTCAATATGGTCCCGAGACAATTACACCTCAGTCAAATAGCCGAGGCGTACTTGGAATAACACAAACATGGTTTTTTGCTAGTCTCTCATTGGATAAAGCCTCAGGTGAGCCTGAATCCTCCGCCCCCAATGATCTGATACTATTCCACAAAGAACCATGAATTCAATCAGATAAAGCGTCCATCGGGCACGCCAAGTTTTCTCGCTTAACTTTCAGGGACACGGAAAAGCTGCAACCTCAACTCAGAACTTAGATGCGGCCCGTGTCCCGGACACCTTTTCGGCAGCTTGCATAACCGACTGGTCCGGCCGGCTGAGCTTCCCATCCTCCGTCAGCCCTGTCAGACGTCACATGTTTTCCTATGGTGCCGTAAGATTCTTAATTCTGCGGATTCAAGACATCTGCAGGGTAACCATCTTCTGATTGATGGATGGTGTTTGCCAAGCAAAGAGCAGAAGCTAGCACAGCCGTTCAATTCCTTCAGGATCCGGCTCAGGATATGGTCGAACCCAATCGATCCAGAGTCCTTGCAAGAGAAGCATTCCCCAATTTCGCCACACAACATGATCCGCGATCAATACCATGCTCTAATTCATTTGCAAGACATGCCTCCCTGCTCAGATTCAACCTCGTTAGCATGAGCCTTCCAAGGAATGACTGCCATGCCCGAACACGAGAAGGATTGAGTCCCTCTTGGCTGCTGTGTTCTGATATTACCTAAGTATCCAGCTCGTGGCTTATCTACGCGGATGAACTGTAAAATAGTACAAAAGTACCTAGGCCTTCCTATATTGGCGTGTCCGGAGTCTTCTTGTACAAAACACCCGAAACTTTGTTGTCTAACCTAGTCAAAGAGCATGTAAACGTTCGAATGGATGATGCAAATCATGCAATTCTTTCTCCAACAGCTGATATACGGCAATAATTTTCGTGCTGACTGGTGTGTACATCCATCGCCCCCACCCGGAGTCGACGAAGGCTTTGTTCTGTCTTCCTCCGCTCTTCCCAACCCACTGCTTCTATATCCGTCTGTGTTCGCTTGCCATCCTGGGTAGCCATACCCGCCGGCCATGGGTGAGATGACCTGCTTTACCACTTGATATAGTCGGCCTGCTTCTGCATGAACCAAAGGCGACGCACCTCCAACCATGAGCTTAGTCTCCTTAGATGGAGGGGTAAGGTCCCACAAGCCCATGGCGGTCAGCAGATCCCCGCGTGAACTTGGGATTCAAGTGTGTACCATCGACAGATAATCGTGGGCCATGTCTTATGATGTGGCAGCGTGCTTGCGTATTGCGTTGTCTGTCTTGCTCCGCCCTCACTGTGAGTCACTGTGTATCAGAGAGGGGCATCGGTTAGCGGAACCAGCAGAGTATAACACGTGGTTTCCGTTTTTGGGTATATTAAGTAAATTGAACATTTTAGCCCGTTTATAATTTCTCGACGCTGGCGAGATGTCTTGACTTTGAGAGACTGGCCATTCGGAGAGAGCCCCAGTCTGGGCAGACTTGTAGACGGGTCGGTAACAATATGAATACCTAGTGTTGTATTTTTTTACTGTTTTAATCTTCTTCAAGGCAAAACCGCTGTATCCGGTGAACTTGTTGAAGTTTTTTCTATGTATAACTTTTGACAGTCCAAAAGTATTATAGAAAAATGTACTATAGGGGATATCCTCAACTATGCTTTTCTAAATGTGACTGCAGACAGACAAAATCCTTCCGGCAGGGGTAGGGGCCTGCTTCTAATTTCTGTGGCAGCATGCATTGCAACGATCCGCCAGCATGTCCAATAATCCTACGACATGTACGAAGAATGTGCCGTGCTGCAACCGAAAGTATACATTTCTCTTTCCAATGGCCACTACTTACCTACAGGAGGTATCGGTACTCAGGTTGGGCGCACACATTTGTTATAGCGCGGGGGTTCGGTTGCTGATAATGGTTTGAATGTCTTCCAAACACACTGGAAAGCAGTCAGTACTCCATACCTTATTTGCTGGCATAATTCGATAAGGGCGTTCTGTAATGTCTGAAAATTGATCTCGCTTCCCGATTCTTTCAGAGACTGGGTCTGTTGCCCTTATAGAAGGATCGATATCTGTGATATTGCACCGACGAAAGCCAACTAAGTGTGATCTTTAAGCATACCTCTTCAACTTGGAAGAAGCTTAGCAACTTGTGATTTTGTCGAAGTAGTATTAGCTGCATGATTGGCAATGTTCCTTTTGCGCAAACAGACTTAGCCAGGCATGCACTGCAACCACTCAGGTGCCAATTGATGTCTACCTGTATACCAAATCCTCTGACAAGGCACTACTTCTGCGCCATCTTTTGGCGAGACTGGTTAGATCCTGTACGGCATTATGCGGACCGCAGCATAGGCCCCCAATGGCGGCCTGCGGTCCGCCTCTCCTGTGTTACCGCAACCAATCATACGACACTAAGAAACCTGCTCGTAAGGAACAGTCTAACAATAACACAAACAGCTTGAACAGAAGTTGCAATAGACTTCATGCCACTACTATATAAATGCTATAAACGCCCATCTGCTCAGGTTATCATAACATCGGCATCAACTCCCGTTTGCTTTTCGTACAATTCCCTCAGAAGAAACCGCAACCTTCATATTCATCGTCAACATGAAGCTCTCCACTGTTCTCATCGCAACCTTTGCCGTCATGGCTGCCGCCTCTCCTGTTGTGCCCGACCTTTACGAGCACCCCGAGCTTTTGCAGGCCGAATCGAGTGTCAACAATGATCCAGGCAGCCAACTCGCCAAGCGCCAGTCGTACACTATCTGCGGCCATTGCTACAAGAATATCAAGTGGTGTTCCTACTGCTGGAAGAACTTCTGCCACCGCTACACCAACCCCTGCTAAGTACTCGCTGAGTTGAAACCCCGACTTATATGATTTGTAAGTTCCAGATGCTGCCGGTCTTGAGCAAAGATTGTAAAACATATTTAACTGACTTATTCGAGAGTTCCTCATAGGGATGATGTCATCTAAGAATTGTTTCAGTGGGAACCACGTGGTCCACAGGATGCAAGTTTCGAAAGGCAATGAGGCTGGAATTTGTGCAACGTTCGAACTTGGTTCTTAGGGTGAAGGTAGCGAATCGCGACTATGGCACCCAATCAAAATAGACAAATCGAATGTTCTACAAGTTCAGTTTTTGGACGCCAGTGAACCAAGTGAACTTTGTCGGTATTTAGCTTTTGTGAGAAATCGAGACCTGAATGGCGATGTTTTGTACTGTTTCGATCAGAACGACCATTAGTATATACAACACATAGACGTTGCATGGGGTATGCCGAAAATCTTTCCAACGTCTGATAAAACTGGGGATTGGTACCAGCTGGGAAACACATTTCAACTCATTTGTTCGGTTGTATTCTGTTAAAGATACGGCCTCCGATAGGATATGTCGGACTGAGTGGAGGTTGTCAGATTTTGATCTCAGAACCAATCCCGCTTCTTACAAACCCATGCGGCTAAAATGACTAACAAGGAATGCCATCCTTATCCGTCTAAAACTCCTAGTCAGAAGTTCGGTCAGAAAAATCTCAAAAGGCTTATCACTTCGAAATGTATGTTTGATTTGTAAGGCTACACTCTACTAGCTCTCGGAGAAATGGGTTATTCGTGACGTATCATAGCTGGACGGGGTTGATTGTATTTAAAGCCCAGATGGTTCCGCTGGCAAGAAAGGTTTGAACACTCACCTATAAACTCTTCCTCTTTGTAGTTGTTATAATGGTGGACTCTACTTCGTGGCCTGACCAAATCGCATACTTCCAGGCGATCCCCTGGTGTGCCAAAGTACTCTCGGAACCAGGCATCATCACCATGCCTCCGATCACTCGCCAGTTTGACCCCGAAACACGCAACTCTGAGTTTTTGGGTGTGACACTACACAGCCAGGCCACGATTCCCTTTTTCGTAGGCTGCTTCCACGTACCCGATGGCAACAATACTCAGTGTTCCGCCACCGACGAACGGCCGTTTGAGAAGCGCTTCGTGACCAAGATTCGCTTCTTCCTCGCTCTGAATCACGGCTTGAGTACCGTCAGTAAAGATTGGGTTCATGGGGGCGCAATTGCATCGATTTTTGATGAGTGTCTAGGTTCCGTCGGCTTCGTGAACAAAATGCACGGCTTTCTGGACCCTCTCCCGCAGGTCACTCAGACGCTCAAACTTACATACGTTCGGCCTGTCCTGACGGGATCAGTTATATCTGTCACATCGAGATTAGCTAGATTCGAGGGCTCCAAGAATTTTGTGGTAGAAGCGGAGATGGCAGACGAGAAAGGGGTTGTTCTTGCGACGGCAGAGGCGACGTTCGTCCCGTTGGAGAAGCGCCGGAAGCTGACGGAGAAGTTGTGATGATTTATTTCGATGGCATCTTAGTCGAGAACAAATTATTCAAATAAGCTTTCCTATTGATTTCAAGTGAAACACTATAACACTACGTAGAGATAGATCGTATATTGAAGCGATTTTCCATTCCTTTACCCCCTGCATCGTACGGCTGCTTCATTGGTAGGCTATTCTTATAACACCTAACTATCGGCATGCCATCAAATGAAACGGACGACATTATCTTACTGCAACATTGAAGTCTTGAAATCAGAACGGTAGTTGAGAACAGCTTATTCTTGCAATTTGTGGAAATGAAATTCTGGGTCAGATTAGAGAGAAAATAAACATCGGGTAGGGCATTATAAAATGGCATAGTTTAACCTGTTGTTTTCGTTCTAATTGCTTAGTTTAAGCCAGAGATGAATTTAACAACAAGGTCGTATGCTTCGTCTCTAACCCTCGTCTCATTGGAATCTTCATCCTTTGTTTTATCCCAACCATGGGCAACACCGTCGAATCGCTTCAACAGTACGTTCTTGCCTGCCTTTTGCAACCGTCCAGCAAACTCTTCTGCCTCTGGAGCAAGCCTGTCTTTCTCCGCGGTGATAATAAGCACATTTTTGGGAAACGTATTCGGATCCGCAAATAGGACGGAATTTCGGGGATCGGACGGATCTACACCAGGCGGAAGATAAGAAGATCTGAAAGCGTTCATGAGAACTCTAAGGACTGACGGAACAGGCGGGAGGGAACCGTCGATAGTCCTCTTCTCTGTGGGAGGAATCGTCATGTTAGTAGGCGGGTAGAACACTGCGACACCGCGAATGGATTTATTTAAGATGTCAGAGTTTCGCTTTTTCAGGTTTGAACTTGCTGCAAGGGCGATGTTCCCACCAGAACTAAAACCTGACAAAACGATATTTTGAGTGTCATATTCGGCCGGTCGCTTAAATACTTGCAATACGAGCTCTTCTGCATCTTCTAATGCCGAAGGAAAAGGGTGCTCTGGTGCCAATGCATAGCTAGCGTCAAGCACAGTGTATGCAGTCTGGTCAACAAGGTGCCGGCAGAAGCGCTCGTCAGATCCCTGCGCTGAAAAGACGAAGGCGCCTCCATTCCAGTTGAGAACGACCGGGCTTGGCTGTGTTTTGGTGATCTTGGAACGGTCTTGACATAGTGAGTCTCGTCAGTATGAAGCGCAGTTCCATGTTGGACTGAGTTGTGTCAAGATCAAGTGACGTACAAACATTGACTTTCAATTCGCGCTGGCCATCAGTGGATGTGAATGTAAACGAGTCATCGGGGCTAGGCTCAACAGGTTTTTCCCCGTCGAAAAATCGAAGAGCCGAGATAATCGCCTTCAGGCGTAGATACTCCAAATAGGAATGTGCCATGTGGTCTCAATTATAATGATATAGTTGTTAAAGAAACCCAAATGCCAAGACTTGATGTTGTTGATATTAAATAGGGTCCGACTGCCAAGATGCTCATCTTGCAATTCAACCTACGCTTTCCATGTCAACTTATGTTTTTTTGGGGTTGTTATAGGCAACTCGGAAAGACTACGGACAAAAGAATAAAGCCGAATCCGTTATACAATGGTTGTCTTACTCTTATCTCTGTTGGCTAACTGGAAAGAGGAAATGCCAGGGTGATTGTTGGTACGTAAGTCCAACATGTAAAAAAGGTGCTTTTGGTATCCCCACCCTTATCTGAGGAAGCGCATCTACCTGATTAAGGCGAGTTGATAAAGGAACACATGGTGACTCAGTTGCATTATCTTACTGAGGCAAAAACGTTTGGGAAGTACGAAAAGCCACACTCGATCGACTTACAAAAGGTGTCAGGCAGCAGCACAAGCTCAATAAAGCCTCGTTGAACAAGGAGTCTCTTCAACAGCAGCCCACAACTACAACAGTTGGACTCATTATTTCCCTTCAATTCAACAGGGAAACGTGCGAGTGCCGAATAGGACACCATTCAACAAGAAACAGCGGATACTTGGTCGTACAGTTAGTCGTGAGAGCATAGTTCGGCAAACAGAAATGGAAAAGCCATGACACTACAAAGCAGTCCTAGTACTGTGAGTGGTATGCTGGTAGATTATCCACTAAGAGCAAACAGGTAGTCTCAAACTCGGGATCAAAATGGCAATAATACGACTTAAGGAGTAAATATAGGCGTTTCTAAGGTAAGTTTATTATTGACATATTTGTCGTAACCCATTATAGGGATAGAATTCTAGCTTTGTACTGCGCCAGATGCATGCTAAGATGTGATAAAATTGTCAACTTCCTTCCGAAATCCTTCAGGGTCCTCGATCCAAGGGAAGTGCCCAACTGATGGGAAAATCTTGAGCTTGGAGCCCTTAATTCCGTTTGTTATCGCAAGTGCGCCTTCAGGACTACAGGCAGCATCTTCGGCGCCTTGGATAACGAGAGTCTCAGCTTTTACTAGTCCGGCGTCCTTGATGTGCGGTATGCTGTTTTCTTCTGACATATCGTTACGGTTCGTTTGCCATGCAGAAGCAGTGGGCAGGTTCCGGCTGCCAGCTAAATGTTTTCTGAGAATTTCGGCCTTCTTGACATCTGTGAACCACCAGAGAAGCATCGTGTCCAAGGCTTCTTGGAATTGCTCATCACTCTTGGGGCCACCAGCTCTTGCGACCTCGATTAGTTTCGCCGCTGCAGGAGCGTACGCGGGGTCATCCTTGCGCTTTTCCATCCAAGCCTTAACATGGCCTCGGGGGCTATCCATGACCTGTGGCGAAATGAGGAGTAACTTAGAAACGCGATCCGGGTAGCGTTGCGCGTAACGCAAGGCAATGGCCCCGCCATGAGAGTGGCCAACAAGCAACGGTAAAGTTTTGAGGCCAAGGTGGGATTTTAGGTGCTCGATATCCTCCGCCATGGTTTTGGTGGTCATCGTTGAAGAGTCGTCTGGCTTGCTCGAATCTCCATTTCCCCGGGGCTCAAAGTAGACCACCGTCCGCTTGTCCTCGAGGTACGGGCCAATACCATTCCCAAGATAGGCTCCTGGTAATCCCCAGCCTACGGACTGGACGATCGCAAGGGGGCCTGTTCCTCGCACAAGGTAGTTGAAACGGACACCAGCTGCCTTGAAGAAATGTTGGCCGTGGGATAATGCGCTCATTCTAAAGATTTGATCACTTCGTTGGGAGTTGTGGTGGAATCAAGAATGCGGGAGTTGTCTGAATGCGCACAGTTTCAGGCTGCCAGGAAAGTATTTATAAGCTACACTTGAGCGCAGGCTCCCAATAGGTTCACGGGTACCCGTGCGTGTAAAATTTCACGGGTACCCGTGGAAATGACTAAGCAACCTGCCCACGTCAATGAACGCGTCTTGTGTCATACACCTTTCACGCGTTATTTGCATCCAGCACTTCAGTCATATATTCTTAAAAATGGAAATAGCTCTCAAAGACTCAATACTCACATTCCCAGACGACAGTCTCCCCCCTGAAAGCGATCATAAATCTCGCGATGAGCTTTTTATGTCAATTAACAACTGGGCGGCGACAAAGGGATACGCATTCACTACCGGGAGATCAACAAAGGAGAAAAGCGGACGACGGACGATTACATATTCATGCGATAGGTCGTGTCATCCGCCAAGCACATCAATAGCGCGGCAAAGGCAAACTACTAGTAGGGGGACTGGTTGTCAATTTTCCGTCCTTGCTAAGGAATCTTTGGATAAGAGCACATGGAGCTTGAGACACCGGCCCGATAAGCGTTTTTCTTCTCATAATCATCCCCCAAGCCAACATCCGTCTGCTCACCTAACGCATCGCAAGCTATCTGAGGAGGATCAAGCCAAGGTGGCCGGTCTTTCAAACGCTAGCGTCGCACCCAGGGACATCAGAACATACATACGACAAACGACAGACTCTATAGCGACCCAGCAGGATATCTACAATCATATTGCAGCCGCTAAACGAGATGTTCGTGAAGGGCAGACCTCGATCCATGCACTTGCTAATCAACTTGATGAGGAAGGCTTCTGGAGTCGCATGCAGTTTGCACTAGATGGCCGAGTTACGGCTGTCTTGTTCGCTCATCCAGATTCCTTAGCCCTTCTCCAAGCCTACCCAGACATCATGTTACTAGACTATACCTATAAGACTAATAAGTATAGTATGCTACTTCTTAATATAGTTGGCGTCGATGCTTGCCAACGGTCGTTCTGTATTGCGTTTGCATTTCTTAGCAGCGAGGCAGAAGATAACTATACCTGGGCTTTGGAGCGGGTCAAATCCTTGTATAGTCAGTGTAACGCTAGCCTACCTGCGGTTATCCTCACAGATCGCTGCTTAGCATGCATTAACGCTGTTGCAACCATCTTCCCCTCTTCTGTATCTTTGCTTTGCCTCTGGCATGCGAACAAGGCCGTTCTTCAACATTGTAATCCAGCTTTTGACTCTACTAAGCCAAAGACAGTCAACAATCCTGCAGCGCTCAAACCTTCAACTCAGAGCTGGGAAGAATTCTATAACTCCTGGCATTCGATCATCAGCTCGCCATCTGAGGTGGTTTTTGAGGAGCGCGTTTCCCAGTTTGAGGAACGCTATCTTCTGGACCATCTCGAAGAAGTCGGCTATGTTACGTCCGTTTGGTTGAAACTATACAAGGAGAAGCTAGTGAAAGCCTGGGTCGATTAGCATACCTATTTTGGCAATGTGGCTACTTCGCGAGTTGAGGGTATTTATGTACTACTTAAATCGCACTTGAAACGATCTATATTAGACCTTTTTGAAGCTTGGCGAGCAATGAAGCATGCTTTACTAAATTAGCTATCGGATCTAAAGTCAAATCAAGTTAAATAGCAAATACGGATACTAGTTGAGCTTTCAGGGTTAATGTACGGCGTAGTGCTTGGCTAGGTATCGTATGAAGCCTTGCGCAAAGTAGAAGAGCAACGGAAGCTGCTTACGAAGAAAGATACAAATCCTTCTACAGCCTGTACGGGGACGTTTTCTCGAGTATATGGTCTCCTATGCTTACACAAATTGAAGACTTTACAAGAACAGAATCTTGTTCTTCTACGTGAGCACTTCCATGCACATTGGCATTTGAGGCGTGATGGAGCGCCGTAGCTATTGCTGGAGCCTCGCCAGCGCATAGAGCCCAGGTTGCAATTAGAGAATCCCAGTATTCCCAAATCAAGCACTAGACGAGAGCCTAGCGGGTTCGAAGTTGTTAAAGTTGCTTCACGGGCCCCAAGCAAATGCAGTAGGTGTCATACAGTTGGCCATACTATGACTTCAAAGGCATGCCCTCTGCGATACACGCATTTATTACCTAAACCGACACCTACTCCAGATCCAGCTACAGTATCAACTGCGATATTTACCAGGACGACGATAGATACACAAGAACCTCCTTCAAACGCCGTGCAGGACGTACTAGAGTTGGTTCAACCGACTATTGCTATAGTAGTAGAGACTAGTATATCACTACCTCGGGTATTATTACCATTTGCGTATTCGCATTCACCTTCGCTGCCAGGATACGATTCACCTCAGGCGATATACGGACGGTACTGTGCAGCAAGAAGCGCCTGGTACGGTGCTCAACCTCGTGGGAGTGTCAAAACAAACCAGGAGTATCGAAGGGTAATAGGACTTCCGCTACGTTATGACAAAAAGTGTTATGAGTGGTGTCTTGACTATAAGCAGATGAAAGGACGCTGCACTACCTTACACGGGTTAAGGGATTGGACGAAGGAGGAGATGATGGCTTATCTGGACTGGGATAGGGCTGAACACAAACGGGTCGATGAGCTGATTATTGCGGAAGATGGACAAAACCCCTTTAAAAACAGTGAGAGAGGTATGAGCGAAGTCTGGAAACGAGTCGAGCAAGATAAGGCAGAGCAGGAGGCGTTATACGCTGGTAGTAAGCCCGAAGAGTGCATCGTAGTAAAGTCGTAAACTTTCCGGATAAGTTTGATGCAGGCCGTGCCTCTCATTGGCTCATGAGCCCCATATCAGAGTTGCTTAGTCATTTCCACGGGTACCCGTGAAATTTTACACGCACGGGTACCCGTGAACCTATTGGGAGCCTTGAGCGCATTGCTCATACTGTTGCTTAGCTAATAACGCAGGTACGGAGTCATACCCAGATTTCTTTTGTCCACGCCATATCTGTAGGTCCTACATTTGGTCGCAGCAATTTGCTTAGAATAACAATCTCGTCTTCAATATCATATTTGCTCTGATCAAAAAATTTTCCGTGTTCCATTCGATTTACGAGCACCTGATTCCTAGGCCGCCGGTTGACTTTGTAAGTCAGTGGTTATTAAAGATCCCTGGTAAGATTTTAGCGTCACTAGATGCTTGGCTCAGAGAACCTCTTGTGTTGTGCTCCCATTCATAAATAGGCAGCATTTTGCGGAGAGTAAAGGGCTATCGCGGCCCTAGAATGGCCAAAATAAAGAGCAGTGTTTCTTGAATAGCAAAGAAAACGGGAAACATAGTGCTACTAATGGATTGCGGTTTCCTTGATTGGAAACCAAGGCAATGCAATCTGTAAGTATGAGGTCCAAAGATATGATATCTTCTCACAAGCAATGATATCCGTTCGGTTGTGAATTGAATTTTATCATTTAAGCAACTTTCTATCTCCTTGATTAGATACTAGCCGCTGACCTCGGCATTATACTACAAATACTGTAGGTTTCACAGGGGGTGAAACAGGGGGTGAAACGGAATTCCGTTCGTCAATAACAAATAACAGTAAATTGGTTCTAATCGATGGTTCATGATTGTTGAAAGTGGTGTTGTTGACTAGAAGGTGGGGATATTCCCCCTTGGCCTGTCACGTGGGTCTGGGAGGCTTGGGCCTCTCAGCCTGGCGGGCGTGTGGCTGGAAGTGCCACACGACTCCGTATTCCAACTATCGCAACAAATACTCAATAGCAACGTAGCATGACTTGACTGCTATGAGTAATGATGACCAGAAGGCACAATCCCGTTGGAACTGAAATTGACTAGTGCTTAAACAGTCAAAAAATAAATAAAGGGGTTTTTGCAAAGGTTCCAACATCAACCTCGTCACTTGGCCACCGAGACGAGACTTCACGCATATGGTAACTGAACCGTCACTGTTCGTAAAGTTGATGGTCATATTTTCAATCTGTCCCTTCAACATTCTCAAACTGCTCCACAACCTTGAAGTTCGCCTTCCCACCCTCCACAACGACGATACCATGACTGGGCAGTTCATCTAAACAGAGGAACCATCAACCAAGAACGAAAGAATAAAGCAAAACAGAAGCTGAGAGACAAGAGGTTGAAAGTTGAAGAGGAGGAGTGATCGTAAAGGCTTCACTGTTTTAGGATCGATCGTACGCACTCATCCCGGTTCAACGGGTTCATTTGGGGTACGCGGAACCCGATAGGAATCTACGCCTCGATCTCAAGCCACCGTCAGTCGCCTCGATATTTCCTCGCAGTAAATTTCAGTCGTACATATAAAGCCCCTGTCATCCTTTGTTGTACCTCTATGAGACTGATCTTCACAGGGAATCAGACATCGTTGAACCGGGTATTTCATACAAGCAGGCTCGTCGAGCAAAACGCCTTAAAAAACGGAATGAACCACAATCAAAGCCATACAGATAGAGAACGGCCAAAAGTTTGCCGCAAAGACAAATATCAACTCAGTCATGTCTAGCCGCTTATATTCCTTAGATGTTCGTTAACGAGCCCTACGAAGGTAGCCTCATCACTTGCATGCTTTGTTCCCTGAACTCGCCGCCGCCCGTCCTCGTCAATATACCAAGGATCCCCCGCTGGCGTCCGCGCAAAGATGCAGTAGCGAACGACATCAACGTAGAACCGTACGTCACGCCCAGTGACCTCTCCAGCGGCTTATCATATGGCATTTCCCTTAACCCTTTCGGCATTCCGGGCGGCGGCGACTTGAATCTGCAGTCGTAATCGTACCTTATCTCGTTGACGGAGTTTGTGAGATATGAACTCGATCATAGCGAGTTACATCGGAGATTCATCAAGAAGGAAGCGGGGAGGGCGAGATTTACACGCTGAGGAAGAGGCTAACTGGGGAGAAGACAGAATTGGTCGGTTGGAGATCGCGCTCTCAACGGACTTGATAGAGATGAACAGTGAATGGCTTGTTATCTTGTACAAGCGGCGGGGCGTGCATTGGAGGACATTGAGAGTTGTTTTTTGCGCCAGACGAAGCTGTGCCTACGAGGAAGGACATTCTGCTCTTACATCACAGCGAACACCTACAAACAACAGGAAACCGTCCCGAGAAGTGATTTAGGTAGATTCTGGTACTGCCGAGGCAAGTACCGGATAACGGGCACTTCCTCCACGAGCTCCATGTTTGGGACGCTTGCCAAATGATGTCAGACAGCCTGGGTACATCGTCACCGAAGCGACAGCGTCACGGGACGGAGCGCCGCAAGTGGCAGACCCGATAGCCGTGACATACTAGCCCACGGACACACACAGCGTGCGGCGCATACTCCGCGACGGGCGAGTGCATGATGAGGGCCCCACCTCCGAGGACGGGCACTGGTGGCGGCCGTTCGGGATCGCTTGCCGCGCGCTGGTGCCACGGCGAGCTGAGGCGCGCAACTTCATTACCGCGTCCTGCCCTAGCTCGTCGCATCTTGGATATAGTGCGTTTCCAAGAGGACGGAGGCTGTTAATACGCGGTGAGACCAATTGGCTGACATTGTTAATCAGGGGCTGTGAGGCTGGAACACCAGTTCTCCGCGCTAGGCCAGACTTGGGCAGACGCCTGCTATATTGCGCTCGAGAAGAGCGTCGGACTTCAAAATGTGCCGTATAAGTCCTTGCAAGAGTGGTTCTTGAGCCAGTGATCTATTTCCGATGCCCTGTCAGTTGGGTAGCCGTCGTTTGGCGATGAGGGATATACTAGAGAGCTGAAGGAGGGTGTGGGTTGGACTGTAAGACATCGCATGGACGGCGAAGACAAATGCTACCTCGGATGGTTAATCGAGACTCTTCGGGTAAGATGTAATTGATCTGGACCCCGGTTTGCGCCTCAATCAATATTCAGCCGTTGAGCTCATGCAATCGATGCGCAGTGGCTCACTTTTCGACTCTTTCCTTGGTAGAACACCAAGCCACTTGGATAGGGTGGGTAGAGTTGGGAATTCTAGAGTTCCCATATCGTGCTGCCACCAAAATATCGAAGAATGCTTTAGCATTCTTGGTAGAGTACTAATCCCGTAGGGCTGAAGGGTAGACTTCGGGAAGGATACTGCAAATGGAAACAAGAAAGGCATGCAACGTAGTAGGAGAGGTTTACGGCGAAAGAATGCCCTGTGCCTGAATACGGACAATAAGCGCCAAGAAGATGCGACAGCAGCACAGCCAATGCTGGGAGCTATCAGGCAGCGGGGGCGGCATGCAGAGCTTGACTCCAAGGTACCCCTGTGTGGTGGCAGGCGCAGCGGTGACATTTAAGGTTAGACAAATCTATCTCTGTCAAAGAGCGCAGGGATCTCTAGGCAGATCTTGCACTCTTGTCACCTATCATGTTGAACATGAATGAATCAACGGGATGGAGCTGCGGAACATTCACGAGACACGATGACACGACTTGTTTCCTTCGTGAGATGAACCATGCAGATCTTTGACGTGCCGCTGTACATGCGGTTGACAGGATAAGTCGACCATTGAGTATGCATGATCACTACGTTCATTTTATACATAGGGTCAAAAAACTACGAGCGGAGGAGAAGAACCAAAATGAAAATGCAAGAAAAAAGAAGAAGAAAAACTAGGCGATGGCAGAAAGAAATATGGCAAATCGCTCCTGACCAGGCAAAACTGCCTCTCAATCCCATTGGCATTCAGGTAGTTGTGTTGCGGTCAGGATTTGCACCGGAGCTGAAAAGTCCCCATATGTGTTGTCCAGGGCTGAAAATTAGCGTAGAAGAACCTTGTGCTGCGGTAGCCGAAGGGCCCGACGCCGGAGTTGTGCAACAAAACAAGGCGGATTTTCACTTGGTAAGAGACCGAGAAGTTTCTTCCGTCTCCAATCGGCCAGTTTGTGAAGATAGGTTCGAAATGTATCCGCGCGGGAAAAGATGCATAATTTCGTCAGAAGCGGACCCAGAAAGTACCAAAGCCCCAGTGGACCTGGATGATTCTTCGGGTTGAAGGTCATGGCGCTAATTCGGTAAAACGGGGCAGACAGTGATGACGCGAACTGGAAAGGTCGGCATGCTCTTCCCACTGTTGGATCCATCCGAGGCAGCAGTGCAGACCTGCGCCTCGAACGTGTACTAGTAGGATTCTATGAGTGAGTGCTGGTTGTCCTGAGAGACGGGGTGTCAGGGGTTAAGGCCGGAACCGAAATCAAGAAGAAATAGCGAGCAGCAAAAGGACCAACATCATGGGCCGATGCCAAGGCCTCGAACGGCTTCGCGGCTGAGAAAAAGTCAGTAGTGGAGGGAGGTTTTTCTTATTCTTTCAGCGTCATCGATTAACCCTTTGGGGGGAAGGGCGCCTACGCTAGTCAGAAACAACGGCGCTGGTTTTTGGTGCGGATGAAGTATTCCCGACTCGCTGCAGCAGGCTTGAACAAATTTTTAGACTGATAATGACTGAATCATTGCTTGTTGCCCGCCCAAATCCCAGGCTTCAGTTACTCCGCTGCGTGCGCTATTCGCCACGGTAGCCAAGGCGAGTAAGAGTGCCGGGGGTGTTGTGGGAGCGTTGGGACTCCTTGATCGGCTTAGGCGGAAGCCAACTGTGAATGCACTAGCCCAATTGCCTTGGCCGTTGCGTCCCCTTTGAGGCAAGATGCCAAGGCTTCTCCAAATTCTCACCGGCAGGGAAATAGAGGGGAGAGATGAGCTGACGGCGGGAACGGGCTCCTCTCTGGCCCGCGACAGCGAATAAGATTGGCGCAGACCATCGCCGCCGCCGTTTCGTTGGCTGCGAGACAGCTAGCAGCCTTGGCCCTCGTTAATAGCCACATTCGAGTGGCAGCCCAAACCAGCGTTCAAAGAGAAAGCGAGTGCAGTAGGTGAGTGTGCGAGGGGAAAAGGAGGGCGAAAAGTCGTCGTAATGCTCCCTAGGTGCTGTCCAGTTAGGATGTGGCTGGGCGAAACTTGGTGGGCAGTTTTGCCGGTCACACGTGTATTCGATCTTTCAGCTAGGCCCAATCATTACTGGCACGGTCAGAGAATGCAGAGGGCGAACGGGAGCAGTAGCTCAATGTTTCCGTGTATCCGTAGCGCAAGGGGAATGACTGTCAGCCCAAGCTCAACCTCAGCCTGGTAGGGTGTGGTGGTTCGTACCGAATGGTCACTGTTTATGACTGGGGAGGCTGTGCACGACCATTGCTCCCCAACGCCATGTTCGGCTTGTGTGTTGGCGGTAGATTCTGATCTCGGGTGTTGTTTCAATCTATTTGGCTATCGGCATAGATGGGGAAACAGGCTTGAGGGTTTTGCAGTTCGATTTTGATAATATTTCCTGGCTGAAGGAGGGAATAGAGAGAGGTCTATCTCTTGGCATGTCGCCTGAACTGCTTAATTTGGTCTCAGTTGGTCTTAATTCTGCTAGTATGAGTAGCGGCAGTTGTTTCTCTTTAGGTGCTCCAACAAGGCAGAACGGGTAAAAACTGTTGCCAAGATCCTTTTTTGTCATTTTTTTTTTTTCTTTGTCTTTCTCGCTCAGGGTTGCGTTGCTTCGAAGAGTAATGCTACGTAGTTGGCCTCACTTCTCAGCCGCCATGTCATCTCATGTCTCTCTCTTACCAGACAGTGATACTCATAGTAGCAGCACACCCCGCAGTTTCTCTTAAGAACGGGCCAATTGGTTTGCACAGTTGGGACGAGTGGCTTAGAGATGCGTGCATGGACTATGCCTGCTGAGACGACCAAAGCTCAGCCTCAAGGGAAGGTGTGCCTAACCTAGGAAGGCACAGAAGGGCAGGCGTCTTACCTCCAGTGTCGCTTCTTTTTTAGAGCTATGGATGCTAAAGTAGGTAAGTGGTAAGGTACCACCTACCTTTCCAGCCTATCTGAGCCTCCGTATTCGACAGAGGGGAGCTGCGCATCAGGGGCGAGGGAAACAGCACCTTCCAACACAACACACCTGTACTCGTGCGCCCCACCGAGCAGCGCCGCGCCTGCCATGGGTTCCCCATATCAAATTAAGCAAGTGAGGTCACTCGTCCCTTCCCCTTTACAGAACAGTGATGCAGGCAGGCTGCAGGGCGCCTATGGGTAGGTAAACACTCCACGCACCTTCCTTGGCCCGTCCCACCCTCATCCACCTCGTCGTTCGCTTCCAAATTCACCCTACTAGCCTGAGTAGCCCATTACGCCAAGGCTATTCGGCCATACTTAAAAAGCATTGCGATCCCACTCTTCTCCTGGAAAACCCCCGGTCGCTCGCCGTCTCCGTATTTCGATCTCAATTTTGGGATCCCCTTTCCAGTTTGCTTCTGGTTTTTGGGTTCTACACAAATTCTTTCGGGTATTTTTCTTACTTATCCTTCTTGTCGCATATACCCTTTCCCGCGCCTAGTCGATCCCACTTAGATCCGACCGATATCGATACCGACATCATCATGGCCGCCCGTATCTTGTCTATCGCTGCTTTGGCTGCCTGCGCGACCGCCGCTGCCGTTGCCCGCGATGAGTCCTCCGGCTCCGTTCCTGGCGTTCTCTCTCTGCCCGTCTACCAAGACATCAGACTGCACCCTCTTGACAAGCTGAGAAGACGCCAAGTTTCCGATACCGACGTCCCCGTTATTAATGTTACCTCGACAACGTATCTCATTGAGCGTATGTGGCACATGAAGATGACATCTGACTCGTTGCATTTATCTAACCCGCCCAACAGTTATGATTGGAACCCCCGGTCAAGACACTAAGGTTGCCATCGACACCGGATCCTCAGAGCTTTGGGTGAACCCCAACTGTGCTAGAGCTGGCAGCACCCAGCAGGCTCAGGCCTGCCGCGCCAACGGACAATACGATCCTTCCAACTCCAGAACCTCCTATGAGTATCAGCAGACAGGTCGCATTAGATATGGAAAGGGAGAGGTGGCGCTGCAATATGTCCATGATAACATCACACTTCCCGGCAGTGGTACGTCCTAAACCGATCGACTGGCTTCCGGAACTTAGACTGACAATTACCAGATATTGCCCTCTCGCAGGTCATTTTCGGCTATGCTACCGACAGTGTCGACCTTGACAGGGGCATCCTCGGTCTCAGCTTCGGAGAGAACACGAACACCACCGGCTATCCCACCGTTGTCGAGGAGATGAAGGCTCAAAAAGTCATCGATTCTTTGACCATGGGTATCGCTCTGGGAACCAAGGATGAGCCTACTGGTAGCGGTCTCATCTCCTTTGGTGGCGTTGACACCAAGAAGTTTAGCGGCAACCTGCACTCCGCCCCTATTCTGGGACCCCAAAACAACGAGAGACTTTGGAGGTGAGCAGCTGGCATTTTTGCTTTCTTTTGTAACCCTTGAAGTTGCTTTGCTAACATATTTTTAGATACTGGGTGCAGCTCGATTCCGTTGCATTGAGCAAGTCTGGCAGCAAGTCGACCACCTACGCCAATTCCAGATTCCCCGTCTTTTTCGACACCGGTGCCACTCTCAGCTACCTGCCCTCGGCAGTTGTTGACGCGCTCGGAAAAGACCTGGGCGGCCGCATCGACTCTTCTGTGAACATGTATGTTGTTCCGTGCAAGCAGCAGGGCACTATCGATTTCACTTTTGGTGACTTCACCATGAAGGTGCCTTTGTCTGAATTCATCTGGGAGGTCGCCGAAAACGCCTGCGTGCTCGGTGCCGACAAGGCCAGCGACGGCTCTTACCTACTGGGTGATTCTTTCCTTCGCTCCACATACGTTGTCTTTGACCAGGAGACGCCTGCTCTCCACTTCGCTCCGTATGTCAACTGCGGTACCAACTTGCATAAGATCCCCCTCGGCAACAATGCGGCCGCCAAGTTTGCGGGCGAGTGCCAGGCTGGCTCGAGCAACAGTGGCAACAGCGGCAGTGGCAACGGCAACGGCAAGAACGACGCTGGACGGGCTTCCGTCAGCGCATTCTGGCCTGTGGCGGCTGCGCTAATGACCGTCCAAGTCTTCATGTCTCTCCTTTAAGTACCTTATAGTATAATTTCACGGCCGGAAATCGAGTGCATGATTCTGGAGTTAGGGTTGATTACACATACACATGGTCTGTATTGGCAGATAGAGACGGCGAATCGGGCCAACTGTACATGGCGGATTGCTGATACCCGACTCCCCTTGTCCTGGGGTGACATAGCTACTGGCTTTATGAACATAAAAAGACGTTGTATTCTACATGGTATTCCTGCTTCGTGATGGTCGTTCTGCGACATACTTTGAGTGCACAAGTGAACTCCGACTACCTCATTGATAATCAAGATGCAGATCAAATACTGGGCTTCCAATCAACATATGGTTAGTAAACAAGAAAGTTAATCGCTGCGTTCTTTTCTCCAGGAGTTCATCCGGACTTGCAAAGAAGGCGCGGTGCCTCCAGCATATATCCCTGCAGTCTTTTGCTCATTCCCAATCGGGCCATGCAGGAACCTTCTTGCCTCCCAGTGAGTCGCTGCCCCAATACCTGTCAATAGTGAACAAGAAGATGTTTATGGCATTCCTCTCACATCTTTGAGCACCCCTAATTCAAACCTCGAAAAACAAACTCTCTAGTCCTTCCCATTTGTTTCTTCTGTGCCGTTTCAATACCTAAGACCTCGTTATCCATACCAAAGTATTTAATACACTGGCCTCAATTGCCTCAGATCTCCTCCTCTTCTCGACCACGCTCCCTCAGTTTACGTCACGAAGAAGAAACCCAGCAAAATGCGATCATCGGCAATTATTGTCGCATGTATGGCAATGGCGCCCAGCCTCACCGCCGCTTCGGGGGCTTTAGGCTTTGCTCTCGGTGCGAAGCAACCGGACGGCCAATGCAAGTTTCAGGCGGACTACGAAGCAGACTTCAAGGCCATACATGATGCCTCAGGAAGCAGGATCGTGCGTATTTACGCCGCTGACCAGTGCAACACGGCCAAAGAAATCCTACCAGCAGCAAAGAAGGAAGATTTCCAGGTCATTCTTGGTATTTGGTAAGTTCTGCAAGCCATCTGCCAATAGTCACCACCTAATCTCTGTCCTGTTCTTGCATCAAACTTTCTGTTGAAGTTTAAAACACCTGATTGACTCGGGAGAACAGGCCGGACACGGAGGAGTCATACGCCGCCGATAAGGCTGCCATCCTCCGGTACACACCCGGATTTGAAGCTCAGGTCTACGCCGTCACCGTCGGCTCCGAGTCTCTCTACCGCGGCAATTTCACCGGCCCTGAGCTTGCGAGCAAGCTCAAGGATATGAAGAAGGCAGTGCCCCACTTGCGTATCGGCACTGCGGACAGCTGGAACAAGTACCAAGACGGCACTGCCGACGCCGTCATTGAGCAAGCAGACATATTATTAACTAATGCCTTCTCGTATTGGCAGGGTCAAACCCGCAGCAATGCCACTGCCTCATTCTTCGACTCCATAATGCAGGCATTCGGACGTATCCAGAGCATCAGTGGATCCTTTGACAAGCCCGAGTTATAGGTTGGCGAAACAGGTAGGTCGACTGCTGCATTATCCACCTTCTTCTACCTCCCCATTGTATCATCATGTTCCTGAATTGCCGACTGGTCTCATCTTTGGTGGTTACAGTGGTTAACAAGCCTCTTCGCCTAGGCTGGCCAAGCGAAGGTGCCAAGTATCAGCACGCCTTGCCAGGGTTTGAGAACGCGGAAGCCTTCTACAGTGAGGGCGTCTACGGCATGATTCGCTGGGGCTTCAACGTGTTCTTTTTCGAAGCTTTTGACGAGCCCTGGAAGCCGCACGCCATTGGCGAGGATGGCAGCGAGGCGCCTGAGGGGCACTGGGGCGGGATGAAAGCCGATCGCAGTGCCAAGTATCCTCTCAGGTGCTGAGATCTGAGCCTGATATGATTGCAGCGGCACACGGCGTTACTGCCCATCGGACAGTTTACTCCTTGGCCTTTTCAGATGACATGGACGATGGTGTCTCGGATTACCATTTATGACGTTAAGCTGGTAGATAGCCGATGAGAGAAGCAGAGTTTACTGCCGTGTGTTGCCCTTTTCTTTTTTTGTAGGGGAAATCGATGAAGTGGACTGTAAACTTCCTCCAAAAGAAGGGAGACAGACACCACGATCGGAACAGACGGTTCTCCTTTTCATTTTCTTCCCAACCATCTGACGCGTCGTATCGGGACCAGACAAGGTACTCAGGTCTCGACCAGGCACACTCATACACCAAGTTTCGCAGTGAGATTGAGTGTGTGTGAATGCTGGCCGTTATCATTGGGTAAGCCCGACTAGGTTTCTCTGACCGTGCCTAGCCTAGATGTGATTCGATCAGGTGTAAGTACGTGAAGTGGGAAGAGTGCCACATCCAGGCTAGAAAGAGAGAGAAAAGGCCCCCAAGGGGGTGGGCATGGGGCCGGGAGCTTTGTGTGTTAAGGTTATGGATTAGAGTTTTGCGGCTCTGGTTGTTACAGAAAATCCGCCCCCCCTCTCTCTCTTTACCTTGTTACCGCGCCGCGAGTGGGGGATTTGCTTCCCGCTCTAAGGAAACGCGGAAGCGCCCTAGTATTCTTTTTTTCCTTCTGCTGTCAGCCACACAGACCCCTGGATTCTGAGGCACTTCGGGCGTCACATTCAAAACACGGGTATAATTGGGCAGTGAGGGGCGGAAGGGACGAGAGAAGCGCGTCCGGTTTGATGATCATGTGGAGTGTATGATTTTCGGTCTCGGAATTTTTGGGTTTCCCTATTCTGGCTATTAACGAATTCACTATAGCATCACTTTGTTGGAAGTTGTTGGTTAGTAAGGACGGAAAGGGGGCATTGTTCAATAATTCAATTTTCATATAAATTTTTTTTTTTGGTTGTTGAAAAGTGAATAAGGCTATGTCTAATATATAGTAAAAAAAAAAATATTGGGGATAGAGAAGTGAAAAAATGTGTGTTGTTTTGAAAGGTTTGAAGAGTGCCAAGCCTTTGCCCTTCCTTACCGCCGTCAAGCATCCCACCGCAGCCGAAAGCCCGATGACCGGACATCCGGTGGGTGATCATGATGATGAACATGGTAGACGAGAGAAGTTCGGGAAAGGACTTGGATGCACATTAATTTCTCAAAAGCCGACCGGAATGCTCAATAGAGAATCCACATGCCGCTGTAAACCGCTCAATAGGTCGTCTCCCCTGTGGTGTTTGAAAATGCCCAAATAGCTTTGAATAAAAAAACGCTGATGATGATGATGATGATGTGTGATGCTGATGCTTTCGTGAACCCGTCACTTTGAGTTTAAAAAAAAACCGTCGTTCTTCGTCTGTTCTCGCCGATATGTAACTAGTATTCGCCGAGTGAAATGTTCCCTGGCGACGAGGCGGGTGAGACGGATCATCGGAATCGTCGGGCCCTTAGGTATGGACTTGGCTGTGGAGAAACTCCGCTGAGGATCCCGACGAGCTCCGGCCTGTCTTTTCCCGCACTCAATCACGATGCGCTCTTTGCATGGCGTTCAGACTTTGCTCATGATCTTCTCAAAGGACTGGAAATTATGATTAGCTTCATCATGATATATGTGTATGCAAGATGTTGAAGACTTACGCGCAGCCCTGGGGGGTGACAACACCGAAAAAGCAATCGCCGGGGTTGGCCTCTATCACCTGGTTCGGCTTGACGGGTGTGATAACAACGCCAGCGGACACCAGAGACGCGCACAGCGTCGTCAAAATAGCGAGTGAGACCTTCATTTTGGTTTTGTGTGGTGATTGTCGCAGGAGGAATGAGTGGTAGTAGTCAGGCTGCTCAGAATAGCTGCCTGTTTACTGTCCGGATCGCTGGAGCACTGCTCTCGTCGGTTCCCGTGAATTTCCACTCTCTTTCTGGTCGAAAATGTGTTTCCTTTTTGCCCTTGATTTCCTTCAATAAACGATAGCGGTGTCGTCGTCGTCGAACTAGCGACGAGTCGAAGAGTCGTGGCCGTGGATGTGAAAAGTGACGAAACGGAGGTATGTACGAGGACAAGCAATATGTATAATGAATAAGATTCAGACCAGCTGGGTAAGTGTGAGCACGGGGCGGGTGCTCGATGTAAAAGAGAGTTGTGGTTATGTTTGTCGAACGAAGCTGCAGGTTGCAGATGGCTAGACTAGGTTGCGTCTGGCGATACGAAGCAGAGCGCAGGATTAGACTTTGGTTGGAATGCAGGAGAAAAAGCGAATTTTCAGAGACGGTGGTGGTGGCGGTGGGATGTCGGAGTGTTAAGAGAGAGCGAGGTGGTGTGCGGGTTTGTATGAGCGTGCAGATCTCTTGGCGTACGTGCGTTTCCGTGCGTTGCGTTGAGACTCGTGGTCTTGATGTCGGTGGTTTGCTGGTGTGGTGGTGAGACGAGGTGAAGCAAAGCGAGTGGAGGATGGAATAGTAGGCACGAGTTAAGTGTGGGAAGGGAAGAGAAAGAGAGAAGGGAAATCGGACGATGATGGGCTGTGACGAAACTCGTCTCGACACGGGGGAGAGGGTGGAAAGCACAAGGGGAGGCCAAGGGTGGGTGCGGTGTGTGTGACCTTCGGAGACGAGCGAGAGCTGGGCCTGAATGGTCCCCTCTCTCAGCCGTACCCAGGTACGAGAATATTTGACTATGGATGCTAAGCATTTGGCGACAGGGGAAAACGCAAGGATGAGGGGCCTAGGGAACACCTGTGAGGGTGTCCCAAAGGGGATGGGAGGTCCGAGATGAGCTGGTGGAGTTTCAGGGTTGAAACCCATTGTTGCGGCGGTGCGATTACGGTGGGAGTTGATGATAGTACGCTGATTGCCGCCATCTGGTCATTCTCATTTCACCGGCAGCTTGCAAAATGAAGCCAATATCTTGGCCGTACGATGCCGATGCTATTTTGCTGTCGCTGGCATCACGACGGGCTGGTATACGTCGGCGATGAAAAAAGATTAAAAATCAACAAGTAATAGCTTAACATTGGCGCGAACTTCCGAGAAGAAAATAAAAGATAAAAAAAACATCAACGTAAATGGACACGAGCTAAGGAGCAAAAAGTGGCCAGTGACCAGCGACGGATCTTCAGAAGCCACCAACACTGAGGGGAATAAGGTTGTACAAAAGGTACGTATTCGTAGCCATTGGACAGCGGTGATTGCCTGGCAGGTGTGGGACTGTCCAATAACCACTCTTGGTAGGAGAAGAGGACTCCAGATGTTCTGGAAATGCGGCCAGCAAGACGCTTGGTAGTTGGACGAGCGGCAATTTGGTGCCAGAGCCCTTGATCCTATGCGGTGCCTAATTGGCTATACCCATACGACACATGCGACACGCCCGGATTTCAAGCCCACGCCACATCCAGCGGTTTTCCCAGGCTGGTGGGTCGATGGTGGTTTGGTGGGGCCATTCAGGCACGGGAAGATCTGGGCTGTTGGTTGGCTGGATGCGTCAATCGAGGCAGGGGCAAAGGCGGCACTAACTGAAAAAGGGGGGAGGGGCGTCTATACGTACCTTACTAGTACAATGGCAAAAGGTGGAGGGACGGGTAGAGGGAAGGAAGGGAGACAATTGTTAGTGTCGCATAAGGTACCCGTGGTCCTTACCTTACCGTACCTTACCTAGCATAAGCAGCCAAACAACGGCCAGACAGCCACACAAACCTACAGAGACGGAATACAAGGCAAAACCTGGCTGCCGCACCTCACAACGCTCCAATGCACATGGCGCAGTAAAGGCGTGCCTGGCCAAGGCAGGGGCTCCGCTGTCAAAACCATCATTGGACGTACCTCTTACGTAGGGATGAGTCCTGGAGACGTGGCGGGAGTAAGAAAATCCTCCTGGCTGAGTGATCCCGTGGCATTGACAGCCATCAGTCCACAATCTCCTTGTTGGGCGACTCAGAAACCTGGTCCCGGTGGTGATCTGGGTGACTGTGCTCAGAGCAGAACAGAGCAGTATTCCCCAACAGCAGAGCCAAGACATGTCATTCGTGAGATCACTAGCCTGGGCATCCAATTTCAAACTGCTCTTAGTCTGGGCAGTAGCCATCTCTCATACTTGATGTGGCTCGGCGCGCGCCTACCATCGCCATGCAGTTGGACGCGTGGCTGACATGTCTCGACTAGGGGGATCTTCGTGATCCAAGGGGCTGAAGGGGTAGCCTGCGATCAAGGTGCTTCGAGACGACGACACATCGCTACGCCTATCGAAACCTCGTTTATGAACCAAACTTCAGAGCCGGTGTTTCTGTTTGCCTTTCTTGCAAAAGATATTACGGCCAGACCCTGACTACGACAGATTCTGCGCACACAGAGCTTGTCGCTTCCATATCCAAATCGGTTGGTCGGTGGCCCAGTTGCCGGCAGCAAATCTGCCGGGTTGTGCCCTGACCACAACGGATATTGATCTGACCCAGTGCCGTAGGCACGAAAGCCGAGAGCAACTCCTCGATGACATTCCTCCTTCCTCAAGAGGAACTGGGCACGAGCCAGGGCGGGCCGATCTCCGCTGGCTCTCCTGCGGCTCTGCCGCTCTATTCCGTGGGGCCGGGTTTGCTTTCTTCCTACTCTAAACAGCGGTGTCAGTGTTTTGCGCAGATCCGTTACGCTGATCTTTGATACGCCTCGGAAGGATCTGATGAATATTCCGCCTAGATTCTCATGCCAATTACAAGTGAGGCTCCGCCGGATCAAAAGGCCGTGAACCGCGGAAATGAAATGTGCCCTCTAATGGTTGTGTCCGATAAACGACTGAACGCGAATGCTTAGTACTCGTTTGCGCCACAATTCACCGAGACTTGTCTCGGTGCTACTGTCCATCGTCGTGTCACATTGTCTCGCAAGTGCGGAGTAACACAGGCACAGCCAGTGGTTACATTCCTCGTCAGAATCGTCGTACGAAGAATGTGGTCGAGTCATTGACGACGTAAGCGCTCAACGGGCCGTGGGCTTCGTCATACATCATTCTTGGGCCGTGCCTCAGGGCCCTCGCAGACCTTTGTCAGCGTCATAACCGTGCTTGGCTTTCATTGAAATGCTACTACAGGCTCTGAAGGTTCTTGGTGAGCTTCTAGAAGCCAGATGTTCCGACTTGAGAGTCATTGGCATTTGAGTAACTGATATCAAACTTCTACGCAGCACGCCAGGCTTTGACCGTCACCCGGAAACCTTCACTTCGTACCACAATGACATATCTGGCAATGCAAGAGGTACTAGTGTCCAAGCAATACCTCGAATTGTCAGCTTCCGGGCAATGGAGAATTTCAATACGGATTGTCTGACCAACCCTACAGGTGAGACGACGGCTTTCTCCATGGCAGGCAAGTCGAGGGATCCTAAGCTATACAACCTGATCAAAACGAAGAATTACTGCGCTTCCTAACCTCACCGAACCCTAGTTCACCTATGCGTACAGCCCTATTTTACATCATAAAGATACCAGCTTCGCCTAGCTCATGAGACGAGCCAGAAAGCACTGTCCGCATAACTACCCCTTCAGGTTTCGACTATGCTGCCGTAACGCGTGTTCTTGTGCTATGTAAGGTATTCGGGATGTTTCCGGCCAGCAGTCGAATTTTAAGGGAAGTGGAACTGGATTTTGAGTCGAGTTCACTTCACCCATCGACGACAATTTCACGCTGGCTTGTCTCCTGAACTCCTACCTTCATCATCTTTCCCGCTCCAAGCATGCAATCCAGGTTTTCATGGATACATGCCATTTTTCTACTTTTCACGTCGATACGAGATGCATGAGTCAGATTCTGTATGAGACTATGTTCGTGGTTGTTTCAGTCGTGTGCATTTTTGATGCTCCAGCCTTCGAGTGGCATGCACAGCCGGGCCGTGTTAACACGGTCATGTAAACCATCCTTGTGTCTTACCGTTCGACTCAGATAAATCTAGTAGCTTACTATCATGCACTACATAAGCATTCACTTTCAAAGACTTGGTTATAGCAAATTCTTGACTACCTTCCAAGGCCAGATTCCCCTCGCTTGCGTTGATATTCAAAATCACCAGATCTTCTGTGCTGATTAAGTCGTAATGAACTACCTTATATCCATGACTCCGGATTTGTTTCCAGTTGTTCATCCGTGGCCAGGTAAGCAGGGGCGCTCGGTTTAGTTTACATCCGCACTTACAAGGGTCGTTTTGCTCAACGAGTTCCCGCTAGTTTCGTTTTCCAGACGGTCGTGTTTCTTTCAAATTGCAAGGTTAGATATAATGCTTTCCGAGAATTAATCTGGGAACGAGAAAACAGGGAAAGAAAGTTCAGGCTAGTGCCCGCAACAGAGCCGAAGCTCTTGACAAGATCGTAGCTTGATCAGGTCTTGTTGCCAGCTTGGGATTCCACGCCGCTACGTGTTTTATAATGGATTCTGCAAAGTCTCCGTATAGAGAAACCCGTTTCATATATCGTTCGGCTGGAAGATTTGTCCAGCTGTCAAGGTGTACCTCAGGCTAGCAGAATTCAACTGGTTTCTACGTTGGCTAAACGGCAGCTTTATTGACACGTTTCCATGAGCACTGAGAGCAGCACCGGCTAACATGTGGCACGCAACCCAGGGCCAATAGCTTACTAGTGTCGAAGTCGGCTGGCTAAGCTGGAGCCTTGAAGAACTTGGTTCAAGTCATCTTACAATTCCAATTCGAAGTAAACAAGATGTAACTCCTCGGTGAACGGGCTACTAGTAGTAGCTTGATTGCTCAAGGTTTGTTACATGGGGTGCTATTTGGGTCTGCCAATGTGATAGTGCACCTGAGTCTTGTCGCTTGAGCTTCACTCATTCGCGGGGTCGCCTCTGTTACGACTCCGCTACTAGTGATGAAGCCATTAAACTAAGCACTCACTGCTTACACCCGTGAGCACGAACTGCATGCTTATCACGCATGAGTAATGATCTTCTCGAGACCACGGCGATGCTCCAGGAACCAGATTATACCTGGCATCTTCAAATTGCCATCGAAAAAGTTTGCCGCGAATTTCGTCTGCGTTATCCGAGCATACGCCATTAGTCGATTGTTCTTGTGCGGCAGCCCAAACTACGACGTTTTATAAGTATTGGGCCTACCGCCAGAAGTTACAGTAGCTGAGGAAGTGAGAGAAAGAGCTGCTGGTGACGACCACCTCATCTATCAGGCGAACATGAGTTCTCCATGTCAGTATTCTGCTACAAATGACACACGAATTACTAACCTAAGCGCCCCATCATTTCTAGGCGTCTTGAATGGTGATATTTAGAGATACGCCTGGGGCTTTAGACCATTCATGCCTCGATGCTTCTTCAAAAAGCATCCCAGTATAATAAAAGACTGCATATTGGAGACAAGTGGATACTAGATGTAAATTGATAGCGTAGTGAATCATGAGGAGATAAACTTCCTATCATTCGCTACTATTAGATAACTATGTTACTCAGGTGCGGCTGGATGACGCGCCGCCCCAAGCGCTCGATCCGGCTCGCCAGTGTGAGTTTGCAGTGTTTACAAAAGACCTTTAGTAAAGCTCGCCACCTATCATCAGCTTGAACTTCATGGACGCCGTTTAAAGCCACTGTGCTGTCTGACTGGTCGCCACATTACCCTGTGACCTTCTTGGGCCGCAATGCAGATTATGCGGCTTATTTCATATGAGGCTTCAGCATAAACAATATTGTAACTATTAATTCCAAGCACTTTTTATCCAAACCTACCAAGTTTTGCGCAGTTCTTTTTGACTGTCTTACAACTTGTACCTTTCTGTTAAGTAATAGAACCCGTATATCTGGCAGACTTCGATGGACGATTCCCTCATTGACAACGCTCATTGCGAACATGAACGCGACTCATGCATACCCAGTGCGACTAGAGGTATGTAACTTAATGTATCTGAAGAAGCACGGAGCTGATACCAACAGACCTTCAACGGATCTTTCTGTTTCAGTCACCTGTTGAAAGTCTCCAATCGGTATCAGGCGGGAGTTCTAGTGCCCCTCCTGGCCCTTTGGATCACTGGGATGACCATTCTGATCTAAATGAGACAATCTCCCTTCCGCGCATCTCAACACAGCCGTTTGAAATTGTATGCCACATCGGCGTTGTTGTAATTAGGGATGATGTTTGTTCGGATCCAAGCCTATGTCTGCTGCAAAAACTGGTCATTGGGACTGTATTTGAACACACCGGCCCTGAATTAGGAATTGCGCGAAATGCGACAGGAAAAAGGGTGGATATCGCATATCTGAAAAGCTGGACAGCCTTGGAGTTCGTTGCATTTACAAATATGAAGGGTGCTGAGCTGAACAGTCTACGTAAGCTGGCGTCTGCTATCATTCTAAGGCCTCTAAGCAATACTAATTCCGAGTCTGAAAAGTCCAAGATATCATCAGCGTGGATGGAGACTTGGACCGCGACGCTCCATACTGTCCGATTTTCTGGAATTGCCACGACATTGCCTGTCGATTTGCATTTTTAGCCGCGACGATGTCACTCACAGATTTGACTTTGATTCGTCAGTTATCTGGGATGATGGAAAGAGCTAAGTTCCTATTAGTGATATATCTAGCCAACGGTGTGCTTGCTGTCGAAGAGTGGTCGTGGAGTGCTCTGAGCCAGGTACAGACACTGGTAGGACTGACCTTGGACCCCATCAGATCCATACCTATGAGCCTCTCATTTCTATATCGAAATGTTCTATCTCAAAAGGCCGTATCTGATGGCATATCCCGCAGGGTGATGGTGCGGATGGTTCGGACGGACACATTGAATCGACGTTTTCCGGGCTTGGATGACTTGAACGATGTTAATACTGAAGAATGGGCTCGCTTGTCTGATGTAGGAATATGGGGCATAGTTCGCCGATGGGAAATAATTCGTTGGTTCTATGCGAACTAGAAGACCATATTGGAACCAGATTTTCAGATGATATCACATTTTGTGGAGAGCGACAAATTGCCCACGAATACCCGAGTGACCTCTGCTCGCAATTTCATTACTTGCTGTTATTCAGATAGTTTTAATACTCTTCCTTTGTTTGTTGTTGTCTGAGCAATGATGATTAGCCTTTTCCTATAGTCTAACCATATTCATGAATCTTCAATGCGTAGAGTTTAGAGATTATGAAATGTATATTGGTTTACAAATGGGTAAGGTAATTCCATCATATCTGGTTTCAGTATCTTTTTTAATATCTAAATGTGTTCAGACAATCACGCTGGTTTGGTCATTACCTTGGCTTAATACCATGATACATGTCTGGTGGGTTCTCTATGCAATAAGGTTAGTACGGGGATCTAACATCACATGATTAGCTCCGTTCGCACGACTCAGAGCATATAGAGAACTGTTAGTTCTTGCATTCAGGGTCTGCAGGGTAGTAAATTCACTTCCTAGGGCCAACACGAATCCAGATTCCATTAGAACGTCCTTGTGCAAGGCAGCAATATAGTTGTGAAGAGGCCAATATCCCAAATACTAGATGTCACCACCATCAAAGTATTTAATCGGCATTCGTGTTGTTTATATCTAAATTCCGTTTTAAAGCTGCCAAACGTAACATCTCTGCATTTTGAGGCGTAGCAGTGAGTTGTATCTCAAGTTGTGGCACGGCCAGGCAGCTCTTGGCTGGGCACAGTTGCCTAGGTACGTCAGGTCAGTTGTCGGCCAAGAAAAGCAAATACCAAGCAGGCGGCACAAAGGATGGCCTCACGTCTTTCTGGGCCTTCTGGGCCTGGGCTGGGTTTTCCGGTCGCTGCCAAGCCGACTACATCGACCGCGCGCGAATTAGGAGTTTGCGGTATACAGACCCCTGACATTCAGATACCTAGCCAGAGTCTACCATGTTGGCCTTGACCCTGTCATCTTCAGCGCTCTCACAACTCGAGCTATCACATGGCTACGAAAGATTGAAGACTTTATCGAATATTGAATCTTCGCCGGAAGCCGATGTTAAGTCATGGTTTGCTCTATCGCCAATGTAACTTTAAAGTATCCGTAACAGACGCTCTCATATCAAGTTTTGTTACATTAATCGGGCCTGTAATCCTCCAGCGGCACTCGCTTGGGTCAAGCGGGTGAAGTGAGGGCTTGTTTCTTGCCTGCATGGGTATTGACCTACCTGGGTAATATTAGGTGACTTGTGTCTAACAAAGCTTTGTCTGTGTCTTTGGCTGTTATATCTAGACTTCTTTGCACAAGAAAGTTCTTCAGACAAGGGTTTCTTTTCTTCATTTACATATGCACACTGCTAGACTAAGATATTTCTTTGCAGGAGCTTATCGGGATTGATCATCTCATTCAGTGCTAAGGCCTTTCGGAGAGGGAAAAACAGCCAACGCAAAAGTTCTATTTAAGAAGTACGGAGTACAGTTATTGTATTTCCTCATTGGGACTCAACTCCGCTCGCCTTTTACTAGTATAATATTTCATTTCCACTGGATCGGGGATCTGTACGCTAGGGCTATGCATGGTACAGGGGAACACCCGATGCAGCGACGTCTCTGTTACTACTTAGTTCACGCAAGGTACTTTTTCCATTTCTTTCCCTAGTAGACAATGCATCTGCGCCGTGAAGCTTTCTGTCATGACCACGACAGCCTTCCGGTTCGAGCAACATTCTCACCAATCATGAGACTTTTGTAAGTGACCTCGTGATCACAGGGATGCGAATGGCCAAGGGGTAATCTTAATTATTTGGTGTTGGGGTACTGACAGGGGGTTTAACTGCCCACTCGTGTCCGAATTCATGTGCAGGTTAGGCTTCCATGCTCTTGGCTCCCGCCTTCAGCGCGCCGTGGTTCTTTTACGCGTTCATCTTATCCCGTCTAATTAGGCAGCTTTACTGTATAGAGGCGCATAAGGTGCGCGAATTCGTTCGATCTGACACACCAACTTCACATAGACATTTGTGGCACCTGGTGCTCTGCGAAGCCGGGCAAAAGGGCAACTTGGTGATACATTACTTGTAGAGCACTCTCCATGGTGCCAAGATGAGACCATCCAAAGAAACTGGTCAGCATGATGATCCTGCGATACCATTCTAGCGTGAAGGATTTTTATTTTAGCATTGCAACCCATATTGCTGAGGCCAATTTTCCGCCTTCTTAGGCACATTCAAGATGTAGCTGACACATACATTGGTCTTGCGCCCATGGAAGAACATGAATGCTGCTTCGTGCGATATTGCCAGGCAGCTATGGCATGGAAATGATTTCTCGGCAAGGATATATGAAGCCGCCTAAGTCCTGATCCAGAGTGGAAAAAATCTATCAGAGTACTTCAATCACGTCTTTAGTTATCAATATGTTGTCACTTTTCAAGTCGTTGCCTCTTGGGCTCTTGGCCATTCATTCTACGCTCACCTTTTGCGGCGTATTGGCACAAGAAACTTCATCCTCGGTTGCCACGTCTACATCTGCTGGACTTTCTTCCACGACCAGCCCGGTCAGCACTATCAGCGCAACCCCATCAACCACCTCTTCGAGACCGCCCACCACCACAACGACATGGAACGGCGTTCAGACTCCTCTGCCGACCCAGGCTGGAATGGTAGCCGACTGCAACAAGTTCTACTTTACCAAGCGTGACGACTTTTGCGCACGGATTTCCTCTGAGAACGGTATAACCTTTGAGCAGTTCCTGGCTTGGAACCCAAGCGTCGGCAGTGAATGCAAAACCTTGTGGGTTGGCGTGAATGTGTGCGTCGGAATCATTGGTTTCGAGCCTACCCCAACGGAGCCGCCAAACGGCATTGCTACACCGCAGCCGATCCAACCTGGGCTAGTCAAGAATTGCCACAAGTTCCACCTGGTTCAAGGAGGAGAGCTCTGCGGGAGTGTCCTCAACAGGTACGGAATCACGCTCCAACATTTCACCTCATGGAACCCTGCCGTCGGCAGCCCTTGCTCTCTCTGGGCCGACACCCATGTATGCGTCGGTGTCTTCGACGCAATCCCGAGCTACCAGTCGTACGGATGCTATACGGAAGTCCCGACACGAGCTCTGAGTTACGCAGGTCTGACTGGACAGTCGACGATGACAGTCGAGTTCTGCTCCGTCTACTGCATGGTTGAAAAGGGACGGTCCCTGTTTGGCGTCCAGTTCGGCGGCGAGTGCTGGTGCGGAGATGCCCTCACGGTAGGCAGTCTCAGGACCGAAAGCACGGAATGCAATGTCCCCTGCACCGGAAACAGCACTCAAAGGTGTGGCGGAAACAGCAGGTTGAACGTGTATGGCAAGCCGAACTCGCCGCCCGTGGCATACAAGGCCCACGGTTGCTACACTGAGGGGACTAACACGCGCGCTTTTGGTATCGCCAACCTGATGAGCGACTCCATGACCGTCGGGGTCTGCGCCGACTACTGCCTCCGCCAAAGGCGCACGACTCACTTTGGCGTCGAGTTCGGACGGGAGTGCTGGTGCGGGAACAATCTCGGCATCGGCGCCGTCACGGCCGCTGCCGGCGAGTGCAGTATGGCTTGTGCCGGTAACGCAGCGGAGAAATGCGGCGCCGCCAATCGCCTTAATGTGTATAGCACTTCCATCGACCCTCCGCCCATGAACTTCAGATACCAGGGATGCTTTACGGAGTTGAGCAACTCGAGAGCTTTGAATGGCGGTAAGTGCCCAATACTTTCATCATGATGTGTATAAGAAAAGAGAATGCTGACGGAGAGTTTCTTAGCGAACCTGATTGGCGATGCTGCCATGTCAGTTGAGAAGTGTGCCAAGTTCTGCATCGACAGCAACTTCAAGATGTTTGGCGTGCAGTTTGGAAATGAATGCTTCTGCGGGTCCCAGCGCGCCGCCGAGTCTGTTGCTGCCGCCGAAAGCGAGTGTAACATGGCTTGCCCTGGCAACGCCGGCCAGAAGTGCGGTGGAAGGAGTAGACTTAACATTTACCAGTGGAACTGAAGGCATGACTAGATGCCTTATAGCAGTTGTTTTCTTGTACATATTTTGCAAACTTTATGACGAGTATGTTGAGCAATGGAGTGGTGACTGAAGACTATCGGTATGGCGGTTGCGAGATATCAAATACTTCTCCAATACGAAACTGAGCTACTTCATGTTTCAATCTTTTAAACCAAGTTACGACTTTCTCTGAGCTTCTATGAATCCTTCATCAGACTGTTACATTACTTCAACATTGTGAGCATAGTTCCGCTTTTAGGCAAATATGGATAGCTAGCTTTGGAGATATCGCCTATTGAGTTGTCTGGTAATGGGACAAATCAGTATGTCCAATCATGTTTGCGTCAAGTGATGTGCCACTGCTTTACCAGTAATACATAACTAGAAAGAAAAGGCTCTAAATTTTGATCTTATTGACACTGAACGTACACAAACTCAGGTGCCAGCGTCAATTCTTGATCAACAAATTCTCTAATATGTAGATACGGTTGAGAATGGAAACACTCAACTGCTTAAAGAGAACCTTTATTATTTGGGTATCTTGCATGGTTCTATCGATAGTTTAGCTTTCATTCTCTCGCCCTCTCAACTCCCTAGAAAACAGCCAAAGGCTTCCATCCCACACGCAGCACCTTTGCCGCCCACAAAGCCACGACCGATCCCACATAAATCACACCAGTGAAAATGATTAACGCTTTATAGTCCCCGCCCTTGGAAGCAAGAATCTCTCCCGCAATGGGAACGCCAAAGAGACATGAAAACGACGCCGCAGTGTAGGACGTCGCGTAGTACCGTCCGTAGTTCTCCGTCTTGCAGAGCTTCCCAATGCAAACAGGGCTGATGCTGATGTTGTTACCGCTCGCGAAGCCGAAGACGACGACAAATATGACGATTCCCGCCATCGAGGAACCTGCCGGCAACCAGATGGCCAAACAAGCGATTATGCTCAGGACGACGGCCGCGATGTTGGAGTTGAACGGACCGGCATAGTCGCCCCACCAGCCAGCCAGTACGCGGCCGACTACGCTGCCAGCGTTGAGGATAGTTGGGATCTGGTATGCAAAGTCGGTACCGAAACCTTGACTCAGCGCGTAGCTTGAGATGTAGGTCATTGGAATGAAGAGAGACCACTCGAGGAGGAAGATGCCGAGTGTCGTTAGCGCGAAGGCCGGCTCGCGGAAGATGCGCACATCGGGGTGCGGCGAGGCGTTGGGGGCGGGTGGGAGCCTAGTGTCGATGAGCAACGTTGCGGTGCCGCAAAAGACGAGGACGATGAAGCCGATTGTCCGAATGCCCCAGCCCCAACCGGCGCGTTCGAAGAGGTATCGGAGGATAATGGGGTATACTATTCCACCACAGCAGCCTCCTGTAGAGGCGATACCTGTTGCGAGACCACGGCGGTGGTAGAACCAGTGGCCGATGGCGGCGAAGGAAGGCGTGAATAGGAGAGATGCGCTGCAGCCGTTGAGTACTCCGAACACTAACATGAAATGCCAGTACTCTGAAGCCACGAGTTAGCCTAATCGAGATTCTCAAATTTCGGGGGGTCTCGAGGGTAAGGTAAGATGGGAGACGTACTAGTCGATATGCTCAACAACATCTGAGCCGTGACAACACCAACAGTGCCAGATAGAATCAGCCATTTCGGGCCGTACTTGTCGAAAAAGGGTCCGACGTAGAGTCCGCAGAAGAAAATGAGGAACATGTACACCGAGAAGATCCATCCAATCGCACCCTCGCTATAGCCAGCCAACTGGTGAGTGCCGATGTAGGCGTGGAGGGTTGCGACTGTGTTGGAGACGCCCAGGGCAGAGAACGAGGCAAACCAACAGCCTAGGACCACGGACCATGCTCGCAGCCCTCCTTCTGGGTATTCCTGCTCTGCTGCCGGAAGCACCTGTACGGATGGCAGATCTGCTTGCGGGCCGACGTTTGAACGGTTCTTTTCTGTCTCATTTCGCTCCTGTGTATAGGGGGTAGGTTCGGGTGCATTCTGGGGCCCGACACCGGGGGTAGGGGTTGACGGTTGTGTAGTCATGGTTCAAAGAGTCAAGTATCACCAAACTAATTGTAAAGACCAGAGCAAAAAGTTGAAGAGCGTTCTGACACAGAGCATGGGCCAGTGGCTTCTCTACAGTTTACAAACAACTCGATAACACTGAAGGAACGGGAATTATATTCCACATGGTCACTTTAACTATGTTGCTCTTTCTTGGCCAGGAGGAGTAAGTTGAGTAGCATTGCCGCTGTATAAAGGCTGGTTGTCCTTGTTGGCCAATCAGATCGGAGCCGAGACTTAAATTTCTAGTCATGTACAACAAGTGCGCCCTTCAATGACATACATACTTGCCATATGTAGTTGAGGAACTGCGGTGGAGAAACTGGCTTTCTGGACCCGCCAAAATTCCATTTTGTAGGACAAAGACAGCTTAGTTGCGGCCAATCACCATAGACTCAACATCAACTACCGGTGTGTTCTAGTTGAATCAGGCAGGTCCCGCCTTGGAGTAGCCTCGGTCTCGGCTTCGGCTCGATTCTAATTGGGAAAAACGACATTTACGCCTTAAACCAACATTGTGGAGACAACGATTGGTAAGGCTGTTTCGACGACTTGAAAATGGCCTCCGACGTTCGGCAGACGGCTAACTTGCCTTTTAGAGTGATTGACTTTCTCGACTTGCAGATTGATGTCGTAGTAGACTGTTGTCACTCGATATCCTCCAAGGGAAGCGATCGTCAAGTATGCTTGCAGATTTATTCCAGTGCCTGAAAGGCACATTGGGGACTTACCCAGTCACAAAGGCCGCTTTCGCTCTCATACTCGTCGTAGGCCTTGCATCAATCGTTATCTCACAGAATGGCAGCACAAGTAGGACGCGTAGGAAGCTACGACACCTGCGGAAACTAGGTGTGTCAACGAGTAACATGACGGACCAATTCGACCTTAAGTATGCCGCGCCAGAAGACACCGAAACACATGGGCCAGTACGCATCAAGTCCCTATACATCCATCCCGTCAAGTCGTGCGGCTACGTCGAGGTCAGCCGTGCCCTTCTCACCAAGACCGGCTTCCTATACGACAGATGCTTCGCCCTGTCTTCCGAGGTCGCCGACTCTGACACGGGTTCGATAGTGTGGAGGTTCATCAGCCAGCGGACCAAGCCGAACATGTGCCACATCAAGACGGAATTGTGGCTCCCACACGAGAAGAGTGATCCATCGGACCCCCTGGTCCAAGCCGGAGGATGCGAGGTCCTGTCGTTCAAAGACCCGGACGCCCCCACGTGGACTCAACGACTAGAAACGTTGTTGACTACATGGGACCTCTCCGCGGCGCCAGAGGTGCTCCTCATCGCCCCGCTTGAGCCGAAGCAAGCCCAACTAGACGCCGCCGGAATCAAACTCAGAAGCTTCCGCATCCACGGCCGCGAGGCGGGCGGTCTGGACCTGGGCGCCATCCCTTCAGTCGCGGCAGCGCTGCCGAAACTCAAGCGGTACCTCCGCATCCCGGAGAAACGCGGCCTGACCCTCATGCGGTGCACCCCGGACACCCTGACCCGCTGCGACAGGAACCTGGCGCCGCTCAAGAACATCGGGACCCCCTCCGTGCACGGTTACACGGACCAGCAGCCTGTCAACCTCAATTCCTTGTCCTCCGTGCACGCCGTGTCGGCCCTCTTGCCGCCGGAGAATCGGCCCCTGAACGCCCTCCGATTCCGCGCCAACATCTGGATCACGGGGGCCCCGGCGTTTGCCGAGGAGAGCTGGAAGCGCTACCGCATCCGTCCGAGGGTTTCCGGTGCTGCGGGGGAGAGAGCCGAGGTCGCGCCCAAGCTGTCCGTCGTCTGTCGTACTTCGCGGTGCACCATGCCCAACGTCAACCTCGAGACTGCCACTTTTGACGCGGACATGCCCGTGGGGGACAAGAAGAAGGGCAAGCCACAGCCTAGTGCGACGTTGATTGAGCACAGGACCGTTGAGGACGGAAACCCATCTGCGCTGGGGTACATTGGCATGCACTGCGTCCCGGAGGATCAGGATCTGGAGGAGGCGAGGGAGCAGAGGGCGGGGCTGTATGTGGAAGTCGGCGACGAGATCGAGGTGTTGGAGACGGGGGTTCATCTATATGGATCGACGGGGAATGACTACTGATTCGGGGCGTGTGACATTGCAGAAACGCAGTCTTGTCTAAGTTATCTGTCGTCTATAGCTTCTGTAGCCGTCTCCGCCCAAAGACACCAACGAAAAAAACACAAACCAAAACAATCTCAAACCAGTCAGTCTACGAGGGGAAAGGGGGGGCGCTCATCTCTATCGTCTAACATCAGTCTACATCTTACCCGTCAACCTTCCTCACTCCAACCTCCCCCAGAACCCATCTCGGTCCCAACGCCAACCACTTCTCCAGCGTCTCCTCCCCCGAGGCCCAAACCATCCCCAGCATCCCCGCTGCATTCGCCTCCGCGCCGTCGACGCCCGCCTTCGTCCTCGGGATGACAACCATCCACCGTCGGCCGAGTATGACATTATGCGGCACGGCGATCTTGTGTCCATCCTCGTCTTCTTCCACCACGTCCTCACGACCAGGCACAAGACGCGCAGCCCTCATCAGCATCTCCTCATACACCCTAGCCAGATCCCCCGGCGACGGCCAGCCCGCGGAGAAGCGGTGAACAAAGTACTCAAACGGCACGTCGACCTTCTCGTCGGGCCAGAGAGCAAACTCCCGCGGGGCGGGTATGATTTGCATATGCTTATGAAGCCGACTACACCCGCCCTCCTTGCCGCAGTTGAAAATGGCGAGATACTCATCCCCGTCGCCCCTTGCGTCCTTGGTGCCGGAGCTACCGCGGTTCAGCGCGCCTAGAACCCTCGTCGCGGCGTCGAGGTCATCCTCCTTCAGCGCTTCAAACTGCCTCCTGTGACCGTCCGCCGTCAGGAGAATCAGGTGAGGCCTGTACGCGCAGAACTTGTTAAACATGAGCAAGTGAGTGTTGTCCACCGCGTCGACGATGAACCCCGCGACCGAGATGTCGCCGCCCGGAATGCGGCCGTCTGCGTCCAACTCGATGCTTTTCCCGCTCAGCGTGACTTCCGCATGTCTGGACTTTGCTGCCGGGGCCGCGGCGCCATCAGACTGCTCCTCGTCGAGCTCCGAGTTGCCCCATACGGCGGTTGGCTTCGATTTCAGAGCTGACGTGAGACGGAATTCGAACTGACGGGCTGCGTTAGTCAAACGACGTAACGGTCACTCACACGCGCACGCTGCCCTGTAGAAGACGAAAGGCGTGTGAAGTTCTCACGAGATTCAAGGGATGAAACGTACCTTGAGCCCCTCATCGGTGTGATACACCTTTTTCAAGTCGGGGCTATACAGCACCGTCCCCTGCGCAACGAGCTCGTCGAATCTCGCGAGCACAGAAACCTCGTCCAGGCCCTCCTGAGATCCCATTATTGTTATTATTGTTTTTTCAAGTGTGCGAGGCCCTCGTTCTGATATGGCGCAGGCGTATCGTAAGTTGTAATTTTGCAAACACGTGACTCGTTGAGGTGAAGTTGGCAACGATCCGAGACAAGGAACAAGACAACGGGCATGTTATTGGGTACGGCTATGACATCACTTGCAGATGTACGCAGAGTAGGTACCCTTTTTTACAAGTCACAAACAAGGTAGCTGCCAAGGTAATAAACCAGAACCAATATGAACTTGCTGTAATGCTTGTTGCTATTAAGATGGAGTATCAACCGCGCAATCGCGCGAAGGTGTTTGAGGTATTATACTACAAAATTTCCGCCGCTCAATCAAACTCCCCCCCTCGACATCTGATATCCGTAAGTTGCCCGTCAAAAAGTTTTGCAATTGGCTTCCCCTTCCCGCACCCCCTAATCCGATGTTAAAACGCTTCAAATATCATGCTTTTGGAGACGTCTCCTCATTCCAAAGAACGGCGATCCTCTACGCGGGAGGCACGGGGGCAGCGGGGCCGGTGCCGGTGGCGGCGCCTCTCTGGGCGGGAGGAGGAAGGAACATGGGAAGGTAGCTGACGGCGAGAGCCATGACTGTTTCGTACACTGGTTAGCTTTCTGCTCTTAATGATTGCGGCCGGGGCGTGGAGACGTACTGGACATGCCGACGGAGAAGTAACCGGGGGTCGTGGCGTTCTTCTTGGTCTCCTCGCTCTCGCCGAGCCAGGTCTGGATGCTGAAGACAACGGAAGCCCTGTGATTCCCAAGTCAGTGGGTTTGTTCGCGTAAATATCTGGTGCCATGTGTTTATGCTTGGCCTTTGCTGGACGAAGCACATTTGACAAGGAAGAAGCTAGGTGCGCCGAAGAGGGGTTTTCTGGGATCGCATACCATCCAATGAACTTGTTACGAGTGAGCATCGCAGCCATTGGCAGCGTCGACGAAAGGGTAGACGAGAACTCGGCGTTCTCACCCTTGGCCCTGGGCTCCTGATAGGGGACAACTGTAACGGGGGCACAAAAGTCAGTAAAGAACACCAGATCAACCCAGTGAACAAGAACCAGACACTTACTCAGGTCCGGGCGGCGCATATCCCTCTTGGAAGCCATCTTGAATTAACGCGGATTGGTGAGCTGCGCAACGAAAAGGAATCGATAGAGCTGCGGAGGGGGGAAAGTTACGTCGCCGATGTGCTCCACGTGCTGGCTTGCGCGATTGAAAGCTTTCCCCAGTTTCGACGGGGGCGCAATTACAAAGGTTGATGCCTTGTATGTTAGGCATTAAAAAGTACGGCTCCCAGGAGCTGGGGAAGAAGATCCGGCGGCCGGTTTCCCCGCTGACACCTCCAGGCGAACAACACGTTTTCGGATAGCCCCACACCCCTGGGGCGGTGAATGAAAACACCGCCCGAGCCGTCGGGCGGCCCCTCCGAAGGCGCTGCCCCACGAACCGATCTGACAAGTTGCAAAGTTTCCCACTCACACTCACACACAGAGTTTCCCTTCGCCAGGAGGGAGAACGGATTCATTCCCGATACCTATGGATTGGCCGACATTCGTCCAGAACCTGAGACCGGATAGGACCGCCGTCTGACCAAAGCATACAGGCGACGGGTGGGTATATCCCAGTTGCTGTTCTGGACATCTCCCCGGCCCACCGAACCTTACGAGTACGCCGGGTTTAGACTTGGAAGGTTTGATGTTTTATTTTACCGCGCGGTCCAAAAATGGTGTGCTCCGAGTGCAGTTATTATAAGAGAACGAGGTGGTGTTTACAAAGGCCGGCCGTAGACAAACGCATCACCGGTAAAAAGAAACAAACGAAGCAGGCGACATATGATGAGGCAGCCCCTCAATGTCTGACTCTGGGACCGGTTTTGCGGGGCCTTTCGGGACATGCGGCCTGCGGAGGGGCCAGCAGCGGAGTGAGAGGGAACGAGCCTGAAATCATGTCGGTTGCATCTTGATCCGCTGCGGTAGAATGCTCGGGGGTTATCGCTTTGCTCCAAGATACTCCCCCTATCTACTACCACTACGTATGTAGTACTTGGCATGGAAAGTATCGTCATCTGCGGGCCTCTGCTGCATAAAGATGGGAGCAAGCAGGTCGCCCATGAGCACGTCTGCAGGCACAAGCGACCTACAGCTCTCCCCCACCCGGCCCTGCAGGTCCCTTGACCCGGTTGGTGAGAGTTTACCGTCAGAAATAGCATGCCCGGCTGGGCATCGCCTGGGACATGCGGTGTGTTTTGTTGAAAATGTGGTGCGCGCGTCCTGGACTGGTTGCAGCCCCGAGACAGCGTGTAGTGTGTTGTATAGCGTAGTATGGCTTGGATTGTGTTCGGCTCTCTATTATCGTTTTTTTTTTCTTTTTCTTTTGCCTTCTCGAGCCCTGCCACTTGGTTTCTGTCGTCCTTCTGCGATCACTCCCTGCCTGCATCCCGGTTGGATGCCAGAGAGGCGAGAGGGGATGGCCAAGCCATTGTCACGGGTGGACGAATAAGAACGACAGGTCTAGTTGGGCAGAGACGTGGATGCCGCATGGCGATGGTGGGACGAAAAGGCAAATAAAAAGCCTCCAGTTGGCAGCCGTCATGACTCTGTTTGAACCCAAGCACTGACTATCATGGCCCAAGTCAGGCACAAGCTGTCCTGATGGGCCCAAAAGTGGTGGAAGGTCACACGAGGTAGGGCGGTGTCACCTGAAGGGATTCCCGACCTCGATCGTGTGTTTAGTGTTAAGCAGGTGTCACCAAAACAGCTAATTAGCGGCGAGTCGCATGCAGTATGATGGCAGATTGCGTGACACCTCACGGCGATTCAGCCATCAAGACGGGGTGCCACGGTGCACATACCCACACATACACACGCTGTCGCTAACTAACTAACATACACCCACCCTACTTCTGGCGACGACAAGACCACCACGGGCGCGGCGGCCGTCGCCGTCTCGGTGGCACACGGGCGGGCTGGTTCCTGGTCTGTTGTAATAAGAGGCTAATAGGATTCAGGCGACGGGTTTGGAAAGTCAACAAGACTGAACTTCCCAAAGGGGCGCAAGGCAACATGGGACAGCGACTGGGATGGGGGCGATATAAGCCGAGGGTAGTATAGCTGCATCCGCATTGGTCAGGATCACTGGGGGGACACTTGATTCTCTGGACGAAACGCGGGAAAGGGGAGGCCGGTCCTTTGTGTGAGGCTATCGTTTACATTTACCGTAGTAGTGACCGCTCAGATGTTTTCGTCCGTCAGGATTTTTGGTTCGTTCGGGGGAAACTGTGCGGCGGGAGGCAAAACAAACGAGATTTGCAGAGGGTAGAACAAATCAGACGTAAAAGTCAGAGACAAGCGATGCTCGAAAGCGATGAGGGGGGATCGATAAGAGGGCGATGGTGCGTTGTTGGAGCGGGTTGGTTGGTTCGATTTGGTTGGTGGCGCTGAGGCGAGGGTTCCGAAATGGGAAGCTTGGAGGATGATGAGGCGCCGGCCAGACCTGTTCAAACATTCTGTACGTAGCAGGTTGGTTGGTTGTCTGTCACCTGTATACTATGTACAGAGACGGAGAGTACAGTGGTGTTGTGATGGGGGAGTAGGTGCTGTGGTATGCTCCTCTTACGCTCACTTCTTCTTTCCCCTCTCTGGTCTGCCTCTCTCACTCACCAACTCACTCACTACAAGCCCACCCATGCACGCACACAGTGGTTGCGGAGGAAATGAGGTACAGCGGCAGCCCGCCCCTCTCCGCCTTTCGTCATGACGGTTTCCATTCCAACGGTTCGGTTTACCGAGATACTTTCACACTACTTTGTATGGGGGGTGGTGTGGCCCGCCCGGGTGGAGGGTTGAGGGTTCTTGGGTGCAGCGCATTCTTGACTAAGCCTGGGGTCGGCCTGTGTCAGCTTCCGAATTTTAAATATTGGCATAACCGATTGAGGCAAGAGGGTTTAGATGGTAAAGGTCAGTCGACATGACGAATACGGGCAACTCTGTACTAGGGGGGGTTTTATGGTGTCAGTAGTGCTGATGAAGATATCTCTCTTGTTTCTCGATCGACTTTAAATGGCTTTGCACATCGTTGCCCCCTCCAGACTAAGACCACAATGTCTCGAGCCAAAAAAAAAAAAAAAAAAACTCGGCGTTGCTCGGAACAGGTAAAGATGTGAGAAGGATAATGATAAGAGACCGAAAGTAAAAACGGGACAAAATAAAGATATTACAAAAGAAAAAGAAGAATAAAAAAGAATAAAAAAGGCAAGAAAAAAAAGGGCCTCACTTCAGGGACTGCAGGGCGATTAGCGAATCAGCTGCGCGACATTGGGCGGAAAAGCCAATGGGGAGGAGAATAACCCACAGTGGCCATGGGTTGCCTGCCTTGGATCTTTCGGGTCTTTGGGGGTCCTTTGGGTGAGGGTGAAAAAGCAACCTTGCATGGGCGGGCTTGGCGGGTGTCTTGGCTTAGGATGCTGACAATTTGCGACCGAGCGAGCTTCCGATATTCCATTCCCAGCTGGCTGAGAAGAGGTCCCTGTACCGATCCTTGCCAGTTTGTTGCCACCGCTTGCTTTTAGAGGCAACTGTTGGCCTTTCTACCCTGCGTGAATGATTATCTGTCTATGAGTATACATATATTTCCAGAATCCCGAGTCTGCGCAAACACAGACACACAGACACATGGAGGATGCAAAACTATGTACTTGAATGACAGAGTCCACACTTATTAAGCCCGAAGCTGCAGAGTAACATCGTAGTAGCGAGATCAAGATAGGAGATTGGGGATCAAGTAGATCAGCAACCCTAAGAACAGCTGCTATAACTACTCGGAACAAAAGTCCAACGCCTTCGCGGGCTTCCCGCAACTCAATCTCCCCATAAAGGGGGAAAAGAGGAGAGGAACAGTCCGTGAACCTCGGGAATCGTCTCAAAAGCCTCAACAGTCCCGAACAACGACCTTTCGTCCCGCTGGAACCGCAGATCGCATCGGTTCCGCCCCCAGGCCAGAGTGACCTGGAGGTGTGAGGTTTGGTTTAGCACCAACTAGAGTGTATGTACTACCCAGTACTAAGGCGCCTTGTCCCACCATACTGTAAGTACATAGTAGACCCTACCACACACCGGCCGCTCTGTATGTGTCCGCCCACACCACACACCACAGCGGCACCACACCACCACCATTACCAGTAGATGCTAGTACCACCCACTACTGCCACCCAGCGCAACCTTGCCTGTCCCTGGTGCATGTCATTCCCATTACCATCTATTTTCCTCCCCTCTCCAATCCCCAATCCCCATGCCCAGACCTGGATTCGGGTTATTTGTCCTGGGCTGAATCGAGCCAAGCTGCTGATTATTCCCTTTTTCCCTTCTTGGAGCCCTTCAACGTGGGTGTCCGTCCTGCCACTGCAACTCTACTCGGTAACTGGCCTTGTCGCATTCATCCTCAAGCGTCTTCATCACCACATCTCCCTCTCTCCCCCCCCTCGTCTTTCGATTATCCTATCTTAACCTTCTCCCGGGAGGGTTTCTATCCCTATCCATACATACAACCATATGCATACATCTTTCCACACTCTTGCCATTTTTTTTTCTGAGAATCGACTAGATGGTTTCTTATTCGCTGCACAATATACCGGTACTCTAACCGCAACGACAATTTCTAGCGGGCCGTCGCGAGTCATCTGACAGCCCGAACCTAGGACCTGCGGGAACCTTCGGAAATACTGTGTCCAAGTCCAACCCCCCCTAAGCCCACTGTTCTCTTCTACCCGCTGGTCACAACCCGTCCACTGGAACGCTGGACTGTGTACGCTCCCCGACACATTCCACTGTACCATAATCCCCCGTCCCCCGTATCCGTCTAATTATCCGCGCGTACCTCTTGCCTTTCTTTGCCTTTTGCCCTTTCTGTGTCTCCTCCCTCTCTGCACACACCTCGCTGCACATTGGCACCGCACACGCCTAATCCGCACGCACCTAATCCACTCTGCGCCGCTGCTGCCCTGCACAGATAACGCGGCTGACGCCGTCAGATCCCCGACATCCATCCGTCGACCGATATTCCCCCCTTCCCTTTCCCTAAACTACGACGACAACTCTTTCTTCCCACGCGGCACTACGGCATCGCAGCTTTCCGTCGTCTACTTTTTCCTCACTACAACAACAAACAGTCATCTCCCCAATCATCAGCAATGTCGCCTCAGACCATCCGCCTGCGATGACCTCTCGGACCCCAATGGGCGTCCAGCCGCGACCGCCCCAGCAGCGAACTCTGAGCAGCTCCGGCTTGTCGGTCCAACGGCCAACCCATCAACGCACTCTATCAGCCCAGTACCTACCTCAGTCGCCTGTTCGCAAGGAGAACCTGATCGACCTCACTGGCGATGCCAACGATGTCGCCGCTGCTCAGAACAGATATGGCACCCTGCCGCGGAGGGGAGGCTCTCGCCTCAAGCTCGAGTTGTCCAACGACGCCATGCTGCCCCAACACCCCATCAACGACTCTCCAAAGACCCTCACCCCTTCTCGCCTCATGCCAAAGAACGAAACCTCCAATCTTACCGATATGAGCTCTCCCGCCTCTACCAAGGGCCACCCTATCGACGCAGATAACCCTCCCATGCCCATGCCGAAACGCCGACCGAGATTCGTCGTGCCCGCCGCCATCAAAGACTCACCCACGCCCGTCGTCGCGATCAAGAAGGACGGCCGCCCGAAGCCCTACCACCTCGAGACTCCTGCCACCGCCCCTCGATATGCGCCCTTCGGCAAGCCCCGGGGTGACGCGACGACGAAGCAAGGGTTTGGCGCCTCGGGTATTGCGCGCGATTCTCAGGATATGGGCTACGCAGACTTCTTCCCTTGGACTGGCAACCACCCCGAAGACCAGTGGTCTGAGACCATCATCAAGAATGGCTACTTTGATAAACCTCCCGCTACCACCACCGAGACCTCGTCCGCCAAGGCCGCCTTGTTCCCTGCCTTGAAGCACAAGAGTGGACTGAATCTGCTCTCTAATATTTTCGTCGGCGTCCTGAACCAGAGGAAACTTAATGGCCAGATCTCGTCGCCCTCGACGTTTAAACCACCGCCGCGTGTTACCCTTACCGACACCAAGCGTGAAATGTGGTTGAGAGACCTGGCGAATCCCTCCATATCGTTGCGCCGCCTGAGCCGAACCATTCCCCACGGTATCAGGGGCAAGGTGCTTCTGGACCACTGCCTGAACAAGAACGTCCCGACAGAAAGAGCTGTATGGTTGGTTAAGTGTGTTGGCGCCAACGAAATTCGAGCGTTCAAGAGGAAAGGAAACGGCCCCTTCGTTCTGGGAGGCGAGGCCAAGTGGTTGAGAGATTGGACGGTATTCGTCGAGCAGTTTGTCGAGGGAGTCTCCACGGCCTTTGGCGATAACGAATGGAAAGCCAAGGTCCAATATGCGTAAGTATTCCGCCCAAACCCGACAACCCCGAGCTGGCTGACCATTCTGCAGTATCCGGCTAGCAACACATTTATACGCCGAACATCTCGTAGACCGCGATCACTACATGGACTGGCTTGTGTCTGGCTTGGAAAACTCCACCCAGTCGAAGTTGCCCATGTGGATTTTGATTACACAGATATACTGGAAAGACTTGCTCCGCTTGAGACGATACGGCCGCAGACTAGTCAATGCACTTCTCAGCCATCTCAACACGGTAAGATACTCATCTTTCGTCCCCAAAAGCCGAACCGCTCTTAACAGTTACAGATCCATAACGACCCCGATCGAGATATACTCATACAACTATCCATGAGACTAACATCCCTACTTATTCCCCTTCTATCATCTCACCCGGACAACTTCGTGGCGCCCTCCACTTGGTTCAAATACAGGGATGCCCTCCTCGCTTCTATCCAGATCGACAATGAGTTTGCGCAGAACGCATACCGGTCGATCAACACGAGGAACGAGCAGTTGGTTGCCTCGGCTAATAACTCCCAGCCGGCAAACCGACAAATACTCGTAAGGCATCTTGACACGACATTTCAGACTTTGTACGCCCCCGATTTGGCTGCTCAATGCTGGGCCGTCAGTGAGGACAAGGGCATGATTGTAAGGACCCTGTTGGAATGGTGCACGTCGCCTCATCGGCCGGGTGCCGCCAAGGTCTACATCACTGCTAGCCTCCTGCGAACCTGGATCCCAACAGGCTTGGATGTCACTACTGCTATTCTCGAGTTCCTGAGCCACAACCCACCGATGGAGACAAACGCGAAGAAGACGTTCCACAAGCTCGTGTCAGAGATCGTGCGTAGCGGAGATTTCCAGTTTCAGGGATACATATTCTGGTTGATTGCAAGGGGTGGCCTGAGGAAGCCTTCCGACACCGATGCTGAAGGCTCGTGCGCGACGAGGTTGTTGGTGGATCTACCATTACACGCACTCAACTCGTCTTCCCTGGCCACAAGGGCAAGTCTGCTTCGACGCGCATCATACGACGTAAACGACGAGGCCGAGGATATCGAGACAGCGTTGAAATGCATTCAACATGCATTGGGGCTTCCTCTTCCCCCGGGGGATCCGATTCTTCAGCGGAAACCCGTGCCGTTGAGCAAGCTCTGCCGGCTGATCGCTAACAGTAACCGAGCTCTTCAAACCGAAGTTGGAGCCAGGCTCTTGCAGATCTTCACGACGGAGATCGTTATGACGAAAAACGGACCACAGGTCTCCGCACCAATGTTTAACCTCGCTCGAGCCGTTCTCGAGGCGGCGTCCGACTACTCGATGCTTGCGGAGATCGTCAAAGTGGTCATCCGTGTATCGAACCCCGATCTTCTCGCCTCTTGCGCCGACACAATCAACGTTCACCTACCTATTTTTGCGGCTTTGGGCTTGGCAAAGGAACTATTCGATGTGTTGATGGAGAGACTGAAGGTCGTGGGTGAAGAGCAAGGCATTGCGGCCCGGCCCCTCCTAGCATCTTTGGCGAACCTCGCGGCTCGATTACCCGGCCTGACGAACACGGCTGCCCACCTACGCAAGGAGCTACACCAGTGTGATCGCAACACTGCGATCGACGCCTGCTCACCCGTATCCGATAACATGGCTGCACAGCTTCAGGATGCTGAGGGCGAGTTGCACGAAGAAATCGAGAAGCTGCTGACGAGTGGATCGAGCGTCGACCGACCGACCATGGACCGTCTTTTCCAGACCGTTGTTGGCCGATTGGAATCTTCATGGGCAAACTCGCCGGAGCGACAGCGTGCCTACAGTGCCCTTCTCGGAAGACTGCGCATCTTTGATACCCAGCATTTCGATCTACGTATGACTGACTGGGTGCATCACGTTAGCACACTTAAGGCTCGTCCTGGGCTTGCAGATATCTACCCTCTTCTTATTAGCATTGGCTGCTTAACTTTGCCCATCCTATTGACCACCACGACAGTCGATGCAAGCAGAATCGCAAGCAATCCCTCGGCACAGGTCAACAACACGACTACTTACATGCAAGAGGTTCTTCAACTTACCACCATGCCCCTTGCACCGAAGACGGCCTTGACCCCTGAAGAATCGTATCGCTTTTACATTCAACAGCGAATGGCGCCCCGCCAAAGCCACAAGGACATGGTCGTTCTCGTGAGAAATGCCTTGGTCGAGTATTCACGTCTCCAGAGCCAGTCCGGCTTGACCCTTCCGCTTGCGAACCCGAATTTTAAGAACTCCATGTTGGAACTCCTGAGGACGTTGGTCTTGCTAGACGCCCCTGCAGTGGTGCAGGCCTTGGGTATCAAGACGCCCGAGCCGGCTTTGGTCGGCATATTTGCCCAGGTCACAACCAAGCTTCTGGTGCCTGGAGCCGACGACGACGCGCCGCTTTCGTTCGAAACCGTGCTGGAACTCGCCAACGAATTCACTCTCCCTTTCTGCCAAGTCAAGCTGTCCATCGGCCTTCCGGCAGATACCACGACGAGTCCTGGAGGGGGGGAGCAGGCTATGTCACAGTTTGACATGTTTTCGAGGGCCATGGACCGAGCTGTGTCTGCGAATAACGTCATGTGGACGAGCATGCTGCCGTATCTCAACGAGGAGGTTACGGAACACCTCAAGAGACAGGCACACCTGCGGTTCTTGGGCTTGTTCCCCTCACAGAAGAACCCGCCATCCTCAGACCCCCTTTCTGAGGACAGCATTCAGCTGGCGGGAAGCCTGCTGTCGGTTGTAGAAGCGATTGTCCGCGGTCGCCCCGCACCGAGAACGTCGCAGCTCACGTCCGGCATGGTTGAGAAGCTGACGGAGTTATGGGAGATACTGGCTGCTCGTGGCGATGATAAGCGGGAGCTTCGCACCTCTATCCTGAGGCACTGGCTCCCGGCACTGCTGCGGTTCATCACACTCCATACGAACGCGAACGAGCCGGTGGCCGGTCCAAGCCAGAGTGCTAATATGAAGCCGCCAACCAGCGCCGCTGCCTTCGAGATCCGCGGGCGAATCCTCATTGTCCTATCCGGCCTCACCCTTGAGCTCGACAACCTCGCTCTCGAAAACTCACAAGCCGGCAGGCTCCTGGGTCAGCAAATATTCGACCTCGCTCTGTTGCTCGTCGACAGCCTTCCAGAAGAAACACGCCTGCAGTGCGTGCGAGTTCTGCTGACAGGCGGTACCACACAGAGCCCGGCATCGTCCGACGCTCGTCTCCGATACCTGTTCAGCCAGATGCCCCCACCGACGGAACAGTTCGTGCTTGCCCACCGACAGCAACCGGCCACACAACCAACCGGTCCACCAAGACCAAAGATTCCGATTTCGATGCAAGGAACCGACAAGCTCACGCCATTCGTGTTCCGGAAATGGGAGATGCTCAGCGAGCCAACACCCAACGTTGGAGAAAACGACACGGCTCTGAGTCTCACATTATTCGAGGCCATAAAAATTCAGTAAACAAGCATTGGGAGGGAAGGGGAGCCAGAAACACATACACAAACATACATTACTACGCATCATCTCTTTGTTTAAGGAATTTTCATATCATAGATACCATCCATTACTGGGTCAGTTCGCGGCTAGAACGACAGGGGTCGGCGAACCATGAGTTTTGATACCAGGATGGCACACGGCCGGCGTCGGCTGGCTCGGGAAGAAGAGTCGGATTGGGATCATTGTACCAGTGGAGACGACACGAGTTGTTTATTTTCGGTTTTGATTAGTTTTCTTTTGTCTGTTTTATTTGTTTTTTCCCTTTGACGTCCCCGCTTGATGATGAAGCAATTCAGCATATTCATGACTTAATGTATCCTGATGACGCATGCCGGGTCTTTGTGATGTGACGTGCCTGAAGTGATTGTTGCTGTGCCTGTGATTGATCGTAGTGATGTGTAGAATGTGAAGCGGACATGAGAGATGACTGGACTTAATCTTATTCTCTTCACGTTGGGTTTCTTCTCGGCTGCCATTGCAAGTCTCGGATTATTCAGTGCAAACGACTTGGTGGTTAGGGTGTCGGCTTTGCCATGAAGTTATGGATAGTCTGAGTTTAGACTGTTAGTTTGCTATTTTCTTTACTGTGTAGCTACTTCACTCATCTTTGTCTGCTTCAACTCAGAATTCCGATTATTTGCAACAGACGAGGCGGGATTTCTATCTTCTGAGTCTAGACAGCACTGAGTCTTTGTCATATGCCTGTTGACTGAATCCATGCACATTTTTGGCCAATCCCAGCTTCAAATCCCATTGTAAAAGACAACCAATGATGGTGTTTCCTTCCTTGTGTTGATTCGTCAACCTGCCTGCACCTTAGCCGCACGTGCTTTCACAGCCTCGGAAGACATTGGCGACAACGAATCCGTAGCCCGATTAGATTTAACATCTCCCATAACACTGTTCACCTGGTGAAAAGAGCTCATTATCTTACAACGCAAACGGACAGCTAGATAATCTCGGATAGCGTTGCCTTGCTGATATCACTTAGTCGACAATAGGTGTCTAAGAATTCCCACCTTGGATTTTCTACCATCATGGACCAGGTTCGACCTGCAAATATTCATCCGATGTCTGCCTCAAGAGCAACCTTCTGTCTGTAATCTCATAAGCCACAAGCCGTATGCCAGTTGCAATTCGTCAGCATGTTCCAATTGAATGAAACTTTGAGGGCAAAGATGGCCTTGAACGCCATGGTTCAAATGCCTCTTACACCCGCTAATCGAGATCTTAACTGAATTTAGGGTATGAAATGACTTGGGATCATCTTCGAAGCGTGTCAGTATAGCTAAAGATGATATCTTGTGCAGTTCGTTTGTAAGGAGATGAAGTCGACATGCGAGGTAATTCGAAATTTGAAGTTGCAGATCAAGTCTTACCATAATATCACCATTAGCAATGATTTTTGTCAGTCGGTTCCCTTTACTATCTCGAAAGATTGCACAGTACGGGAAGCTGCGCGCCAGGCCAAGCTGTTTACCTGTTTGACTCAACGGTTGAACACCCACAGTACTCAATACCACAGCCAAATATAGGACTCCAGAACCCGAGACGCTGGTTCAGCCAAGAATTGGAACAACTGACATTGGCCAAGGAAGAACGATATTCGCAGACTATACCAGTTGAGTTTATGAGTTGCAAGAAGCACTTGACTTTCACCAAGCCGTCATTCAACTATTGCGACTCAGGAGAAGAATGCTAAATATATTGTTTTGGCTCAACTGTCATTCACTCACATGGCAGCAGCGGCGAAGAGCCTGGCCAAGTAGTGATGCAGCACACTGGGCAGTTTCCTACTAGGAGCTAGGCAGTGGGTAACGCGGTTCCAAAAGCAGGTTGTGTTAAATTGTCAAACCGGAAACGAAGACACTACAAACCTGCATTGAGACAGCGGAGAAAGAGAGCAAATCGAGAGACACAACCATCACCCAAGAGGCCGACGAATATGATAGATGTTCTCATTGATACTTTAGCGCCAATAACTGAAGCAACTGTAGAAAGGGTTTTGACTATATCCGAAGAATATAAGTGTATTCATGGAGAAAGGTTGGGTGGAATAGAGTGGTATAGCAGCATCGTACTTCGCTAAGATGCGACGACGTGACACTGATTCGCTGCGTTCTGGGAAAATGAAATCTGTTTGGGAGCGAGGTGCAGTATATCTGCGAGTCGTATAAGGAAGCTGGCTAACTATTTCCTTGGATAACAAGGTAAATCTAGCGGCAAGATGATCTCTCTTGGTGTTCAGATTTCCCCTGTTGCAAGGATGCTTAGTGGGTATGGTTTCGACATAGCTGGCAGATTCGTACATGCAAATCGAGAATAAATACTGACAATTGACGCCAGGAGAATGTCAAAGTAGAGATTTTGGGACTGTAGTAGGGATTCATACCTTCTCGTTATCTGCATTGGCGAGTGAAATGAATGTATGACATAGTCCTATGGTACCCCTGCTCCCGGAGAAGGCACACCATTCAACATTAAATGTGAGCACCTCTTTCAAGCACCACTTGAAAAGTTCGGCGGCAGCCTATTCTAAGTGTGTGACTTAGAACCCTGCTTCGAGCTAAACCGACATCCGCGCCTAGTTTAATAATTAATACAGGCCTTTAACTAAGTACCCTTAATGTATGGGTTTAGTTCTAGTCTAAAATTTCAGTAGGCATGGGCATTACCCGGCCCGCGGGTCCCACGGGTACCCGCGAAATGGGTCGGGTAGTTATGGGTAGTGCCCGAAAGTTTTACTATTACCCACGGGTACCCATGGGTAAAGTGGGTTTGGGTAAAAAAGCCCACGGGTAGTAAACTGAAGGGGGGCCCACGGGTTTGGGTACCCACGGGTGTATACCCGTGGGTAGATTTCAGTAAGTATGCATCACGAATTTTAGACATCTTTTATAGTAGCCAGCCTCAAGAGTGGATATATTGCGCAACGAATAGACCTGCTACCTTGTTACTCCTAACTTCCGAACGCCCTGAATGCCTTCAATTAATCGCCTGCATTTCCCAGACTCGGGGTCGAACTACTTGTCTCCGTGGACTCTGCCGGCCTTCAAGATAGCCTGGACGAGATGCAGATCCTTCGGCTTAATGGTGACGCGATTGGTGTGGATCGCAGCAAAGTTAATCACTAGATAGTTCGTTCAACTCGATAAGAGTTTGCAAGTGAAGCTTACTGTCGAAAACACCAAAGAGAAGAGACTCCGAAGACTCTTGAAGAGCGCTAATAGCAGTCGCCTGCCAGCGCAGGCGCTTGGAGGGGTCGATGTCATCGCAGATTTCCTTCCAGAGTCGCTGGAATGGGGGCTTCGGAATCAGGAAGTCAAATGTCTTCTGGTAGTTCCTGACCTCCCGGAGAGCTTTTGCTAGGTATTAGGGTTAGTGTGTAGCCATCTTTTGTAGCAATCTAGACTTACTGCCAGGGCGCTAACGGCGTTTCTGCTGCTCCTTAGCACTAGGCATAGTCTTTCGGGCTATGCTAGGCATCATATTATAAAGTTAACCATGAATTAGGTAGGACTCCTAGAAACACAAGTCTAGGTCTAATCAATGTAGAATCTTTTACAGATAACTACTGAACAGAGGTTTTCAAAGAGATTCTTTTTGAGAAAAAAAACAAGAAGCCGCGGCTGCGTATAGACCACTTTTTGGCGTATTTTGTTTTTTTTTTGTGAGGTTCTGAAGCTTTAGAAAACTTCTCCCCAGACAATACTACAACCTACCTCTACTACTAACACCCAGCCGCACCGACAAGCCTCTTAATTAAGGTAATTTGATACTTTAATCTCACAATTATTGGTTTTGACTTATTAAATTAATTAGGGAATAGTAGTAAAATATGTCCTTAGGACAGGATCGCGGTATGTTCACACCAGCTTTGTAGCAATCATTTGTACTAATCTCTTCTAGGCCGACCGCTTGGATCTGGTGCTGGAGCCAAGCGTAAAGCTGAAGAGGATTATTCCGACAACGCGCACACCAAGAAGTCTCGTCAGCGCATCGATAAGATGACTGAGAAGCAGAAGGCACTTGATCGCTCGAAGAAGTCGATCAACTAGCAGAAATCCCGCAAGCTTAAAGCCTTGAGGGCTAAAAGCTCCTATATCAGTGCGTCTGCTGATGAGCGCGCGGCCCTTGAGGCTAGGGAAATCTAGCAAGTTGATGCACGATAGTGAGTTCTTTTTTATTTCTTTTGGTGTTTTAAATCAGTGCTTAAGTGCTTTTAGCTTCCTCAAAGGCAACCATCCAGACTAGCTGCTAGCTTAGATGACTGGCCCAGTCTCGTCTAGCTCCTATAATATCGTCGATGACGATGAAGACGAGGCTTGGGAGGATATCCCTTTGAATGAGATTGATGAGGCTACCCAGGAAAACCTGGATGGAGTTGAGGGCATGCTTAACTTTGACGTTGACCTTGATAACCAGTTGCCGACTATTAATGTTGCTGAGCAGTCGAATGCGATTATCGACAAGATGATCCAGGTAACTAGATGACTATAATTAATTACTATAGCAATAGCTAACAAACAGATAGGAAAACTAGATCCGAGAATACTAGTTCTTCCGTGATACCTGGGAGATGACTCTTGAGATACTTTACATCAAGGTCAAGCGGCTGAACAGCAATCCTGCCTTTACCCTAGCTGCGATGGAGGATTATGGCTTCATTCGACCTGGCTTTAAATTTCCAGTAGCTGGCGACATCTTCACCAAAGAGGAAGTGCTTCTTTGGTTTGCACTCGCCAAGTACTAGCACCTAAACCGCTTGTCTAAGAAGAAGAAGATACGCCTGGTTCTTAATTCTTCTGTCAAGAAGAAGAAGACGTAAGTGCTTAATTATAGCAATCCTTTGTAGTAATACTAATATTCTCAGCCAATTCGCACTCGCGCACCGCCCAGCCATCAAGATTCAAGGATCTCTCTTCACTACAGCTCAGCGCCGATATGCCTCCACTCCAAAGCCTTCAGTGAAGGCTATGTTCTCTGAGATCAGTGACTCGATGATCAAGAAAGGTGTTTGGGAGCTTCTGGGCCTTGCTGAAGTTTGGGAAGAGTTTACTGCTCTCGATAAAACAGCCAACATCTTATCTGCGATAGATAAGAAGTTCTCAGCTATACTAAAGCTGATACCATTCTTCCTAAAGCTTGACCTTGCTCGGGATAAAGCGCTATACAACTAGCGTCAGGTCCATGAGTTGGCTCAGAAGCTAACTCGTTTGCTTGACTTTTCTCTATAATTGCAGATGAGCATAGCGAGAGGGTTTGTTTGACAGATTAAGAATTAAGAATTAGCAATAAGGCTAGCATAAATAAGGACATAAATTCTCTCTAGTCTGATTCTCTTATTATAGCAATCGTTTGTAGTAATCTACAGCTGCTAAAACAATCTAGCACTCCATGCTCCCATCTTCTTCATTAACTGTTTAACTAAGTCAAGATCTTTCTTCTGCAAAGTTACTCTTTTAGCGTGAATAGCACAGAGATTTGCATCTATTAATATTCATGTTAATATAATAGTTTGAAGATCAGGATAGGATATCTTACTCTCGAACATGTTGATTAGAAACTGTTCGCTCATCTCATGGAGAGCCTCTATAGCCATTGACTGGTAGCGGATCTTATGGCGGTTTCTTAGTAGAAGATCAAGTGTTATTTCTCGAACTACTCTTGCGAAACTGCTCCGCGGAATTAAAAGATTGGTGGTCTTTTGATATTTTCGAATCTTACGAAGTGTATTTGCTTTACATTTCAGTAATTAAACAATAAAGAGTTACTTCTTACTTACTACCAGGCCTCCATCTACGAACTTTCTGGCGTTTAGTGATCTAGACGGGCTTTTTTCGAGCAGCTTTTAGCTGCTTCTTTGGCGCGAAGTTCAGCTGATCTTTCCGTGCAATGGTTGGTGGTTGGCTAGTATCTGTTCGTCTCGCCAACTTCGTCGCAAAGTTCCGCTTCAGCGGTGGTAATTCTGGTTGACTCAGGTCTGGGCTAGCCTGGCTATAGTAGGTTGCATGACTTGAACTTCTTGGCGGAGTCTCCCGAATCTCTGTAATTGGCTGTTTCAGGGGATTACCCCTCGCTGATGATGAGGGGTAACTATTTGGCGGTGAAGAGCCCTCCACTGTTAGCGGAGAGCTCTGATCTAGCACAGGGCTAGTTGATAAGCAAGGCATTGAAGGATGAATGTAAGTGGGAGAAAAAACAAGTCGAAGGAGAATTCAGAGCTTTTAGATTTGTGTACGAAACGTATTAGTCAGAAACCCTAAAATAGAAATTTACGTAAGGCCACATAATCAAATGTTTGTATTCATCTTGTAGTAATCCTGCAAACTACTTCCTGTTTATACCAAAGGTAATTCTTACTACGTATGATGTCGAACTCAATTACGTCTGACCCTTTTGGGCCAGACCCTTTTGCATCCGATTGTTCTGCTGCTTTCGAGCTCGTAAATTCTACGCAGACTCCAACAATCAATACTCTACCTTCTGGTTTACAGATACAGTCGGAAATCATTTTATTTGTTATTGAGACTTTCTAGACTTTTCTCTCGTTTTTCAAAACCCTGCCATGGTATCTCCAATAGGTAATCCTTGGCAAACACACACCGTTGTCCAAATCCCCTCAACCTGAACGAAAACGCTTCGCTAAATCCTTGTGGACTTTACAACGCCGAGTATCATTCTGGGATCACTTTCACCAAGGCTACCATATGACATCAGGGGAGCCAAAATTAGTCTGCAAGCACTATCACCAAGTTTTCAATCATCCAACAATCAAAAACTCTGGTACAAGTGCTATGCAACGACACCTCGCTGCAAAGTCTTGTAAGACTCGACGTTTAGGCGCAAACCAGGTGCCTGTAAGTTTTACAGGTCATTGTAGCAATCATTTGTAGTAATCGCAATCTAGGGTACCTAATTGAAAGCAGTCTCGGAGCATCAAGCATTAGTTTACTATATTGTTGGATCCAACTTAGCGCTTAATACTGTTGACAACTTAAGTTTCCGGCAATTCTGTTTACACCTGAATCCTCTCTACCACCTCCCATCTCGAAAGACGCTCCGAAGCTGGATATCCGAGGAGGCCTTACGCATTCAACACCACACTCTTCAGCTAATTCCGCCTGGTAGCTATGTCTCTCTGATGATTGATATCTGGAGTACACCTGGGTTAAAATATTCACTGCTTGGTGTTTTATGCCATTTTATCGACAAGCACTGGAGGTTATAACAGGTTCTTCTTGGTGCTATTGATATGACAGATGGTCATACAGCCTCTAAGCAAGCAACGGCTTTATCGACTCTGTTAGAAAATATTCGCCAGAGGACGAAGAAGACAATTCGATTTCAGACAGTCTCTGCAGACAACGCAAGTTCTTTTAAGCCAAAAGTCCTAGCACAAGAACTTGCAAAAGGGTCGACATCCACAGTACAGCCGATATATCATATTCGCTGTTTAGCCCATATTTTCAACCTTGTTGTTCGAGCGATTTTTGAGGCTCTTCGAATTTCGATGGTAGAAGCCTCTACAGAGTTTGAGCCTTCTACTACTCGAGCTAAAGATCAAGAGGACTCTGACGATGATTTTGATACTGAAGATTCTACTGCTGGGGAAAATCCTTTTGGAGCTGTTATTCAAAAGGTTAGATACTTCACCTAGTTATAAGATTTTATATTAACATATATACCTCCAGATTCGTGACCTCGCAGTTTCCCTTAAGCTTTCTAGTAAGAAGACGCAAGAGTTTCTCGACCTCCAGAAATCGACTCGCATTGGCCAGCGACCACTACGCCTCCTCCGCGATGTTAAGACAAGGTGGAACTCTACTATACTTATGTGTCTCCGCGCAAGAGAGCTTAAAACAACGATTTCAGCTTGGGTTGAAAAGCACTCTCTACAGGAACAATTCTCTCTTGTGGAGACCGATTGGGAGGCTCTTGATATTCTGCTTGATATCACCAGCCCGTTTTTACTCTTTACAAACATCCTCAGCCGGTTAAATGACCTTACCCCTGGTCATACCTTTACTTTATTACAAGTTGCAACAGTTCACTTGTACTTTTGCGCCTCTGCACTTAAAGATAAAGTTACTAGCAAAGACTTTACTTGGATATCAATCCTTCAGGCTGCTACGAAAAAGGGCTAAGAGAAGCTGGAAAAATACGTTTAAAAGCTAATTGAAGAGGATTCCTTCAAGGTATATGGTATTGCAACTCTCCTTACCCCTGAAGCTGGGACATCAGTTTCGAGTACTTTTGACACGCGATTCCAATTCGCAAATTACTTCGAATACCTTCCTTCTTCAGCCTCACTTCGAACTCGAGTACAGCAAGAATTTATCGAGGTATATACAAAGCAGTACCATCAAGATTCGGAACGCCATACCAATACTCAAAAAGCTGCAACTGAAGGACTCCGATACACTCTGCATAGTTTACTATCACGCAGTCCAAAGAAAAGGGTATTTGTAGCAATCTATTGTAGCAACTCACTGTACTAACCTATTATAAGGGCAAAATGTCATCATCCCAAGACGCACGAAATATCTGTAATGACTTTTTTAATATTGGTAAGATAAAGACTTATATCTTACTAGGCTTAACAGCTAATAACTATATTTAGTTATGTTCCCTGATGAAACTGTTCAGCAATTTTGGGTCCGCCTAGACAATAGCTATCCCAGATTCCATGGTATTTGTCGCATGGCTCGAGACTTCTTATCTATTCAACCGACGTCAATACCCTTAGAGCGATCATTCAGCCTTGCTCGCCATATCTGTCACTACGCTCGGTTCAACCTTTCGGCTGATACTATTTTTGATACTTTGACTATCAAAATTAGCCAGAATAATGAGGCCTGGCTTTCCCAAACCACACTTGAGGAAGTTCCAGATGACACGAATATCACTGAAGCATCTGAAGAGCGCCAGCATATTATTAGAGAAGCTTTTAACTACTCTTCTCTATTGGATAAAGCTGATATTCAGAGATATCTGAAGGTCTCTGATGATCTTACTAAGATCTCTATTACTGCTACAGGAGATGCTCCCTCCCCGCCTCCTTACGAAGTCTCAGTAGAAGAGGAGGATATTAGCGATAGAGATGAGGAGCTGCCATCCTTATCTAGCTCTCAACAGCCAAAACTATCGAGTCAAGTTTCCCAACTTAGCAACTCACCTACGCCTTCTGTATCCCAAGAACTCCCAAACTTCTCCGAGCTTGGGGGTCGCAAAAGGAAGAGACTTACTCGGCTAGATCTTGTCGAACTCTCTCCTGACGAGGATAGCGATTAAATATACATTGTTCCTCTGATTTCACTCCGACTTTATCGTATTATTCTCTATTAGTTTCTTATATTTGTAGTAATCTATTCTAGCTATCTATGTTTTATGTAACTTACTCTTTCTCCCTATAACTAACTAGTTATATTTTCTTTCTATCTTAGTTACAGTATTTCCCGCGTTTCTTGTGGGTAGCAAAATTACCCGTGGGTAGTGTAACCCATGGGTCGTTTTACCCACGGGCCTTTCAACCCGCGGGTAAATATAGTGGGACTGCCCGTGGGTAATTCGGGTTTACCCAAACTACCCACGGGTAGTTTTGGGTACTACCCATACGGGTACCCGCGGGTATTACCCAACCCTAAATTTCAGAATATCAAAACACTATGCTGAAGTGTCGTTTTTGAATTCAGTCAGCTGCCTAGCTGCAAGTTCTATTATGGGCGGAATTCATGCACGCTATTGGCTAAATACAGCTTCGCAAGGCATTGGATGTATAACCGAATTTCATCTCGTGTGATGATTCGCTCTCCTTATGCACTTAGCTGCACGTGCTCTACACAGCCTCAGGAGGCTTTTGACGAATATCTCGTCCGCAGCCTGATTGACTGTCAGCATCTTTCCCGCATCAGCATTCATCTGGAGGGAACTGACGCGTTGGTCACATCCAGACAAACATTGGCTCGATCCAATCAGCACCATTGAATCTGTTGCGATAGTTGGAATACGGAGTCGTGTGGCACTTCCAGCCACACGCCCGCCAGGCTGAGAGGCCCAAGCCTCCCAGACCCACGTGACAGGCCAAGGGGGAATATCCCCACCTTCTAGTCAACAACACCACTTTCAACAATCATGAACCATCGATTAGAACCAATTTACTGTTATTTGTTATTGACGAACGGAATTCCGTTTCACCCCCTGTTTCACCCCCTGTGAAACCTACACTGATCAGTGGTAAACCTCACAGTTGCCATTAATTTGGTTAACTTCACAATTACCACTCTGCTACGGACAAACCGCAGATCAGCAAGGTCAACACCAGAAGAGACGACTTCTTGAACTGGATACCCAAGCCCAGGTAAAAGTAGGGATTTCGTGCTAACGAGAGAAGAAGCGAGAGTAACTGGGATCTACGGAAACCAGCAGAAGAAAGCTTCTTTTCCTCGAATCTACCAGCAATCCGATTATTCGAGTAACCTAGGGACTGCTACGCTCACCCTGGGCGGGATAAGGTTAATCGCAGCCAATTATCGCTGGCAAGAGCGTTCCATCACGCGTTTTCAATCACCAGAAGAAGAGACCTACCGAATCGACGGTCTTCCAACCTCTTCACGCCACAAGGGCGAAGATTCACGAATCCCACAAGGGACAACAACTTCCCCAACTACAACTATCCCCCACGCGCGGTGCCAATCACGAGGCGCCCGCTAGTTTCTCAATAAATCCCCAGACGAGGTGCCAACCGCGAGGCGCCTGCCACAAGAGACCTCCCTACCAGAAGAAGAACACGCCGAAAGGCGAGCGGAGACTACCGGCGGTAATCCGCCTATACAGCTATACGTATACGCCTCCGAGGCTGCGGCTTAGGAGAAACGCACGTGGTTGTGGGCGTCATAAGGCCAACTGTCCGCTAGATTCTAAACTTCCCAACAGTGAGGAGCGAAGCCCGAAGCGAGAAAGAGAGATTCACGAGAGAATCTACGGTAGAACTCTCTCCCTACCAATTCGAGACCTGTGTATACCCTCACACCCCTCGAGAACATCAGCGAGAACGGCGCCGACGGAAACAAACGACGAACCGACGAAAATCCCCGATTTCACGATTCTTTCCCCTTAGAATCGTAATATCCCGAATCGTCTTTTGACTCCCACTTCCAGGCCTGCATCTTGCACCAATCGCAGCTGACGCTGTTGAGGATTAGAATTCAAGATTCTAAACAGAAGTAATCCTTTTATACTGTCAGAATGGAGCGAAATTCACGAGAAGGATCGCCCGCGAGCGGCGTCACTGCCAAAAGCCAATCAACAGTCCCCATCCCACAGAGAATCGAAAGTATGATCGATCCAGCAGTATGGGGCAACTGGGCAATCGACCTTACAAACGCTAGCCCACAGCAACTGGGTTCCTATATGGGTTTCCTACTTGAGACCTATGAGAAGAGGAATCTCACGGGCCTCGAGCTATGGAACGAAGTTTCTCCCGATTTCGCCGACTGGTCAGAAGAAGACTTCCAGAACGTACCTCCCCCAATCCTACGATTCTTCAGAGACTATTTAATCGGTAACGGCGTCTACGTCGAAATGGATGGCAAGAAAATCTCGAAAAACGTGGCATTAGCCCTCAAAAAGGAAGAATTCCACTACTGGTCACCCCAAGAACTCGAACAAGGCGTCAAGAGATATCGCAACCTGAAGGCTCTGATAAAAGACCCCGAATTCCACGAAGAGATCACGAGACCGGCAACAGTAGCCAACAGCACAGGAGGAAGAGTCGAACCAACCCTACAGCCACCTCCTCCACAAGAACAACAACAGTGGCAACTACCGTACCGACCGCCACATCCCACGGTCTCTCCGTTAACAGACTTCCAACCATACGAGTCAACAGACCGTATCGGAAAGCAATTAACAGAATTCGCGAAACTATACCCCGACGATATGAAATACAGCGGCGATATGTACGATGTACTCGAAAAGAAGATGCCAGTATTCGTGGATCACTGTAGAATGCTGGGAATTCACACCTCCCAATACAACAGGGCACTTCCCCTAATACTGAAAGGAATAGCCAAAACCTACTTCTACGCCTCGATTAAAGTGATCAACCCACAGCCCAACTTCGAGACCATGATCAACCAATTGAAATCACACTTCGAGACTAGGGAAAGGCAACAAGCGTACGTTACGCAGTGGAATACAACTACTCTTCCCCAAATCATTCGCGATAACCCTGGAAAGACCAAATCGGAGTGTTTTGACATACTATGTGACAAATTAAGCAAGATTCAGCCCGGTTTGCCACAACAGGATCACAACGACCGATCCCTCCATACCCAACTTCTACACGCTTGTAGAGATATTCCAGAGTGTGCAATGGCGTTATTTGTACCGGCTGAGACGTACGAGGGACTTCGCAGCCAATTAATCTCGTCGATCGAGACAGCTACCCGTCTCAACCAACAACAATTCAACACAGTAGCCAACCCACCAGAGCAGTACTGGACCGACAGAACTTTCAACGGTCGAGGGCGTTATTCACGATACAGTCGTTCATCACGAAGTCGATCATCACGAGGAAGAAGCCGTGACAGACCCCTATTACCGCCAACGCCTAAGAAGTGCTACGTGTGTGGAAAACCTAACTGCTGGTCAACCAAACACACCACAGAAGAGAGACGAAAAGCGTACGAGAAGTTCAAAACCACCCAATATGCCCAGGATACGTCACTTCCAGCATATGGCCAATTTCTCGTCCAATACGAGGGTTTCGACGGGTTAGACCTACAACCTACCGCCGAAGACCCCCAGCAATACTACCACGTAACCGAGCAAACCAGTGAAAGTGACGAAGAGGAAGAGACCGGCAGCGACAGTCAATTCCAGGTCACCGCCTATTTCACTACAACAGCAATTGACGGCAACAGGATCGCCACGATCCTAGCAGACCAGTCAACCCGCCATGCTATTACGAAAGAAGACCTCTTCCGCAACCAACCAGAACCGAAAGAGCTACCTTCGCAATTCACACTCGAGGGACGCTACTCTGCCCAGAACTTCCAAGGGATCATGCCCGACTCGGGCGCAGCAGGATTCTCAACCGCTGGCCACCCACAATTCGTGGCCCTACAACAAATTTACGAAGGAATTACGTTAAACACTGAGGCGGCTGGCGGCGTTACAGTGAAATTCGGCGATGGGATACCACTGGAGTCTATAGGGACTACCAAAGTGCCAACGCCGTTTGGAAGCGTCAAATTTCACGTTATTGAGACTAACACTCCCTTCCTTATGTGCCTAGGAGATATGGACCGATTGAAGGTCTACTTTAACAACGTTACGAATACCCTCATCCAAGGAAATAAGGTCGTACCTATTATTCGCAAATGGGGCCACCCATGGTTATTACTCGATAAGGAGAAACCACTCGCCTGGAACCACCTCACAGACGCTGAATTGCGACGGGTTCACCGTCGCTTCGGACACCCATCTGTTCAACGATTACACAAGGTGCTCCAGAGGGCCGGCCACCCAGTTGAAATTACGGCAATTGAGCAACTATCGAAAGTCTGCCATCGATGCCAAATGCACGCACCAGCGCCATCACGGTTCAAATTCACGTTACGAGACGATTACGAATTCAACTACGAGGTTATCGCCGACGTGATGTACCTTGAGGGTAACAGACCGGTCCTCCACGTCGTCGATACCGCCACGGCGTTCAACGCCGCCCGGTTCCTTGAGGACATTTCTGCGAAAGCCACTTGGGAAGCCCTACGCCTCTGCTGGATAGATGTGTATCAGGGACCCCCAGACTGGCTAGTTACCGACGCTGGAACAAACTTCCGCTCAACAGAATTCCGAAACGCGGCGAGAGGAATGGCAATTGAAATCAAGGAAATTCCCATAGAAGCCCACAACAGTATTGGGAAAGTTGAACGATACCATACACCTCTAAGGAGGGCGTACGAAATCATCAGAGCAGAAGACCCAACAATTACGCCAGAATCAGCACTTCAAACAGCAGTCAAAGCAGTCAACGATACTGCTGGCCCGAACGGAATAGTGCCAACACTCTTGGTATTCGGCTCGTACCCACGAATTACCGACGATTCGCCGCCATCTCCCGAAGTCACAAGGCGGGCGAAAGCGATTAAGAAGGCGACGAGCGAAGTACGCGAACTTCACGCAAGGCGACAGGTGGCAGAAGCTATCGCCACCCGCAATGGCCCTGATACAGGGCCAATTGTTAATTTACCGCTACGGTCGCAAGTACGAGTATGGCGCGAAAAGAAGGGCTGGACCGGACCGTTTACTTTAGCAGCCATAAACGGCGAAACCTGTACTGTCGATACGCCACGTGGTCCGAAGACCTTCCGGTCTACCGTAGTCAAACCATACTACGAAGATCCCGATCAACCACCTAATTCCATCGCCGCGCCAGAAGAAGAAGAACCCGAAGCTAAGATACCGCAGCAGGAAGTAGTACGCGACGAAATTATCGTCGCCGGCGGAGGCAGTGAACCGGACGAACCGCAAGAGGCACCGGAGCCACCGAGAAGACGCCCGGGCAGACCCCGGAAGAGACCACTGCCAATCGCCCACTTCACAGAGGAATTCAACGATGACCCGGATTATCAACAAATATTCCTATCGATTAAGGAGCAAGCAGACGAAGAATTGGCAATCAAACTACGACGAGAAGGTGTTATTACTACACCAGGCGAACCGTTCGAACAGTCAACTAAACAAGAGATCAACAGCCTCATCGCTAGAGGAGTGTTCAAATTCACCCAGTTCAATAAGAGAAGGCACCAGAACGTACGAATCTTCCGATCTCGTATCGTCAACGAAGTCAAGGGTAAAACAACCCTGCTGATGCCCTCACGAAGAGCAAACCAAATCGAGCCCTCGAGAGATTCGTTGATAGCAACACGATAACGATACGTATGGAGGGATGGGTAACAAGACCGTAACTACGGGAGAAAGTAGGGATAGGAGGCCGAATTGACGAGGAGACGGAACTGTATAGGGACAACGTATTCCAACCGCTTCAACACCATAAAAAGAGAGTTTCCAGTGTTGCGATAGTTGGAATACGGAGTCGTGTGGCACTTCCAGCCACACGCCCGCCAGGCTGAGAGGCCCAAGCCTCCCAGACCCACGTGACAGGCCAAGGGGGAATATCCCCACCTTCTAGTCAACAACACCACTTTCAACAATCATAAACCATCGATTAGAACCAATTTACTGTTATTTGTTATTGACGAACGGAATTCCGTTTCACCCCCTGTTTCACCCCCTGTGAAACCTACAGAATCATCGCTGTCACTCAGACGACCATAGTCACCCAAGCACTTCCACCTTGGGTCTTCCTTCCAACGTCAAAGACAGATCTTAGGCTGGCCTGCGAACTCAACGTCAATGCCTCCCACAAAGCCCAATTATTCGTCCTCCAGACGCAAAGGCTATAAGCCGTACACCAGTTCCACAGTCTCTGCGCGTCGTCAGCACGTTATCAGCAAATACAGAAATGCTTCGTTTTATCAGCGTCCCAAAATACGCGATACTTCACAAAAACTTGTGATTAGCGGGTTTTTCATGTGCGAGTGCTGTCCGAGTAATCCCAAAAAGTTCACAACAGCTGAAGAGCTGCAGTAAGATCATCTTCGAGGTTCACGTACGCTGTTACTGAAATTATGCAGCGCTCATGAAACGGGAAAACGAACATCTTCTCCCCTGTCATCTGAGTATGAGAGCATAGATGAGACTGAAACTAGTCCGGTCGAGCCTGTCAACCAGCAAACGTGGATTGGGGAGGATGCGATGTTGTACTCTAGTCGATCAAAGGGCTCAAAATTTCGACCATTGAGCCTGCATATGAACTGCGACTTCGAACCGATAACACGGACAAACTTTTCGGTTCACCCTACCATCTCAAAGGATTATACAGCTGGCGAAAAGGCGCGCCAGGCCGACCTATTTGCTGCCTTGGCTAAACGGCTGCATAGCTATCCCTCCCAAAATCGTGGTAGAATGTCAGCATCAGGCAAGCCCGTGGTTCGACCTATAAAACAGAACACTTCGCTTTTCTACGCTGACTTGAATTCCTATTATGGATCGAAGTGGTAATATATATGCTAGAAAAGAGCAGAGAGAACCTACGGTTAAAGAAGTAGAAAGCAATTGGCAACATGGTAGTCATGCCAGATCAGGCCCTTCGTATTTGGATTTTTACTTTGGAAACATGTGCCTCACGCTAAAATTTCAGTATAGCCGGAAGCATTCGGGCAGGTTGACGTAAACTTAAAGAGAGAGACATTTTCTCGAGAGATTGGTTGGAAAAACCATGGTCTCTTGTTATTCACAAAGCTAAACAACCAGACACTTTTCTGATGCTATGTTAGCTTCTCTTCAGGAGCTACTCTATCCATCCCCCGTTGTTGAGTATTTTATTCAAGCTCATGCCCGCCTGTACAATCCAGATGTTGGTCATTCTGCATGTTTACCTCGAATGCCGTACACCATGACGTTCTAAAAACACAACAGCGCAGCCTAGGTAAACAGCCAAAGGCGGACATATCAAACACATGTCACTCAAGACATTCTAGACTTTGAAATGCTTGAAGGGGTAACATGTCACATGCTAGATCGCCCCGAAACCATAAATGAGAGTTGTTTTGAAATAACTTTTGGGCAGTCCGTTGAAAAACAGGTGCTTTGAGTCTCTTGGTTCAAATGTCAGCAAAAACAGGTAGGTCTAGCCATTCCTGACTTTAGAGGCAACGACCTGCATGAGCTAGGTAGGAAAGCCTGATGTCCCAAAATATGCAGAATACCTAAAATAATTATGATGTTTGTCAGGAACGTCCAGCGTAGAGTTCCTTCGATTGTTGTGAGCCTGAGGAACATCTGAAATCTTCCTGATTTGGCAGGCATGTCTAGGAACCAGCTTCCTCCCGTACCCACTACCCGTCACGTGTCAATAAGGGCTGACTAAGAAGCTTGGGCCAGCTAATCTCAAGGCATCCCAGTCTATATAAACCTCGCCACCCTCCGCGCTTCTTTCAACTTTCTCTCTCCTTTTTTTCTTCATACTTACCTTATCTGGCCACCTGGGGATCAAGAAATCCGGGTGGCAGAGAGGGAGGCCTGCATTGCACATCGCGGAGTCGACCTCTCTCGATTGCCCTTCGGGGCCATCGTGGGTGCAATTTTTGATTTTTGCCTGTCGCAAGACAACATCTTTTCATTGTGCTTGTCGCCTCTGTGCGGCGGTATGAAGAAGAGTAACGAGTGGATGGTATCTGATTTGTGTGATGTTTGCCAATAGTTAGTACAAGTTAATCTCAATCTCAAGTTGCCTAAGTGGATGAACATCTCATTGTTTGGGTCGATCATGGGAACGCTGTGCAGCCACAGAACTATCGGACCACGTCCTTGACTGATCAACAACAGAATGAACGCGCCAAAGGTCACGATACCTGCTACCTGAATCTCCAGCGACAATTGCCCTCATCCTAATAAACTATCTTACTTGATTAGCACAGCACCACCGTCTCCCAGCGAGGACTACAGTCTTTCCATCGGCTGACCCTCACAGATCCCGCCCCGATGCGTCTTGCGACGAACGGCTCAAACGACAGTCTCTCAACTAGCAAAACGTTGAACCTCCACATCTCGTGAAACTGCCCCTCGATGAAAGCCCACTCGTTTCTGTCCGTGATTGTGACTTCCAACCCGGCGCTAATCACAACAAAATCGAGCAGCTTCCTCCGGTCCCTCGTGCCCTTTCGCCCTGCAATCCAATCTACATCCATCTTGTCAAGATAACCGACCTGCCTTCCCATGAGGTCCAAAATCTCCGCGTCTTCTCTCGCCCACTCTTTCCCGGATGCTCTTACTCCCGTATTCGTCCAGTCGCGTCCGATCCTCAACGACGCAACAGTGGTGCTGAAAACTAACGCCCCAGGGAAATCTCGCGCGATGGCAACAGCTTCCGGCTTAAGCTCAGTATGCGCGAGGGCCTCCCACGGGCTGTGAGGGCATGTACGCCACATCTCCGCGTATCGCTGGTTTACCTCTTCCGATACACGGACTTTCCCGCCATCCATTCTCCTCTGCATGGGAGGAAGCTTCTCAGGCCCAGGGATTTTGACCAACCGCATCCCTGTGCCCATCCAGCGTTCTGTCACGCGCATGGGTCGAAGCCCGCCTACTCCTTTGGGGTCCTGGAGATGAAAGTACACCAAGGTCACAATACGGACAAGCTTGGTGTCTACAAGCTTAGCCTCGCCATGGATCCATTGATAACTGGCCGTCCCCATCCATGCCGCCCAGCTCCAGCTCGGGATCCAGTCCACTCCTTGACGACGTGATGCAGCACCTATATGACTCCACATCAGAGCCTGGGGGAGATGTACCTCTGGAATTCCGTACACCTTTTCGGAGCGCATCGCTTTTTTGACCGCGTTTCCCACCCCTGCGAACGCGTTGAGGACGTCGGCGCTGTGCGAGAATTGGCGGGACGTATAGTCCTCGACCCAGTGGCAGTAATGTGCAAGTGATACTTGGTTTGCCAGTCTGATCGTGGCGCTTTTGCGATGGGGAGGTCGGCGGTAGAAGCCTGGTATACTAGGAATATGGCGGCGTTTCTTTGCATACTCAGGAGATGTGTTGGCATCTTGCTCGGAGGCACTGGCGTCCGTGTCCTCTTCCAAGTGCTCCGTAGATACTTGCTCACTGGATGTTTTCTCTTGGCTCTCTGGTGTTTGGGACGACTTTTTAGGATAGTTCCAGGTGAGTTCCTCAGTGGCCTGACCGCGGCAACATTCAAATAAGACTTGATATTCCGTGATAAAAAGTCGGCGTCTCGACAACAGCCTCTCTTGGAAGGTCCAGCCCCTCCGGTTCCATAGTGAAGCGTCAACGATAGTTTCAATACCGTTCGGATCTATCCCTCGCCACCCTCGCCAAGTGTTCCTGTTCCGCGGTGGTCCCCATAAGGAGGCCCGTGGCATTCTGTGATAGTCGGCGTAGCCTGGCAGTCCCCTTCCCTTGCGATCGTTCAAGGCCGACATGATGGAAAAGGCAGCCGACTGGTAGATCCGGTCCATGCCCTCTATCTGGTCTGGCTTGGAGCGCTCGTCATCTTGGATAATGCAGAGCCGATCTACCCAGAGATAGGTCTCGCCAAGGTCCCTGCATAACGAGATTGTATCGGTGATGATTCGGGGGAGGGTGACTGCCAAAAGACTCCCTTCGACCTCTAGGTCACTGGCATTTGCGTTTATGAGCTGGGCGTGTCCGGCACCCTCACTCGCTTCCCACATGTAGCTCAGCGCAACGAAACGTACAGGTTTGACGGGTTGGACGATGGTCATCGAATGTACGTCAATAACCCGGAACCCATATGGAAGGTCAGCTGCAAATAGTTAGAGACAGGATGTTTGAATTAGATTTGGACTCTGAAGGTACTCACATATCGATCGGTATTGCCCAACACACTCCTTGCCATGCAACATCTCGCAACCATCAATCCACCCTTTTAGTGTAGAAACATCAAAACTTTCGGCCTCCCAGGCATCAACAGCCTGTAACCGTGGTGTGTCACCTTCCAAATATTTCATCTGGAACTGAGGCGTTACGGCAAAAGGTGGCGGCAGCGGCAGCGGCAGCGGCAACGGCGCCACATCACCACTACATGTCCCATCCAGAACGACACTAAGCGTCAGCTCCAAAAACATCTTAACCGATATCTCGCCTTCAACAGAGCGATTCAGCCTGCGCTTCTGGTCTTTCATCAATCCTGAATCCAGGAAAAATGGTCCCTGGACAGCGACATAGACGCTCTGCTCTGGGCTTTTCCTCAACCAGTCACACTCCCGCCGACGGCTCTCAACTGCTGTGGACACCGCACGGCAGATCAGACAGTTCTTAGCACCCTGAGATATTGTGCTGAGGGGCAGGTAATAATGTGCCTTGGGGCCATGGCCAGCGGCGAACTCGGGAATGTCCCAATCTTGGCATCGCGAACAGAGACGGGGGTTAGGTTGTTTTGGCCGCCGCGCCGCGATGTCCCTCTTGAAATGATTGATTGGCGGTGCTCCCACCGGAAAAGCAATGTCCGGGGAGAACCTAGTTCTCGACAACATCCAAGGAGGAGACCCAAGTTTACAGAGAGTCGTCTAGAGGAGGGCAGTCCTGTTGTCGGCTTATTTCAAACACATCGGAACAGTGAGACAACTAAGGCGGCAATTGGGCCTCTTTGTGGCGCAACAACGATTATCATAAAAGCTTGAAATTTCTTGGCATCTTCTCCTTGTGAAGGAGTGTTACCGTCTTGGGAACCCGACTCTTATGGGGAAGCAGAGATGTTGCAAATGGCAAGACGAACAACTTGGGGAATGATGAAAGGTGGGGGCAGGGGTACAACGTGAGCAACTTCTGCGTCAGCTGGGGAACTTTGGCCAGGGATTCATGATTGGGGCCAGGTCCTTTGACTACCATCATTAGCGTAACCTGGCTTAAGCTACTCGAAACAAGCTCTTGATAGCGCAGCACATACTGCGCTTGCTTACTTCAATAATTACGAAATCGAATGTAGCATGAGTTGTACAGCTGGCGTTGCGCGTTGTAGGATCGGCGCAGTTCGGCGTAGTGCTAGTCTGATCCAGGAAGTAAACGATATCGCTCTTCTGAACCATTACAATCAAAGTATGAACTTATCAACATATGCGATAGACTAAGAAGTGCAAATAACGCCAATGCATTGTGTATAGCCGGACCCTCCCAGGCTGCATAACTAACCTGGGAGATGTCTCTTCCGTATAACTCCCAACCCATACCCCTATGGCCCAAGACTTCTTATTATACATGTGTAATTCCAACTCACACAAAGCTGCTATTTTTTGACTTTCCATCGCAACCGAATGCTTTCGCCTGCTAGTTTCCCAAGGGATTTCCCCGTCCCTTTACCGTTTGCTATCGTATTTATGACCAAGACAATGAAACAGGCTCGACGCCTAATGTAGTTATCTTTCAGCCATTTGATTCGTATCCCTCCCGTGCCGATGGGGAGAAATCAACCAAGGGCTATCTGATTAAAAGTTCATGTAGCGAATGTGGGGTGTACCGTATGAAGGGCATGACTGAGTCGAAGGGTGATGAGACATGAAGAATGGCGTATTCTATACAAGAAGAAATTTCAGGGTGCGAAGACAAGTGTCGTCGGAGCCGTTAAGCGTAGAACGCCTCAATAAAGTAGATGAAGCCGAAAACCAGGAAGGCCACAGCACCACCGACAGTGACTAGAAAAGGTTAGAAGTAAACTTGGATCGGGCAACGCTTTAACTTACCAACTTTGAGGGAGACACGACCTGCAATGGCGCGACCGCCGATAACAGCGGCGCCAGTGCAAATGCAATGTCCGAACATAGCACCAAAAGTAACCCACCAGTAGTCCTGTCCTGCGGCCATGGCAATGGTCGCAATCTGGCTACGGTCACCCCACTCACCAAGGAAGGTCATGACGAAAGTCTGAACCCAAGCAGGGCTGAGGAGCAGGGAGAAGAGATTGTTCAGACCCTGCAGGGAACCTCTGAGACCACCAGGACCGGGAGACAGGCTTCTGCCCGGAGAGGTGGACGCCGAGCGCGGAGGCGAGGGGAAGCGACTCTTGGATCTGGACTTTCTGTCATTGAGACCCATCTCCAATGCATAGGGAGACACAGTAGAGCCCCGTCTCTTGTTCTCCTTCTCCTTTTCAGCAAGTTCCCTCTCGACCTCGTGCAGCTCGGCCGTAACACCCTCATTAGGGTCCATGGCGAGACCCTCGCGAAGCAACTTCGCACCGAAAACGAAGAACAGACCAGCGGCAAGAAAGCTTGTCACACGCTTTGGAATCAAAGTCGGGACTGCATGGCCAAGAACAGCCGACAGAACAGTCATGACCAAAAGGGCGCCAAAGGCAGCGGAGAAGACCACCATCCGGTCATGCTTCATCGCCATAAGTGCGGCCACAAGGAATGTCTTGTCGCCAACCTCGGAAACGAGAATCATTGTCAATGACAATACGAAGGAATGGAAAGGCTGGATGACACCCTCTTCGGTGTCTTCAGCTGAGGTGGAGGATTTTCCTTTTGACTTCGGAAGGTCTAGATGGTCTTTGTGTGCCGAGTTGGGAATCGGATTCGGCTTGTCGTCAAGCTTGTTGGGTAGGTCTGCAGGTTTCTGCGGTATGTTAGCATCTTGTGGTCGGCTGGTATGGCGTTAGAAACTCACTTCAAGTCCCGCGACATGTTCGGGAGTATGTCGGTCATGGTCGTGATCCTTGTCCTTGCTAGAGTCCTTCTGCGAGTCCTTGTCGCTCAAAATCTTCTCCTGTTCGCTGTGTGGCAGAGGAGGCTGCTCCTTAGGAGCTACTGGCTTTGTGTCGACCTTTCCACCCGTTCTTCCCTCCGCGGCCTTGCGCGCTTTGTCTTTTTCGCTGACACCTCCCTCAGTGCCGGTGGTGCCCTCCTTGGGCTTCTGGCGGGTCTTGTCGTCCATAACACCATCGTTCTTCTCGGGGATCTTTTTGCCATCGATAACGGTCGGATCAGATGGGCGTCCCTTCAAGGGAGGTAAGTCCTTCTTGGAATCGACATCAGCGACTTTCGCCTTCTTGTCGCCGTCATTGTCTTTGTCGACCCATGGACCCTGATGGGGCATGCCGTCCTTGCCATCGACGGGGGCATGCTCCGTGCCATACCGTGTCTTGATGGTAGAGCCAACAGCCGGATCAGCAGTTTTGTCTGTGGAAGCTACTGCTTTGGCATCGTTCTTGTCCTTGGTTTCGACCGCAAGTCCCGCGACGAGACCAGGAATGAGAAGGAGGAGCAGAGGGGAGTGGCGGGTTCGCATCCTCATGTTGACTCGTTCGGGGGTATCGTGCCTCACACTCAGGGGCAATGCGGTGGGATGTGAAAGAGAGTTTGGTGATGGTACTCAATGTTCTGTCCTGGGCCAGGGGGGAGGGAAAAGTAAATGGTTTCTGATTACACTGCCAATGCGACCGCTAAGCCACGGGTTCTAAATTTGTTACGTATCTTTTGGCTGCACGGCCACGAGGGGGGACACCATTTGAGGACGCGCCGCGGTGCCCCCATGTTCCGATGGACCAGCGATGCTCCACAGGGGCGACTTCAGTTGGCGGGCCCCGGAGACCCCAGTAGCCCCTTACACGTACGCTAGACTAATTCCACCAGGGGCTGCTAATATGGGATATATTCATAGAGGACACAGTAGGCTCGGATAATGGACTTGGATGTATCAGCAATGCAAGGGGCCCACGGTGTTCATGTCAACAATCCATAGTAAAGCGAGGTAATAGGACGCAAAAGCAAGCGTACAGACAGGTCAACATAATAATGGAGTGAATAAAGTAGTTGTGATCATCGTGTTTCCCAGCAAGTGGGTGCATCACCCAGGTTGTCACCAGTTGACCCCAGATTTGCTTACAGATTTCTGGGTTTGCTAAACCAAAGTCGAAAGATACGTACCGCATCACTTTGGTGGACTGCTGCGGCGAGAGCTCCAGGTCCTGCGTCGCACTGAACGCCGGAGCTTACAGTAGCTTCGTTATCTTATCTCCGCCGACCGGCCAGGGAACCCCACCTATTCCGGACCATAATGAATGTCGTCACGAACAACCGCCTCTCCATGAAACATAAGCTGGTCACCGCTTTTCACAGCATCTTGTCGCTGATTTCAATCCGTCTTTTTTTCTCCTGTTTATTTTGAATATCCTCGAAAGCAAGCAAGATATTTACGAGACTGCCACAGACGTTCCCTTATCGAGCTCGCTGTCATACATCGGCAGTCTCACATCCGAGCTCCGTTGTATCACGTACCTTCAATCCGAACTTTGTGAACACTAATAACTCGAAATGGACCCTTTTGATGGTTCCCGGTCGCCATCTCCTCCCAATATGGAGCCTGCGAGTGATGATGATCAACCCACTTGGAGATTATTCTTCGATCCGGAAGATGCCAACGATATGGACAACGATGAGGAGTACGACCCTGATTTCCAAGATGAACCGGACGAAGAAGATGACGATGACGATGAATATCATGGTATGGAGTTGCAAAGATTTTTTCATGACCATATCTGACTTACTCTGATACAGATGCCGATGACGGTGGCGACGGCAATGTAGAGGTTGAAGTGTTCATGGGCGCAGGCGAAGACGATGACGAAGATGAGGATGAGGGAGCCGATGCATCCGACAACACGATCTCGAGAATTATGGCTCTTATAAGTAAGTTTTAAGATGACTTTTTTTCAAGTCCTTGGCGCCCTGACTAACATGCGTCAATAGCTGGTGCGGGCAATGGAACAGGATTCTTAACGAGGGCACAGTTGCTCGGCTTGATCCAGAGTGGCGAAGTTACGCTGCGCAGTACTCTCGACGATGAAGACGACGATGATGATATGGGTTGGGGCAGGCGAAGGAGGCGGCCCCGCAGAGAGCCGGCCAAATTTCCCAAAGTACCGAGCGACGAAGGCACTAAGTTGATGCACTCTGGTGTATTTGGCGCAAACGAGTACCGCGTGACAAAGAAGAAGCAACTGGCGCGAAGGATACTAGATCGCGAGCTGGGACTGGGCACCCGACGGGATAGGCAACAAAACCAAGATCTTATGGCCCAGGGCATGATACCATCAACCAAGCCCGAGATGATCGTACATTATGACGACCCTGTCTACTCTGGTCAATTCTCTGACGACGGCAACTTTTTCTATGCATGCGGTCACGACTTCAAGGTCCGCATGTACGACACATCGAATCCATACAACTGGAAGTACTATAAAACAGTCAACTACCCATGGGGCCAGTGGACATTGACAGATGCGTCTTTGAGCCCTGACAATCGTTGGCTCGCTTATACATCGATTCAAAGCAATGTGTGCCTTGCACCTACAGACCCGAATGATACAGGAGACCCGTACACACTCGACCTTGCTCAGGGGAGTACAGGGCAGAGGAACGCAGGGTGGCGTTCAAGGCATTCGTTTGGTATTTGGTCCGTCAGGTTCTCAGGCGATGGCCGAGAGCTTGTGGCAGGTACCAACAGCCAATCGATTGTTGTTTACGACATTGAGTCGCGAACCGTACTTCACAATGTTGTTGGCCATACGGATGATGTAAACGCCGTCTGCTTTGCGGACAAATCATCTCCCCATATTCTTTATTCTGGCTCGGACGACGCCACCATCAAGGTCTGGGACCGACGCAGCATGGGAGACCAACGGCCGGCCGGTGCCTTTGTGGGCCATGTCGAGGGGCTTACGTATATCGATAGTAAGGGCGACGGCCGGTATATCTTGAGTAACGGCAAGGATCAGACCATGAAGCTATGGGACCTTCGCATGGTCATGTCCATGTCCAAGTACGAAGAGCTCAACCCCCAGCGAGTTACCATGAATAGCGACTTCGACTATAGGTGGGGGACTTACAGGGACGAGGACTGGTTCCCTCATCCAAATGACAACTCCCTCGTCACATTTAGGGGGCACCGGGTGATGCGCACACTGATCCGTTGCCATTTTTCGCCGCCGTCCAGCACCAATTCCCGATATGTTTACTCAGGCAGTCAAGATGGCAAGGTTTATATTTGGAATTTAGATGCGACATTGGCAGGCACCATTGATGTGAGGAAGGCGACTAAAAACTCACGACCTCTCGAACGCAGGTATCGCATCTACCACGGCGACGACTTTCCGGGCTGGAACACATGCGTGCGCGATGTGAGCTGGCATCCAAATGCCCCAGTACTCGTCGGTGAGTAATAACATACCCCATGATCAAAGGTCAGCGTTAACATTACCCAGCGTCCGCATGGAACGGCTTCAATATGGCCCATGGAACTTGCACGTTGCATTCGTATAATGAAGCCGAGGAAGACGAGGCGGAGCCAAAAATGGGCCGCAACGTCGACGAGAAGCTAATCACTGTCGGCGAGACGTTCCGCATGTAAAGTGTAATTGAAAAAAAAAAATCACATGAAAAGGACAACATGGGATGATTATTTCGATTATTTGTACATCCTCCACACATGTCAACCCCTCTTTTGGCAATGATACATGATTTGATGAAGCCACTGGATTCGGGGTATCTCCTAACGCTAGTGCGTGTTTTCCGCCTTTCGAGGTTGCCGCAATGCATTGCAACCTGCCCGTGTGATGATTCTGAACCCCCTGCTTTCGTATAACGTGTTCATCTTGACCGACTGCGTCGACGGGAGTATGTTCGATAAGCCGTGTCGTATAATTGTTGCTTCCGTTAGACAACGATTGGCTATTTATGCGCCACCGACAAGAATGTTGTTGACGGGGATGTGGATGAGCTTGACGATGTAGCCAACCGCACCCATGATGAGGAAACCAACACCAACGGCCTGGCAGAGCTTCAGGAACTCGACCTTGTCGGCTGGTGACAAGTTAGCATTGACGCGAGTAAAAGGAAAGAAAAAAAGTCATCACGTACGCTTGGTGCACCGTCTCATGAACTGGACACCCTCCTGAGCGAACTCGGAGGGAACCTCGAGGATCTCCTTAACCTGGTCGGCCATTGTGGATAGAAGCGCGTGGGTATCAAAGAAGAGAATGTGGTTTTTGGTCAGGTAATAGTCGCAACAGAATGTCAATGAACCGCGACAGAGAAATCAATCGTCAGGTGGATAAAAGGAAGGCGCGGCGTCGGGTGTTTAAGACGTGCAGGTCGGTAAGGTGGAAGATTCGAGAGGTCAATGGCGGAGGGAGATGTGTTAAATTGAGCGCGCTGTCACTGAGGGTCCCCAAAATTTCGGGTTACGCTCCTGCTATGGCAGGAAGCCAGATTGCCATAAAGGAGGAAGGGAGGAATAATACCCCGGCTCCGAAGCACGCGCCACTTCATGCTTATCTAACATCGATAATGAGCATGTGGGGCTATTTACAGTGGAGCGGGTGATTGCGAGCCCCTGGATTTCCCCCGCCAGTAGGCAAAAGGGTCGCTGGTCTGGGCCTGTCTGGGCAAGTCATAGTTACAGCAGGCACATGACAGTGAGGAAAATACGTATCGCGCCAGCTCACAGAGTGCTAAGCACCTGGAAGGCTCCACTGAAGCACCCACTGGCTGCGTCTGTGCCTGCCACAGCCTGGTGGCCGTGGCCCTTGCCTGGTTCCGCCTGGTTCAGGATGCGACCTCAGCTCTTTCAGGAGCTTCCCCCAGTTTTCTTCTCTTCCCAAACGCTCCTCCACTCCCTCCCTCAACCGCATTTCTTTCATCGCGTCAACGTCCCGACGACCTGACCTCCCTTGCTGTACCGACACCCAACACAGCACATTGTATCGAGTCCGACGTATTACCTCGTCGTCCTCGTATAATCGTTATAGTCGCCAGCGAAGCATACTTACGGCTGTTGACTTCGGCCAGAAACCTTAATTGGCTTCTTGGATCACCAACTAACTACACCGGCTGACAGTATTCGGTCGCGCAGTCAGCGGGAAGGCACGCGCGTGGAAGCAACGGCTCAAGGCGGTGGCAGAACGGGCAAACGGACTCTTGAATCTGGGGATTCTGTTTCCACCTTTCTCACTCGTCCAACTTTATCTTTTGCCTGTACCTAAGGCTTTTTGGGCCGAATAAGGAAAGAAAAACCAATCATCTCCGCCCTTTGGGAAGACCAAGGCACAGAGCTTTGTCTTCAATTTTATTTGGTTGAAAAAAAGGAGAGGACCCCTGGCTTGGGCATTCAATCCAACCTCTTCCCATCCTGTCCTGTCTGCGGAACGAGGAGTGTACGTATCAGTTGTTTTCTGCCTCCATCCTGTTTTATTCGAGTTTTCTTTAGTTCAAAATTCTGGCAATGACCCTGTATCTGGCAGCGGCTGATAATCCTGTTCAAAGACTGCAGACGGTCCCTGTATCTCGCAGACTAATAACAACCTTATTACAACTACAACCAAGCTCTTTACTTCAACTCACGGCTACCAGATACCACCATCAACATGGCTGAGGAGGAATTTGAGATCGATATTTACGGTGATGCGCCCCAGGATCACCAAGATGGTAACAATGAGGCATATGATGGGCAGCAAGCCAATGGGCATGTCGACGACCACCCTGACGAACAGAAGCAAGACCACCAAGAAGAGTACCACGAACAAAACGAGCACCAAGACCAGCAAGATGCGACTGCCCCTCAGCAAGGTGTCAAGAGAAAAGGTGATGATCGACTGGTCGATCCTGGCGCGACGACAGCCATTATGATCTCGGACCTCAACTGGTGGAACACCGATGACGACATTAGGGGGTGGTGCAGGGAAGCCCACTGCGAGGATGAGCTCAAGGACATAACGTTTAGTGAACACAAGGTCAACGGCAAGAGCAAGGGGTAGGGAGCTTAGGAATCAGTTCATCCATGACATGCGTTTGCTAACTCCAGCACAGCCAAGTCTACGTCGAGTTCGCATCGCAACAAGCAGCAACAGCTGCCAAACACGCCATAGAGTCAACAGACGGCGCCCAGGGCGTTCCTAAGAAGCACAATGTCACCTACTCGAATCCAAATGTTAACCCGTTCCGTACGCTGCCTAAGGACGCACCGAACCGAGCGGGCAAGGATCAGAACAGTCGACCTGGTGGTAATTATAATAACCAAGCGTCTTCAATGGGTGGCGAGTTCCGTGGAAACGGGTACCGCGGTCGTGGTGGCTTCAACGGACCCCGTGGAGGAGGCATGAACCAAGGCGGCTTCAACCGCAACTTCTCGGGCGGCATGGGCGGCGGCTTTAACAACAACATGGGCGGTGGCTTCAACAATGGTATGGGAGGCGGCAATTTTGGAGGCGGTGGCTTTCAACGGGGCGGTGGCTTCGGCGGAGGCATGCGCGGCGGCCCCGGGATGCGCGGTGGCCGGGGTGGTATGAACAACCCGATGGGCGGCATGGGCATGGGCCCGATGGGTGGCATGCAGATGGGAGGCATGCCGAACATGAACATGATGGGCGGCGGTATGCCTGGTACGAAACCCCTTTCTTTTGGACTTCAGACACCTCACATTCCTCCATCACCTTTCTTCACTGCCCAACAACCCCAGTAACGCAAGGAACATTATGGCGCACACAAGAGCAAAGTTGCCAGTCTTCAGTCAAGATATTCTCCGAATTCTCAGCGCCAGAAACAACATCCGCAGCCTACATCTTTAGCGGAGGTAGGCCATTGGATTAAGGAGCACGGCCTGGTGTTTTCAACCCCCTTTTGACTATTGGCCCCTGGCCAGGAGGCAGCCCTCTAGCAAACTCGGCATGCCAACTGACCCCATTTCATTTTTGCCTCTTCCTTTCACTCCCTCTCATTTTGCTCTTGATGAGCCACCAGGCTAACTTCGTTATAGGATATGGCATGCCGCAACAGTTCAATCCGGCTTTCTTCGGTGGAAACCAAGGCGGTGGCAACGACTGGGGCAACCCTCACGGTGCGAAACGACCCCGTCCGGAGTAGTTCTCTCGTCGGCGAGGCACCGCAGAGTATAGATCTCATAGTGGGTGAAAATCACTTCGCTGCAACCCGGCATGTTGTGATGCTTGGAAGATGAATTTACTTTCAATGCAGAGTCGCAACAGCCAAAAAGCGTATTAAGGAACTTTTGAAACAGAAGGTTCCCGCCAGGTAATGGAATGTTGCTTGCGATGGACCGGCAATGGAGTCACAGATTCCCCCTGAGTTGCGGCAGATTAAAATGAGATTCCTCCGGCTTTTTAAACCTGTTTGCTCAGTCGTTGGTTCGGATGTATGGTGTACTATTAGACTTTTAGCTGCATGGGAAATGGTCACATGGCAGCTCGGCCCTGGCGTTGTTAGTTGTACGTTACAAATCGCACCCGCCCAGACTTGGAGCTGCGTTTGATCTCTTAAATGTTTGATTTCATCTTATTGGACCTTGAGGTTCTGCACTGTCGTGCGGATGAGCACCTGCACTTGCCTCCAACGCGCTACAAGCATTTCCCGCTGAAATTCTTCTCCATCACTCAGCCCGTTTACAATCTCGATTTTAGAGGAAATGTCATTGTCGTATGCAGCCAACAACTCCTTCAGAATCTCATCAGCCTTGCCCTGCTCCACCTCACTGTCTTCGAACCCATCCACAAACCTCGCCCACCTTCTCGCTGGGAGCACAAGCGTACGAAGCGCAACCTGGGTACGGTAGCAGACCATGTCGGCGTCAGCTACGTAATTCCCCAGGAAACCACGGTCTTGGAGCTGTTCTTTGTGGGAGGCCTCCAGCCGTGGGAGGATCGCGTCGTCAAGGCACGCCTCATCCCATTCATTCTCTCCGTCACCCATGACGAAGCCGTATTCCACGAGGAGGAAATCGTTGCTGTGTCGGCCATAGCAGATGTGTATCTCATCTCCAGGGGCATAGTCTCTGTCGGCACTGATTGTGAAAGATTCTGCGTCAAAGGCGACGTTGCACCCCCTGGAAGAATGGTTGAGAAGGTCGGCTACGGGCTGGAGGATCATGTGGTCTTCCTTGCTGCGTTTGGCAGTCTTGGGGGTGACGTGGTAGAATGTGCGCGAGTTCACGAGAAGCCATGCATAACGGTATGCTTCATAGGTGAGGTCGGGCAGGGCCGAGGAGACCAGAGTCCAGTGGGACTCAAATTTCTCACGTTGAGCCGAAAGGAGCGAAGATGCCGCCGCTGGGAGATGAGCTGTGAGTGAATCTGGCCATGTCAAGGGACATGAGGAGATGTCTTGCGGCGAAGGGAAGACGGCGGACCAGGTTTTGAAAGATGACGATGTGTCGAGGGCGATGTCCGCTGCTAGGAGGGCATGAACCGCGATATCTTCTGGGAAGAGGCGGGATATCGATTTTGGGACTGTCCTAATTGTTTTTAGGCAAGGGATGGGGACATCGAGGACTGCATCGCCTTTCTGGTATGTGTTAGTCGGATAGATCATTCCATGGTGAGAGGTTGCAGATTCACTGACCTTAATAGGTGCAGTTGCGACAATGCCTATGCCACGGCCAGGTAGGGCTCTTGGACCGACATTGTTTATCGTTATGCCTTGAGTCTTCGCCCAGGTCAGGAGATTCTCAATGGCATCCATGGCAGTTGAGTCTAGCATAGGTCGGAGTGTGCTGAGTTGCAAGTGCTGACTCAAACCCAAGGCTGGACCCAACTCAAGTCAAGAAGATGATATGAGCACCGGAGAATTTCAACTGTCAAAATCAATTTACCAGCTTAAGAAATTTGATGTCCTACAAATGCCAAGGGAGGTCAGACAAAAGATGGTGGAGTGAGTGAGCCAGGATCTCATGTACGAAATCTGAGTGAACACTGAACTTGAATGAGGAACTCAAATAGGCGTGTAGCTCGACCGCGTGTGAAATATGCACAAATCTTGAAAGTACATGATCAAAACTTTGGCATCTTTCAATTGCGGATTTGGGTTAGAGTCTCAAGATCGAGTCATTTAAACCCGTTGACAGTTGATCAAGGTTGAGTGACAACAAGAGCTGGAGTTGAGACGAGTGGCTGTCAAAAACTATTCGGCCAATCATATTACGTATGCGGGGCACCAGGAGCAGTGAAACCCCAAGTTTTGGATTTTCTTTTCAGCTCTGTAGATTTCTGGCAAAAATAAAGTACCCTATAAAGCAGCAATGATCGGTGTTACTAGACGCCGATGCTCCGACCCGACAGCTCAATTCTCGGTCTTGGCTGCCATTTGCAGGGTACTACTGTGGTGAGGTAATTGACTATTTTCTGAGCTCCAAATTGTATTCCGGCCATCGAACCACCAGCACCTGATAGCTCCCAGGAGCTCCGAAAATCATTTTTTGATACAACAGCGTCATCGCATCGCTCCTTGGCGACGCTCACTTCCTCAATTTACTCCTGCAAACAATGAAAATGAAAGCCCTCTGTGCTTTCCCAGCGGCAAGCAGTCGTCGAGCCATCCCCGCCATCTGCGCCGCTTGCTCCTCAACACAATCCTCCCGCCCGTTCTCAGTGCTCAACCGCCCACCCCCGAAATACGAAGGCCATGTCCCCCTTACTAAAATCGAACGAGCGGGGCTTTTTGTTGGCGCAGGAATATGGTCTCTATTGAGTCCCTACCGTGGTGACCTCATTGCCGCTGTCGGCGAGACGACTGCGACGCCATACTTCATCTACCGCCTCCGCGATGCCATGCTCGCAGACCCAACGGGCCGTCGTATTCTTCGTGAGCGCCCGCGTATGACTTCTACATCCCTCAACCTCGAGCGACTACGTCAGCTGCCCGAGAACAGCGTTGGCCGGGCATATGTCGGCTGGCTCGACGCAGAGGGCGTGAGCCCCGACACGCGGCCGGCGGTGCGCTACATCGACGACCCTGAGTGTGCGTATGTGATGCAACGGTACCGCGAGTGCCACGATTTCTATCACGCCCTCACGGGGCTGCCGATCGTTCGGGAGGGAGAAGTTGCGCTTAAGGCGTTCGAATTTGCGAACACACTGATCCCCATGACGGGTTTTGCAGTGATGAGCTACGCAACAATGAAGAAAGGAGAACGTAGACGCTTCAGAGAGATTTATGGGCCATGGGCGTTGAGAAACGGACTGAGATCTAAGGAGGTGATCAATGTCTACTGGGAAGAGCAATTTGAGCGGGACGTAGATGACCTGAGGGCTGAGTTGGGCATTGAAAGACCGCCTAACATGAGGGACATTCGCAAAAAGGAGCGGCAGGAGAGGAAAAAGGCCAAGGAAGCCATGCAGGGCTGATAAATACGGGCATGTAATTGTAGTGTAGGTTATGTGTATTTTCGTAATGTCCAGCTGTTGGACACAAACCAATGCGGCTTTGCAGCATGCTAATAACGCCATTCCAACGCCGGCACATCACCTCTGGCAGGGCGGTTTGCCTTGTCAATCTGACCCGATGCCATGCCAAGGCAAAAACGACAACAGGTCCAGCAAGATGACTGTGTGTGTGTGTGCTTCATGATTTTTCCTCCGTACTTCATACTGCCCGTTCTGTCTTCTTTGGGGCTCATTCGATCGCATGTTTACAAGTCCAACAAGTCATCGTCGTCATCATCCCAGCCCTTGCGCCGGCTGACGACAATCTTCTCCTCTTCCTTGTTCTCGGCGACGGCGGCGAGCAGCTCCTTCAGCTGGGCTTCGGTGACCTTGCTGCGCAGCTGGCCGGACTGAGCGAGCATGATGAGTCGGTTCTCGACATCTTGTGCGCGCTGCTCCTTAACGAGGCGAATACGGCCCAGGCGGTCCGCCGCCTCCGGGTGCAGGATCTGGTTGAGAATCTGTTGCCTGGCTTCGGCTTCTTGTTGTCTGTGCACGCACCCAAGGGGCGCATTATGTCAGTGGTTATACGAATGACAAGAGCCCAGTGATTAAACATTGTCGAGCCATGGCGAAGTAAGAAAAGCAACGGCAAAATCGGGGTCGACCTACTGTCGCTGCTGCTGCTGCTCGGCCTGCTTCTGGTTCGAGCCTCCTGCGGAGCTGCCTCCCGCCCCGCCCTGCGCCTTGAGCTGCTCAAGGCGAGCCTTGCGGATCTGGGGTATGCGCGGTCAGTATTGGTCGAACATATGCCACCATAAGGGCTGCGCGTAGGTTGGTACCTGGTCAAGTTCGGAGTCGTCCATTTTTTGTGGTATCTGTGGCTTGCGCGGTGTTGATGTTTGGTTCAGGCAAACGCGGGGCGGCCCTGCCTGAAGGCAAGTTTTTGGCGGGGTTACCTTGGCTAATGGCTGGCGCCTTACAAATTTCAGAACGTGCTGGACTTGCACTTTAAGTGGTCTGACCGTCATTAACCAACCAGCTAAAGTTCACAGACATGGACGTCATGTTGAGAATGACTGCACTTCACATTTTCCAATTTGAAAGGAATTCTAATATGTTCTGGTGTGATTCTAATAGTAGTCATACAAAATGCTTTCCCGCCTTGTGAATACATAAAAACAACCTCTTACATCTTTTAACTTCACTACCGTCTTGAGGTCACTTCCATTGGAATGAAAGACCGGGTTTTATCCAGTTGCGCCTTGTGCTTCGCTTTAACCATACCGACAACCATCTCATTCGCCGGCAGCTTCATACCTAGCCTGCCCCCTCTCTCAATGAAGAATCCATTAAGATAGTCAATATCTGTCAACATCCCTCGCTGGATCTGCAATGCCATCTTGCTCGGCGCATCTCCTTTGCCTCTGAGCTTACCCATAATCTGTCTCCGCATACCCCCGCTCCGCAGCATGTTTTGTAGCTCTGGTGAATGCTTCACCTCAGGCATACGACCTACGACGTCGGCAATCTCGGACAGCAGCTGGTCAATCAACTTATTCGCCGTCGGGTTGTAGAGTACTTCTTTGTAGCGTGCGTCCAACAGGACGCAGATTGGGTCGATGACCGATGAAAACATGAGCGAAGGAATCTTGAGCTTCATCCAGCTATCAAGTTGCACGCCCTTGGCTTTGAGCATGTCGGAGGCAGCGAACTTTTCGAGCATGCCCTGCGTACGCAGCCACGTATCCGTAGAAAGCTCTTTCTCTTTGGTCTTGCCCAGGAAAGGTCGTACGCCGGTCAGCGCGGTTGTATATTCTGGCGACATTACTCGAACCGATTTTGTCTTTCTGTTATAGGCCAACGAGTGGCTCATGTGCCCGAGAACAATCGACGGTCGTTTCTCTGCGTCCGTAAAGACTCTGTTGTTCACCGCCTCAGCTACTCCTAGCCCGTCGTGCATATAACATATAGCTGTCCGATCGTCTACACGGTGCTTCACTTTCTCAAGCAACTTAATGGCCTGGCTGGGTCTCCCGCCTACCACCAAGTTGCTGATATGTCCATCGTCATCAGTTGATTCGAGGCCCTCCTTAATCGTTTCGTTCGCTTCGATCCAGGCCCCATCATGTTTTCTTGCTCCCATATTTCCCGAAATGTTTTGATAAGGTGTGTTTTGAGGTATGTTGAGCGATTTCACCGAGTCGTATATACCGTGTAGAGCATGCGATAGGAACTTCGACTTTTCATCCTGGCCCAAGATATGCACTGTACGCGAAGACGGAGGTGGCGGCGAGTTGTGTCCCATCATAACGGCTGGTACATAGAATCGGGATAACGAGTCTGCTCTGAAGATGGCGTAAAGCTCCTTCTCGTTCTGCTCCGGCTGCAGTCCCAATACCCTGTTGAACTTTTGCTTCTTCTCCTTTGGAAGGCCTAATATCGAGGCACCAGGGACTGTCGCCGCCATCTCGTTAGGCGCCACCTTTCCGGGTGCGATGCCGTGCGGCGGCGCCCCCTGACCGAGACCGCTCGTCGAGGAGTCCACGGATACACATCTGATGGCGCCCCGGCCAGTACCAACACTACCTGTCCTCCATATTGACTGTGATTTTGGTATCCGCGCAGAGAGGCGCGGTCTCGGAAGGCTTGCCAGAGTGACTGCCACGGTGGATGAGGTTATCGGGTTCGGCGCATTTACTGCGCAGTTGTCGTCGGGGTGAGGGTGGTGGTAGTGTAATGAGTCGATGAGATGTGCTCAATCGCCCAAGTTTGGTGCTTCGTATTAATTAAATAGGAGTTCGGGTATTGCACGCAGTCAATTCGTCGTTCAAGAACGTTGGTCTTCGTCGCAAGCAGGAGGCGTTGAGAGTGGATGACGGGGACATTCCTCTCAAAATTTGGCGCGTGGTAGCCGTAGAATCCCGGCCGGCAGGGTACCCACCAATTTGCAGCGATCCTAGCACCTCGTTAGATACATGCAAATCTTTCGACAACCGGATTTCTGAATTTTCAACGTCCATCTCATGCACTACAGGGTATCATATCAACTGTATCTCACCACAACGTGTTGTGCCTGACTTGAGTGAGAAACACTACATTCCGAAACACTTCTTTTCATTAAATACGGCCTCGAGAAATAAAGATTTCAAAATGGCGATGAAGGACATGGCCCAAGACCTCGACAAGCTCGATGTTCACATCGACTCCCTCGAGGATGCCCTTAAGCCCCTAATCTCCGACCTGCCTGAAATGTCTAACGAGCTTCCTCTCCTTGATAAGGCTAAGATGTTTGCTCTGACTGCATACGCCATTGAATCACTCCTCTTCTGTTAGTTTACAGCCTTGCACATCTACGAAGACCATCACGCTAACTTCATCTGCAGCCTCACTTCGTCTACAAAATGTGGATGCTAAAGACCACAACATCATGACGGAACTCAAGCGCGTGCAACAGTACTTTGGCAAAATTAAACAAGTTGAGGAGGCGCAGACGCCCGCCCAGCGGACAATGACTGTCAACACCGAGGCTGCGACTCGGATTCTCAAGGCGGATTTGGTAAGTTCCACATATAGCATGAGTTGTTGATGGAAACTGATTATTTTAGGGTGATGACAAGGCTTTGAAGAAAAGACTGGAGGAGAAGCTGGCCGAGGAGCGTGCCAAGGCGTTGCTCAACTCTATGCAGAAGACGAAGAGACCAGCGCCCGACTCGCCATCTGCCAGCTCCTCAGGCCCAGAGAAGAAGCAGAAGAACTCACGAAGGAAGAGCTCTGGCAGGAAGAACAAGCCTTGAGAACGCTTGCTTGGGAGACTTTGGAGTATGACGAACGAGTAGAAGACACAGCTGTGCATCGCTGCATTATGCCCTTTGGAATATGGGCCGCCATCGCGACAGCTTGCTTAGGTGGCACACAACACATTTCTTTGCAGCTAAACCGGCAAACAGATAGTATGTTATCTGTCTTGGCTTCGAGACGGGCAAAGGGATGTGATTTGAGCGCCCCGACTAAGCGTCCTCGGTTAGAGCCGAGAGGGAGAGAGAAGGGGAAAGAACATGGATTCGATACAGGGACAAAGCGGCGAGGCCTTTGTACATCAGGAACAAAAAGTTATACCCTCATATAGACATGGTAATATTGCTTAACGAATCACTCATACAAACCAATCAAACAGTCATTCGCATCCATGGAATAGCCCCTCTTTAACGATATGCTTTTCTCTACCCCTGACATATATCTGTCTAACCGAAAAGACCCTTCTCCACACCCAGTGACCACGCCGAATTCGCCCCAAGCTGATTGGTCACACCTTGCCACCCACCCCGGCCGAAAGCCCAAAAAAAGCCGAGCTCTAAACACCTCTCAACTCTTCTGTTCCGGCGCATAACAACTTCTGCAGGCTTCCCTCCCGATCCACGCCAGAAAAACAAAAACACGTTCCTCTCTCACCACGTCCCTCATCCACGAGAAACCTCACGCTTTTTAGTCTTACGACAACCACAAACACATTCAAAATGCCCCGTCAACGTTCCTCCGGCCGCCCTGCCGCCGCTCCCTCCCGCCCTACCGCCCCGGCCGCAAGGCCCGCGCCCACCCAGGCTCGCCCGGCCACCACCATGGCTGCTCCCCCTCAACAGCACGCTGCTCCTGCTGCTGCTCCTCCTGCCGCCGCTGCTCCCCCTGCTGCTGCTGCCCCCCAGGGCCCTGGTCTGTTCGGCCAGATGGCCAGCACTGCTGCGTAAGCCATAGCCCATTCACGCATTCCACGAGCCTGCAGAGCTTGGGACAGTCCTCTGCGTCCCGTTTTGCTCGCGCACGAGAACATGGACTATAATAAGAAAAAAAAAAAGAATGTGCTAACAAGACAACAGCGGTGTCGCTATCGGTTCCTCCATCGGCCACGCCATCGGTGGCCTCTTCTCCGGCGGCGGCTCCTCCGAGGCTCCCGCCCCCGCCCAGGCGCAATCCAACTCTCCCATCGCCGCTGGCGCCGAGTCCCAGACGACACAGCAGTGGGGCAACAACTGTGCCGGTGCCACCCAGCAGTTCACCAAGTGCATGGACGAGCACCAGGGCAACATGCAGATTTGCAACTGGTACCTCGAGCAGCTCAAGGCCTGCCAGGCCGCTGCCAGCCAATACTAAGCTTTCCCGCCGTTGTCTCGGCGTGTCCTGTGGTTACCTTAGGGTTAGCATAGGCTCAGCTAGGTAGTTTGGCGTTCTCCGAGTAAGATCGGGTGTTATATGTACTTAATATCATGGGAATGGGGGGGAAAAACACACAATACAATATCAACAAGAAGCGTGGTAGCTCAAGGCTCAAAGCTTCACGGAATTCATCATGGCATTTGCATTAGCGGAAGCATTTGAGATGGGGGCTTTCGAAAAAAAATATTACATCTCCTACGGTGTACAATAGATGACATTCCCACTCGCCAATTACTGTTGCCTCTCTTCTAACTCGAAAAAGTGACTCTCTATTGTCTTGACTACTCATCCTTCTTCTCGTCTGGCCTTGGCTCAAAGTTGAGCTGTGATAATTAGTAAAGAGCAAAAACACTGAGATGCAAGACAGAATCACTTACCGAATTGCCGTTGTAAAGCTGATGATCCCCCCTCCGATCGTCCGCATTCTCAAACTGCGAAAACCGCCCCTTGCGCTGCTCCCGCACAGTAACCGGTTCAGCGGCGCCCTCCTCGCTCCTGGCTCTTCCAAGGCCTGAGAAGGCACCGCTGATCAAGCCCCAGAGCCACTGCAGTAGTGAAAGCGGCAGCATCAGGAACGTGACCAGCATGCTGCCAAACGATGACCCTTCATAAGCGCTGACATGCGCCCCGACAGGCGCCAGCACAAGCGTCGACGAGGGCGACAGGCCCAAATCCGCAAGATTCTTGCTCTCTTCGGTATCGTCGATTCGTCTACTGGGCTGTGGCGCCAGCACAACCTTGAACCGGTACGGCTCCTTGTTTCCATCGGTCCTTGCCTCGTCGACCCACTTCCGCACATCGCCCAAGGTCTTGCTGCTGGGAAATCGATTGCGAATCGTGGAGCCATCAAGCAAACGCACCTGAAGCGCCGTCATGCCGCTCGCAGCAGAACTGGATGGTGCGAGCGAGCTCGACTCAGAGCGCGTCAACGCAGCGGCCACTTCTCCCAACTTGGGCGACGCATTCTGATCTCTCAGTGCGGCGCGCTCAGCAGCCTTTGCTCGTCGCTCAGCACGATCATCCTCAATCTTCTTCAAGATGCGCGCTTTCTCCTCGGCAGCCTCCTGGCGGGCTTTCTTGAGCGCCTCTTTGTGGTTGCGTGTCTGAGCCGCCTCTTTAGAATCGTCAGTTGCCGCTCTCGCAGCACGTGCTTCCCTGGCTTTGCGCTCATTTTCAAGGCGTTGAGCCTCAAGACGGGCGGCGCGTTCGGCGAGAACGTCACGAACGGCGGCCGCATTGACTTCTTCTTGGGTTGGCGTGGCAGGGCCCCGGGAGCTGGAGTTGCTTGTGTTAGTTTGAGAAGCATTGTTGGGGGCGTCGCCGTACAGGTCGTCTGTTGGTTGAGCTGCCGGCGCGGAAGTGGCAGCAGGTACAGATTGCGGCACGGCAGGCTGACCCTGGGCTCCGCGAAGGGCGGTCGTTACGCGCCTGACAAACTCGTCCTTGTTGGTGCCATTAACGATGTATTCCTTCAAATCACCATTCTTGATGATAACAACGGTTGGGGTGTTAGGCAGAGGAAAGATGGCTGCTAGAAAGCCGGCCTCTTCTGAACCCTGCTTCAACCGCAAAGCAACGGCTTCATCATTGAGCAGCGTTACAATCTACCAGATGTTAGTCTCGGTTCCAGGAAGTTTCAATGACACTTACAGAGTCTTCTGTGAGGTATTCGGTCTCCCAACGTTGACTTTCATCTTGCTCATCTGCGCCGTGTGAGTTTCAGTGCTGACAAACTCAAGTCAAGAAAACTTACCTGTCACGAAACAAAAGACACATTTATTTTGCTGCAGCGCTGAGGCAATGCCTTCTTGTAAGCTTCCCGTGAAGAACATGGCCAAGTACTTGAGTACTTTCTTATAAAGTATACTCGCTGCGTCGCTATACAAGAGATGGTTGAAGCTGCAAATTGAGATCGGACCACGGTGGAATAAGGTCAGCGGGCAGTGGATATCAAACGACAGCGGAACCAGGGCCGTGAAATAGGCCTCAGAAGCTTGTAATCGTAGCAGACAAACAGACTTGAGTGGTTTCAACAACTTTTCTCCGATTGCCAAACTTCAAAGACGAACAAACAGCGACGCACAATAGCGCTTGCAGGATACGGTTATCAAGCTTGGTGATGACAGGGGACAGGTGTCGTCGTCCCGTCCTCCCTTTCTGGGTGACACTAGACAAATCCAACCAAAGACAGCGTGGTGCAAAACCCCACATTGAACGCCACACCAACACCCACCGAACCTCCCGTGCTGCAGCTTGCCCCCCAGAGTGGGAGGTACCCTGTGCAGGGTGCCATCGGCGGCCAAAAAACCGAGAAGTACTACCAAAAGTCCTGACCTCATTCCACCCAAGCTCGCGAAAGCTTCAACTTCACCCACTCCCACCAACCCACCAGTCCTCCAGCCAGGCGCTGAGAACACAAACAAACCATGCCGCCACCGTTACCGCGAGTCCTTTTCAGGGCTCCAATGTGCACGGCACGAACATGCTTGAAGTCAATGGCACGCCCCGTCCCGGTCCCGATCACCACCCGCACAGCGTCGCAAACCGTCTCTAAAGTTGCGGCGCCGGCTGTCCGCGCATTCCACACAACCCCCCGGCGCCAGGCCTCCGAACCGCCGCCCGACTTCGTCTCGATCGTAGACAACCCCCCAGACCTCGTCCGCGCCGGCCGTCGCCACGGACCCGGTCTGATCCTCCTCGCCCTGATCCCCGTTACCGCTTTCATCTTGGGGACATGGCAAGTCCAGCGCCTGGACTGGAAGACCAAGCTCATCGCCAAGTACGAGGACCGCCTCGTCCGTGATCCGCTGCCGCTTCCGCCGCGCATCGACCCGGAGGCCGTGAAGGAGTTTGATTACCGCCGCGTCTACGCCACAGGCCGTTTTCGCCACGATCAGGAGATGCTGATCGGGCCGCGCATGTGGGAGGGCGAGCAGGGTTACATGGTCGTTACGCCGCTCGAGAGAGAGGGCGACGGCACGACGGTGCTGGTGAATCGCGGGTGGATCAGCAAGGAGATGGCAGACCAGAGAAAACGCCCGTACGGCTTGCCCACGGGCGAGGTGACGGTCGAGGGACTGCTTAGAGAGCCGTGGAAGAAGAACATGTTCACGCCCGACAACAGGCCCGACCGGTGGGAGTTTTTCTTCCCCGATGTTCACCAGATGGCGGAGCTCACGGGAAGCCAACCGGTTTGGATCGAGGCTACTATGGGTATATTGCAATCTTTCTACTTTCTGTTTTTTGTACATGATGCTAATGGGGGGTTGCCGGTTCGCAGAGCACGAATTCTTCCGCATCGTGGACCTCAAGTCCAGGGGTATCCCTATCGGCAGAGCCGCGGAGGTGAACCTGCGGAATAACCACGCCCAGTACATCTTCACATGGTATGTTTCCTTCTGCTCTTCCCAGCAGGCCATTCCTTCGTTCCAAATTATGGATATAAACTGACATCAATCATAGGTACGGCCTTGCCTTCGCTACTTCAATCATGCTGTGGATGGTCGTTAAGAAGCCCCCGTCCGATGTTTCGCGACGGGTGCGTATGAACAAGCACTGGTAGACACAATAGACTCAAAACCGAGTCGTAATGAGACTACCGTACGTAACCTCAGGTCACTTCCTCCTCGCCGCCTTTCGCCGCGCGGCGCTTCTTCCTCGGCTCCGCCGGCGGCAGCGGTTTAGGCATTCTCAACTCCTGCAGCAGCTCCCGGGGCAGATGTCTCTGCGCCAGGGAAAAGGGGGTGGTCGTCGAGTTGGTCTGGCGTTGTCTGTAAGAGTAAAAAAGAGAAAATGGTTAGACACACACACCTACTGTACAATTTGTAAAGAATGAAAACGGGAAAAAAAAAAATTCGATACCCAAAATAAGGCCTCATGCATGAACGGGATAAGAAGAAACGTACCTTCGCATGAGGGTGAGCATGTCACTCTCATCAATCGTCTTGCGCTTCGCGTGCTTCGCGTACGCAGAAAGATCGTCTCCCAGCTGCTCGAAAAACCAATCCGAAGCCCGCTGGATTTCCACCAGCACCTCGGGGCTGATTTTCGTCTTGGTGATGCCGCTCGACCGCGCAAACGTGCCCGCCAACCTCTTCACCACTGCAGGCGGTAGCGAAGGGTACTCGGTGCCGTATTTTGATAGCTTGAGACCTTTCTTGAACGTCTTGCGCGCTCTCTGGTCAAAATGCACACTCGTCCCGTCGGGCCTTTCCTCCTCCTCCCCCTCCTCCTCAGTCGCCTCCGCGTCTGCTCCATTAACATCCGTGAAATCTACAGGAGCCCCGTAATCCTCCGGACTTGAACTGCGCAGGTCATACGCCGGGCCGAGATCCTGGAAACCCATGTCGTCCCCGAAAGGAGGCGGGTTCTGGTCATCTGCGCCAGGCAACGGTTCAATGTTCATCGACGGCTGTTCATCCGTCATCTCCGGCAGTGGGCGCGCGGGCGAGCTCTGTCCCTCCACGGCCATCATGAAAGTAGTCTGGTCCGCGTCGACGGGGACCTGAAATCCGAAGTCGCTCTCTCTCGCCGGGGGGAGCGTATCTCGTCTTTCCGCAGCATTCTCGATTCTGTCGCCCATCGTCAGCCCTTCACTCCCAAACAACAACCCCGAAAAATACCTCTCACTCACCTCTCAAGCGTATCCCCCGCGTCTCTGCCCTCCTCGTCATCAAGCGCCCCAACGTCGAACCCAGGATCAAACCCAACCCCGTCGTCATCGTCGTCGTCGTCCAACTCCCCAAAGTTCCTATACTCGCTCAACCTCACGCTCCCCATCGACATTCTGCTCGGCTGATCCGTGTACGCCCTGCGCGGAAACTCTATCGTCGCATTCTCGTCGTGCATCTCTGACAACCTAGGCGGGACCAAATCGTCATCGTCATCCTCGATGTCAAGCGGCAACGACAACCTCGGCCTATCGATAGGAAGCTCGTCGTCCTCCTCGTCGTACATGAGACTCCTGTCCGGCGCCGCCGTGCGAATCGGCAAGCTCGCAGTCACGCCGACGTCGCTGGGCGAGGAGGACGACGAAATCACCTTGGTAGTGTGCTTCGTTACTCTGCTGAGCCCGCGCAAGACATCGTGCAGACTCTCCCTCCTCGGGCGGAAGCTCTCTCTACGTTTCTTACCGCCCGGGGTGAGCGCCGCTGCACGGCGTTGGTCTATCGTGCGATAAGCGGCGCGGGCATGTGGTGTAGCTGCCAGGCTGCGCCGACCTGATGCAAGAAGCCCGGGCGTCCCTGGGCCCCGGTATGCCGAGCTGCGGACGGAGGAGCGGAAGAGGTTCGGTCTGTTGGACGGCGTCTGGAGGGTTTGCCGGCTGGATGGGGGTTCGATGCTCAGAGCACGGCGTGAGGTGGGCGTGCGCGCGGCGGCAAGGGCGCCGGTCGTGGTATCCATTATCGCGGATGAGAAGAGGGGATCATCGTTATCGCTGAGGAACCCGCCGCCGCGGGCGTTGGTAGGTGTGTTGAAGGACATGATGTGTCCGTCGTCGGAGAACCTAGCTTTGTCTCGAAGGTGTGGGTGTGCGAAGGGTGGCGCATCGGCTGCGGCGCCAATTTTGAGTTGCCGTGGATCTGAGTCAATCCGACATACCACGAAAATGGGATGCGAAAGTCCGTGTTCGTGTGCAATGTCGTCGGGAAGTGGGTTGCGATGCTGATGGTGATGCCCCTCCCCACGGCGAAAGAACGACGCGACTGGCTTGACTGCTGGACGCGCCTGGCAGTTCGTCAAACACAAGCAAGGATATGTGCACGGACCATGAGCCGGCCCCACCATCGGCACCCTCTTTGTCCTCCGCCGGTGCTTCAACTGTCCGGGTTGCCGGAAACTTTACCCATGACTAAGGTTGATGTTGGAGTGGCGTACAGACGACATGCACACATCAAAACTCAATCGTGGAAAGATCGTTTTTCAGCAGATTAGTTTGTGATTGCGGATTTGTACTGCGACAGTGAGGGTGTGTATCTGACTCGTCGGGACTCTCGACTACCCACCATAACCATATTTGATCACGAGATGTTGGGCTGCTCTCAAGTCCGTCGGAGCACGAATTCTAGTGAAGTCTGCGCTGAGTCGAGTCCAAGTAGTCTTTTCACTTCCGTTCCGGACCCTTCAACGGGGATGTTGGCTCCACAGCTCAGTGGTCAAACATTTGGATGGGGGCTAGATTTCTGGACCAGCCGGGTATGTCAAACATGGCACAGCCGTACACTAAGAGAACGGGCAACAAACATCATTTTGGTATCTTGAATTGTAGGTTATGGTTCGCGAAGGATCAGAGCTATGCCATGATTACTAGCCCCGTCGATAGTCTTGGACTTAGTCTGACGCCCGAATCCTATGCGTGCTGTTAACCAACCGCCCGCTTGGTGGCTAGCTCTCTTATCATCGCCCATGTTTACGATACCAAGTCAGAAAAAGAGATGCAGCTATAGTTCTCGGACTTAGCCGTAAACCCGATCATCCCCAAGCCATCGATTTCAAACATCACGGAATTAGGATGCTGTCGCTGTCATCCCTCATCATCTTGCATGAGATTTTGCTTACCAATGCCATAACGTTATATTGGCATGAGGCCGAGGAGTGCGCCTGAATCACTTGGCAGCCTATTGCTTATTTGTAAGAAAAAACTCCTTCGAGACTTTCTCAACTAGGATCAAGCAATCACAGCATTAATCATCATGTTATGGCACACACCTGCCAACCGGACCTAGCCTATATCCGCAGTTCCTTGGGCATGGCTGTTGGAGATACATGTCTTTCCCAATCTTGTGCTAGGTGCTGGGCGGTCATGGGTAATTTCCAAGAAAGATTTGAGCTCCTACATCGGTGGTAAAAGATGCTGCGAATACAAAAGTGTAGGCAGCAACCAGGTCTGCGAGTAAATTGTCAGTGCCTAGCAACGTCACGGCTCACCTTGTTGCAATTGTTCCTCAAACCAGCTTATACAACCATGTCCGGCGACCTCATACTCTTGACCGGTGCAACCGGCTTCGTTGGCTACAAAACATTGATCACTGCCCTCAAAGCTGGCTACCGCGTCCGGTGTGCTGTGAGGTCCAAATCAGGCATTGACAAAGTCCTATCGGCGCCAAGTCTACAGAGCCTCCAGGTGTCGAACAATCAACTTTCATGGGTCATTGTACCTGATATCGCGGCGCTCGGTGCCTATGACGATGCCGTGAAGGATGTAAAGTACATCATTCATTGCGCGTCTCCTGTGCCTAAATTCGGGCCCAACGGTCTTGGTGCCAACGGTCGCCATGGAACGGACGAGGAGATATTTGTAACTCCAGCAGTCAGAGGCGTAGTTGGCATGCTTGAGAGCGCGGCAGCTCATGCCGCTGATACAGTTAAGCGAATTGTCGTAACAAGCTCCGTTGTAGCCGTCATGCCGAGGTCGGCCTTTCGGGGAGAAGGGCTAGACCGGCCGGCGTTCACGGGAGAATCCCGGCTGCCGACTCCGGCCGCCCCGTACGAAGACGCCTACAGCGCCAGTAAGACCGCTTCGCTTGAAGCATCCGAAATATGGATCAAAGAACACCAGCCAGCATTTGACCTCATCTCAATAATGCCCGCGTGGATCCTTGGCCACGAGGAGTTCGCCAAGACAACCAAGTCTCTCTTGGAGGGATCCAACAGTGTATTGCTCGGCCTCTTAACGGGCAGGAAAAGTAGCACAACCATCAACACTGGCTGCATATCTGTTACTGATGTGGCGGACGCGCATATTTCAGCACTATCGCCGTCTGTTTCTGGTGGTCAATCATTCCTCCTTTCTAGACACATTGTATTTGAAGAGGCACGAAAGTTGGCCAAGCAGTATTTTCTCGACGCTTTCGTCAGTGGTGTTTTCAACGAAGATGGGGTACAGCCAACAGTAAGCATTCCGACGGATGCCTCCGAGGGCGAGAAACTGCTTGGTCGTACGTATGTAAGCGAGGAAGAGATTGTGAGAGAGGTGGCGACGCAGTATGTGCAACTCGCGATGACAGGGAATGAAAGAAACGGCAATTGAGCAATTTTGTCTTAATGGCTGGTCCACATCACCAATTACATGTGTAAAATTGGAAGGGAATTGGGATTCAGGTGGATGAAATGTCAACCGTTGTCAAGTCCAAACCAGATAGCGAGAGCCATGTCGTGTCAAGTGAAGACGGCATTGTGAAGTCTTAACATCCAAATAGAATGCGGCACATAATGAACTTGGCGAAGCTGCAAGACCAACGATGCCGCACAGCGATCATTCAGGCCATGGTGATGCGACAACGTCGGTAGTGCGTAATCAGGCGCATAAGGAAACAAGTAGGGGTTACATGTGACAAGGTGATCTGTGCGGCTTGCAACGAATTGGGTCGGTTCGAAGATGAGAAGCGGATGAGACCTCTGCATGTTTCGTGGAAACACACGTGCTGATTCCTGAGGTTCAATGACAGACACTTGAACAAACCAGGAGGCCCCCCCTTTTTTGGTGAGGTGAGGAAAGGAGGAATTGTTGTAGCGAACCGGAAATGTTGCCGCCAAGCAAACCGATGATCTGACCAGTGTTTCTTTCGACTTGACAGGAGTTGTCGGGCAAGGAACAGACAGGACGGGTAGACGGGATCAGAAAAAGTTAGCAGTAAGGTGTGGTTGTTTCCAGCCGGATGGACTCCGAAGGAGGCTGATGCGAATGGCCGGAACAGCGGCGACAACATCTGGACAACGAATAACTTGGAAGCCGACGAGCAAGGGGTGGCGTGAAGGGGATGGCGACCGGGATACTCGATGGAATCGACTCAATATCCGTGCCCGGCAGGCGAATTTTGAGTCGAGGCGTGTACCATACCTACTGCAGTATGTGGTGAGGTCGGGTATGTGGGTTAGGCCCGGCGGTTGGAATCAATAAAGCCATGGGCCGTTGCATTTCCCAGCAAATCAGACCAGGCGTCCTTCCGCCTTGGGGCTCGTCAATCTCATTATTGCGGAGCTCTTGCTTCGGGTATGAGGACGAACAAAAGACGAAAAACGGCTGTACAGGTGGATGGGTGGATGGATGGATGTGAGTGAGCAAAGGGGTGGCCAGCGAAAGGGGGCATCCCTTGAAGACGAGCATGGCGAAGACGAGTGGAAGGCGAAAAGAAGGAGCTTCAAAACGTTCCTCGGATGTTCCATTGAAGGCAAAAAATTGTAACAAGACGTGCGTCAAGTGGCGCCTGAACTCACAAGAGTCTGGGGCGAGCTGGCAGGCGGCGAAGGAGGGCAGGGGAGGGGGGCGGAACAGACGCCCTCTGCCATCTTTTGCAGACAGACTTTCAGAGAGATGTCCAGTGACGGAAAAGAAGAGACGAGGCCTGTTTCTGTAGTGGTGGTGGTAGTGGTGGTGGTGGTGGTGAACTGAAGTCACAGGAGACGACGACGACGGAGACTCACAAGAAACAAAAGGGACCCGACTCATTAGAAACTTGGGTGTCTTCTGACTGGGGGAGAACATCCAAGAGACGTTTGACGATGAGGACGCAGGTTCGCGGTGCTAATATCTTTCAGGTGCGGTTGCCGCGATTGGCAGTTATCGGGCCCAACCCCTCGCAAGTTTCGCAAAGTCTCCCAGTTCGATGGCCAGGCCGACGCTATACTCACTTCGTAAGAGATCCCCACTTATCTGGTCCTGGACCTCCCTGCCGTCCATGTTAAAGTGTCCCTTGGGCAAGAAGGAAAAGACACCGACCAAGGGAAAGGGCCCCTCTCCCGTGCCTTGCCAGAAACGCTGGTGGCCCCCCCCCGATTCAAGTGAGCAACTGCCCCCGCTGAGTGGTTCTTGTGGGCGGACCATTGACCACTGGCAGCAAACGGGAGTGAAGATTGATGGGGGCTCTCCAGGGATCAGGGCTCCTTGGCTGGAAGGAGAGGTGGAGGGCAACGGCCTCTTGCGCAAAAGACAATCGCCGCCACACGCTGTCACATACGGATAGTTCCTGCTGAGATGGAAAATGCATTCTATGGAAAGGGCTACATCCAGATACTTTGTTCAACCATTAATGGCGTCAGCAATCTGCATCCTGTTCAAGTTCTGTTCCTGGGCTCAAGGGACCTAGCTTTGGGTGACACCACTGCCGAGTTGCATCACCGGGCATGGTTAGCGAATCTCACGACAGGCCACCAACGGCGAAACAGAACGCGAGACGCCAGTGTTGAACGCTCTTTTGGTCCGATGAACAGCAGAGTTAGATCTCTCGGGCTCCTCCCATTCATCGGACAGCACCTCCTCTTCGCAGTACAGATTTCTAGATTTCTAGAAATTGGAAGAGAGCTTCGCCGCTGGTGGGCGTGATGGCTTTTTTGCTCAATGCCACTAGTGTGTCCCAGCGGCACCTAATATCATCATCGAATTCTGGCCGCCCAAACAGTCGCCGTGCTAAGGCTATCACGTTCCTCGTCTGTTGGTGATACATGTTTATTTGCCCATTCCAATGTTAGCTGTAGTTACTGGCGACCAATCAAATGATGCTGGGTGGCTAAGTCGAGCCTGATTCGAGCTCGAATACATTTTGAGAATCAGCGGCAACAGGGGATTGTTTGACAGAGGACCAGCAATCAATGCCAACCAGTGAACCCAAAAGAATGCTGCTTCATGCCATGATTTGCTGCTAGCTTTGTTGTTTAGCTGGTTGGCTGGCTGCCAGGCGTCAGTAGTGCCCCGCCCCTCCTCATCATATCCGGCGCTATTCGAGCTAAGGTTAGGTTCCTTACAGCATCATCAACATCATCGTCAGCCTGGAGGGGCCAGCCCAGTGCTGTCAAGACTCACACACGTTTCTCTGTACTTGTACGTACCTCTAAGTACCTATCATCACTCCATACCAAGGCTTGCTGGTGCCTGTCAAAACCACTACTGGAGCAACAACACGGACCACCACCAACCTGCCTCTTTTCTTCCTCGTCTTCGTCCTCTTCTCCACTAAAAGGTAAGCCTCGAATCGAAAGCTGTTATCGGTAGAAAGCAGCGACATTCGAGAAGAACTCTCGGTAAAGCCAACCACTGCTTCAGTAGTAGTGGTGCAGCAGTAGAAGTAGGCCAGTTCACACGAGTTCCTCGTGCCATCCATCCATATCCGCAATCATACGGGGTTCCACAGCCCACCGCCAAACATCCACAGGAACCACAATCGTCATCTACAAACGTACCCTGAGCGCCGTGCCCGCCAGTCGGATCCCCATAACCCAATCGAGCCACTGCTCCTTTACAATCACGGTCCTTAAACCTCTAGTCCCAGGTCTCATCAACCCCAACCACTTTAACGTACCCAAGCACCGACAGGGCAACATCATCAGCATCATCAGTGCTGTGCAGCAAACAGTCGTCAGCGCTGCTGGTTCTCGTCATCGTCTTGCCGGTCCTGCCTTTGGCATCGGCATGGTACATACACCACTAGCATATACATACAGATAGATACTTTCTAGCAGCACTTGTATACATTTGCAACGCTTCCGTCTGGTCCTTGAAGAAACCCCTCTTACCGCCGCTGTCGCCCTCCGTTCCTATTGGGATAAAGCGCGTTGACGCCGAAACTGTTGCAGCCAGGAGCTCCTTGCTGCTCGCACCGCACCACACTGCAGCGCATCGCATCGCATCGCATCTCATCGTAGACCACCGACTGGTACGTGCCATCCTTTACCTGAGAGTACATGGTGTTTGTAGTTCTTTTTTTTTTTTTTTTTTCACCTCTCCCACCTGCAGCCGCCCATACCCTTTACCTCTCTGTACCTTGCCAATACTGCTGCACCTGCGCCGGACCTCTCTAACCACTGTTGCTGCATCCGACATCCTTCCATCCACTCTCGAAGCATCCGTTATCTGCTTCTGCCTCTCTCCCTCTCTCTCTACCTCTTTGCCTCTTGCCTTCTGCTTCGTTGTCGCCTCTTTGTCCATCACCTTTCTTCCCTCAAGCATTTTCCAACAAACTTTTTAAACCCTCGCCTGATATCAGCGGTGCGGATGCAGAAGCCATTCCTGGCCATTTGATCGTATTCCTCAGTGCCCATCCCTGGTTTGTCAGTTCTCCAGTCCGTTCTCCTGTCTCGCCAGTCCAACGCTTCCTCCTACCACCACTACCGCAACCACCACCACCACCACCACCAGCAACCCCCCGTCCCCCCCTTCCCCCCCTGGCCTGCCCATCCATTCCCTCCACTGCCTGCCTGGTCCTCTGCCTGACCAGTACCAGTACAGGGTACAGTACCTTACTCTGTACCAGCACCTGTACCAAAGCAGCACCAAACCATACGACGACCCTACCGCGCTGCGACTGTACCTAAACCGCTGCCCACCCCGACCCCCTCCACTTCCCTTCCCTCAGGTTTCCCAATTGCCCCCATCCCCACTTTCTTTGCCTGAGAAGAAGGTTAGATATACAGGGTACCGCTATCACCCTTTCAGCTTCACCTCCTGCGGCACTAATCCCTTCCGCTGTGTCAAAACATTTCTGACCTCGACTTTTTATGCAGCCCGAGGAACCCACCAGAGCTTAGACTCCGCAACTGTCTTCTGCTACTGCCGCGCAGTTTGCTTCTCTCCTTGCTTTGCTCTACCAACCTCAACCTCATACCTTTTCCCACCGACCGCCCAAGAGCAACCTCGTCCAACCGAACGCTCTCGAACAAACCGATACCTTTACTACCTGGATCCATTCCCGCTCGGCCTATTCGACACGACTTTCGTCGCCAGCCCGAATCGTATCATCCCACACCTTACTATACCTGACCACCCTATACCGCACCCCCCATAACTGCGACCTTCTAGGACCAAACATCCTCGAAGGACTGTCGCTGCATAGAAACATTCAACCATTTTCCCCTGTCCCTCCATTTTGGCAACTTTTTACCAGCCACATTTGACCTCGCCGTCTCTCATATCGGACCGGCTTCTAATTCGACACCGTCTTCCTTAATTCGCGAACTCTATTCGCGCTAAACACTGTCGTGGAATCGAACTATATCTTCCTCTCAGAAATACTACCAAAATGGCTCAACCAGGAGTTCAGTCGCTGAAGGTGTGTAGCGCCATCATCGCCATCTAGACGCTGAGTAGGAACCACAACGCTAACAAACATCATTGTAGTGCGTCGTGACGGGTGACGGTGCTGTCGGAAAGGTGAGCTGGCCCCCCTTCTATAGCCTCACCTCGGCTCGCAAGACTAATGAACCTCGCAGACATGCTTGCTCATTTCCTACACAACGAACGCCTTCCCCGGCGAGTACATTCCCACTGTGTAAGTATTTAAACCAGTGATTGATGGCCATCTCTCTAACCTTCAGCCTGCAGGTTCGACAACTATTCCGCGAGTGTGATGGTCGATGGAAAGCCAATTAGCCTGGGACTGTGGGATACTGCTGGTCAGGAGGATTACGACAGACTGCGACCCCTTTCCTACCCCCAAACCGACGTCTTCCTTATTTGCTTCTCCATCGTCAGCCCGCCATCATTTGACAACGTCAAGGCCAAGGTAGGACCTGCAGCGCCTCACCGCATAGCCATCAGCACTAACAATGCGTAGTGGTACCCCGAAATTGACCATCATGCGCCCAACATCCCCATTATCCTCGTCGGCACCAAGCTGGATTTGAGAGAAGACCCCAACACCCTCGAGTCTCTTCGCCAAAAGCGCATGGAGCCCGTGTCTTACGATCAAGCCCTGATCTGCGCCAAGGAGATCAAGGCACACAAGTACTTGGAGTGCTCTGCCCTGACGCAGAGAAATCTGAAGAGTGTTTTCGATGAGGCCATCCGGTAAGAGCTGTAACCCGTGGCGCACAAACGTCGACTCAAGCTAATTTCTTCCAGTGCTGTTCTGAACCCCCGACCTGTCCCACAGCAGAAGAAGAAGTCCAAGTGCACCATTCTGTGAACACGTCGATTGATCTTGAGCGTTGCGGGTTAACATTGGGAACGGCGTATCGAGGTGGATTACACGAACCAAACTTGACTACCAAGCCATCAGGGCTCAACCATGTTGCTCGACCCCGTGCCTTGCGCTTATCTAAGGAGGAACGACCAATACTTTTCAGAGCCAACCCCACAGGACAGACGAGCTAAGCACACCTTGTGAAGACGGCAACGACCCCGACTACTACACATTTGCCCGCCCGTTTGCCCGTTTGCCATGGACTATGATGGTGTCTTGCGGATCCGTGTGCAGTAGTGTGATGGATGAACGTGGCTTTATATTTTTTTTATTTTCTTTGTCATTTCTGTCTCGTCTTTTCAAAGAAAGAGACGAATCAGAGAACTGCAAATGTCGTGGGGAGGAACGTTGGTAGCAGGCAAACTTTGCATCTCATAACACAAAGGATATCCCAAGCTTTTCTGTAGATAGCACACACACTCTCACAAACACATCTTTTTTCACGGAGGAACTAGACACTGGGGCCAGGACGGAATATGAGCTTCGCCTTTGAGAATTGATTGTTATTGCAAGTGCCTTGGGGTATCTAGAATGAGACCTTGTAGATGTTGCAACAATATGAGTTGGTCCTTGGACCGACACCTGCGCCATGTGGAATTGTTTTCTCCCCCCTTCATCTCTCCATATATTCCAATCTGTTTTCCAAGTTTCCCCGGCTCGTTTGCGTTTGCGGGTAAAGAGTTTCGAGCCCGGCCCGCCACGGCCAAATAGCTTTTTCTTACAAATCATACGCCAATCTACTGGTACATCATAGCCAGGCGGCTGGGGTGGATGCTGTCTTGCTGGGTGTTGCTACCGCCCTCGGACGCTCTCTGCTTCTTGTACTCGTCCTCCTTCTGCAGCCTCTTGGCGCGGTTCTCGTCGAGGTGGACGTTGCGCTCCTTGATCTTTTCGCGCCTGAACTTGCTCTTGCCGCCACCGCCAGCGCTGGATAGTCATGTTAGCCCTTTCTGTTTACAACAACGAATAGACCGCAAATTTTGGGCGAAACAGGAGGAAAAGAGTTTCTGGCAAGGGAGGCATACCTGAGCTCCAGGTTGATTCTACGCGCAGGCGATAGGCCGTCGTCGAACTCGGTGTGGTGCATCTTGTCGAGGCAAGTGCGCATGTTGGAGCCGTTGGAGAACTCAAGGAAGGCGATGCCGCGGCAGACGTTGGGGTTTCCGTCCTTGTGCAAGCAGCGGACGGCCGTGGGCTTGTAGGCGGCGAAGTGCTCCTTGATGGAGTTCTGGTTGGCCGTGTAAGGGAGGTTTCCTGTGCGGTGGTTGGGTCAGTCGACAGAGGCTCTTAACACGGCCATTCGGGGAGGGAGATAGGACTCACCGACGAAGACAATGTACTTCTCCCTCTTGCCGCCCTCGGCAGGGGCAGGCTCTTCGGCGGGCTCCTGGGCAGCGGGTTCGGGGGCGGGCTCCTCGGCCTTCTTGGACTTTTTGGACTTCTTGGAGGCCTTGTCCTCGGTCGCGGTGCTCTTCTCGGCCTCTTTTTCGTCCTTCTTGTCCTTCTTCTCCTTCTTTTCTTTCTTTTCCTTCTTCTTCTCCTTCTTGTCCTCTTTCGTCACCTCAGCCGCGGGCTCAGGCTCTTCGGTCTTGGACTTCTTGCTCTTCTTCTTGTCCTTCTTCGACTCGGCCGGGGGAGGATCAATGTCCATGGCCGATGTGTCTGCTGCGGCCTCTTCTGTCTCGGCGGCGGCGGCCTTGCGGGCCTCCTTGTCCTTGCGCTTGCGCTCCTTCTTCTCCTTCTTGGATTCCTCGAGGGCGATGAATTCGTCCGCGGGGGCAGCGGCCTCGGGCTCGGAGTCTTTGGACTTGGACTTCTTCTCCTTCTTCTCCTTCTTGTCTGACTTGGACTTCTTGGATGTCACTGCGGTGTCGTCCGCCGCGGCGGCCTCGGCGCGCTTGCGCTTCTTGGAGGAGAGTTCGGCGGAGGCCATTGTCGTCTGGGCTTTCGTCGTTGTCTTCCGTAGGGGAGGGGGGAGTAAATTAAAGATAGGGAAGAGATTTTTGGGGATTGAAAGTTGTATCAATCGCAAATTGCCAAAGAGTAGTGGAGCAAAAGACGCGGTCAAGAAGCAGAAAGGGAACCGCTAACAAAAATATTTTGGAAAAATGCTGCCCCAGGGACGGGCTGCAGTCTAGCAAAAAAATCTCTTATCTGAGTCGGTGTGGGGGGATAAGGGGAGGGAGACAAAATTTATGTGGGGGTCTCAACGGCGGACGGGTGTGGAGGGGACCCCTGGGTGCGCGGCCTGTTCGGCGGCCTGGTGGGGAATGCGGTTCCGGGCGGTGGTGGTGGGTGAGCAACGTTCGAGCCGGAGGGATTCGGTGGACTGGTGCGTCTGGTATAATGGGAGTTTGATGCATGGCGCTGAGGTGGTTGCATTGCAGATGTGGTTTATGTTCCGACGATTGAATGTACTGATACTTGATGGATTGTATTGTTTGGTGCTGGTGGTGGTCGTTGCTGATCGCCAGGTATGGCTCCGGTCTGTGAAGATGTAGGTACGGCAGTTTGCCAAGGCACAATGACGATCAGTGATGGGCATTCTCGGTTGATAAGATCTATCGAGTGCGGAAAGGGCCTGTTGCAGTGAAATGATGTTACATGGATGTTATCTGTCAGTTTACTGGTTGCAGTATCTTTGTCCTTGGATAGATGCACACAGTCCCGTCGGTGTAAGGTAAAGCCAACTTGACATATGTGCCGATGTATTATGTTTTGGCAGTTTCCATACTACCCATCATGGGATGGCAGTTTCAGCGAATCATTCTTGCAATAAATTTCACTCATGGCTACTACTGAATGGCTGTTGCAAGTCGTGGCAAAGCAGCCTTGGAGGAACACCTCAGAATGGCTCCGGCGCCGATGGCAGGCCTAGTTGCCGTGTCACCGGCCGCTTTAGCTAGAAGCGACCCCGCACTGTGCACCTCGCAGCGGTCAGGTCTAGCGGTGTTATTCGCCGTCCAGGCCCCGGCAGAGTGGTCCCGCCGCGCTCTACAGTGCGAAACCAGAGTTTTCTCCGACGGGCTGAAATTTTCCTTCTCAGCGGCGACGCCTTCAGTCTCTTACAACATCTTCACCGACTGACGACCTCATACAAAAATCTTCAAGCACCGCCCTTAACTTGAAAATAACACTACCGCATCACATTTTGGGAAGAAGGATTTACCAGTGCGATTCATCAACATGTCCAACCCGAAAAAGAGAGCGGCGCCCGACCAGGACGGCGAGGGCCGCAAGAAGAAGAAGAAGTCGGCCTACCAAGTCGACGAGACGCTGCTCAACGAGGAACTCGGCATCAACGAGTCCTTCGCCGTCATGGACAACCAGCTTCTGGCAGACTACACCGCGCAGAAGCTCACGCGATTTGCGACGGACCTGAGTCCCGTTGAACTGTCTGATCTGTCCATCTCAGGTGAGTGTCACTACCTCTCTCTCACTTTCCTCTCATACGCACATCTCTCGAAATGGCGAAGTAGTGAAAGATGAAGCAAGGGAAAAAAAAAAAAAAAAAAGTGGCCTAGCTAACAGATACACAGCCAACGCCATCAAGGACACCACGTCGTGGTCTGAGCCCAGGTCGCTGAACAAGCTTCCCGAGTTCCTGGAAAAGTTCGCCGAGAAGCCGGAGAAGCTGCCCACGGCGCCAGAGAAGAAGGGCGCGCCGCACACCATCATCGTTGCCGGTGCGGGTCTGAGGGCGGCGGACATTGTGAGGGCCGTGAGAGGATTCCAGACGAAGAAAAGCACCGTCGCGAAGCTGGTGAGTTGGCCTGGTTTTGGTTTTTTTTCGCATCATCTCGTGCAACCAACCCCTTAACCCTGTTGCAAAATTTCTAACTTTGCACTCTGCAGTTCGCAAAACACATGAAGGTTGAGGAGCAGGTCAAGTTCCTGCAGGGCACGCGGACGGGTATTGCCGTAGGCACGCCGGCGAGGCTCATGGAGCTGGCGGACAACGGCGCGCTGTCACTGGAGAAGGTCCAGCGCATCGTCGTGGATGCGTCGCACATCGACCAGAAGAAGCGCGGCATCATGGACATGAAGGACACGATGATGCCGCTTGCGAGGTGGCTGACGCGCAAAGAGTTCAAGGAGAGGTACACGGAGGAGAAGAGACACCTGGACTTGGTGTTCTTCTGAGCCCTGCTACGGCTGTGGGGATGTGACGATCACGGGTGGTAGGTTTAGGAGGACTTGTTAAGGTTTGCGGTTTGAAAGCCATCTTTGAGGAGGCTAGGCTAAGGCTAGAAGGCACATTGTGCCGACCTCGATATGCTACGGCATACGAGCTTACGGTTGTGGATCGGTAGAATTCTCCGAGTGGCTGGTATAAGAAAGCCGCTACGGGGACCAGTGGCATGCTTGGATGGCCACGCGCGATGCGTTAGAGATATGTCAAAAAAAGTCACGGCAAGAAGCTGTTTATTGTTCAGAGTCATGATCGACTGTCCCATCCTGTAGATCGCGTGTTATATACTTCCTTGAAGCTTTAGACGAAGGACGAGACGTGAAACGCTGACGGGCTGTCATGATCAGCATGAAGTGGATTATGTCTCGATGATGAGCGCTTGGGGTCTGTGATCCTGTGATATGTGAGTTGAGTATTTGGCTGATGTCGCGTCGCCATCCATGAGGGTGAGAGGGAGGGTGAGAGAGGGGGGGTCCCGCATTAGCTGACGTCTGAAGTGTATCCTATGCGCATATAGGCATGGTCACATGAACCCCATCTCCCCAAAGACGGCGGTAAAGATGTGCGCAGTGTGTAGAGTAAGGATACTATCGTAAGAAGCTTCCATGATCTGGGCCATATCGCCAACTGAAGATAATGGATTCCGGGGCCAAAACAGGGGTAATAAGGTTAGAGAAGCTCCCGCATCCCTACTATTTTGGTTCGGATCTCGGTTCTCGTTTTAGCCTCCCCCAAAGCCACCCGTGGTCCGTGACTTGTCATTCTATTGTAATAGCATTGGCGCCTCCCCCTCCTTGAAAATATTAGCTACGGTCCATTTGAACGGGACTTGCGAGCTAAGGAGTTTTGGGATGGCACGTGAAGCGTATGAGGGCAGGCAGCATAGTCGAGTAGAGAGAACGCAATTTAAGATCCAGGCGCAGGAGCCAGGAGGGCTTGCATCGGGACGGAGTAGTTTCCGGTTGTGAGGAATTGCAGCGGTCTGTAGGTGATGGTGATGCAGCGAAGCCGAGGGTGATCAGCTTGAAGCTTTGCCGGATTTCTGGGGCAAGGGGGCCGTGTGTCATGAGACACATGAACCAAGATCGACGACGAGGGGACGGTTTTGGGATGACGGGATGAGGGACCGCCGGAGCCTCCCAGATGCGGTGTGATTTATAGTACTGTTGACCCCCTGGCGGCGTTCACGGCAGCTTGCATCATGTGGTTGAGTAGCACTGCAAATGTCTCGAGAAGAATAGCCCCCTTTCGTGGATGTGGAACTGCAAAGGGGGTTGAGGTGTTGGCAGGGACTAAGCGGGAATAGAGTCAATCAACCATGGGACTTTTGAGTTGATTGGATAGGAGGCAAGCATCAACTCAAAGCCTGAATACGAGATGTCGAAACAGGCACAACCCAGGAAGTGGTCCACACGGAGGGGTTTGGTGGTGGCCTTGCGGTGTTGTGGTATTCATCGAGTTGCTCTCTGGGAACAAAATAGTGGCACGTTGCGAACGGCAGTTTTTCCTTTGGAATTGGGACAAGGGCATTTCTCGCAATGGCTGATGGGATGCCGTAACTTGGGGGTTATGTTGAAAGTGGAAGCTTTGAGTTCGGGCTCGTTGCAACATCGCCTGTCCGTGTCTCGTTCCGTGCGGTAGCGATGTGTGCGGCGGCGGCTTCAGGTCTGTCCGTCGTCAGGATGCCCCGATTTGGAAAAACAGCGACCTGGATCTGGCAACTATGGCATGCCACGTTGGCGAGTGTCTTTTGTGGGTGACCGTATCTAGTAATGCCCTGGTAAGGATTACCTTTAAACTGGTATGTATGTTGTTCAGCGGTGGCTGTGCTATCTGCTCTTAACTACAGTGGGGCTTAGGCTCGAAGGGGACTACGCACCCGTAAACGTCAGTGAGTGGTGCAAGGTCTGTGGTTTTTTTTTTATTGTGGTGGATGAGGGTCGCTCTAATTATGTCTTTCGTTTTAGCCTGGAGAGTGGAGAGATGAATGGGTCGATGGGAGACATTTTGAGAAATGAGGGCGATGACAATATGCCGTGGGCCCGGGAGTTCAGATCTGATTAACCTTTGTATTTCCGTCTTTCGGGGTTGTCTGTTCATAGCACAAAGGCATTGATCTGGAGTTTGAAGTATTGCGTTGCTGCTATACAAGTTTGCTTCAGCATATCAACTGACTAAACAGAGTTTTTGCCATTGCCATCTTACGTGTCAGGGTTGCGTTGCATCTGCTGCGGCGCATATCAGTAAGTATTCGTAGGGAGGGGGGGTGCTTAGCCTCTTTTTCTGTCTCTGTATCCGCGCGTCGCAAACCACCCAGTTATAAGTCTCCAACAAGTAGTATATGTTTGTTTATCTGTGTCTATTTTGCGATTTCCCTCGCATTATTTGCTTTTTTTTTTTCTCCCTTTTCTGTTTGCATCTGCCGAATAAATGCGACGGTAGTGCATCATCGTTACCCAACAGCAGCTGCAGTTTGTTACGGCTACATAATAATTACCTGCAACCACCATAGTACCTAAATAATTCGTGCTGCTGCAGCCTGCATCCCAAGTCTGCAAGCCCGTGCGACAGAAACCCTACCTACCACGTACACTACGTACACTACGTACAGGCTGCTGCTGTCGCCCTCCCGGCCCCCGGCTTGGCTCCTGCTGATGGTTCCTCCAGCTTCTCCTCCCGCTCCCTAACCTCAGAACTTTGGGTGCGCTAAGTTTAAGGCACAGTAGCCTTGTTCCGTTTCGTCCAAAAAAGCAAGACATTCTATTGCGAATTCCATCTTGCTTCCAGATCAACTCTCGTTCTTTTTTTCCCCTCGATTTCTGTTTTCCCCTTGCCTTACTCACGCGTGTTAACAACAAACCTAACCAAATGAATGTCGCTGGGCCCTGACGTATCCTCGTCCAACCCACCCACCCAACCTAACCCCCCCGTCGCCCCAGTTTGCTTTGCTTAGCGGTCGCCCACCCCCCCTCGTCCACGTCCCTCGTCCCACGTTATTCCGCTCTCCGTGCTCCCCGGTCGCCGCAGCTGGATGTACAGCACACCACCAGTAGTGTACTTCCAGTACCACCACCACCACGACCGTCTCTCCCGCCCAGCATCCAAGGCCACATTTCTTCCCACGCGATACCCAGCACTTCCCCGTAGACATCGTCACATTGGACGACCCATCCTTCCCCGAACCCGTCATCGAGCTTGCCTCTCGCATGAATCTCCTCCGTTTCACCCCTTGTCTCTCCACCTGATCAGATTCCCAAGGAGCCAACGCCCGGGAGTCTGTCTCTCCAGCGACGGCCAAGACAGAGACACAGAATAGCTCAGACGCCCAAGGCTCGAAACCATCTCTGTCCTGGGACTGTCCTTGTCCAATTCGCCCCGAGCCACGCTTCCCGCTGTCGCCACTGGAGCACCGAATCTCGTGTCAACCGCTCCTCCTAGTTGCGCCGAGTTGCTTTACGACCCCGATCTCTCAAAATGGCCGACCTCCGCTCCCCCTCCGACGACAACCTCCCCTCCCACAACGAAGACCAGCGCGACAGGACGAACAGCATGTCGTTAGGAAACACAGATACCGCGCCTTCCTCTCAGAATGGCGCCCCCGCGCCTGCCGCAGCAAACGATGCCGCCTCCGCCGCTCCCGACGTAGCTGCCCCAGGGCCCAACCCAGAAGTCTTGCGCCAGGTGCAAGAAGTGCTGTCATCCGACGTAAGGAAGCCCTGTGCGACGTCTCCACACCTCAGTTACTTACAGCATCACAGATCGGTGTGTCGACCATGTTGAACCAGCTCAAGGCGAGCATCGCGTCCGCAAAGGTAACCGATACCGGCTCTTTCGCGACCTAGTTACACCGGCTAACGCATCACGCGCCAGGAATTCGCCCTCTTCCTGAAGAAGAGATCGAACGCCGAGGAATCCCATGCGTCCTCCCTCAAGAAGCTGTCCCGCATGAGCCAGGAGACCATGCACCAGCCCGATCACAAGCAGGGCACCTTCGCCCAGGCCTATACCGAGATGATGTATGTCCATGAGCGCATGGCTGAGAACGGCTTTCAGTTCGCCGTCTCACTACACCAGATGCACGACGACCTCATTGAGCTTGCCGCCATGGCCGAGCGCAGCAGGAAAGGGTGGAAGGCGAACGGCTTAGCTGCTGAGCATCGCGTGGCAGAGCTGGAGGCTGCTATGCGCAAGTCCAAGGCCAAGTACGACAGTCTCGCGGAGGAATACGACCGCGCGCGCACCGGCGACACAAGCAGGAACAGCGGCAAGATGTTCAGTCTGAAGGCCAAATCGGGTCCTCAGCACGAGGAGGACCTTTTGCGAAAGGCTCAAGCCGCCGACCAGGACTACCAGGCCAAGGTCCAGACATTGCAAAGCGAAAAGGCCGAGCTGATCGCTAGGACACGACCGGAAGCCATTTCTGCGTTACAAGATTTAGTCAGGGATACAGATGCTGCTTTGGCGCTTCAGATGCAGAAATTTGGTAAGAGGTGATGCGTCTCGCACAGTTATCACAGGAGAACTAACACAGTCACAGCATCTTTTAGTGAGAAGCTTCTTTTGAGCAACGGCTTAAGCATCAGCCCGCTCAAGGGGCAAGGTTCCGGAGGACCGCGTAGCCTTCGTGAGGCTGTGATGGCCATTGATAATGACAAGGACCTTAACGACGTCCTCTGCTCGCACTACTCGAAACTACCCCCCAATAACGATATCAAGTACGAGAAGAACCCCATCTTAGCTACGGCTCGCCATCCAGCCATGGGCCACCAACCGAATGCTTCGGTTTCACACATTCCGCAGGCGACACCTGGAGGTCAGTTCGGCGGGCTGCCAGCCGGGCAGAGGGAGCAACAGCATCAACAGCAGCAGCAACAGCAACAACAACAGCAGCAGCAGCAGCAGCAGCAGCAAATGCCTCCTCCTCCTAGGCCAAACAATTTCCAGCAGCCTGCAGAGTCTCCTTCCAACTTTGCCCCGCCTAGCATGCCAGCAGCTCAACAACAGCGTCCTTCGTCTCAGCAACAGGCCGCGCCTCAGCCTCAGCAACATGGTCGCAGCTTCAGTACCAATATGCTGAACCAGCAGCCCAGCCAACACCAGCAATTCCAGGCGAATCGCAACTCTGGCGTTCTGCAGTCTAGATATAACGGTGGCGGCAGCACCATCACCTCCCAAGGCCCGCCGCAGCTCGGAGCCCTACCCTTCCAGACCTCGCGAGACCAATCGCCTCCTCCGGAGCAGCAGCAACGAGCGCCTTCGCCCCAAAGCCAACCCCTGCAACCCCAGCAACTTCAACAACGGCAGCCGAACAACCCCTTGCAGCAGCACCCTGCGCAAGGGCCGCCGCCCGGAGCTGTCAAGTATCAGGCTTACAGCAGACAATCCCCTCCTCTCGCCGGCGGCGCTTCCGCACCGCCGCCCAATCCTGCGAAGCCCGTTTTCGGACTAAGCTTGTCCCGTCTATATGAGCGGGACGGCCTCCCCGTGCCTATGGTCGTCTATCAGTGTATCCAGGCAGTGGACCTCTACGGACTTGGTGTCGAGGGCATCTACCGCCAGTCTGGCTCGTTGACGCACATCAACAAACTGAAGACCATGTTCGACACCGAATCAAGCAACCCTGCGCTTGATTTCAGGAACCCGGAGAACTTTTACCACGACGTCAATAGTGTTACGGGCCTGTTGAAGCAGTTCCTCCGTGACCTACCTGACCCGCTGCTCACCATGGAGCACCACAGCGAGTTGATTGACGCAGCCAGTAAGTTTCCGCCCTTTTTTTGCGTGTCGCAACTAACCCACATTTTCCAGAACACGACGACGACATTGTCCGCCGTGACTCGCTCCACGCCATCATCAACAGCCTCCCCGATCCCAACTACGCCACCCTGCGCTCCCTGACGCTTCACCTACACCGTGTCATGGACAACTCACACGTCAACCGCATGAACTCGCATAACCTTGCCGTCATCTTTGGCCCCACCGTCATGGGCACCGACCCGAAGACCAGCATTGCCGATGCGGGATGGCAGATCAAGGTCGTTGACACGATTCTTCAGAACTGCTACGAAATCTTTGACGACGAGTAGATGGGTTGTTGCTTGAACCCATTCTCATTAGCGCGTTTTTTTTCGTTTCCGATTCCCAAAAGCAAAAGCAAAAGCAAAAGCATCACGGCGTTGGCGGATCTCTTATATGTGACTGTTTGTACATTCACCAACCGGAACCCAAGAGTCGAACCGTACATACGATCCACTTGTATTCTGGGCACATAATTGCGTCGTTGCGGCCGATGGCCTTTTAAAGAAAGGTTAGCCATGTCGATGTGCTAATATTCAACTGACACCGCCCTTTGTTACCCGTCATTATGGGGTATCTGAGAGCGTCAAGGGGCTTGTGGCGTTGAGGGGGGAGGCAATAGGGCAATTCTCTTCCGTTTCTCTTTTTCGTTCAGGGATACCACAGTTTCTGCAGCACAGCGTCGCGCTTGTCGAGTCCTCAATTTAGTAGCACTCCTTGCTGCCGTTTCGATATCTCGTTGTCTTGCTCCCCGTGACCATGTGGGACGAGACTCATGGCATGGTGTCCGGATTTCATTTTCTGTAGCGTGAGTGGAGCGAACAGCTGAAATGAATCTTTGAGTTTTCCTACTCCCATGATTGAATTGTTCCGTCCTGAGGTGAATACATGTGAGTGGCACATTCATGAAACTGTCTGAGTGAGTAGCCAGGGGGTCAGAAAAGAAGTGTCACTTGAGACTTGTGAATTTTGCAAGCCTGGCAAAGAGTACAATGCCAGATTGCTCACTTACACACAAAAGGGCCATGCATTGAGGAATGTATTCCGGCAAGTTTTTTTTGGGATGTGGTGTTTTTGTCGCAGCGTGTGTTCCTCATGCAGCCTTCCACGGTGGGTAAATGTTAAGATGTGTCTGGTTGACAACCCCCTTATAGTTGATCTATGCTTGGGCAGTTAGTTATTGGATACAATCTCTTGAGCTTGACACGTGTGAAGATACATCTCAAGTCTTTCTTGCAAGATTTGGTTCTCATGCAATGGAAGCGAAGCCAGCCGAGACAAAGATGCGCTGTCCTTCTCGGCGAACTCCTCTTCTCTCGAAAGGAAAAAAAAGATCTCTCATTCAAGTAAACCGGCCTTTTTGTCGATTGCCCGGGTCCCCAGCACCCAAGCCCTTTGAGAATATGGATTAAAAGTACGTACGGTATGACAAGCAAGTGCCTCAGCCGCCTTTTACAATACAGTCTACCGCTCATTATTTATGCCAGTCTTTTCACGCCATCGTAGCGTCCCATGGTGCTCAAAAAGCCATGCCCCCCTTTTCTTTTTTTCCTGCCTTGCTCATCTTTGGGTAGTACGGATTCAAAACAGCACTTTCCAATCTCGAGTAAACCCCCTGGTTGTCCTATATCCTTTCTCACATTCAAGATGTAGCCATCATCTAGTCAAATCCTCTACTTCGAAGCAGGATACCTGTTCCCGGCAGCATTTCACAGATTTCATTCTTAAGTGGCTACCTCTCAACCAACACACCTTCCTTGGCATTCTTCCTACACAGTAAGCTACACAGCAAGCTTGCTCTCTATATTTCACAGATTCACCTCATCAGCAAATATCCACCGCCGCCGAGTTTGATATAGGGTCAAGATATCAAATTACATCACGCAAAATCACCAAGAACTTTCACGAGTTAGAGAAGAGCAAAGACGAACAATTCGTCTCGGAAAATTCTCATTGAAAATCACAAAAAAAAAAAAAAACCGGCCCTAATAGAGCGTAACGAGACCCGAGACTCCAATACGATGCAGCGGCGGCTATCAAACCAGGCATAACCATGCCTCACAGACAAAAAAAGGTGGACGATGTGTGGTGACACCTCCAGGAGAGAGATATGAAGATTTGAGGTTCAATCTCTCACAGAAAAAAAGAAAAAGAAGCCAAGCATCATTCAATCCCTCATGTTTCGTCACTTTTTCCATCATGTCATCAACCCAACGTCGACGGGATGCAAAACCAGACTACAAAGCCCGCCATGAACGACATATTCAACAAGACCTCCGAGTGACGTTCGCGCGGTTACTTGCTCATTTGATAATGCTGTGTGTCCATCCTGTCCCACAACCCAACAACTCATCAGTCCTGGTATCCCATACACATGCAACTTCGTAACTTCGATACATTCAATCCTGAGACTTCCGCTCATTTAGACATCAAAACCATGAAGCAGAAACAATCCCATTTAATTTTTTTGAGTTCAGTTTTCCTCATCGTCTTCCTCAATAGGGGCTGGTGTACGTCTCTCCGTGCGACGCTTGGGGCGTCGGTGTCTTGAACTGCTGATGTTGCTCGCCGAGTCATCAGGGGCTAACTCGAAATCATCACCGCCCCAGTCATCATCGCTGTTGGCGTCGTAATCGCTTTGAGCCCAGCTGGGTCGCTCGTAACCTGAAGACTGCGAGTTGCCGGAGCCAGGGTTGGGGAGCACATCGATACGCCGGCGGTTTTGCAAGCTGCGCGCCAAACCAGCTCCTCTGTTGCGTAGAGCTGTCCTGACGACCTCTGCTCTGAGGTGGAGGGCCTCGAAAGCGTCCTCCAACGCCTCCATGCCCTGGTAGATCTCCCGCTCCACCTCTGCCAAGATTGCCATTTCCATCTCCTCGTCTCGGGAAACTGCTTGACGATTCGCCGCGGAAGATACCCCGCTCACAAAGGAGGCTGGCGTCGCACCTCGGGAGTACGGCGTTGCGTTGCGCGAAGCTGGGCCTCTGAATCCCGGGCTCATGGTGGATGGCCGAGATGGGAAGTAGTTGCTCGCAGGCGTAGCGCCTCGAGACTCAGCGGTGGGAGTAGCGAGATCGTCTCCGTCAGCTCCGGACCAAAGGAATCCGTCAAATCTCCCAGATGTAAGGATCTCCCATTCCTGAGTGTTGATGTCGGACATGGTAACGATGAGATCGTGTGTGTGGGGGTTCTTGATGAGGTACATGGCAACCTCTGCATCTCGCGGAGCTTGCTGCAGTCTGTAAATGCGCTGCAGAGACAGGCCCGCCTTGACAATGAAGTCGGGACGAGGACGGTGAGAGGGCGTTGGGGCTCTGGGCATGGGCTTGATCTGGTTGGAGCCGCTAAGGATGGCGTTGAAGTAAGGCTGGTCTTCAGGGTCCAGGTTCGTGAGCATGGCAAAAGTAAGTGTCTCGTCATCGACATCCTGGGGTGACGGGGCGGTCGAGTCGCCGCAGTTGTTCAGCCACTTGTCTACAGCCCCCCTGACCTTCTTGGACTGTCGCAAATAATGCTCGCGGAACTCTTCGGCGATGTCAGGATCGATCTTGATGGGCGAGTCTGGCCGCGGGGGCAAGTCTGCGGCACTATCCGCAGCATTCGAGCCCAAGCTTGCCAGGTCGAAGGGCGGCCATTGCGGAAGTTCAATGCGACCGCTGACCCATTCAAGAACTTCTCCCCAGCCCAAGCCGCGATGTTGGATTTCAGGACCCGATTCACATACAACACATGTGCATCCGTATTCGGGCAGCTCTCGAGAGAAGACGTTCTCGAGACGGTCCAGTAGTCTGCGGGCAACAGATCGGTGGCCCGTTGCCACTGCTACCGAACCATTCTTGTTAAGGACCTGGTTGTACTGGTCCAAGAGGTTGAAGAAAGGCGCAAACAACGTCTGAGGGCCGACCAAGGGTGGGTTTGACGGCCGGGCGCCATTCTGACGGGGAAGAACAGAGAGGAAGGTTTTGGGTATAGGTTGAAAGAGTCCACCGTTCTGTAGGAGATAGTCCACCCTAGGCGCTTCTTGCACATCCAAAGGTGGAGGAGGAGGCGGTGGTGGAGGACCGCCGAAGTCGGTGGCGGGGGTACCTGACGGTGTGATGTCGTCTGCGTATACTTGGGCAAATGCAGGGAGTTTATCGGTGGGGGGTAGCGGCGGTGGGTAATTCGGTGGTTGTGTTGGAGTCCTGGGCGATGAATCCTGAGCACTCTCGGGGGACGAGTCACCGTCCTGGTTGTCTGATCGACGACTCTTCTTGCTTGAAGAGCTCCGCTTAGAGGATGACCGAGAACTGCTCGGCTTAATGTTGAGGCTCTCTTGAACTCCGGGTGGGAACGCCGGCGACTTGACGTACGTCGCCTGGCTACTAGTCTTGGACTTGAAGCTTACCCGAGACCTCTCGTCGGCGCGGGAGGCCGATCTCGACAGCCCGCTAACTCGCGAGCTCGGTCTGCTATCCCTGTCCCTCTTCTCACCGCTCAATCTCGAGCTTGAACGTTCCTCTCGATCCTTCTTTGACGACTCGGGCGTCCCAGACCGTCTCTTGCCAGAGAGGTCCGTCTCGGGCGGACTAGGCGGCCTCGAATCTTTCTTGGATGAAACCTTGCGCTTCTCCGAGTGACCGACGCTCTTGGACCGCTGGATATCGCTCTGTCCCAAATCCGTCGCCTCGGGTGTAAAAGGGTCCCCCCTCTTGTCGGCGGCTGCGGAACCAGAAACATCCTCTCGGCTGCAGACTGCCTCTTTGCTGTGTGCCTTGCTAAAGGTTGGGTAAGGGATCGAGATACGGTCGGTGGAAGCGGGGCCTGTGAGGGAGGTCTTGGCGAACTCGGGGACAAGGTCGTTCATGGAGGAGGAGCGATCGTGGCCACGCTCTTTGTCTCTATGTTCGCGGTCGCGGTCTCGTTCTTCGCGGGTGCGGTGGCGGCGGTGAGAAGAATGTGTGTCGCTGCTGAGGCCACTGCCGTCCACCATCCTAGACTTTGAGGAGCGGGAGCTCACACGGTGGGAGCGGTGCTCTCTGTCGCCCTTATCTTTTTCGGATCTAAGGCTGCGCTCTGACTTGCTCCGGGAGGTCTTCTTCTCGCGAGGGGGCCGGTCAACGTCGTCGACAACGTCGACGTCACGGTCCTTGGAGGACATGACGGAGCATTGGGTGCGAGCCCGGAAGCTTGCTATACAGGCGGGGTGAGGTATTCAACCTTCAAAAAAATAGTTGCAATAAACCTGTTTGGTGTAGTAGAACCCAAAAAAAAGTAGGGGTGGGTGTGAAGGGTTTAGAGCTGGTGGCAGGCGATCCGTCTTCAAGGTCGAGGTTTTGGACGATTTGAAGAACGGCGGGTACGAAGCAGGCAAGACCTGGTCTGGGGTTCACCGATCAGAAGAGGTCGAGGCGACTCGGCAGTGGTTAAAAAAACGGGGATTGTGACTTTTTCTAAACCCCCCGGTTTAAACGAAACGTCGGGGGTTGATTGTCAATCGTCAGTGCCGTGATTGTTCGTGGCTCGTGAACGATATGAATCGAAAAATGGATTACCAGAGTCAGAGTGACTGGAATGAAAGGATGCAAGGTCAGTCACCGCCGACAGAAGCCAGGCGAAGGAGAGAAGAGTCGAAAGATCGACGGGCGGTTGCGAGGAGTTGACAAGCAACGCAGCCGAGTGTGATTCGACCAAAAATGAGAACAGGTGCCTGCCTCCTCTGCCAATCTACCCCTGTACTATTGCTGTACGGGTTACCCTTAGCCTGTTGGGTTGGTAGGCTGGTAGGCTGGACAGGCTGGGCAGGCCCCGGAAATAGTGGAGCGGTTGGCTACGTAAAGGTACGTAGTAGGGAAAACCATCACTGAAGAGGGAAGGAAGGGTGGTGGGTAGTGGGGCGAGCCAGCGGGGGCGTAGTGGAAAGGGAAGCGAAAGAGAAAGGGCCAAGGGCCGGGGCGGTGACACAACTCACCACCAAGCAGAAGTCGGTCACCAAAGTCACTCACTCACTCACCCACTCACTCACATTTTTGTCACTCATGGGGGCAGAAGAAAGAACCTGTGGCCAGAGCCTGACGTGGCACCGGGCTGAGGTCCCTGAGCCCCACAACGGGAGACAATGTTAGAAGCTCGGGCCCAAGTAGATCTCTACGCACTACGTAGTGGTACGGTCAGGGAAGGTCAGGTCATGTCAGGTTCAGGTTCAGGTTCCATCTCACTTAGGCACTTGACCAGACTTACCTGCATACTGCTTTCTGTCCGACAGAGGCTTATTCTAGGGAAGCAAAGTTAAGTTTACGATGCAGGAAAAGCAAAGCGGCAGGCAAAAAAACCCAGAAAAAAAAACATTGGTTGAGTTTGAGGGAAGCCTCCGGGGAGACCGGGAAACGGCCGTGGGTTTGTGTCTGTGTGTGTGTCTCTCCCTCCCTCACTCAACCCGTCCGAGCTGCCAAGATCACGCTCGGTATGACTCTGAAGCTTCATTGCTTCAACGGACGGGCAGCCGGCGCACGACCTCATCTGCACAACATGCATACTACTAGGGATAGAGGAAGGAAGCGGGCTGAAAAGCATAGTTGGGATTGCTCTATGCATGCAAACATCTCTTAGCTCTCGCAAGATCGCAAACTTCTTCTAGCTTGGGGCTAAGTTGAACTGTGCGAGGAGATCTGACGAGAGGAAAGACATGACTGTGACGGACGGTGGGTGAGTGAGGCCATGTCTCGGACAACGGAAACGTGAACCACAGTTCTGGTATTCCCCCCCGTAAGACAACTTCTTCTCCCAAGAAGTTTTCTGCGCTCTGACGGGACGAGTTCATTGTCGAGGTAACTCGAGGCGTTCCCGATGGAGCATAGACTCCGTAGACTAGTAATATCCGCCTCTGAATTTGATACATTCTACTCTCTCTCCACGAAGGGGGCTCATTCTCACATCACTTAACCCGGTCACGACTGTGTCTGTAAAGTTGGGCTGTAACCCAGGGAAAAGGTGAGGCCAGACCATACCAAACCAAACACCGCACGGAATCGAGATGGCATCCATGCAGACGAGCCCGGTTCAACAAAGTACCCAAATGCCTGCACTAAACGCGGATAGCAGATCGGAACATGAAAAGGCGAAAAGAAACCCCCTCTCGAGAATGAAACACAGCGTCTTAAAATAAACCCGTCTTTTGAACATCCCCTCTCACTCATCCCACACCAACACATATGCCATACTACATAGACATGTGTTGATATCCGCCAGTAAATGCGCCGAGCCTTCATCGGGCACCAAAGTATGGCTCTTCCCGCCCAATACCCGCGGTAAGCTAAGCGCCCGACGGTGATTCTCTCCACTCCACACTACCACCACGCACACCACCCTCCAAACCTTGAATAACCACCACCACCAACACACCCAACACACCCAACCAGCTAACGAACCAACCAACCAATACTTTAGACCGATCCCTCGCGGGATGCGTCATGCATGTTAGTTTAGGCTTGACCGTTGGGGTGTGGTTCTCCTTGGGGGGGTCCGTCCGGCTGCACGTGTTTGTCTAGTTTAGGCCTTATCAATCTGATCGTCTTGGACGATCGGAACCCAGCTGCGAAGTTAGAGTACCACCATCAATCAAATCGCAATCATCGCATCTCTGGGGAAAGCTTCATCCGCCCCCTCAATTGTTCAATCAAATTCGTCAATTCAGTTCGGTTCCCTTTTGCCCAATCCCCCCCTTTCAAACATGTTAACCATGCTGGGGGGGAGGAAAGGAAGCTGCCAACAACTATCTCTCAACGACAAACACGATCCCCGTCCCTGCCCTATATGCCAATGCCATATCCATGATATTCATGTCTTTAAATAAGAAAAATTCAACGGCTTTTTAACCCTGTGTTAGATCCTTGATAAACATTTCTTTCGTCAACTCCGGTATCAGTCCTTCTTTACGCTTTATGTCCCAAATGATGCGATGCGCACGTTCCCTATCCGTTTACAAGCGGTCCAGGAGACCCTGGCTCTCGAGGAGCAGGACGATCTGGTGGACGATGGAGCGGACGGTCTGCTTCTCAAGGTCGACGACGAGGTCGGGCTTGGAGGGGTTCTCGTAGGGGTCATCGACGCCGGTGAAACCCTTGATCTCGCCGGCGCGGGCCTTCTTGTAGATGCCGCGCTTGTCCGTCTTCTCGGCGTACTCGAGGGAGGTGGCGACGTGGACGAGGAAGAAGGGGCCGGACTTCTCGACGAGCTCGCGAGCCTGCTTGCGGGCGTCCTCGTAGGGGGCGATGGGGGCGGCGATGACGGCGGCACCGGCGCGGGTGAGCTCGGACGCGACAAAGGCGATGCGGGCAATGTTCTTGGAGCGGTCCTCGCGGCTGAAGCCGAGCTCGGAGGAGAGCTCGTGGCGGACGGTGTCACCGAGCAGCAGAGAGACGGAGCGACCGCCGCCCTGGTTGAGGGTGACCTGGAGAGCCTTGGCGATCTGGTCCTTGCCGGAGTTCTGGTAACCGGTGAGGAAGATGGTGAAACCCTTCTGGGCGGGGAGGGGGTTCTGCTCGCGCAGGACCTTGACGACCTCGGGGTAGGAGAACCAGGCGGGGATCTCCTTGCCGGTCTTGAGGCGGTTACGCAGCTCGGTACCGGAGATGTTGGCGGTGTGGGTGCCGGGGGCAATCTCGTTGGCGGGCTGGTACTCGTCGCGGTCGGGGATGTAGATCATCTCCTGGAACTCGACCATCTTGATACCGAGCTCCTCAGAGTACTTCTGGACGGCGACCTGGGCGTCGTAAGGGCCGTAGTGGTCCTTGCCGTTCTTGTTCTTGCCGGGGCCGGCGTGGTCACGGCCGACAATGAAGTGGGTAGCACCGTGGTTCTTGCGGATGATGGCGTGCCAGATGGCCTCACGGGGACCACCCATGCGCATGGCGAGGGGCAGCAGGGCCAGAGCGGCCATGCCGTTGGGGTATCTGGGGAGGAGGGCCTTGTAGACACGGACACGGGTGAAGTGGTCGATGTCACCAGGCTTGGTCAGGCCGACGACGGGGTGGATGAGGACGTTGGCTTGTTGCGAGCGAGCGGCGCGGACGGTCAACTCTCTGTGGGCACGGTGCATGGGGTTACGGGTCTGGAAGGCGACGACCTTGTTCCAGCCAAGTTTCTCAAAGTGCTGTCTCAGCTCAGCGGGAGTGACTTTTCATGAATTATTAGCCGGGCGTCCATTGAGGTGAGTCTATTTTTCGGGGACTGAAGCTTACATCTGAGGTCCAGGAAGTCGTAGTGGGCAAGGCGCTGGATGGCCTCGAGCTTACCACCGATGTAGAAATCCTTGGTGTTGGAGAAGAGGTGCTTGACACCAGGGTGAGTGTCATCGTCACTGCCGAAAACCTCAATGGCCTCAACGGTCCTGGAAAGCAAGTCAGTCGACCATTGTTTTTGTTGGCGTTTCAATTGTCTGCTAGGAACACCTACCTGTCGGGTCTGTAGACATCCTCAACAGTGAGGATGGCCAGGTTGCGGTCGTCTCTCAGATCGCGCAGGGTGATGCGGGCACCCTGCTTGATGGAGAGCTCATCGATGGTCTCCTGGGACACATCGAGGGTAATGGGCATAGAGAAAAGGTTGCCATCAGCGAGACGGTTGTTCTTGACGACGCCGTTGTAGTCCTTCTCGGTCATGAAACCTGTGGTTGGGTGTGTGCCTCGGTCAGTTCCACTATTTTTCCTTGAGCTCTAACGTAATCGTGGGGAGTTGCCCCTCCAAAAAATTATGGCGGGGTTGTCTCCGTGCCGTAGCAACCCCACCATCGCAACACTCGCGCAGCAGCACCAGGGTAAACACACGAACCTTCCAGGGGAGAAAAGCCACCGTTAAGGAGGAGCTCGAGATCGCAAAGGTGACGCTCGGTCAGGACGAGGGAGGGAAGAGTGTCGGCCTCGGCGAGGAGCTCGGCGTGGCGCGGGGCATCGCGGGCGAAGAGGTCCTTGAGGACACCGCCGTGGGGAGAGTTGGCCATTGTGAGTTATGAAGTTGCGCGGGGCAAAAAGCTCGGGTTGAGCGGAAACAAAGACGCTGAAGTTTGAGGAAAGCTCCTACAAAGCTTAGAATAGAGAGAGTATAACCAATTGAGCCTTAGGGGCGGGCCTTTTTGGTTAAGAGGGATGTGGCTTTGAGGGCGGGAATGTGTTTTGAACAAGAGGACAGGAGAACAAGAGAACCAGCGGGAGGAGGAAGATAGCAGGAGAGCAAGAGGGCGCAACGGTGTCTTTTTATTTCCTCATGCGAAATGCGGGCTCGACAAAAAAATTGTCGCTCACGTCCTCCGGCGTCAAATCGGCGTTGTGGTCGTTGCTAATGCCCATTGTCCAAGGTAAAAATGGAGGCTGTTTAGCTCAAATGACGTGATCGCTACCTTGCAGATGTACCCTCCTTGGCGGGCGCTGTTAGTACTCTGTAGCAACGCATAAGTCATGTATCGCCACGATAAGTGTCCTTCCCCCTAACATCCATCTTCCCGTCCCAATAAAGCCGCTCTCTTTTTCTTATTGCGTAGCCGCGGAAAAGTCTGACTCCACGCATGGCTGACACAAGTGACGACCCATGGGAGATCCATGGACCCGTGGGGGCTGCTGGTTTTGCAAATTCGCGGCTCGGTCTTCCGGCACCCATCCGTTTTACACCGGGGACGGGACGACGGATTGGTAATGGGGCCAGCTGTTTTGTAAGCTAACAGGAACACTATAGTCACTTGCGAGCTCTCATGTCCATGTGTTCGTGCCGTTGGCCTCTAGGTCAAGCTAACTGTGAGAACCCGAACTTTAACATAAGCAGATAATGAGAGTGATCAGACGACGAGTACCAATATAACGTGGGTATCCTTTTTTCTTGCTAGGGTCCTTGCTGGCGGGTTGGCGATGGTGCGATATGAGCATAGAACAACTACCCCGCCAAATGTGGCTTGTTCACCGAAGTCGACTTTCAGGGTCCCCGCGCCACGCTGTTCTTTGCCCAAAAGCCAATTGCAAATTAAACACGCATAGCCAGTTTGCACGAGACATGCAGAAATTCGTCAAAGTTGCAATACCAGCCTCATCTGGCGTGCTGGCGCCCAGCTTCTTGGCTGCGGGCTAAACATCCGTAAACTCAACTTCACCCGCCCACGCGCGTGGGATGGCTGAGGGCACAGAGGAGCTACTAGCCTTGGCAATAGATACAGATCTACGAGCCCAGCACAACGGCAGTTTGTATCATTCAAGGGCTCTATGAGCTTGTGGTTCCGACAGACTTGATTGCGGGTAACAATGTGCCGTCATTTCCATATCCCCAAGGCCTTCAAGGTTCTTTGTCGGCGCCATAAGCGACCGACATTCCCAAGCAGGTACATGTCATCATGAAGGAATGTTTTTGCTCAGTCCAATTAGAATAAAATAAAGAATCTTATAAATCGGGTAACGGTCCTTGACAGCAGCAAATCTGACAGATTGTAGATCATGCGCGCTTAACTTTGACTCTAGATCTCTCCTCTGTGCTGTCCCAACGAGGTCGAAACACGTCTTCGGTCAGCTCGGTCAGGCGGTGGGGTTAGCCCCGACGCCCGCATCGACCGGCTTTGCGGCTGTCGGTAGCCGGAAGCCGGCTGCGGGGCCAGCCCGATATCGCTGGGTACACCGAGAGCCTTATTCCCCAGTTTTGGCTGCCGAGCGTTACAGTTGTCTGGACATCGATGACATTCACAGTCCACTTTTCCCTTCCGTTTCTCCACCAGCCGCCAACATTCCATACGCTAGGCCCAGTACCTGGCGATCTGCTGACGCAATTGGCCAATCATCCAGGCGTTATTGTCGCTCGCAACCAGAAACGCTGCTTCTTGCAGAACTGCATACCCACAAGACAGCTAAGAGACGATGGAAAGAATCTTCAATGTGGCAACTCATTGTGTTGAGCAAATTTTATGGTTGTGCCCTACACGTATTTCTGCAGTCGGGACCGTTAGCCTGCGGCAAGTTTGAGAGACTAGTTTTGTCAAGAGTTATGTTCCAATGGTTGAGGCACCACACGTTGGTTGATTGACTTTTTGAGGCTGAAGTAGACTACGCTATCACTGCCGGCAGCTGATCTGCAACAGCAGCCTTAGTTTTAGAAAATGATTTGCCATGGTTAAGATCGGCCGTAAAACTTCCTGATGATTCACCCACTTAAGAAAGTTGATCTGAGCATAGCCTTGGTGCTCATTTCATGTGATGAATCAGTCATAAACACTAATTCGTGACAGAAACGCACCTACACGACAAAGTAGATGTGGCTTCGAAAGACACTACGAGGACCTGGAGGAGCATATGTTTAGCCCAGCAGTCGAGGTACATGTTGGTGCTGGTGGTGGTTAACTCTACATGAACTGGTTCATGCCATCTCAACATCGATATTACGTCCATTTCTCATATATTATGCCATTCGCGGAAGAACTACCTCGTAGCGACCGGCGCTCTTCTTTCTCCCTCCGTGAAACTTCGAACCGTCAGACGGGCGAGGGCCGTACTTTTGCGCTGGGTTTTCGCGGCTATAAAGCCTAGTGTAGGCTGATAAGATCTCACAGCTCCCGTAATAGAAACGTTTAGCGTCTCCATAACAAGCATGATGGATGGGCATCTGGGCGGGAAGTCTCCAATATTAAGAGGAGTAAGAGCGAGGGGGTGCGGAATCACTCCGGCAGATACTCAAAGCCCCCCATCAGGTTGATACGGTTTTCAAATGTACAATGTTTAAGCTAGTATAGTGAGCTTGTGTGAATGGCATCACCTACCCAAAGTAGAGACATCATACTGCCACTTGACAGAAAATGATAGTAGTGCTCTAAGCGTACCGGTCCTAAGGCAAACGTTGTTGTTGATAATTTCAAGTTACCTCGCTCGTACCCGGACGGGAATGCCAGTTTTGGCCAGCGTGTGGTGTCGGGATCACGCTGACGCCTGCTGAGAACACTATACTTTCATTCAAGGTTGGCAGGTAACCGGGGCAGACTTTTAGCCCTCAATATAGGTTGTCTACTTTATGTCTCGAATTCGGCATCGAACAAGAGTGTCATATCCAACGGGATATCATCTGCGTTTCCTACAGCCGGTCCATTTGAGTGATAATCAGCGAGCTGTGCCGTGTAGGTTGAATCGACTCCAATGCCTTGTTCAGTAGCATTGAAAAACCCAGGTGGCACGGCGAGGCCATCGGTGTCATCCGGCTGGCACGCTATTGATATGCCAGGCATTTGACAGAGCTGCCTGAACTCGGCCAGGCACTCTGGCGATTGCCACGACCACGGTACTGGCACGCCGGGGCCAAATATATCTATCATGTTCCCGCCAGCGGGCAAGTTATCAAGGGCGATGTCCAACATAGCTTGATTGCATCCGGCGGCTTGTTGTAATTGTTGGATCGTAAAGGGACCGACATCTGAACAAGCGCTTTGGGTGTTGTGCTGAGCAATTCTCAATGCAGCATTTCTAGACTGGCCCGTAATATCAAGCCCGTCAGAGGCACCATCATTTAGGCCGTAGCCCAGTTTGAACATTGCCAGCCATTGCGCATTATCTGCTGGTGTCTGGTTCCATGGATCGTCATCGTCGTACAATATCAGACGGCTTTGCCGGCGTAGGGCCTTGTCAGAGAGATCGAGGTTATTTTCCCTTGCTATTCGCACATAGTCGCCGAGGCGTGCTGTAAGGGATTCAAACGAGGTCGGCGCGGTCTGACGCGCGTTGGTGCCAGAGGATGCCATGACTTTCTTGGTAGTGCCTTTTGAGGCACTGAAAGGGTCTGGGTCCGCGGATTCTAGGCCGATGAGGTAGGGAGGCATTGCATTCTCGACGAGTAAAGAGACTGCCGGATCCAACCCGCGGCTGCCCTTCCAGTCTTTCATATTTGCGCCAGAGCGGAAGTGGTTGGAGAGGTGGTCGTTGCGTTCCGACCATGTCGAGAAGTATTCACCGCAGAACCCGCACCTTGATTTTACGTTTTCCATCTTGGACTTCCATGACGCCATTGCGTCTGTCATCTTGCTCACCCCGTGAGCAATACGGAGGTGTTGCTGTAGGTGATCTTTACGGAAGAAAGTTTTGGCACTTGGTGGCCTGGTACCACACTCGGCGGCATCATGTGTTTCCAGATGAGCGTCCGAAGGATCCTTCTCATCGCAGAGTATGCAACAGGCAGAGCCATCAGTTGGGTTATTGTACTTGGGGCCTAGGGGGAGGCAGGTCCATTTCTCCAAGACAAGATGTAGCGATCCTTCGTGTCGGGTCCAGTCATATCTCGATTTGAAAGTGTCCGTGCAGAAAGTGCATTGGTATGGACGGGAACCTCTGTCTTGATCCGAGTTACGTCGTCCAAAGCGATGATGGGTGGACTTGGACCTATAACGACGCCTTCGCCGTAAAGGACGAGAGTCGAAGCCGGACAGACTGCTTGAGGCCGACATGGAGCCATCGGATAATGCAGAAGAAGCGCTCAAAGCGTCCGAACTCGAGACGTCAAATGAGCTCGACGAGGAACCGAAACCGGGGGTTATCATCCAGGGTCTGCCTTCTGTATGGAACTGAAGTGTGTCGGAGTTCTGTTGAGCAGCCTGAGCAATCGCCTGCAAAGGAGCCGGATCCTCTTCAGGGGGCGTATGCTGCCAGCGATCCAGTGGTGTCATGGTCTCCCATTCAGTCGAGTTGAGTTCATTTAGTTCCGAGCCACCGCTAGGTCGGACATCAACAGGCACTGATCGTGAGACCAAAGGCTCTGGTTGAGATGACCGAACGTTTGCCATTTTGCTCCCGCTCCGCCTCCGGACGTTCACAAACCAGTTGGAAATTTGCTTGACAGACATGCCAGTTTGATAGCTTAAAGATTCCTTTTCAGCTTGGCTGGGATACGGCCATACGGTATGGGACCTGAACCACTCTTTTAAAATTCTGGTAGATGAACGGCTGTGACGAACGACAGGCCTGTGGGATGTCGCTCTCTTGTCCTCATCGTGACAGCTTTGCTCACTAACACGACCGCGCGTTGGATCAGACGGAGGATTGTCTAAGGTGTCCATACTGATTGTATGGATGAGACAACCTCGTTGTCTGGTGCGCCAGTTGTGGTGTGTGTATGTGATGTTGATTTAATTCTACAGATACCGCCATTACTTTAGTCAGCGACATGACCAGGAAGTGGGGCTGAGCTGGTAGCCAATGCACATGAGTGTTAAACAACTGTTTTGAGAGCCTTCTCTTCTCTTCCTTCCTTTTGTCTATCATTTACTCTCACAATTAAGTCATTGGGTTTCTAATCGACATAAGTTAAGAGAATTAACAGTTTTAGTTGCGTAGTTGAAAAGTTGCCGTAAATTACGGTAAGTGCCATCCTAGGATGAGACTCATCACATGGATCAATGGAACCGCATTCGCCTGGGTGACATCGTGTGCTGTGATTTTAGCATCACTCTTCACTCCTGGAGGGGCGTACTCAAAATTCCCCGGATTCAGGTCGCATATTTGATTGCATGGCATTTGAAGGGTGATATATGGCTATTTGCAGGGATCGGCAAGAAAATGTGCTCTTGGCTACATGCTGAAAATGAAAAGATGGAAACTACTTGGGTGGCATGTGTTGGCATCGGAGCATTTAGGCTACTGGGATCTACATGCCCGTGGCTTAACGCGAATTCCTCAGACGACGCATGTTTTTTTTGTTTGTCAAACTATTGAAGTGATGAAGTCATGGTTAGGCGACAGTCTCAGTGAAACGTGGGTTGGCACGCGCAAATACTGACCACCAAGACTGAGCTAGTGCAGCCACAGCCTAGGAGATTCAGCACACACACATCATGATTATACCGAATGCAAACAAGCGCCACTGAGACTGCGTGGATTTCTTCATGGCGTTGGTGTTACGAACTGGAACCCGTCTGACTCAGCTTATCTACTGCAGAGCGGCATTTGAGCAGAGGCGGAACGTTATACAATCATGCAAGCCACGGCTGAGCCTCGAACAATGGCGATTCTGACGCGTAGGTCAAGCAGTTTTTCCAAACCTTGCGGTGAAAAAGTGCAGAGCCAATGGACGCCGCAAGACGAAGGGTATGGAGTTGAGGTGCCGATGAATGGTCGGGAGATGGACACGAAGATCTGCAGAAGGTAGTGGACAGAGCCAAGAGTCCGGCATTTTACAACAGCGTAGGGACTGCCTATCCCGGCTTGGGATTGAAGACGAGCGGTCGAACTGGTCGCGGGTACTATCTGGTAGACTTCCGGGTGGTTGGGAATGGGCTTTGAGTGGAACGACATTATTTGGTTTCCCGCCGTGGTGGAGCGAGGAGCGCGAGCGGTTGTGGCATTTAGTGGAACGGCGGAGAAGACTTCAGCCCGACAATGCCGGATTTGTGAAGGTCCTTCAGGTTCTAGGTGCATTTGGTTGGTAGTTGTCAAAGCTGGTGTGTCTGCAGTTCAGCGCCTAGTTACGAGGTAGACCAGTTGATGTTCGATCATAGGCTAGCAATGTCTTTGATGAGGGAGTTTTTTCTTTTTTTCTTTTTTCCGACGACGCATGCTGCGCTATGATGGTGTTGTTTTATCTCGATGGTCACAATTAGCCCGAAGCCATCGGGTGGCTGGTCTTAGTCTGGCCGAGAAGTTTTGAGGCTCGAGTCAATTATTCAAGTCGGTTGATGGCAAGACCGAGAATCATTATGCACCTTTTTTTTTTTTTTTTTTTTTTTTCGACATGGAAAGCAGGACAAGCATTCCTGGATGAATAAACTCGCTAGTCACGATGTGAAAAGCACAAACTTCAGTAACTTAAACACGGATGGGCAATTGCTGGGCTTTAGATGGAGAATTTGGCAGGTGGAACGTGATGACCAGAGATAAGATAACGTTGAAAGATGCACCTGTGCGGCCGTGACGGGTGCATGGGCCAGCAGCCAAATCGAGCAAGCACTACGGTAAGGAAGGTACGTATTGTTAGCGCCGCCAGCACCAAGCTTAAAAGCGGGCAGAAGGCGGTGGCAATCAGTAACCCTGGTTTGCTTGTGGCCCGACCGATCCGCTGGTGGTTTGTACAGGGCATGCTAGGATCCGTTATGTTTTGTGTAGCACTGAATGCTGAACAGAGTAATGCACAGGGTGTCATCGCCTGATGGTGTCTCTCGGGTACCTAAATATGCCCGTGTATCTGCAGAATGCATGTGTGCACATCAAGTCTAGACTTGAACTAAGGAACCAAACAAGGCGGCATTTGCCAATGGAAGTTGCCGAATTGTGGTGTACCTCTTATAGGATTTTCAGTACCACCGGGTAGGAATTAATCTGTTTACATGTGCGAAAATGGCGTCAACTTCTTATCTTCTTTTTTTCTCTCTCCCTAACTGCGCCGCAGCAACTGCCAATGCCACTGTCCATCGCCTGTGAGGCACGGCGAATCCATCTCGATCTTTTCTTTATTCATACTTATTCCTTGCGTGCTCGCTAGGCCCTGATGAAGGCACTTTTTGACGCTTCCCGTCTTGTCCCTTTTGGGAGGACCTCCCCCTGTTCCTATACCGGTTTCGACCAGTTTCGGGCAAGTCGTAGTGCAATGGAAAACAGCCAGAATTTCACCCATGTCAGTCCCATGCTTCTGGTGCCAGGGCCCGCCCATGACATGGCATTCCAATAAGGAGACCTTGCTGTCACTCTGTAGTCTATTGCCGCCCGCCATGGAATCAATCATCTTAAGAATACGAGCTTTCCTCCCCACCCATTCTTTGATTTGTCCCATCTCGCCCTTCTTCCCCAGACAGACCTGAACCCTGACCTGCTGAGAGGGAATCCTACCTCGATTCACCACTGCAGCTTTGCGGATATCAATCCGGCAAGGAAACTGATTCACACCCACGGACGGTTCCTCCTGGCCCAATCCTTGTTGTCGGCTCTGTCGCCGGTTTGGGGAACCACCCAAGCATCACAGGTAACCCCTGTAGCAACTCCCTCAATATCCTGTGCCTGCTGCCCGCCACCTCTGCAACACATCCTCTTCGCCATTGTCCGCTACCGCGTCTCGTCGTTGCTACCACACCTGCCGAAAACACGTCAGAAGTCTCGATAGAGCTCCCTGGAGGCTCGTGAACGCGATTGTTTCCCATAATCGATCGCTTTACCACTTCGTTATCCCTACGGCATCACAAATTCATCTTCGCTACACAAACGAAATAACGTACCGGCAACCCCGGTCAAAGTCATCTAAAACAGCTCCATATCGTCTCGGAGAGACCCCTAGAGCTCTCCACCAGCTACTACTTTCCGTCTCCTCGGGAAGCCCGTCCACGATAATCCGCGACCTCCGAAAGCCTCGAGACCTGACCTGCACCGGCGTCTCTCCCGATCCGAAGCATCTCTATGTCTTTTACTTTAGCCACCTTCAACTCGGTTCGACACATTCTAGGCATTGCTCCCGCAATTGCCAGGTAACATTGTCACGCCGACACCTCTTCCACGTTTCGGGCACCTTTGCCCCGCAAGTCCACTGTTCTGTCCTACCATTACCATTGTCGATTGCCCAGGATGGTCCGATTGGGAGGTTCAGTGTCGGTTGCTGCGACCTTGTTTACCCTATTTACCTTTGCTACGACGGCTTTGGCTGATACCGAGACTGTCTACATTACTGGACAAGGTAAAGATGGAGTTTCTCGTGAGCTCGCCGTCAACCGATATCCCGCTTTATACACTGGTGATTTTGGCGACTGCCTAGGAGGACAGAGTTTGTTCAACATTACCAAATTCGATGCCGCTTATTATGCCGACAACATGACTGTCCAGTTTCATCTGGATGGAACTACTAATATCAGAAATGAGTCGTTGATGAGTAGGTTTCATTAAGCCCCAGCTTCTCAGAAAGATGCTTACTTTCATCTAGTGCACATGAATGTCGAAGCTTGTAAGCTGATTTGGGACGAGCCTCCGAGCGGAGGACAGGATATGCTGACTTGGTATAGATGGCGAGACAAGATTCGAGATGAACTTTAACCCGTGCATGACAAACATCGCCAGGTAACGTCAAGTTCACCCAGGCGTTGCTGCACTGACTCGCTAACTCTGTCCAGTTTGTGCCCGTTGAACGCCAGCGTTCCCATCAGGGCATTCGCTGAGTTCAGGCTTACGCCCGCTCAGATTGACGGTATCCCTTCGATTGCCCTCGATATCCCCGACTTTGAAGGTTCTGCGCGGGTTCAGATATTCGCAAATTCTAGTCAAACCCAAATAGGCTGCTTCCAAGCCGTGATGCGAAATGGCAACAGTTTCTCCCATCCCGCGGCAATATCATCGATCCTGGGTGCCTTCACCCTCGCCGCCATTTTGGCTTCGTTTGCCACTGCGATATACGGTGTTAGCATTACTCACATCAGAACACACTACGCTCACTCCCTGTCGGTGTTGGTCATTTTTGAGACATTCCAAACAGTCTTCTTTTCAGGGGCATTGTCTGTCGATTGGCCAAGTGTCCTGCCTGCTTGGTGGAGCAACTTTGGATGGGCTGCTGGCATGATTTACAGCAAGCAAGTAGTCAACTCGATTGACGGATTCGCCGGAGTGACCGGAAATGCGAGCCAAGTCGGCGGTGCAGGGTCGACCGTTATCAACACTGGAGGTGGTCTAGTACAACAAATTTACGGGCGCGCGCTCGACAGCCTCTCAGAAGTGCCTGTCGACTTGGCAGCTATTCAGCACCTTGCTGAACAGCCTGTCAGAGAGTACAACAGGAGCAACCCATACGAATACTACTGGGCGGGCTTCCCAGTGGCCCCAGGAATGCCTACGCCTGGCAAGTGGATTGGCTTCGCTGGAGATTTATCAGCCCTCGGCATACCTGCTGCAGATGCCTTCACACTTGGTTTAATCTGGTGGCTGGTTGCCATTGGCTTGGTTGCTTTCTCCATCACTCTTTTCAAGTTTATACTCGATATGCTGGCAGGAGTAAAAGTGATGAACCAAGACCGGTTCATGTACTTTCGTAGCCATCTGGGAGGATATCTTGCAGCCGGTGTCCTCCGAACCCTGCTCGTTGCGTTCTTTTCCCTAATGACACTGGCTCTATTCCAGTTCAACATCCGCGCGCCTGCTGGCCCAACGGCTGTCGCCGCCGTCGTTTTTATCCTCCTGCTCGTCGGTGTCGGTGGCATCGTTGCTTACGCCTGCTTTTTCCGCCTCCGACTCGGAAAGTATGAAATGGGACCCGATTCAATTGTATTTGAGCAAGGAAGACTGTTCAGTGCTATACCAGCGGTTGCTGCAACCCGTGCTAGCAACATTGGAGAAAAGGAAACAACTGCCAAGCGCTACGGATCGATGCCCTTTTTCAAAATTCGATTTGTCGACGATGATCCGAACCGAGCCACTGTGCACAAAGACGAGGCCTACATCAAGCGGTTTGGCTGGCTTTCCGCCCGCTACCGCCGCACGAGGTGGTGGTTCTTTGCATGTTGGTTTAGCTACCAGTTTATCCGGGCCTGCTTTATTGGAGGTGGAGCCCGAAACCCCCTGGCACAAGTCTTTGGCTTGTTCGTCTTCGAGGTCATCGCCTTCCTTGTTTTCATCAAACTCAACCCGTTCGAAGGCCAACGAAACAACTCGTTGGCAATCTGGATGCTCGGTATTGCAAAGGTCGCCACTGCTGGGTTTTCCATCGCCTTCTTGCCAGCTTTTGCTATCGGACGTATCCTGTCAACGGTTTTCGGCATTATTATTATTGTGATTCAGGGATTCCTTGTCGTTGCCGTTCTTGTTTTAATTACCCTGGGCGTCGTTTCGTCATGGATGTCCCTCAACCGGAATCGTGAGCAGTTCCCTGAGAAGCTTGACGGAATCCGCATTAAATACTACGAGCATATGGAAGCCAAGGCCGCCGACCTGCCTCCCCCGCCGAAGCCAGACCCTAAGCTGCAAATGCCCCAAGAGCCTCCTCAACCCTACTTTAACGTTAACAGTGTCCGCCGAGCCCGCAAGATCGAGGACGAAGACAACGACGAGGACGAAGTTGGGGACATTATCCGCCCAGCTAACGCATCGGTTGTTCAGTTTGCTCCTGGTACCCGGACCAGAAGCCGTGCCAATAGTGCCAGCTCGCGCTACTCAGTTGGTAGCTTGCCGCGACGTGCCAGGCCGCAGCGCGCTTCGTGGAGCTCTGCCGATTTTGCCGAATGGGATCTTCAGGCCAGCCAGTTTGACCGATCCAACTCGGCACTTGGACACCGCAGCAGCATCGGTCATAAGCGCAGTGGCTCATTACGGCAGGTGTCACACTCTGACTCGCAGCCAGACTTGGGTCGATCTTCCAACAAGTCCCCCCTTCCAGAGAGATCAGCTTCTACGAATGAATTGCGTCGTCTCATGACTCCCACAGAAGAGGTTCCCGAGGAGCACGTCATGACGCCTGGTGCAATGTCCCCGGGCGAAAAGAGTGGTAAAAAGACCGAGGAAGCTGCCATCTCTCCCATCAACGAGAAAGACGAAGAAAAGTACCTCGAGACGAGCGGATCAAAGCCTTGAACGGTTATCATATAGAAGATGCATGACACGTTACAGCATCACTGTATCCGACAAGCATTCTCAGCCGGTAGCTTGCGACGCCTTGAGGGCGTTGGATTTTTACAAAATTGCATAGCATTGCATAGACGGCTTAACATAGCCTTGATGAAATTGCATGAGAAACGGATTATGAGGCGTTTGAAGGAAATAAAATTCAGTTAGAAATAAGTTATTTTAATGGCACTAACGCAAGGGGTGGCGGCTGTCCACTCCCGAGTCACATCGTGCACCTGTCTTGCAGCCTATGATGAGATGGGCGGTATATGGATACATTCGTAGATACACGGGGCCCGTCGGGCATCCCCTATATAGAAAGAAGCCTGGTTGCTTAGAACTAGAAAGTCAACAAACAGAGATTATTCACTTTTCAGTCTGCAAGATGATCGAACTGAGCAAGTACACTTGTCTTTGGCAATTGGGCATTCAATTCGCTTTGCACCATTTTCATCTACCATAAATATGTCCAAGATAACCAACCCTATGTGGTTGTATTTTTTTTATTGACTTTCCATAAATGCACCCATCCCATGCAGCCGTACACCTGATATGTCTCTCCCAAGAACGATGTGACTCTAGGCAATGCACGCCCTGCCTCTTCTTAAGCAAAGCCCTTGAGAACAGCAGCCTCGGCGTTGAGAATGGACGATCCAGCAGCGCCAATGACGGTGTTGTGGCTGAGGGCGACGAACTTGATGTCAAAGATGCCGCTCTCGTCCTCTCTGACGCGACCAACGCTGACGGTGTAACCGCGACCGAGGTCGCGGTCGAGACGGGGCTGGGGGCGGTCCGCCTCGTCAAAGACGATAATGGGGTTCTCGGGGGCAGAGGGGCATCCGAGGCGCTGGGCGTCGCTGACGTACTCGCGCAGGGCCTTCTTGACCTCCTCTGCGGAGGGCGCAGGGCGGCGCGCGAAGCGGAGGGAGACGCACGCAGTGTGGCCGTCCAGGACGGGGACGCGGTTGCATGCCGCGCTGACCTTCAGGGTCTTCTGGTCCTCAAAGGCAGTGAGGTCAGGGTTGATCTGACCAAGGATCTTCTGTGCTTCGGTCTCGAGCTTGTCCTCCTCACCGGAGATGAAGGGCACGACGTTGTCAATCATGTCCATGGAGGACACGCCGGGGTAGCCGGCGCCAGAGACGGCCTGCATGGTGACGACGGAGACAGAGTCGACGGGGCCGAAGGCGGATTGCAAAGCCGCGAAAGGAATGACGAGACCAATGACGGCACAGTTGGAGTTGCAGACCAGGAAACCCTTCTGGAGGTTGTGGTGCTTACGCTGGTGAGGGATAAGATCGAGATGGGGAAGGTTGACGGTGGGCACGACGAGGGGGACGAGGGGGTCGCGACGGTAGTTCTTAGCGTTGGAGAAGACGGCGAGGTTGGCCTTCAGGAATTCCATCTCTGTTCCGTAATGGCGACGATCAGTTTATGCTGTCATTGAGGATAAGGGAAGACATGGGACAGAGGAAAAACGAACCGATCTCGCCGGCAACGTCAGAGTCCAGGCCAGAGAAGACAACGTCGCAGTCGCTGAATTCAGAAGCCTTGCACTCGCGGACTACAAGGTCGCCAAAGGGGCCCATAGGCGAGGCCTGCTTCCACCGGACGGCATCGCGGTATTTCTTGCCGGCAGATCGGGAGGAGGCGCCAACAGCGACAAGCTTGAGGTAGGGGTGCTGAGAGAGGAGGAGGATGAAGCGCTGGCCGACAGAGCCGGTGCAGCCGAGAACGCCTATGTTTTAATTCTCGTTAGTTCACATTGATCTTGTGTAGTGATTCTGAGATGTAGATAATTCTGGCGTCGAAGTTCCGTTCACGGAGGGGCGACAATGGCGGGGGAGGGGCAATAGAGAGGATCACGTACCGCATTTCTTCACGGGGAATTCGCCCATTGTTTCTGAGAGGTTTTGGGTATCGCGGGTATCAATTGATCGTTAGAAAAAGAAATTCAACCAAGCGGTCGGGATGAAGGACGGATAATATATGAAGAGGAAATGGGCGACGGCGATGTGAGTCAAAAGGGAAGTGGCATGTCTGCCGTGCGACCCCCCCTGGTCCGATATTTTTTGGGGGAGACAGGACCGACGTCGGGACCACCCCGCCATGCCCCGCCATCGGAGCTCGAGGGGCATTTGCAGGGTACTCTGCAAAGTAAATTGGATGGCTCTCATTGGAATTGGGTTTTCCTTCGCCGTTCAGAGAACACGGAGAAAGTACCCACCACATGTGGCCATTCACTACACTATTTGGCAAGTGCCCTCCCATCGCAAATACCACTTTTCACTGACGATTCTCGACTAAGACGTCGAGTTGGTCTCAACACCACTGCACAACGGTGATTGAAAGTTATCAACAATTGGTCTGCTGTTCATCGCCACAAACACCGATGCAAGGAATTCCGGTTTCTGGAACTGAATCAATGCCCGAAAAAAATAAAGACACTTTCTTGGTCTTATCTCAAATCCGCATCAGATCGTCCAACTGAGATGGAGGGACGTAGTTGACACATTCTGCTCGCCACCGACATCCATTTACGCTGCTCAATTTATGTTTCAGGTCGCCCAACTTTACATGTATGTGTAAAATGCTTAATTTTTTATTTTTTTTGTAGCAGCATCAGAAACCCTGCAAATGTTAGACCATCATGAAGAGCTTCGAGTCGATGTTCGCAATTGTCAAGAAACTTTTGGCCGTGAAAGATGCAAATATGGCAACCTGGGAATCCATACGGCGAACACTTCGCAGACACACAACGAGGTTCAGATCAACGGTAACAGTATATCATCAAGGTGCATATACACATGTAGATTATTCAAGTTAGCGCCAGAGACGATACAACGTGGATTTACCACTTGACAATATATATATATATATATGAGATGGTACATTCTGCAATATTTAGGCTGAGAGGAATGGCATGCAAGCAACTTTGAGGCATAGAGCAGTAAGGCATTCGCCCGATCCCGGTATCTTACTTTTATGGACTGCGAAAGCAAGCAGGTTTGCCTGGGTTCTTTACCGTTACGGCGCGAAGATGATAATTACGACGGTGAACTTGGTCAGTTAAGGACATTTGGTGTATATTTAAGAAGTGGTCTGTTGTCAGGTGCTTGATATAGCTGAGCAGTCCATCTTTGGGCTAAGCGTGCCTGAGTGAGTTGGTTGATTTCGAAGTACAAAGACAAGGGCCGGTAAGTATTGAACATTCTTGACGAGGGTAATCCAAATATGTCAAGATTTCAAGTCAGCACAAGCAGAACATGTCAACCGTCGTAGGATGACTTGTCAGATCCGCATAGCAGCCAAGTGCCAGTGGGAAGTGAAGCATGCAAGCAGTTTTATTCTTTCATGGGGAGATTTCTGCTGTCAAACAGCTATTCCTTCATTTCGAGACAGCCTGCGCAAACAAAATCGCGTCAACAATGTTGTCATACCGAGGGTTTATAGCTCCCAGTTTCTTTCTGCCTTGCTCCATCATCTCACGGAAAAGGGCCTTTTTGAGATGCCCAGACTCAGACATAATTGTTAAAACAAGTCTCTTGTACATACATCATTTGATATGTCTCTTTTGATCTGCTCCTACTGCCTCGGCTTACATCGCACCACTCTCTGCTGTCTCGAATTTGTCTTCTCTCTCATTTTAGGAGCTTTGTCTGGTCTATTTCTTCTATCATCTAACATCACTGCAAGCGCATGGCATTTAGCTGGTAATCGAGGTGATGGGTATAGATATCGTGTTAATGACGAGCTACTGCTGGCACTGCTCGTACTATTCTTTTTACCCTCGCCCTACTATCTGTTCCCATCAGTGTAGTAGACTTAAGATACACTACTTTCAATAACCCTCTTTGTCTCAAAGGAAAGCCCACATCTATACCCTCCGTAAGTTGAAAACCCCACTGGCATGTTGGCCATGGTCCCGTTGTGAAAGCCAAGCCACCGTATTAAGATCTTGCGTCAGGCCTAAATTTAAACCCGCTCTCGCTCAAGCCATAGTATGAACCTCATCATGAGTAGGTTTACCCATCATTTCCCCCCAAGTAATCTGTGACTCTGCCTCTAGTTCAAACATGTTTCAGTATGATAAACAGAGCAACAATCAAGAAAAATCAAATAAAGACTCAGCATGTGAAGGAAAACACGTAGCACATTGATAAAAAGCGGCGGTGAGGCCAACCTTGGTAATGAACATTCACAACAACAAAGGTTAGCCATGCTACCTTCTTTACATGACGCCGGAGCTGCCGGGCTACTTTAACGACTACCGTTCCGGGGTCTTCCATATAATATGACCCAGTGGTTCGGCCCAGTGCCGAATCGCTCGGGAGTGTTCTAGTGCTTAGAGCCCGAGAAGCCCCCTTAACAACAGCCAACCAGATAGACGCCTGCCATCGTGAGTACGTCGGTGCCAGCCTCTTAAACCTCAACAGGCGAGTGCAACCAGTTTTAAAACCACACGATAGGCGAGAGCTTGCAGGTCCCTTCCCTCTGTTGTTTTACTCGCCTGTTTTGTGATTATCGTGAACCCTAAGGGTCAGTTTCTTCTCTCAAAAAACAACTTTTGCCCTAGGTTACCTTAGGTACTACCCACGATCTTCTTCTCTTTTTTAGTTTCCTAACTTCTCCCGCAACTTTCTCCCACAAACCCTTACCAGTTGTTTACCTTTGACCAAACAACTTTTCTTCTACTCTTCCATCCTTCTACTCCATATCCCATACGCCGCCCATACTCCCTCACTTCCTCTGACAATCAGTTGTTATCCCCATCCCCAATACCTCGCGTCTACTTCTTTGCCATCTTCCGTTCTGATCATATCAAGAACCAGAGCAGTGATGTCTTCTTCGGCTGAGAGTAAGATGCTCCTAGAGCATCTTCACAAGCTCTCTATGCAGCACGAGCGCGAGCAGGCTTCCCAAGCCAGCTCTTTGGCCTCTCAGAAGGCAGGTTCTGTCTTGGATCATCAGACTACGTCTGTTGCCGATCGCAAGTCCCCTGGATTCTCTTCGATCTCCTCTGAGGATCCTGAGCGAGGTGGAGGCAAGTTTCAAATTGATTTTAGCGACGCTTAGTTGTCCCAGTAGCACTGAGAAATTTACTGACTCTCAAGCAATAGGTGTTTCCTTGGATGTCTCTTCCCTCAGAGGCAGCCCCAAGTAAGTTTCGCAGTTGATGAACTATTTGCGATTCAGTCTAACTTGTTGTAGCAGCTTCCCTGGCCGTTCCGAAGCCGTTGGCAAGGCTTTGCGCCCGACTATGTCAGCCACTGCCGCTGTGTAAGTGCATTTATATTATTAATGTGATACCAACTAACATATCTCTCAGTCGCGCGCAGGATGCTCCTGTTCAGGCCGATGAAGACATCTTCAACGACGCTGTTGTTAAGGGTTCGCGACCCATCGTCGTGTCATCTTACTCTCTGAATCAGAGCCACATACAGCAGGTGGAAGTGAAGAACGACAACGTATCCCCCACCAAGGATCGCTCTTACAACAAGTTTGTTGGCGCCATCGATCCTCAGGCGACTTGGCCCTCAACCGCCTGTGTCTTCGTTGCCAAGTAAGTACACTCTCTACTATTGACTCACTACCTGGCTAATTATCCTGCAGTCTTCCTGAGCACAGAGAGGACTGGACTCTTGAGGCTGCTGTCACCAAGGAGTTTGAGCGATTTGGAGTTGTCTTCGTGAAGATTCGCCGCGACAACCAAGGCATGCCCTTCGCTTTTGTCCAATTCACTGTCAGTTATTCTTGCCCTGGCAGGATGCCTTTTCCTCACTGACCTCTATCCAGAACGACGCAAGCGCCAATGAAGCTCGTGTCAGAGGCAAAGGAATGATGATCCTTGGTCGTCCCTGCCGAACAGAGACTGTCCGCGCCAACCGTAAGTTTTGTTCGTTCACTTTCAATTTTCCAAACTAACTCTGATTGAATCAGGCACCTATATCATCTATCGGCGCAACAGATCTGCCATCACCTTGGAAGAGGCTAACGAGCTCCTTTCTCCCTTCGGTCGACTTGAAACCGCGCGTTTCCTTGACAACCAGATTCAGGAGCAGATGCGCCTTCCTGTCACTATCCGGGTCCAGTTCAAGGACTTCGACCCAAGCCAACAGGTTCTCAGAGCGTTCCGCTTGAACAAGGTGTACAAGGTTGAAGCATATGATTTCAAGAAGGCCATGCAGGCCAGAGCTCGTCACCCTGATCGCAAGTTCCTTGACCACTACGATCGTGATCGTCGCTCCATCTTTATGACGGACCTTCCCCTCGATACCACTGAGCAAGACATCCGAGGCCTCATGGAAGATGTCGGAGGAGTGGTTTCGGTCCAAATGAAGCGCATGGAGTACCCTCATGGTAAGTGCCCATTCCCTACTGTCATTCAAGACGAAATTGACACATATATAGATGGGCCCAAGCTCATCGCGTTCGTCGAGTTCACGAACGCTAGCCTTCCTGACATGGCCATTGAGAGATACGTAAGTAACTTCTTAGAAGATAACGCAAATCCAAAACTGTGACTGACACTTTGACAGCACAACAACATGGTTGGTGGTTTCCCCATCCGTGTTGAGCGTCGCACCGACAAACGTCGTCGCGAGCCCTTTACACCCGCTCGAGTTTCCTGCAACGTCATCAATGATCATGATGGCATGGACATGGTTGGCAAAGGCCCTTCCACTCCAGTTCGAGAGCAGCGTGGCACTCTTTCCATCGAAGCCGGTTCTGCCAACTTCAGCCAGGATGCTGTGCAAGTTACTCCACTCCGAAGTGAGATGTGCCCCCCCATGGCGCAGAACGCCATGCAGCACAACATTGGCCACGTTCACCAGAACACCCAGGGCATGCAGATGCAGATGCCAATGGTGGCTCAGCAGGCTGTCGGTCCTGCTTTCAATCAGGCTTCTCACCAAACTCCTGTGCAGGTTCCTCACCAGGGTCCGATGCAGTTCCCTATGGCGCCTCCTCCCCTGCCTCACCCTCAGCAGATGGGTACGCCCATGATGCCTCCTCCCAACATGGGTTGCTCTCCCTTTATGCCTAGCCCCTACTCTCAGGGTCCTGGCTCAGCCTACGGCTTCATGACTCCTCAGCAGTCTCCTGCACCTTTCTGGGGCTACGGTAACGGTACTCCTCTCTGGACCCCGTTCCCTATCGATCCTGCTGCTTTCATGGCGTACACTTCGCCGGTTCCCCCTCCTCGATCCAACGCTGGAGTTGGTCTTGGTCCTGTCGCTTCCGCTCCAGTGGAGGCTAGCCAGGTGACTCAGTCTGAGCCTGTTATGGTCGACAAGACCCTCACCGATTCCAACCAGGGCCAGAACGAAGAGCACTGAGCACTTTCAGGCCCATCGATGATTATTTTTTTTATTCTCTTCTTGCTTTCTCTTCTCATGGTACGACAAATTGGTGTTGATAGATTTGGCGAGTTTTTACATAATGTTGGGCTTTATTCCTGTACGTTGACTCTTACTGAGAGTTATCGCCATGGACAATAAGCCGAGTTTTCAGTTTGGGGGATTGGGAAATGGGTCATAGATTACTTGGTTTGTGCCTCGAGCACCTTTGTTTACTTACTCTTTATGTCTATTCGGCATTAGTTTGTGAGTAATACACTCTTAGTTAGACCAGTGTTGCTGGGGTCATTGCCTGTTTGTATCGTTGCTGTGTCTCCAGCATCTGTCCGTAGTGTTCGGGTATGGTTTCCATGGATTGAGAAACCATTCAGAGAAATTGCCCGATGGTGTACCTAAACGTCTTCTAGCCACTGTAGCAACTATAGCCAGACGCAAATTTAATCTGCTGCCAATGAAATTGTGGTAGTCTACCAAGAGTTTGGAAGCAGCATAATACCATGATTCTCGACTTCAGAATATCAGCAGCACTGGGAAAAAAAAGCCAGCTTCTTTCTAGTCGCTATACTTTAACGGCCTCCAGGTTACATTCAGGTACAGGGGTTAGACAGGGACCCCTGTTTGCAGGTGAATGCTTCTATTACGGAATATCTTTGGCCCGCAACAAGCTCCAGCTTGGTGTACCTTTGTACATCAGAAAGCTCCAAGCAATCCGATGCATCCCACGACGTTGACGACGAGAAGCGAAAACTCCGGAACATTAAGGATTTGAACCTGCCCAATTCATACTGAGCGAAGACACCGAAACAGCGGCAGAAATTTCGACAAGTTCAAGTTCTCGACTGGAGGCGCATCCTGTGCGCAGGGCCACTGGGCTCCCCCCAAAAAAAGTGTACATCTACAAACCACACCTTCGGCGCAGTTAGCGGGACATTAAAAAGATGCGGGCAACACCGTCACTCATGGGCAAGGGCTTCTGGGCCCGAAGCTTAGAACAGTTCCAAAGGAGCGCAAGCATTGGTTAGCTCTTCTCCTCCCAATGCCTTGCGCTTGGTCGCTCCTAACCTTGGTTGTATGTCGCAGCTCTCAAAGCCGAAGCAATTAAAGGCGCCCAAGGCCCTTTCATGCTCCAAGATTTCCGCGCGCCCGGCTCGACAGAAGACTGCAAGCTACTGTCTGATAAGGAGATCGGTGGCTTCTCCAAAGTCGCCCTCGACTGGGTTCCTTTTGCCTCCCAGACACATCCCGCATCATCCTCGACGCCAGCATCAGAGAGCAGCACCTCAACAGGCACAGGCTACGCTCGTTTTCACGGAACGATATCTACTGAACTTCCGAAAGACAACCCAAAGATTCAACGTACGGGCTTCGCGGCATGGAGGACACCGGATCAGCAACCGACAATGTTCGGCAAGTCAGTGTGGGATATTGATCCGTATGTTTACCTCGCCATGCGCGTAAAGTCAGACGGCAGGAGTTACTTCATCAACCTGCAAACGGAATCAGTCGAGCCGACAGATCTGCATCAGCATAGATTATTCACCAAGCGGCCGGGCGAGTGGGAGACCGTGTTTGTCAAGTGGAACGATTTCGTACGAACGAATCATGGATTCGTGATTGAACCGCAGACAGAGATGTTGAGGTCCAAGGTCACGACTGTTGGCATTGGACTTACTGATCGTAGGCCAGGCCCATTTGAGCTTTGCATCGAAAGGGTGTGGGCTACAAACAACCTTGAGGAGGTTGAAGCGGGGGAGGCGGAAGCGGATGAGGCTGCTACAGAGAAGGCGAGGCAGGCGAGAGAAAGTGAATTGAAGAATCGGCAGGGGCAGAGTATTAGGTGGTCTACCAGGTAATGCGCTGTTTTAGGTTAAGACAATAAGGCTTTGCCTTGGAACGAGGAAAGCATTTTGTCAAGAGCCTGCCAAGGACTGAAGAGGGATAAGGTATGACAGGCTTCTCATCGAACAAACCCACTCAAACGATTTACGGAGAAGCGTCATTTCTGCTTCTGGCCAGCGTCGAGCTGAAGTTGCAATCATTGTAGAAATACTTGTAAAACCAAAAATACCAAATGCAAATATAATTCATCTAAGCGAGCGCACCTGTAAACTCGCTTTTCACTCCCAAACTTAGACTTACTTGCACTCGCAATTGATAAAATCGTGAACAAGTTTGAAACCAGAGGAAAAACATACAGTGGAATATGGCATTTAAGAAAATGCGAGCAGTTGGTAGTTAGAAGCCATCAAAAGTCTACTTCTTTAGCTGGATGATTGGCTGGAACGGGAGTGTTTTCTTCGATATTTGTGGCCAATCAAAAACCGCGATCGTTTAGTGGGGAGCATTCAACATCACTCTGGAACACACTTGACAACATCGTAACTGATTGAGATGGACTGAGAGTGAAGAGTGTTACGATTGGTCTGGCCGATTACTATCATTCGAATAGGGAAGCACCTGGATTTTAGACACACTGGGCCGTCTGCTGTGGTGATTGCGGGGGTGCTCTGTCTGGAGCATTCGACGCGCCTGCCGATTTCTCGTGCCTGGAACCTCAGAAATATGGTCAAACACGACCCTCACGTTTACCCGCGCGACTACAGATGAACCACTTTCAAAATTCCTCTTGACGAAAGAAGAAAAGAAAAAAAAAGTTCTGTACGAGTGCCGCTTCAATAAGGTGATTCCGCCGCAATGGCGCGATACCTCACACCCGCAAAGATCGGCCTTCTCAGCCTCATTGAGCTCTACACAGACGAACATGTACCTACTGCGGCCATCATTCCTGTTCTCTCCTTCATCACATCTCATCTCCTCGACCCAGACCCGCTGAGTCTTACCACAACCGCCAGGAAGGACACTCGCTGGAAGAAGGCCGAGAGTACGGTCAGCCTCGTCATCGGTATCAAGGACTTTGAGAAGCTGCTCAGTGCCCATTCCGTTGTCATCGGACTTCCCGGGAGGAAGCTTTGGGACACGTTTCTGACAAAGCTGTGGGGAGTCAACTCGCTCGACCTTCTCCATGAGTTCTTCGAGAGGCAGTCAAAGTGCCTGGCCAAGACGAAGGGGGAGCTGCGACGGGCTGAGATCGAAGGCGACGCGGCAGCGCAGCAGCAACCACAGGCAGGTATTACACTGTCAAGGAACTCTCCTCTGGGGCAGTTTGTTCGGAGGTGCCAGTTGGAGTTCTCAAAGCTGCGGTTCCATGATGCAACGCAACTTTGGACGGATTTTGTCCAATATCGCCAGCCCACCGCGGGGTATCTACGGAAGAGGAACCCGTCTTTCGGCCGGCTTAGCTTCGACAATGTGCTCATGACGGGAGAGCAAGCGGATTGGGACTTGGAAGGTGTTTCTGCGCTGACGTCTGTTGTATACGGCGATATGGTCTCGAGTGGTACCCCGTCCGCTGTGCCAGTGAGCACAGATGATATTGAACTCTTGCTCGAGTTCCAGATCGAGCAGATGCAGAGTAGGCTTCCTAATCTCTATAGAATGGAATACAAAACTGACTTTTTGCAGAATATGGCAACCGGATACCATTAGAGCTCCGAAATCAGTTCCATGACCTCCTTGGCGACAGCTATCTCGTGCCTAGCTTGAGGCATTATCTGAGGTATGTCGTCTCTGTGACTTCTAAACGAGTTTTGTTCTGATGTTTAGCAGCTTTCTAGACGCTTGGAGATCTGGTGATTACCCAACGGCCTTCGATTTCCTTCACCAGTATTTCGACTATACGATGCAAAACCGAGACAAGTTATTTTACCAATACGCACTGATGAACTTGGCTGTTTTGCAAGCAGACTTTGGTTGCTACAGAGAGGCTGTGGCAGCAATGCTCGAGACGGTGTCTACGGCTCGCGAAAATCGTGACATGACCTGCTTGAACTTCGCACTCAGCTGGCTGTTCCATTTCGGCAGGGCACATCCAGACCTGGTTAGAGACCTTGAGGCAGACAGTCTTCTGGGCACAGCAAAGGAGAGCCTTGCATACCTCCGAGTCAAGGCTAAAGAGACGGGCATGTGGACGTTGTGGGCATCTGTCTTGCTCAGTGAGGCGAAGCTTGGCCTCGCAAATGGAGAGAGTGTGGCAACAGCAGCCGAGCTTATCGTTCGCAGCTCGCATCTGATTGTCGAGCGAAACATGAAAAACATGTTTGGCGCACAGCTCTCGATTCTCATTGCGCTATGGGAGAGGCTAGGCCTTTCACAACTTTCTGCCATGGATTGCGAGATTTTTCTTCGATGCCATGCAAGACACTCCACCTTTGACGATGAGTTGAAGGTCACATCACGCCTGGCGCAACAACTTGCAGCAAAGGGAAAGTTCGACGAGGCACTGCAAAAATTGGAATCTCTAGACGAAAACTCCTTACGGTCTTGGAAGCCAAGCCAGTACTGGTTCAAGTACCGAGGAATCATCAAACTCAGAAGAGATCTCCACCATAATAACCTAGACGGTGCAGAGCAGTTGCTTTCTCAGCTTCTACAATCCAAAAAGGACGATCTCGAGCCAGATATGGCCTTTGTCGTTGACTTCCTTCACATTGACTGTCTCATTCGACGAGGCAATCTGCAGGATGCGTTCAACAAGGTCGAAGACATGCTGGCATCGCTCCGGGACGATAAGAGAGACATCTCGCTGCGGGTGAGGTTGATGCTGATCAAGGTCCATCTTTATGACAAGTGCGGTCGGCCACAGCGAGGGTTCACCATAGCTATGCGAGCAGCTAGTATGGCTTGGAGGGCAAGGTTGGTCTCTTGTCTGTGGCAGGCTATCGGCGCCATCGCCAATATTCTGACGTCTTTGGGAGAGTTTGAGGCGTCCGCGCAGCTGCTCACTGCAATCCTCCCACGCAGCCTCGAATGCGAATCATCGGCTTTGAGTGGCCAGCTATACTCCTTCCTAGCAGACGCCAACATGGGCATGGCCGGGAAGGCGGCGCCGCAGTCAGCGAAGCGAAGAGAGTATCTGACACGCGCCACTGGTGCTATTCAGAAAGCTTTTGATCATTACTCCAGTATCCAAGATACCACGCGGCAGTGTGAGATGATGGCCAAGAAGGCTACGATTATGAAGGTAGCTGGGGACAAGGTTTTGGCGGCGGATTATGCGGCCGCTTATGTAGCTTTACGAAAGAGCGCAGCTGCGCTTTCGGTATGATATCTCATAGAATGGATAAGGGACACACAAAGGCTTATTATTCACATGATGCGAATTATGAGCAATGCGACGTGAGTTTTTGTTTTAAGGCTGCATCTCTCTTCGATTGCTGTGACATAGGGAAAATGTACAGGATGGTCTACTCCTCAACAAGCGTGTCCCGAGTCTAATGGATCGCTCCCTCCCCCAATGCGATGTAACGCATTCTGGTAACTGACTCTGGTAATTTAAGCCTTGTCCTTGTTGTGGTAGTTGACGTTGTCATTCCAGCTGTCACAATGTTATTAGCACCAATTGTTCCGCACCCAAGGCCATCACTCCAGCCCAAAACGGATGATACTTACAAGAGGGTCTTGTCGCCGTTACCCCACTGGTAGTTCTTGGTGCGGATGTTCTGGTAAGAGTACTCGGTGCGCTCCTCCAGAGGGGGCATGTGGCTCCAGTGCTCCCAATGGTCGTTCCAGAGAACGTAGGCGTTGGCGCCGGCCAGGGCCAGGGCGGGGATGCAGGCGCTATAGGAAAGTCACAGTCGTCAGCCTTTGCTGCTTATACGCACACACATGCACACAATTTTCCCTCAATCCCCGACTGCAAATCCCGTGTCGTTCGAAGTTTTTGACTCCTCCGCAAAAAAAAGATACACATCTCCCTCTGACTACAAGAGAAAAAAAATCGACACGACGTCTTTTTCGACAGGGAATGGCTCGTTCAATCGGGGTGCTTCGGGGTGGGTGGAATCAATAGGAATGAGTGAGGGCATACTAGATGGAGATCTTGCGCCAGAGCTCTGTTCAATTGGTTAGCCATTTGCGTCAGTCGACCGTGCCGGACCCAATTGCATCAATTGACGACGTCCGGAGTCCGTAAGAGGAGGGAAACGAACCAGTGGTGCCGGCGGCGTGGTGCTTGGCAGCCTCACGCTCCCTGATGAAAGCGTTGTCGGTGGTGCTGGCGAAGCGGCGCTGGACGGTGGAGCGGGTGGCCGGGGCACGGGCGGCGCGCGCGGCGGCGGCGATGATCTGGCGCTGCATTTTGTTTGTGACTGTTATGTTCGGTGGAGAGGAGAGGTTTCGTTCGTCGTCGGCGGGCCGGACTTCGGTGTGTTTGTGAAGATTGACGTTCGATCGGGGATCAGGTCATTTTGGTATGGAGCTGGGACGAAAGAGCTCGGCTAGCGGGAACGTCACGGATTTGCGGCCTGGATTGTGAGGCTACCAGGGAAGGGTCCGTTTTCGCGGTAGAGAGGATGACTAAATGATGTCAGGTCATTTGCGGAGAAAATAGGAACCATTTCCAAGTCTATGGCGTGGAAATTCGCATGTGGGATAAGAACAAAGATACGTTTGAATTGCAACCTAGTCAACAACTATATGAGAATGCCTTTTGTGGATTGATTTAATGCTTTAGGCTGGTGCTGTGGTTCTGTATCAACCACTTTTTCTGTACAATTCAACAATGTTGCAGTGAGTCACGTGACACCGCGCTCAAGGTCGTGTTCGCCCCCTCCATGACGGCAGCGACGTTGCGCGGTCAACTCGATTGGTGTCTACACAGCGACTTCGTAAACGAGCCGGGGGTGATGAGCCCATATTTTTGCTTATTCCATCGTTGAAATTCAATGCGAAATGATGCAATCACGCCCACAGTGACTGCTGTATACTACCAACTCTGTTTCCTCATGCATTTTCCCTTGATCAACCTCATTCAGGACTTACTGGGAATGGGACTAGAGACGACGTGACGATAGCGTTTCTGTGATTTAACATCTTGGATCTTAACTTGAAAGTCCGTCACCAGAATAAAATGGGCTTGCGCATAGTGACATGGAATGGTGAGTGAAAACGAACCTGAGCAGAAGCCCGGCATCGCTAATACGCATACAGTCAACGGCATTAGGTTCGTACGCATCTATGTTGAAATAAGTCTGGATCATAGATCTAACAAGTCCTAGAAACCCATTTGGGTATCAGCCGTGGAGAGAAAAACGAACGTTTCAGGTCTGACTTACTCTGAAATTGGTAATGATTGGAAGTCTAACCGAAGCTTCAGGCCATGTTCGATATCCTGGAAGCGGACATCGTGGTTATGCAAGAGACCAAGATCCAACGCAAAGATCTCCGTGATGACATGGTGCTGGTCCCAGGTTGGGACGTCTTCTTCAGTCTCCCAAAACACAAGAAAGGTATCCCCCAAAACCTCATTCCTCTTAGCCCAGGAGCACCTCTAAAGCAGTTAGCTAGGGTATTCTGGAGTGGCCATATACACCCGCAACTCAAGTTGCTGCCCCATACGCGCAGAGGAGGGCATAACAGGTCTTCTTACACCTCCGAACACCTCAACCAGCTTTCGCGACTTGCCCGCGGATCAACAAATTGGCGGATACCCTCGCGCGGGCCAGCTCTCTGGCGAGATTGACGAAGCAACTCTAGACTCGGAAGGTCGTTGCGTCATCCTCGAATTTCCCGCTTTTGTGCTTATAGGCACGTACAGCCCTGCGACTCGAGACTCCTCCCGCGATGATTTCCGGCTAGGTTACCAAAACGCCCTTGATGCGCGAGTGAGAAACCTTGTGGCGGAGGGAAAGCAGGTTATTCTGACAGGTGACTTGAACATTATTCGCGAAGATCTCGATACCTGCAACGTGCGGGAGAACCTCCGTAAGGAAGGGTTGTCGGTAGAAGATTGGATGGACATGCCTTCCCGACGATTATTCAACCATCTCTTGTTCGATGGGCAAGTCAATGGTGAGCGAGATGAGGGCAGAGAGAAGCCCGTTCTATACGACTTGACGCGGATATTCCACCCCACTCGTCAGGGAATGTTCACATGTTGGGATACGAAGAGGAACACCCGTCCGGCCAACAACGGCAGCCGGATCGATTACATCCTCTGCTCAGCGGGGATCAAGGACTGGTTCATCGATTCCAACATTCAGGAAGGCTTGATGGGCTCGGACCATTGCCCCGTCTACGCAATTATTGGCGACGTCGTCAAGGTAAACGGCAAAGATACCTCCGTTCTCGATGTCATGAATCCTAGTGATATGTTCCGAGATGGAACACGTCTGCGGGAATGGTCCTCAAAGGACCTCCTCCCCCTCTCCGCGAAACTTATCCCAGAATTTGACAAGAGACGCAATATTCGAGATATGTTCATGAAAAAGCCCACCCCAAAACCCACATCCTCACCGAGTCCCATTGACCCCCCGATCGTCATACCCGAAGAACCGCCAGCGTCAGGGGAGAAGGATCAACAACCTGCAGTAACTCCTGGGGCACCCAAGGACCTACCCGCCTCGCAAACACTCGGCTCTTCTAACACAATCAAGATACCCCCGAACAGCAACAGCAAAGCGTCTTCCTCGCAAGCAAGCTCTTCCCCGGCGAAACGGCCGGCAGAAGCGAAAGAACCGGCCAGGAAGCGGTCCCTCAAAAGAACAAAGACTAACGAGAATGACATCTCGGCTACCAAAACAAACGGCGGCCTCGCACAGAGCACGTTGATGGGCTTCTTTAAGCCCAAACAGCAGCAAGCATCAAAGGCTACAGGGCCTGCCGAGGCCGAGACAGCTGCAGCAACCAATGGCGACGACAATAGTCCCGGCGACCGGTCACCGGAGAAAGCTGCAGCAAATCATGGCCTGGCCCGCCGCTCCCTCTCGGCCTTATCAGACGTCCCTGCCGCCGCCGCCGCCGCCGCCGCCACAGAGACAGATTCGCCCGGCAAGCAACCCCCAGCATCACCCCTGAAGATGTCGGCTATCGAAACCTCTGAAAGGGTCTTTGATCCCATCGAGACCAAAGAGGCATGGTCCAAGTTCAGCCTGGGCAAGAGGGTCGTGCCCAAGTGCGAGCACGGTGAGCCATGCATCAGTCTTCAGACGAAGAAGCCCGGCATCAACTGTGGTAAGATCTCCCCCCCCAGCAAGCTTCCCGCTTCTGGAGATTTTAAGCGAGCCCCGAGGTCTTTGTTAGATCTGTATGTATGCTGACGTCGTTCTCAGGAAGGTCATTCTACATCTGTCCTCGGCCTCTGGGGAAGTCAGGAGTTAAGGAATCTGGCACGGAGTGGAGGTGTGGAACTTTCATATGGAGTAGTGACTGGAAGAAAGATCAATCTTAGATGTTGATTTTTTGCATGGCTGCTACTGCCGCGGTAGTCAGGACAGGTAGTTATGGATCATCAAGTGCTGATCGACGGTCTATGTACATGGCCGCTTGCTTGCTTGCGGATAATAATTACAACAAAAATAACTATGGCGCGTGGCCATCAGGCTGCGAATAATACATGAGATACGAATGCAATAGCTCCGTCCAGACGAATAAAATCTCTATGGACATATTTGTCACAAAGATCTCTGGCAACGTGACTCCACTACAAGTGAATGAGAAGAATCAAGGTCGCATTGGTAGTGCATTGGATGACCAAAAGTGTTCCTGTTTCGGTCTTCCTGTCAAGAGTTGCATCACGGCTTCCAAAGTGCACACATCGGCGGGCTTCGTATCGCCATGTCCGGAGATAGGACATGGATGACTGGTTGGCAATAGTTCTGCAATCCTTTCCAGGCAAGGTGAGACCTGTCGCATGCATGGGATATTTGTACTTTGCAGACTCGATAACAATTCCAAATTGTTAAGCCACAGTGATATACTGAAGGCGCATCAAGAACTGGGCTCCATGTATGCGTAGCAGTCCGTACACGGGGCACGAGTGGTAGCCGACATGTGATGTTTCCCATGCAACGCGTTTCTCCGCAGCTGGATGAGATACATTTGCAGTTCTTCTCTGAAATATTCCGGCACCTATCTCAAGTGCTGTGATGAGATTGACTGAGAAAGCTCATGGGCTTGACTAAGTTTCTTCGGCTTGTCGGTGCGGCTTCGCCGGCGTTTCTCTGAAGGTTTACGGGGAGTATAGCGGTAGTCGGGATGGAGCATCATGAGGCGTTCCTTGTGCAACCTCGCAAGTTCGGTATACTTCTCGCGTACGGCATGTGACTCGTTATTCCAGGCTTTCCCGAGAATGACCGCTGTTCAAGGTCAGTCACTACTCTCGAGAAAAGGCAAGACAATGTTCTTACATATCTGGTTGTTGGTGAGCTGGGTGTTGAACTGCTTCACCTTGGCATGGTGGTCTTTGCGGTAGAGAATGTAAGCGTTGGGAGGCCGAGGGACCTTGACTTTGCACTGAGGCTCGGGGCTGTCTGTATAATTGGTACCCGACTCTGAACCAGTAGATTCTTCAAGAAATTGGTGTGATGGTCTTCGGACAACAACAGCGATACCGTTGACAGATACAATCATGTGGGGACTAGAGATGAACCTCTCGCAAGGGCCGAGGATCCATCTGTCATTTTTGCTACACATGCCGTCTTTCACCCACATGACTGGCTTGTTGAGTGTGCGTCTATTCAGCGCGGTTAGACTTGGTCTGGCCGGTTGTGAGAGAAAGGAATAATACGAACCCCATGTATAAGGCCATGAAGGCCTGTCCATCTTGACCGAAAGAGAAGTAGTTCTTTCCCGACACAGCAATAACAGACTGGAAACTGTTCATATTCAGCTCCAACGTCTCAGTTACCGTTTGGAGAATCTTGGGGCTAAGCCGTGCAGGATCCACATAGCCGGCAATGATTTGCCCGGGATTGAAGTCGTTAAGCGCCATAGCGAACTAAGGAGATGATAGAAGAAGGTAGGCGGGGTCTCTATTGGCAAAAGAATTCTCAAGAGGCGATTACTGATGTATATTAACAGATGGGATTCTTGAGAATGAAAGTCTCAAAGTTGACGGGGTTTAACAAATACAAAGACGTTGAAAAAGGCGTCGGACCAAAAACATCAGAGACGGTTTTCAAGTCGTTTAAAGATAGATTTGAAAGGCATCAAGAGACGACAGTCAAAGTCGTATTATGGGGGTCTAGTGGCAGGAGATCTAAATTTGAGGAAGGATCACCCCTCATCAAATCATTGCCTCAGGACGATTGACATGAGCGCCCAGCCCTTTTTGTGGATTAGAAGCGTCTTAAACCGGAATGTGATGCAGGGGTTATCTTTCAACACAGGTCTAGCCAGGGCAAGCCCGGTTGCAAGATGGCCTGGGCTGGACGGGTGCCAGGCACACCGGTTTTCTCACGGTACTTGGAGCAGGTTCGTACTGTACATGTTTGTCCCCCTCAAGCCTCATGCTCTGGAAGCCTGGTACAAGCCAGTGGTAGGAGGGGGAGGCAAGCTCGGTATTTTTGCCTGGGTAGCGATTCGAAGACCCAGACACCCCCGGTCCAGTTTTGGCGGAGAAAACAAACCCCCAGATTAAGCCACATACTGCAAGTAAGGATGTCAACGGCCGCTAATGGCGTCTTGCGAAGTTGGTCGACATTTCGGTGTCGGTACTGTCAGTAGCTTCCGTCTTGTTTTTGTAAATCCACCTTCGTTTTCTCTCACCAACATAGTTGCGCCTCACTCTTTAGGGATCTCAGCTTCTGGTGGCTCCCGCATGTGAATACCAGAAGCGAGAACTGCCGGAGCTACGGCCGTTTACAACTTAAAACATGTACGTAATGACGGACTCTACAATTCCCCCTCGATAAGCTTGCGAAACTGAAAATATATACAGAAGGAAGGGAGAAAGCCCTTGTAATTCATACCACGTTACGCTGCTCTGTAAGGTGCATGTTTGGATGGGCACCTTGTTAATCGTGGGCAAGTAAGATGGCTCAACTAGCGAGTGTTTTGGCACATGTAACGATTCCTGGTTTTTGGGGGCGCTCTGAGGACAGTGCCCAGCAGTTGAAAGCAACCAACACTGACAAAGCACCACACATTCGGGCCTAGTACTGCCTCATCTGCGCCTCTGGAGGGGCAATCATTAGCGTTGGAGGTATTGGAACCAGCAGCCTCGAAAAGCGATATTAGTGGGCCAATACAGGATCGGGACGCCAATTGGTATTGACTGGTCGAAGCACTCGATCTGATGCTCGTGGCTTGCAGCGGTCGATATCTTAACTTCAAAGTTCATGATTGATCACATCCTCCAGGCATCCCTATAAATGATCCTGAATTTAGTTTCACTCGTAAATTGACGTATCACATCTTTTCTGGTGTGTTAGCCCACTGGACTGTTTTCCGAAGCTTTCAAGTATCTGATGGGTGGAAAGAGTGCCAACGGTTCCCCAGTCGTTCTCTGTGTACAACTTTTTTTTTTTTTGCCTCACTTAAGTCCTGCAAGTTGTTGGAGCTACGACCAAGAGTAAAATGGATTACCTCAATTAAAGGAAAAATCAAACAAAAACAAATGGGCTGTATCCCTCTCCCTCCTGACAAGACAATACTGTCAAATGCCTCGAAGCTGCATCTGGCCAACAGCCCTGTGTACCATCAACTATAAGCCTTTTTTCCTCACCCATTTCTCCTTCTTTTTCAATCCTGAAATTTTAGATAAACTCTAAGGCTATTCTTCCTCTTTTTTTTTTGACTTCGCTTTTTTTTTTTTTTTTTTAGAAAAGAGAGAAAAAAAGAAAAAAAAAAGAAAAAATCTAGATTATCATCCTTTTGTATCTGAGCCTTTTTTCTTCCTTTTTTCCATTTGCCCTTCCTTGCCTCCATTTTGACTACGCTTTTCGCTGCAACCGATTGAAAAGTTGTCTGCATTGCATTCTACATTTCGGTATTTCAAAATGACTCGAGATGAAAAAACATCAGCGACGGATGCACCAGGCATCTTAAGGACCCCCGGTTTGAATGAAATTCTTCCTCGTCATGATCTCGATCTCTTCACATCCTCACGCTTGTTTCCTGAAGGGGACTGGATTCTGTCAGAACTTGGACGATGTCATCAATTTCAGGCAGTCTACTGCATTCCTAATCAGCAAGGACAATTAATCCCAGCACCTATGCCTCCAGCCAACATCTCGGCCGTTACCAACGAGGAGGAGATCTACCAGCATTGCACTGTCTATCAATTTACCCCTTGTAAGTGAGATTTCATGAAAGGGAGAACGCATTACTGAGAACTTCCAGCATACCAGAGCCGACGTGAAACAGAACATCTTAGTCTTAGTGCTATTAGTTCAGATGGCCAGCAGCAACGACAACACCACGGTCGCGGGCAGCCAGCATGCGCCAGCTCTTTTCAACAAGTATCGCTTCCTTCTCAAATATCAGAACGGAATTGCCAGAACTCGAATAGAAAGCATCACCTTGTCTCTCAAAATGAATCGTCTTTTCTTGTCAGTCCACCGTCGTATACACCAGTGGCGGTAGCCCATGCATTTGCACTGCCCTTAGAAAAGGAAACGGCATTTTCCACCACACCAATCCAGAACCAGAATTTCGTCAATTTTACAGGAGAATATCACATTAGTGATCACTCTTGTCATAAAGAGTCCTCTGTATCCAGCGGCTCTTACAGCAGTATCTCACATCACGACATTTTCCCACATCATCCAGAATCGGAAGAAATTCATGGCCTCGAGTCATTCACATCTCAAGATTTCCATTCTGGCGTCCATGACACCACAGTGGGTTTGGATGAATCATTCAACGTGGAATTTTCTCCGGCAATGATGACGCTGCTTGAAGGGCAGACACTGGACGAAATTTTAGGGCAAGGAAACGATATCGGAAGGGTTACACTTGAACGAGCGCAGGTCAAAAGTGAAGAACGCGACAGGCACGACGATACTACACTTTCCGGAGTGCAGTCATAATTAAATGCCTTCTTCTTTTATGAATTCCTTCATCTTTACTTTTTTTCCGTTCATTGTTTTGACCACTATACAGGTTTTTGAACATGTTGAATTAGATGCAATTATTTTGCGACATTGGTAGGATAGGTTCATGTCAAACAATTTTCAAGATGAAGCACTTCCAGCAAGGCAAACTTATTTTTAGACGACGCAAGATGAAGAGGGAAGAAAAAAAAAAACTTGTTGTTATCATTCAGCGGTGTGTTAACCTTCTTGGTTACCAAGCATTTGACCGCAAGTTCTAGAAAAGTTGAGTCAGTGGGGAATCTCGACCAACTTGCATTTTTTCTGCGTCACCAAGCAGCGGGACATGATCAAATTTCAAGTATTCTTTACTTCTGTAGACCAGAGCAAGACGGGCTAAGCAGGCTGGGGAAGAAATGACAGATATCCTGCGCACTCCAGTATGCCCATCTGCGGCGAGGTGTAACCGGGCCAATGGCTGCATAGTGATGGCAGCATGTGCTTCGTAAACCATGCGAGGTTGACAAACACAGGGGTGGATTACCTTTCGATTCGAGATGAGAACATGTGGTTTGATTGGTTACCGAGACATGCAAAGCGAGCAAACATTGTGACTTCCCAGCGTGAAAGACGAGGGTCGTCGAGATTAGCATCTGGACTAAGCCAAACTAGTTCAGCCTCTGTGCGTTTAGCGACAGGAGCATCCTTGTCACTGCCCGCCCCCACAACCCGTCCCAATTTGGCACCACCCTCCCCCCCAAAGTCTCGCTAATCAATTTCCCCTCCCATTCCCAAAATACTGACATGTCTCACTTGAGGGAGGAGGAGAGAAAACAATCCTATGAAACAACAGCATGCTTTTCTGGGGTAAGAAATCAGACGACACAAGCTCTAACGCACTTCTCGTGTCTGCTCGAGGTCCGCATATGGTGTGTGGGGTGATCTTTAAAACTTTGCAGGACACACTCACCGAATATCTTCGAGGCTACCAATTACAAGTAGCGCAAGCGAGCAAACAACCGCTTTAGGCGAAATCGACTCCTGGGGTTTGGCACACCAGGGGGGCCAGACTACCCTACGCCACCAGGGTCAGGAATGGCAAAGAAGGGGATTGCAACGGCTCCCACCAGGCACGATCTATTGGCTGCATTAAGCGACTCCAGCAAACCACCAACATTGAGTCGCTCAACGTAGTCCAAGTCTTGAAGTGGAGTCGACCGTCCCTTACCATCATTTTAGGCGCCTACTGTTGACATGGTAGCCAGAAGCAGGGGATTTTCGTGGTCCCCGTGGTCCCCGTGGTCGCCGACCTTTCCCAATGCCTTGGTATTCAAGCTCAGTCTTGACGCTATGGTGAGCAGCATCTACGTGGCCCCGTCGTCGAGGGCCCGCATAGAGAAGGAATTGTGGGGTTACCATCTCCATCTTCTCCAACTTCAGATGGCGTTTTGTAGCTGTGGCATGAGAGGACAACCGGGGCACCACAACGTGACCACCATGCCATTACCGCGGTAGCTACTAGCTTATCATGGATTCCTAGGGAGATATATTAAGTGTATTAGTGTCTACACCGACCCAGGGAGATGCTAGCAGCAGCCACTGACTTATTCCCACGTACACAGACTCGCCAAATCTTGCCAACCTCTCCACCACAGCACAGTAGGCAACCAACTGTGTACATAGTGGTAACCTGTTGTCCCTTCGGATCGTTACCGCTATCCACACAGGTACATCTCATTTGGCCCAGCAGCCCAACAATAAAGTCAACGGGCGCATATGGAGGTTGTCCGTTGGAGCACGATGAAAATATGAGCCACTGATGTGTATCAGCGAACAGATCTTCATTGACCGTGTAGGATGACTCCAGCCAGCTATGAGAACTCAGCTTATATCTGTAAAGCGATTCCAGAGTTGATACCGGCTGGGTTTTTAGACGTCATCAAGAGACTCAGACTGCCCCGAACCTGGCACTAGATTCCGTACTGTGAACATCTACGCTACCCGCCCAACATCCATGACAGTCACGCCGTGTGTGGCAATCCTCGGATCGGTCTTTAACTCAGAAAACCCGCCATTGCGGCCCGGATTTTCCTGCGCAACCATGGGTCCGCTGCACGCATGCACAGCATTCAGGGTCTCTGATCTTGGTTAAGATCGATATAATCTCAGAATCGTGATGGCCGGCTGGCACGGCAATAACACGGTATCAACAGAAAATGGACTACAGGACCAGGTTCTCGATTACCAATCAATGGAAGAGACCGATCTACCCACGGGGGATTTAGTCTAAAGCCCTTTCTTCTCAGTGCAGCGAGACCTCACGAAGCTGACAGCCGCCCTCACACCACTCGCATCAGCGCCACGCTAAGATCGATCTAGAGGCCTCCTGCTTACTTGGTTTTCACGGTCAAGCTGAATGAGGTACTGACTCTAGGTTGACAAGACAAGAGATAGCATGAATTCCTACGGGCGGACGTCATGCATGGGCCGTTACTGGTAGCTAGGATGATCGGCACTAGGTGAGCTTTGGTGTATACAACTAACAACCATATTTCCGTGCCAAACATCATGTACTTGGCGCCTCTGGGGTCAACATTAGTACGCGAAGAAATCAGAGCATGGTAGTGGTTTCAAGTACGCTGGGAAAAGGCAAGCAGCCATATATATATGTATTACTGGTGAGCTATACGATCCTTTCTAGAACCTCTCGAAACAAGACTGGCCAGTTTACGTATAGTCGTACAAAGAATCGCTTGGAGAGGATTGCAGCCATCTGAGAAGCGGAAAGTAAAGCCACCCAGGAAGCCAGGCAAACACTCTCCACCAGTCACTTCTGGAGAGCCCGGTCGCATGACCCATGGCCGGTCAATCTACTGAACACACCTCACCAAAATGGCCTATAATTCCAAACTCGACTGCCTGCAGATTCACTTCGTCACCTGTCTTTTCTCCGTACCCCAAAGATGCGCTTCGCCCCTGTCATTTGCTGCCAAGCAAGAGCCGTCCGACGCCCAGAAGCAGCCGGGTTGAGCGCATGCGTGGCAGAGAGAAAACGGGCGAATTTGGTCCGAGCCTAACCATCAGGGAAACCAAACGTGCTTTTTTGCCTCAGATGAACTTGGCATCCGTCCCAGAAGAGCAGGTAACACTACGGGTGGGGTTTGAGGGGAGAAACCACTTGTGACAAGGTGAACAGAGCTCATGTACACCGGGGATCTGGGAACTGATCAGCCCTTGGTACCTTCAGAGATATTACACCATAACCCCCTCCTTCCACCTCCCCCCCCGCTTTGCTCTTGTGTCACCTCGTTTGGCGACAAGGTTTCTCATGCTCTGGTCGATCGACCACCAGCAGGTCATACCCCCTTTGTTGGCAGAAGCCCCTTTCCGATCTTGTGGACGCCACATCAGCCGCGACCATCGGGGTCTAATCGCATTCTCCACGGGTGGATATGTAAAGTGATACCGCGATAATCGCCTTTCGCAAGTTTGAATGAGGTAACATCCATACCATTAAACGTGGTACGACTGGGGGTGGTGGTCTAAATGATGAAATCCCGATGCAAGAACGCATGTAAAAGCCTGGGCATAGCGAAACGGACCCCCCCCCCCCCCCCCGCTAGCACTGTGAAGAGATGCCAAGATGTTTTCCCTTTCACCAAAGTAAGTGTGATATACCGCATGGTGAGGAAGCGTCTTCCATTTTGACGGATGCCGCATATCGCAAGTCGCTGTCAGTGTTTCCGTCGTGCTGCAGTAGTATGTCGCGCATATGTCTGTCCCATATCAGCAAGTGACGATGTCACGGGAGGCTGCACAATCCGCGTTGAAACTTCAGCGACCAAGACAAGTAACACTACGATGGCGAGAGACAAAAACCAAAAACACTTGCTGCGCTTGGTGCCAAGGTGGAAACATGGTTCTGCCCCCTTAGCATGCCAGCAAAACTGTTAATATTTCCATATCGTGCGTGTGATGATACAATACAGCCAGCATTTTCAGCACCAGGCCAAAGGACTACCGACGAAGCCATTGTGTCGCAGGACGGACCCAAGTTCGTTGCGCCGATGATGTTACACGCCTCACAGAAGAAAAAAAAAATCGAAACTTTGAAGACTTCCAGACCCAGGCGTCCCATGATACAGCAGCAAATACCATGCGTCCATAGGAACAGATAGGGCCAAACATTATGAAACCCAATTCCGTTCTCAAAACAGTCCATCACGACAACCACGATGCAGACAGACTGGGAAGAAGAAAATCAAGCAACAAACGAAAGCTAGGTTGCGGGTAACCCGCCTACCAAAGCGACCTAAGATTTCCTCGCATCCGGAGTAAATGCTCATGCAGAGATTGTGAAGTAGAGTAAACAACGACTATCAGCGAATGCACTAGGCCTAACCACCAGTCCGCCACGATGGTTTTGAAGAGTAAATAAACAAAGCATGCCCTTTGGGTGAAGAGAAGACGAGGCCGCCCTTCCCGGAAACCAAGTCCGATGGTTGCTTCACGACAGCAACCGCCTACCACATCTACAGCTGCTACCCCTACTCCTCCTGATAGGAGATCTTGCGCATCTCTCCCAACCTGTGTCTTGCGGCTGAGAGTGCATTCTCGAGTTGCAGAATCTCGACCTAATAGCGTACGATGCGTCAGCATAAGTTTCTTCGCCTCCTTGTATCGCCATGAACTTGGTGAATAGTTATTACGTACCTGTTGCTCCATTTCCCGAACCTTGAATTCGTGAGCACCGAGCTTGGAGTAATCGACCGCCTCATCCTCCTCGTTGCGGTCCTTGATGATGCTCTGCACCTGTCGCACAAGTGCTCTGCACGCCGCGCCAACGGCCTTGCTAGCCTGCTCAAGGTTCTCCTGGCTCTTGGACATGAAGCCAGCCTTGACTCTGCTGGCGGCGACAAGCTGGGCGGTGGAAGCCGCCACGTCGTTCGATGCCACAATAAGCTGCTCGGGGCTGTTGCGGTTAGACAGCACACCGTCTGCAGTCTCGATGAGCGTGTTGGTCGATGATGCCACGGCCTTGGCTGCCGAGATAAGACCCTCCGTCCACCGGTTGTTCTTCTTGTAGAAAGCGGTTCTCGATGAGGAACCGCGACCTGCCTGGACAATCTCCTGCTGCGTTGCCGTGGCGGCCTTGATGAGCTGCGCGATGGCGTTGGTGATGGCCGAGGCCGCATCGAGAATTGTGTCATGCACCTTGAGTTCGTAGGTTGAGTAGCCGTCACGAGGCTTGTTCTTCAGTTTGGCCAAGCGCGCAGCTGCAGCAGCAATGGCGTCTGCAGCCTTGCTGAGTTCCTGGTCGACAATGTCGCCAAGATCACCCTTGCCCGCGAGCTTACCAGCATTGGGAGCGAAGGTCTCAACAAGCTTGTTGAGCTTCTGAAGGTTCATCTGGACCTCATTGTTGCTGTTGATGACGACGTCAGTCTTCTGGATAGGGTCCATCCCCTCCAAGCGGAAGCTCTGGAGGCCACGGAAGAACTTGACAGTCGATGTAGCGGACTGTCGGGTGCCATTCATCAAAGCGTCGGCCTTCTTCTCGTCTGTCGCAAGACGAGTGATACCCTTGGCATTGGTGCAGACATCTGCGATGGCTCCAGCAAATACGTTGATGGTCTTGATCAATTCCGCATGAGTCGCGTTGGGGCCATCCGCGATGAAGTTATTGAAGGCAGTGGCAAATTCCATGGCGCTGGATGAAGCCTTCTCGATTTGCGATAGCACGTAAGATGGCGAAGCATTCTGGTTTCCTGCTTGCATCGTCGAGTCCAACTCGTACAGCGCATCGTCCACTCTCTGGACGCCAGACTGCAAGACTGAATCAATAATGTCGTTGATCTTGTCCAGGTTGGCCATGATCAAGGCATCAATCTGACCATCGATGACTTGATCTGTATCACCTTGGTTAAGTTTGAGCTCATTGAGTTCAATAAGCGTTTGGTCCATGCCCGCTTTGTAAACCTCGAGCTCCTCTTCCTTGTCCCGAAGAAGCTGCTCAAGGTCGCTGCTGCCGTCTCTGAGCTTGGCCTGCGCATCTTCTAAAGCGCGAGACTTAAGGCGCAGAGCCTCCTCAAGGTCTGCCATCTCACGGTTGTACTTGGAAAGCATTGTCGAGAGCTCATTGCCCTTGCTTCTCTCAAGGTTGTCTGCTCTGTCTTGAGCCATACGCAGCTCTCGCTTAAGTTTCTCGACTTCGTCCTTGTTGGCTCCCGAGAGACGATCCTTATCATGCAGCGCACGATCTCTTTCCCTGATCATATCCGCAAGCTCGAGGTTCTTGGTCTTAATCTCGCGCTCAAGTTTCTCCCGGCGCTCATTGGCTTCCTGTGCAGACGCCGCCTTCAACTGGACAGACTTGAACTTTTGTAGGAGATCCAGATGTTCATGACGAAGCTGGGAGTAAAGCTTTGCGAGGGCCTCGTACTTGGTACGCCAGGTGTTGACCTGTTCTTGGAGTGCTCGAATCTGGTCGTCCTTGCTTGCAACCTGCTGTCCGAAGTGTCCCTGAATCTGAGCCAGCTCACTCTCCAATGCCTTTACCCTCTGGTCGTACTGTTGCAGCATAAGTTGATCTCGCTCGTATTGCGATCGGGCATTGAAGTTCTCCTGCTCCAATTCAGCAAGTCGGCCCTGGGTCTGGTATTGCATTTGTTGTTGCATTAGAGCCTCCTGCTCGCGGCGCTGTTGTTCCGCCAGTCTTCGCTGCTGCTCCTCGAACTCTCTTTGTGCCTGCTCTTGTGCCTGCTGTTGCATCATCGCCTGCTGCCGCGCCTGCTCCTCGAGAACTCTTTGTTGCTCCTCATACTCGCGGTTTTGACGCTCCAGCTCATTCTTCCAGAACTCAGAAATGTCATCCGGCTCTTGGGATTTTGGCTCGGGAGGCGGTGTCGGGCGGCGTTCAATTTCCTGCTTCGGCCGGGCGGGCAGCGCAGGGGCCTCATCATCCTCAGCCAGCAGGTTGGGCGGGTCTTGCGGCAATTTGGGAATCGTGATCAGACTGGTCAAGTAGCGCAGGTTCGAACACTCGTAGTAGAATTTGACAAGACGGTAGTGTTGGGCATCGTATCTCTCGCGCAGAGGCTGAAGGACGTCGGCATCGCCGGTCGCTATTTAAATTAGCACAACCGATCATTATACCGGCAACAAGGGAAGGACACTAACTGGAGTGCATGGCGCGCAACATGCTCGTGATAAACTTGTAAATGCCATAACTCTCCTGTACCAAGGGAACAAGAGAGGAGATGCGACACTCATTGTTTCCGACATGGCGGAAGTGTGAGAAGATCAACTTCTGGAACTGCTCGATCTTGTCCTGGAGTGTCATGAGATCGGTAATCGTCTCATAACCTTCGTTGGGATCGTTGATGGCCTTCAAACTCAGGTACTCCTCGTACTCGAACGTTCCGTTGAACTCGGGGTGTTGCTGATGGAAGGACAACTTCGCCAACAAGTAGTAGACGTATTCTCGGATCAGGGGGCCGTATCCTCGTACTCCTTCTCCGCCCATTCCGCGATTCAAGCTGTCAATCCAGCCCCTCTGCGCCATAGCCTCCCGTAGAGTATTCGGATGCCCTTCCTGGAGGACCTTGTGCACGGTAATCAAAGCCTTAAATGTCTGGACTTCATCGGCAAGAATGGGCTGGCTGGATAGTAGCACTGTTAGCGCTTGTTTGCACTTGCGTGGATATTCACTAACACTTTGATCCCGGCCCAAAAGGCCTGGGAAGACCGATGATCCCAAGTATAAACAATGCAACTTCGTACATGTTTTCTCTTCGGCGCCGTCTCGTCAGGGTTTGTTGCCTTCTTAATGTTGATCGCCAACTCCTGGTCGGTCCTGAGGAAGTGTCAGTATACCGAAGTGGTGAAACATAACGAAGCATTGGGCTTAGGGAGGAGTAAAAAAACGGACTTGGTGTGTCTGGTATCAGGCACGGCGGCCATCTTGTCGATATTCTACGCGCACGAGGGCGGAAATCGTGAGAGGTGGTCGGCGATGTCGGTGGTGAAGTGGGATGGTACGAGAATATGACGTCTCTCAAACGGTTCAGGAGATAGCTCCACGTGCACGCAGTGCTGCCCGAAGGTCGCAATGAAGTAATCTGCGGGCTTCAGGCCAAATTAAGCAAATCACAATAGATACAGTCAGCGACTCCCGTGCCAAGTGGGAGAGGCGGGAAGAGTCGTCAGCGTTGACAAAGCTCTAGAATGTCTGGAGCACCTCGAGTGTGGCTGGGTTCTGCAACTTGCGCAAGCTCCGGCGATAGCGCCAAGCCGACGCTGTAGGCTACGATTCGGCATGGTTCCAATTTAGGTTGGGCATTAAGCATGGAACAACGCTAATCCGAAGGAGGTGTCAGTGTCACGGGCTGTCACTGCACAACTGTCCCAGCGATGGTCGGGTACCTAAGCCCCAAGCAAATACCTGATAGAGAGACGACAATGGTGGGGTAAAACCGGCCAAAGTTGGCCTTTTTTGGGCCCCTGCGATGCTCCCTCACAACTAATTAAACACACCACGGAAAGCACACATAAACAAGCCCTCTGAGACAGTGCCTTTTCGCAAACTATGCCACACAAACTGACAGACCCGAGTAATATTGGTGATTGATTGGAAATCATCGAGTGGTCAAGTTAGCATAATGGAGAAAAGGATAAAACATAACGGAGTTCAAACTCAGGGTTAGTCTTTTGACGTGCGGGTCACACGAGTGCATTGCATGTGTCAGGACTGAACTAATAGCTTTGGCTGAGTAGATGAGACCTAGCCATGCGTATGCACTACAACAAGAGCATTTCCTTCGTATCGACAACAGGTTTCATGTGAACTGCTCGAGTGCAGACAGTTACTGAGTGACAATGACATTAACTCGAAGCTCTGCAGAGGCTGGATTAGAAAAGTCAGCTTGGTGTTGAGTTTTACACAGTTTATACAGCCCGCACTACATTCGACACGGTTTTGGGGTAACAGCCACTATAAGCTGCGTCTACAAAGTCGCATAAGGTCGTAAGGTCATGTTCTTCAATTGATTGAGGGTATCATGAAGGCCCGGCGAGAAGCAGAGCCGTCTATTTCGCCTGCCAACCAACAGGCGCGCACTGGAAATGACAGTGGTCTCCTCAATAGCACAACACCTAGACACCGGACCTGTGCCATGCTTCCGACCTGGAGGGACACCCCCGAGGCATCGCGGCAACGTCGCACAAGAACCAGCGGGTCTCACAGGTAGCATTTCGGCATACAGGCTGACGATGAAGTGTCATTGGTTTCTTTTTTCCATTCCCTATGGACGTTGCCGAAAACGTGATTCCTTTCCATGCTAGAATTCTTTCCGTTCCTCACGTAAACACCCCATGCAAAAGAAGAACTGCCAAACCCCCACAAAGACACTCTAAATCGTCGTCTCGTAAGGAAGAGGGGTAACCGTCTCGGGCTTGTTCTCCTTGAAGGAAACGGTGCGGGCGTCACGGGGAAGGGCGGGGAGGCGCTTGAGCTGGACGGGCTTGCCCTCAGCCTGAGCCTTCTTCTTCAGGGCAGCGTTCTCCTTGACGCGGCGAAGGAAGTCGTCTCTCGAGCGGGAAGGCTGGATGTGCTCGATGCGAAGGTTGATGCGCTTCTCGATGTAGCGGTGCTTGACCTTCTTGTAGATGATGACACCAACGGCGGACTTGGTGACGTTGTAGATGACACCAGTCTTGCCGTGGTAGACCTTGTGAGGCATACTATTTTCCCAACATGTTAGTCCCCTCTTTACATAGAAAGACCACCAAAAGTTTCGCCAACTCCGAAGTTTCCTCGTGTGCGACGCTTCTCGTGGGTTTTCGCAGGGTCTTATCTTACCCCTTCTGGACGGCACCGTTCGCCTTAATGTCGACGATGTCACCAACGCGGTACTCTCTGAGGTACGTGGAGAGCTTGATCATGCCCTTCTCACGGAAGTTTCTGCTGAACGCATACTGCAAACAACCGTCAGCAATCCGCCCAAATTCTCAAGTATCGGCAATATCGTAGAACATACACGCGTTCCCGCGCGAAGACCCGCTGGGTGACCCATTTTGCCGGTATTGTGTCGTTAAGGTCGGTTGGTGATGGTGTGTCGTCGAGGTCCTGAGAGATCGCGAAAAAAAAATCCAAGCAAATTCGGTAGGCGTTCTGTGGGATTGCTCTTGCTTAGGATGTCGCTTAGGGCACCTGGGCCACCACGTGACCTTCGCCAGTGGGAGCCATTCCCAATTTGGAAATGCCCCACCGCCAGCCCTGTCCCACACCTTTCACCACATCTATGAAATTTAGAACTGACTTGACACTTTTTTTTCCTTCGTGTATCGAACGACAACGACAACGAGGAAATTCGACGGGTCGGCAAGATGGCTCCGTAAGTGCACATGATGGCGATTGCGCATTCTCAATTCCATGGACTAACATTGCTGTCAACAGTCTCACCTACTCCAAGACCTCCAAGGTCCCCCGTCGCCCCTTCGAGGCCGCCCGATTGTCAGTATTCTCCGGCCACTGAACACGAGCTTGCTCGGTTTAAGTCGTGAATTTCGAAAACTGACTTGGATACCACAGGGACTCTGAGCTTAAGCTCGTTGGCGAGTACGGTCTCCGCAACAAGCGTGAGGTCTGGCGTGTCCAGCTTACCCTCTCCAAGATTCGTCGTGCTGCTCGGTATGTGCCCTTGGTCGCGTGCAATTTTTAGTTTGCGCAAGTTTGATGGAGGGGCAAAAATTTGCTAACACCCATTTCAGTCAGCTCTTGACTCTTGATGAGAAGGACCCCAAGCGTCTCTTCGAGGGTAACGCCCTGATTCGCCGTCTCGTGCGTGTCGGTGTCCTCGACGAGTCCCGCATGAAGCTCGATTACGTCCTTGCCCTGAAGGTCGAGGATTTCCTTGAGCGTCGCCTCCAGACTTGCGTCTACAAGCTTGGCCTTGCCAAGTCCATCCACCACGCCCGTGTCCTCATCCGCCAGCGCCACATCCGTGTTGGCAAGCAGATCGTCAACGTTCCTTCCTTCATCGTCCGTCTCGACTCCCAGAAGCACATTGACTTCGCTCTCACCTCTCCCTTCGGTGGCGGCCGCCCTGGTCGTGTCCGCAGAAAGAAGGCCGCTGCCGCTGAGAAGGCTGACGGTGGTGATGAGGAGGAGGACGAGGAGTAAATGCAGCCCCATTTAGGCTAGGGATTGGTCAAAAATGACTCTGGGACTGGCTGGAAAACAAAGCCAACCATGGGAATTGGGGTGTTCATAGTCACGGCGTTCGCCAGAGGCAAAATGGAATGATTGCATCAAATACGGATACCACGAATGAATGTTACAGAAAAGTCTTTTTTTGTTCAGGATAACACCGATGACACCCTTGCATGCCAAATTATGAAGGGAAATGGGTATCATGTTTGTCCAATGCAATGCCTAAATAGTCTAGACCAATTCATCCTTCCCCAGGAACTTCGCCATTGGATCGTCTGCTGCCGTCCGCTTCCTCCGATACTCTTCCATCTCCGCTTCCGATACGCCGCCCATCATTTCTTCAACGGTCCGCTTCTTGGTTTTCTCAGGTGGGTCCTGCTGCTGCTCTTCTTCAGCCCGGTCAGTTTCGGTATTGTGTTCTTGTTCCACCAGAGCAGCACCCGTCCGCTGTCGCTCGGATGATTCCCAAGCCAACTTGCCCTCCTCGCCTGTGCAGTAGCTGTTCTTGACAACCGAATGACAACAGGCGTAACCCCATTGGAAGTTGGACCACCAACTGCCCCAAACAGAGGTATGATTGTGAATATAAACATCCTCGGGGTACTTGGATTTGGCCACAACTTTTGGCGCTCCCTTGATGAGACCGCTCTCGTCGTATTCGACGTATTGTTCTGACTCGGTGATCATGCTCTTCATCTCCTCAGGCATCGTATACTGTGAGGTATCGCCATATAGTTCCTTGAGCTTCCTCTCTCGCTCTGCGCGTTTCTTCTCCGCCTCCTCCTTTTCCTTCTTTCGGTAGAACTCTCCAGCAGTAGGGTTTGCTTGAAGATGCTGCGTAGTGTCTCCGCTCTTCTCTTGCGCCTCCCAAGCATATCTCTGGGCTTTTTCAAATTCGCTTGCGTCACCCGAGCCTCGCATAAACCCTTCCTCTGCGTAAAGATTCGCTGCTTTATCCACAGTTGCGCCACCATCTACCAAGGCTCGCGTCTTGGGATCGTACTTGGCCGAATCGAGGTCCAGGTTCAAGAGATACTTAGCAGTATCCTCTCGGATTCTGAGCTGACGCGTCGCAGTGCTCTGATGTTTGCTCATGTCGTTCTCTTCAGCGTATTTGTCACCCTCATCTTGCTCCTCTTCGGTCTCACCCTTTGAAAGAGCCTTTTTCCTCAGCGCTTCCATCTGATTGAAATCCTCCACGACGTTACGGTACTCCTTGGGATCGTACCCGTTCCAACGGTCTCGCTTGGCATCCCAGCCGAGATTGACATCTTGTACTACTTCGTCTGCTTGAATGTCCTTGCCAGTCCACTTTGCTCCCTTAGCCCTAGGCCTGCTTAGGCAGTCTTTCGCCTTGTGTGTCATGGCACCACAATTCTCGCAAGCGCCTTTGCGGTACTTCGTCGCCGCCGGGCCGGCTTTTCTTCCTCGATCATACCATTGTGATTGGTCATTCTTCTTTTGGAGACGTTGATGTTCGAGATAGTCGGTTTGGTCGCCTTCCTCGCCGGCATAAAAGGGTCGTTTACTGATGAAGGAGGGAATGTAGATATTCTCCTCTTTTGATGCGGCACCTGATGCTTTGTGGTCCGGTTTTCGAGGTGGTGGAGGCGGAGGCATTTTTGCTTTTTACAGACGAATGTATAAAGCGGATGGATCAGGTATTAATCGAAGCGACCGGACTCCTTACCAGTCATATGAGTGCTTGACGATGTGATTGAGGTCGAGGTTAGGCAAATTATCAGAAGTGGCTGAGAGACAGCAGTGGCTTGCGCTGATTCTCTTATCTCCACGTGATTGACCACATGACCTCGTGGATCCTGGGCGTCAGCGACGCGTCGTTTTGCGAAACTAAGACGACTTTGTCGCGTCACAGCACACGTTCTGGATACGCTTGAACTATTGCCGTCTCTAATGATCATGATAGTTCCTTTTCGTGATTGCTCTCATCCCCCATGAGCCTTGTTTCTAATCACGATGGATTTTTTCAGAGTGAGGCTGAACTGCATGGATCATTACCAAGCGACTCCCACGCATTACGACCCCCAACTACGTAATGATATCGATCCTGCACAAGCCAAAAAGGGCCCCAAGGTTCCAGTGATACGGATCTTTGGGTCGACAGAGACTGGCCAGAAGGTATGCGCTCATATTCACGGAGCTTTTCCATACCTATACGTGGAATACCAGGGTGGCTTAGAACCTGAGGAAGGTAAGTTGGACGAATATGCTACTCCAATTTGAGCTGACCAGGAAATAGTGGGAGCGTACATCTATAGACTGCATCTTTCTATCGATCATGCTCTAGCTGTTAGCTACCGGCGAAATCAGTACGGCGAAAATGCTAGATTCGTTGCGCGGATTACCCTTGTCAAGGGCATTCCCTTCTATGGGTTTCATGTTGGCTATAGGTTCTTCCTCAAGATCTACATGTTCAACCCCATAGTTATGACAAGATTGGCCGATTTACTTCAACAAGGTGTCATTTTGAAAAGGAAATTTCAACCTTACGAGGCTCATCTTCAGTACTTGTTGCAGTTTATGACGGACTACAACTTGTACGGCTGCGGCTATCTGGATGCGTCTAATGTCTGCTTCAGAAGCCCTGTTCCTTCTTATGATGAGGAAGGGAACTCACAGCACCTATGGCATGATCGATCAATTCCACAGGGCCGTGTTCTGGACGACCTTAACCTGCCTCGCGTCAGCCACTGCTCTATCGAAGTTGACATTTGTGTACAACACATAATCAATCGCCGCATGGTCAAAGAGCGAAGACTTCATCACGACTTCATTGAGCGCCTCAACCCGCTGCCAACAGATATGAAGTTAGTATACAGTATGGCCGGTTTGTGGAAGGACGAGACTCGTAGACGGAAGCTGAAGATTCCAAACGCGTCCCCCGGAAGCAGCCCCTTTCCAGCGGAAGTCTTAATCTCGATGTCTGCAAATGCACGCGACTCGCAACCACAAGGATGGATTCATGAGGAAGAGTATAAGGAAGAAATCGTTCGGATTATCGACGCCGAAAAGGAGGCTGACGGTCAAGGTGGGCCAACATTCGAGACGTTTGTCGAGCATGCGCCCCTGGAACCCACTGTAAAAACAGCGCTTCAGTCTGTAGAGGACTTGTATCCTGTGAACCTCCTGCCCGCTCTGGGTCTGCCTTCAAACCATGTCCCAACCGACCAGAACCCTGCGAGTAGCATCGAAGTCGATGAGCAGGGCGCGCTCAATCTGGGTGGCGATGGCTTTGATCTGTTTCCTGCAGATTCCGACGAGGATGCCCTTATTCAAATTGGAGAGGGTCGTTCCAAACATATGGACCGAGTCGATAGAGTAACTGAGACAGAGAAGCCCCAAGGCGGCCGACCAAAACCACATACAGACGATACAGGTTCCAAGGCCAACAAGAATACCAACAAGTCTACCCCTGGGATGTTGATCGATGATTCAATTGATCCCTCATCCTTGTTATACGAAGGCGTTTGCAGAAGTAGGTTAAAGACTGGCCGACAGTCGATAATGCCAGTATGGCAGGAGCTTCTCGACGCAGCTGAAGATGAAGGACTGGTATCCAAGTTTCGAGGAGGGCCACACACACCTGCAAATCAAACCATTCCAAAGAAGCGATCGGTATCGCCTCATCCGATTGTGCCTTCAACCAAGCGTTCTAGGACTAAACTTGAACAGCCATCAAATCTCACGTACCCTGCGCCTCATACTCTTCCAACTACATCGGTAGTCAAAGCAGAGGCTGTATCAGGAAAGCAGCAAGTAAAGATGTTACCATCTGATACTCACAATAACCCTCGGCTATCACAAAGTCTTACTGGAAAGCCGATGGCGAATCAACAATTATCCTTCCCGGTGGTAAAAAGCCAAGAGGATCCCACCACCAAGCTTCGATTGAGTCAAAACAGCCGACAGCAGGAGAGAAAGGACTCTCAGAAGCATGTGTCCTTCAGCGCCGTGCAGGAAGTTATTGGAACCAAGCTCGACTTGAATGAAACGCCTAAAAGGGTCCGCATTGCAACCCCAGTATCAAACTCGGATGAGGCAGAAACACAAATACATCGAGTACAGATAGCTCAGCGGGCATTTTCTAATAAGCGGCAGCTCTTGATCGGGACAATGCCTCCAAGATCTAAGGACATCATCTCAACGTTTAAAGACCTACATATCCCCGACGTCATCTATCAAGATGCATATTATAGTGAGGAGAAAGATGTCCCTGCTCGTCCAAGAGAATATGCCGGTCGAGAATTTCGACTAGAAAGTACTGCCCTTCCTTATCTTGCCGAATTCGATCATACTGGCACATCTGCCGCAAGTATGGGCATCAAGTCAGAAGCCCCGGTCGACAAGTCCAAAGCCGATCAGATTTATGAGATGCAAGGAAAGCGGTGCTCCTATCGAAGCTGGGAGATAGCTCAACCACCCCCGACTGCCAAAGAGGTCAGAGATTGGTGGGACAACAAGCACACCATGCGGAAGAGCAAAGCCGGCGTTAACGGACAACTCTCAGGAAGCACACAAGCTTCTAAACGTTATCTATCTCAAATCGACGGCCCAACGCCAAAGAACAAGCATGGGTTCAAATACTCGCCAAAGAAGAAATCAACGGGCGTCAAACACGAGGCACAGTACATGAGTACTATGGCTTTGGAAGTCCATGTCAATACGAGAGGCAAATTTGTTCCAAACCCAGACGAAGACGAAGTTCAATGTATCTTTTGGTCTATCAAGGCAGATAGTACCATAAGCGCCAGTCAAACTACAGATGGAGTCATCGCCGGAGTGGTAGTTTTGTCGCCAGACGGTGCTCTAGCTGAACGGATGAGGCGATATATCTCTGCAGAAGTTCTGGAAGAATCTTCTGAACTCGACCTTATGGTTCGCATGGTGGAGATAGTCAGGGTACATGACCCCGACATATTGACGGGTTATGAAGTTCATGGCAGCTCTTGGGGCTATCTTATTGAGAGAGCTCGTCTGAAGTATGACTACGATCTCTGTGATGAGTTCTCTCGCATGAAAAGCAACTCGCATGGCCGAATCGGGAAAGAAAATGATCGCTGGGGATTCAACACAACCTCAACAATTCGTGTTACCGGTAGACACATGATTAACATCTGGCGAGCGATGCGGGGAGAGCTGAATCTTCTTCAGTACACAATGGAAAACGTTGTATGGCATGTCCTACATCGACGTATCCCTCACTACTCTTGGAAGACCTTGACAGAATGGTACAAGAGTAACAGACAACGAGACCTCGACAAGCTTTTACGTTACTACCTTGCACGGACACGCATCGATATTCAGATCTTGGAGCGCAACGAGTTGATTCCTAGGACAAGCGAACAAGCAAGGCTCCTGGGTGTCGACTTCTTCTCCGTCTTCTCCCGAGGTTCCCAATTCAAGGTGGAGTCAATCATGTTCAGAATTGCCAAACCAGAAAACTTTATGCTCGTCTCTCCAAGCAGGAAACAAGTTGGAGGTCAGAATGCCCTCGAGTGTCTCCCACTTGTCATGGAGCCTCAAAGTGCCTTCTATAATAGCCCTTTGCTGGTACTTGACTTTCAAAGTCTTTACCCCAGCGTAATGATTGCTTACAATATCTGCTACTCAACGTTTCTCGGTCGCATTGTCAACTGGAGAGGGATGAACAAAATGGGGTTCACAGAGTATCAAAGACACAAACGGTTGCTTGAACTCCTCAAGGATCACATCAACATCACTCCGAACGGGATGATGTATGTAAGGCCGGAGATTCGCAAGTCTCTACTGGCTAAAATGCTAGGCGAGATCTTGGAGACTCGAGTAATGGTCAAGAGTGGGATGAAGCAAGACAAGGACGATAAGACATTGCAGCAGCTGCTTAACAACCGGCAGCTTGCACTCAAACTTCTCGCCAATGTCACTTACGGCTATACGTCTGCGTCGTTTTCTGGCCGGATGCCATGCTCCGAGATTGCAGACAGCATCGTCCAGACAGGCAGAGAGACGTTAGAGAGAGCCATTGCGTATATTCATTCGCAAGAACGATGGGGCGCTGAAGTTGTCTACGGCGATACGGACAGTTTATTTGTCTACCTCAAGGGCCGAACCAAGGACCAAGCTTTTGATATTGGCAACGAAATCGCCAAAGCCATCACGAACATGAATCCCAGGCCGGTTAAGCTCAAGTTTGAGAAGGTGTACCACCCGTGCGTTCTTCTTGCTAAGAAGCGTTACGTCGGCTATAAGTACGAGAGCAAAGACCAAGTCAAACCTGACTTTGATGCCAAAGGCATAGAAACTGTTAGGCGAGATGGGACCCCCGCAGAGCAGAAGATCGAAGAGAAGGCACTCAAGATTCTATTTGAGACAGCAAACCTTAGCGAAGTCAAGTCGTACTTCCAGTCACAATGCGAGAAGATAATGCGAGGTTCAGTCTCGATCCAAGACTTCTGCTATGCTAAGGAGGTTAGGCTTGGGTCTTACAGCGAGAAAGGCCCGCCACCGCCCGGAGCCCTGATCAGCACAAAAAGAATGCTCGAAGATGCCCGGGCGGAGCCACAGTACGGGGAGCGAGTACCATATGTCGTGATTACAGGCGCTCCTGGCGCACGCTTAATCGACCGTTGTGTTGCTCCAGAAGACCTCCTCAATGACTCGCACTCACAATTGGATGCCGAGTACTACATCTCAAAGAATCTGATACCGCCGCTGGAGAGGATCTTCAATTTGGTAGGGGCCAATGTGCGGCAATGGTACGATGAGATGCCCAAAGTGCAGCGAATTCGTCGCGTAGACCAAACACTCGGGGCTGGTTTGACTAAAAAGACACTAGAGTCTTATCTGAAATCAGCATCCTGCATTTCATGCAATGTCAAAATGCAGGTGGAGGGTGTCCTGTGCTCTAGGTGCCAGCAGGACGCGCCGTCGTCACTGTTCAACCTTCAGATGCGGTTGAACCAAGAAGAGAGGAAGTATATGGACGTTGTCAAAATATGTCGAAGTTGCGCGGGAATTCCTGCAACAGACGAGGTCCCTTGTGACAGCAAAGACTGTCCCGTATTTTATTCACGTGTCAAGCAAGGCGCGAGATTGAAAACAGAGAAGAGCGCATTGGACCCAGTCATTCGAGACTTGGTGCTTAAAGCAGGGAAGGTAGCATTGGATTGGTGAGGCAATTTGTTTTGATTAAGATACCTGATTGTATTGGAGGTTTGCTTCCTTTTTGGGGGGGCGTTCTTGGATGCAGGATAATGAAACGGTTCGGTTGATTACAAAGGCCTTTGATGGATAAAGAGGAATGATGTCATGTTTGACCTAGCTACTGTTTTTGGCTGATCCGCCCAAAGTCGGAAAATAGCTAGAGGCTAGGCGGACACAAAGCTGTTCAGCCAGGTGTCAGACTATCGGGGGCACTAATACGTGTTATTGATCTCAGATAGAATTGAAATGAGGGCGATTTTAACAGCAAAATCATCCTTCAGCCGCCGTCCTAGTGGAAGATGCTCGCTGCTCAGTGACCTCACCGTCGCCAGGGATCCCATATCTAGCGTTTCTCGCGGGGTAAACAGGGATCTTGCCACCGATCCGACAGGTACTGGCACAGCGGTCTGCGGGTCATTCGGCATCTTTCAGGCTCTCAATGCGCTAATGGTCTCACTAGCTGCCTTGCGTCTCCACACAAGGTCAACCTGAGAACGCCCTCATAGGACGATAGTTCAGCTGTGCAGCGTCCGCGAAGCTTGAGGGACCGCCTATTTGGGTGCTATCGCTGCCCGTCCCGTACTGCCCGCTGCGGCCAGCTGTCATGACGGTACGCTCCATCACATGACGCTGTTCGAGCAATCCATTGGACGCCAAAAGTTCAATGTGACTTGTGTATGTGTGTGTACCATTCTTACCTGATCCATTCTCGATCCAGAAGCCAAGACCTAGAACCCGTGTGGGATTTCCGTCCACTTTTCAAAAAGTTGCAGAGGCGAGCTTTTGCCTATTTGCTTTTGTTCTGAAACAAGAGCTCACCTCCCGCGACCGCCGAACAACACGATCCCGAGAATCCCGTCACGTAACACTCGACACCTAAGCGCCGATGCTCCCACCCAAACCCCTCCACTTGCTCCTGCCCATCTGCTAGCAGCACTGCAGGTAGTGCCGCCGCGCGAAAGAGGAAAGCCTAGGAGAAAAAAAAAAAAAAGAAGCGATGGGGGGCTGGACCGGCTTCTTGTTTACATATCTCCTAGGAGGACTGACCTTCATACCCTTGGTCATCGTTGTCGTATTGGCACATGCGTACCTGACCCTTCCTTACCGACAAGATGTTGACACGGGTCTTGGAGATGAGGGCGGTCAGAACTCTGTTGTCCAGCCTGGCGATGATCTTACATCACTCGAGGCCGTAAAGGCCGCCGAGAAAGAAGACGCGGCGACGAAGCGCCCGACAGCCCAAGATAACGACGTGGCGGCGGGGTATTTCGCCGTTTGTCGTGAATATACACCCATGGGGATCAACGCGAAGCCCATCGAGCGAGCCACCCCGACCGGGTCGACAACTGTCGCCGCACCGAGCCAGAGTGTCTACCAGACCATGTACAGGAGCATTTTTGAGCGGAAGCCAACACCAGGGCCCTTGGATAATAAAAATGGCTTGAGCCAGCGTCCCAAAAATGCTGGCAACGTCTTCTATGTTGTGCTCAGGTTTGTTTACTCTGTGATGCGCCCGATAATCTTGACTAACAAACTGCAGGCATGGTCATTTGATGCTCTTCGATGACGAGGAGCAGATTGAAGTCCGGCATGTTGTTTCGTTGGCGCACCATGACATCAGTATATACTCGGGGGGAGACGTGACGCCAGAAGGTGAACTATACATCAAGAGGAACGCGCTTTGCTTATCAAGGAGACCGGATGGCCCAGAGATTGGCCCGGACAGTCAGCTCTCGAAACCGTTTTATCTCTTCTCGGAAAATTGTTCAGCCAAGGAGGACTTTTACTTCGCGCTCCTGCGCAATCAGGAGCAGACGTTTGGGTCCGAGCGAAAGGCGCCTAAGCCGAAGCAGTTTGAGGTCAAAAACATCATATCTCTGGTCCAGAAGCTGCACTCGTCAGAGGAGCACCTATCGACGCGATGGCTGAACGCGATGATTGGGCGGGTGTTCCTCGGAATCTACAAGACCGCGGATCTAGAACACCTCATTCGGGAGAAGCTCACTAAGAAAATAGCCAGGGTCAAGCGGCCATCATTCCTCACCAATATCGCTATCCGCGGGATCGATACTGGCGAATCAGCTCCTATAATCACTAACCCCCGTCACAAGGACTTGAACGTGGAGGGAGAGTGTATGATGGAGGCAGACATACGGTATACTGGAAACTTCCGAATTGAGGTTGCCGCCACTGCACGTATCGACCTTGGATCGCGCTTCAAGGTTCGTGAGGTTGATCTCGTTCTCGCCGTGGTTCTGAAGAAACTGGAAGGACACATGTTCTTCAAAATCAAGCCACCACCAAGCAATCGAATTTGGCTCTCTTTTCAAAGCATGCCCAAGATTGAAATGACAATCGAGCCGATTGTCAGCGCTAGGCAGATTACATACACCATTATTCTGCGACAGATTGAGAACAGGATAAAGGAGGTTATTGCCGAGACATTGGTGCAGCCGTTCTGGGATGATATGCCTTTCTTCAATACGGAACACAAGAAGTGGCGAGGCGGAATCTGGGAGGACGACAATGCAGTCAACGGCTCGCCGACCGCGGAGGCTCATATCCCACATGAGGGCGACGTTGATGGAATTGACCACGTTGAGGAAACAGTGGACATGCAAAACGTCATGAGGCCTTTCGAAAAGAGTCACAGCATGCCAATAGTTGAGAACTCGCCTCCTACAGGCTTATTCGGCAGAAAGATCCAAGCCAACAAGACGCTGAACAGCCCCTTGAACAGCTCCTCTACGAGCGTCGACGTCTCGGGCTCGCCTACGTCTGCAACAGCTTTGCCTCGACCACTTAGATCACCCTCCGTGTCGAGCCCAGCGAACCCTGTCGTTGGGACCGATGCGGCCCATGCGGACATGTTCAAGCCGTCGACTTCGCCGTCGGAACATGCATCCAGCATGATGGCGGCATTATCAGCAAAGTCGCAGAACAGTTCACCAGTAGTGACACCTCTCGAGACCCCCGCAAGGCCGGCGCCCGCCGCCAAAGCACCAAGCCAGACCTCTACATCGTCCCGCGAGGCCACAGATAACGAGAACGAGTCTGACCGAACACCGGTGGTTAAAGGACGACGAAGCACAAACTCATCCGCCGAATCGATACGGGTACATGAGTCAACCGACCCAAGCTCACCGACTTCGTCAACAAGGTCAGCTTCAGTTAGAAGTACCACGGGCTCAATCTCGAAGGGGCTGTTCAGGCGAGACACCTCAGGAAGCACAGTCTCCGGCGCATCGACAAACGGCGAGACGAAACGCGCCACGACGACCCTCGCGGCTGTCGCAAATGCAGCGGTCACGGCGAGGCAATGGGGTTGGAATGCGCTGCAAAAGCACAAGGACGCGAAGAACGGCAATACGGCAGATCACAACTCCCCAGTGGACCTGAACCAGCCGATGGGACGAGGTCGGCCCTTGCCACCTCCCGGCACCCCACTACCGCCCCCCGAAAGGGGTTCAAAGGTCACTACGATCCCCGTGCCCAAGCGTGTGATCGTGCCCCCGCCCAGTATGCCAGAGCGACCGCATTCGGCCGCACTGGCGGAAAGCAAAACGGAGCGCAGGCCAGTGCCGCCTCCGCCCTTGCCATCGCGGCGTCATATAGACAGCAGCACCAATGACGGCGGTGAGAACATGTTGGTCGTCGAAGCACCTCTTGACTCTGAACCGTCCACGCCAATGGAGGAGAACATTCCCCAGCCGACATACACCCAACCATGGGTTGAAGAAACCGACGACTACGAGGAATCTCCATCCATAGGCCCCCAATATCGTCACAGCAGCAACACCAGCGAGAAAACAAGCCGGACCCCTCCGCCCTTACCCCAACGACGGGCCGAGGAGGATAGCCCTATCGAGTCGGTCCCAATCCATGTAGACGATGACGATGATTACTCCGCTTGGATGGATGATACCAATGAAACATTCGAGAACGAGAACAGGAAGCCAGGCACCACGGTCTAGGGCGATGGAACTAATGTGACTTGATGCGACGACTAGGAGTTGGTTGAACTTATTCCTGTTTTGGTCATTTTTTGTCTTTTTTTTCCCCCTCGTTTGGTCTTTGCATCAGACACTATGAGGATTAAGCTCGGGATAAAGGGAATGGGACGGGGAGTTGAATTCAGGATACCATGATTATTACCAACAGCATACATCCGGGGGGGCCGACCCTACCTACATATTTGCCGGCGTCACAGACTGGAGTATATTTATTACTTTTTTTTCTTTTTTTCCTGTACATAAGATTTGGTACTCCTCGGGCTGAGAATTTTCATAAAAAATGAGAAAGAGGAAGACGTCCGCTTTCAATAATTATAAACATCACGAGTAGTATATGCGTGTAACGTGCCATGCCTCCGAACTGGACCCTTCCCCCCATGTGTAGAAAAATCATCATTTTCTCAGATCCGACCGAGATTAGTCGCGTTCCAGAAGGGGGGGGGGGGGGTTCGAGTCTAACTTGAACCGTTCAAAACTACTAACACCGTGAATGACATGGGAGAGAGTGTTTGTTTGACCAAACCCCCATCACCCCCGCCATCGTTCAACAAAGGAAAACGGCGCCGAGGATGTGTGGCCTGGACTTGCGCACGTGTCGAAGCCCGCGCGCGGGATGACCCTAGTTAGGAAGAAAAGGGTTCTTTCTCATTTAATTAATCACACAACCAACCCCAGGAGTGACCACGCTTTTTTTCCCCCCGAGTCAAGTGTTCACGCTAGAGGGAGAGAGACACGCACGAAAAGGGAAAGCGCCAAAATGCATTAAAGGGCAGAGAGCAATTTTAAGCATTACCATCTACACAACGCTCCCAGTCGACTCCTCCCTCCGTTTCTTTCATTCCCGGAAAAAAAAGAGGAGTGACCTGATAATACGAACAAAGAAAAAGGGGATTTGAGAGTTTTTTTTTTTTGAAAATAAATAAGATAAGGAAAAAAGGTTACATAATGACTGGAGTTTTTTGGTGCCAACAAGAGACAGAGGTTTTCTAACGTTTAGAAAAACAGACTTCCCCAATTGCGGTTTGGTACATTTGTAAGTGCCATGCTTTCCCCCCGATTCGCCACGCCGGCTGTTAAAAATAGCTCGGCAAGTTTGATTACCCCATGCAAACAATGACAGGTTGCTCCCGGTAATACAAAGAGATACATGAAAAAGGAGCCAGCATGAACCATATATATTGTGGTTGGTTGGCGCGGTCGGGGTTTGGTTTGGTTTGGTTTAGCAATAGTAAAAGTGTTGATCACGTCAGACGACGAGACGCGCAAAGGAAATTTGGTCGTAGGACGCGGTGTCCTGGATGCAGTCGTAAGTGATTAGGTTGAATACGAAAGGAGATGGGGCCTGAGGGCTCTAGCAAAGGCGCGGGGCAATCCTAGGCAAGTGGACGGCAAGGAGAATATTGTCATAGACGTCGTGATCCGTTGCGTGACAGCGAATGATCATGAGTGGGGATGGTCCCCCGAGCCATATTTCGGCTTTAGCGAGTGGGTTTGAAGTGTGCTTCATTGCTTTTAAATTACTTGAGAAGACTGTTCAACAGTCGCATGGAGATGTCGATGGATTCACAAATCACCACCTCAAGCTCGCGACTTCAAGGTGCTCATGGGTGTGGCCGCAGACGGTCCAGAGTGAGAGTGAGTGTGGGAGCCAGAATGACGACTCTTCTTAGGGTGGTGGTGGTGGAGAGTACCGACGTCGTGCTTGCCTGTACCAGTTGTTAGCATCACTGCTTGTCAAACACCAATAACAAGATAAAGTCTTACCGTCGCAGCAGGCGCGCACGTTCTCCAGTCGGTCTGCGTCCCGGTCTTGCCTCTCAATGATTTCACGGACGTCTTCTGCGCTATCATGTACCTCGCTGGCCTCATAGATGCTCGAGTTTGGCCCAGCCCCGCTGCGGCTCCTCAGAGTCGACAGGGTGTTGAAGTAGCCGCTGATCCTTCCCAGGGTTCCGATAGAAGGCCTTTGGGTCTGTTGCTTGTTGGGGGTCAATGTGGGGACATTCATCGACATATCAATCGCCGGAGACTGGTTACGAGTAGTTCGTGAGTTGTACGAGGACAAGGATGGCGGTGGTCGTGGTCGAGCCGTCGAGTTATTGCGGCGACCAAACTGGGGGTTAAACTCATCCACATCGGCCTGTGTGATATGGCCCGCCATTTCCTCGACATCGGACTGGCCTTCGTCGGCTGTACGAAGCAAGAGATAAGACAACGCATTAAACCATGTCTCGTGTCGCTGACCAGTCGTGCAAGTGAACTTGATCGTTCTGCCAGGGGAAATGACGATCAAACTCTTGCGATGGAGGCCAGGGGGCATCGGGTTGTCGTCCGTTACCACGCGGACAGCCTCAATGGGAACACTCTTGCCACGGAGCTCAGATCGGCCGGCAGTCGCCGGGTCACGGTCACTCCAGTACAGGGTGCGAGTGTAAGGGTGGACCCAGAAGTACCGTCTATGTCTGAAGTCGGAGATCTCCCCTCGTCCAGCCTTGCGGGTGTACTTCCACAGGTATTCACCGATCATGGTCTGAGTAATTGCCTGGATCATGCGGGGATCGGTGTTGGCACCAAAACCAGACACGTCCACGCCGCCCAACTCGTTACGAGGGTTGAAGCGATTATCGATTTCGGAGACAAACGAAGATACCGACGACTGTCTGCTCACAGCCGACAGCTTAGTCGGAGACTGGACCTCAGCAGTTCCGTACGAGGCCCCAGCCCGGCCCATGCGAGGAGTAGCCGAGTTCTTGGTAGAGATTGAAAGCGGAGATTGCGGTCTCGCGCCGTTGGGAGTCTGCGGCCGTTGGTTCCTCATAGCAGAAGCGGGCCACAGAGGAGGGCCCATAACCGACGCGCTTCCCTGCGATGATCCAGTTCTAGCTGCCTCAATAACCTCCTTGTGGTTAGAGGGCAGAGGCGGGAGAGGCTGGTTAGGCGCGCGGCTGCTGTTAGCACTGCCTGGCCTCTGTGACAGATCCACCTTCTGCTCGGTGGAGATACTGCTGAGGCTGTCGTGAGATGGGCGGCGAATGCGAACGGTGCCAGGGGTGCTGGGGGTACCGATGCTGCTACCCGCAGGCAGTGACTTGTCCCTGGATGAATCGACAGGCTTAACCTTTGCCAGGAGCATTTGGTCGATCGCCTCCGCAGTCAAAGAAGTCTGAGCACCATTGTCGGTTGTCTGCACTGTAACCTTGCGAGCAGGTCTGCCATTGGCGTTGGTCGAGATTTCCTTGAATGGTCGCTGAGACTCAGGGGTCTCAGATTGTCGGACTTCGCTGGGGGATTGTCTAGTCTCGTCCTCCGCAATAACCGGACTGGCCGGAGCCTTGTTCTTTCCGCGACCAAAGACAGAGCCAAGCAGAGCGTTCCTGTTAGGCGTCCTTGGCGCATCCTCCTCATCGAATGGTGATTCCAGGTCTTGAGGGATGATGAAAGCATCCCGTTTGGGGCTGCGAGGAGAAATCGGCTGGGTTTCGATCGACTCAATATTCGAGAAAGCGAAGTTCGGCTTAGGAATCACAACCTCAGGCGACTGAACTGGCTCAACCTGTTGAGACAGAAGAGCGGAGTACTCCAAGGGGGGAACAGGCTCAGCCTGGGGCTCGACAAATTCGGAGTGAATGTTGGAGTAGGCGAGAATCGTAGGAGGTACGGAGATCTCAGGCTCTTCCTTGGGCTCGATGTTCTCAGAGGCAATAGACGAGAGACTAAGTGCGGGTGGCGGCGGTGGCAACACCTCCGGCTCTGCTTGAGGCTCAATGTTCTCGAATGAGAAGGAAGACAGGGTGAGGGATGGAGGGAGCTCAGCCTTCGGCTCAATGTCTTCGAAGGCAATCGGTGTGAGACTGAGAAGAGGCTTGGGCTGAATAACTTCTTCCTCCTCCCGCGGCTCAATGTTCTCGGCTGCGATCGACGAGAATGAGAGCGAGGGCACCTCTGGAACAGGTTCAGGTTCTGCCTTGGGCTCCACGTTCTCCGCCACAATGGTCGATAGGCTAAGAGCAGGGGGCAAGGTCTCGGGCTCTGCTCTAGGCTCAAGGTTGTGCGAGCAAAGTGCAGATAGGCTAAGAACAGGCGCCGGCTGGATGACCTCAGGTTCAGCCTTGGGCTCGACACCTTCAGAGGTAATCGAAGAGAGGCTGAGAGTTGGTAGTGATGCCGGAACGGGCACTGGTACTGGCAAGGCCAGCGCAGCCTTAGGCTCAGGTTCGGCCCTGGGTTCAATATCCTCAGACACGAGCGCCGATAGGGTGAGTTCGTGCACTGGAGACACCACTTCGGGCTCGGCAATGGGCTCGAGATTATGCGACTGCAGAGCAGAGAGGCTAAGAGCCGGAAGAGGAACCTCGGGCTCGGCAACTGGCTCGAGGTTGTGCGAACACAGAGTTGAAAGACTGAGAGCCGGAGGGGGCACTTCGGGCTCTGCAATGGGCTCAATGCTGTGAGCTTGCAGCGTCGATAGACTAAGCGTAGGGGGCGGCACCTCTGGCTCTGCCACAGGTTCAAGGTTGTGGGCTTGCAGGGCCGAGAGGCTCAGAACTGGAGGTGGTACCTCTGGTTCAGCCTTGGGCTCCACAGCCTCAGAAAGGAATGAAGAGATGCTCAGCGTCGGTGGAGGTACTTCAGGCTCAGCCTTGGGCTCAACAGCCTCCGAGACAAGAGGGGTGTAAGCCAAGGTAGGTGCCGGGGGTACGATCTCAGGTTCGGCCTTGGGTTCGACAACCTCAGACACAATTGATGTCATGGTGAGCGGAGCCGGAGCCGGAGGAGGCGTCACAGGCTCGATAACGGGCTCAATATCCTGAGCATCAATTGGAGACATGCTAAGCTCAGGAGGCGGTGGCAGAACAAACTGCGAGAGAGTCGACGGTGGCATGGGGAACTGTGCCAGCTTGTCGTCCATGCTGTACTGGGCACCAGCATCGCTGTATGACACAGTGGACAGCGGCCGAGAGTTGAATCCCTCGGACATCTGGTTCGCAGCAGCCATGGAATCCAGCGACACGGCGCGGTCATCAACCATAACGCTGACAGGTGACAGCGGAGGAGATTCAACAATGGGGTCTGTCATGACGCCTGCGTCCACCATGGTAGGCTTTGGTGCTGCCGCGGCCTTCTTGACTGGGTCCGTCATGATGCTACTGTCGACGGTGTCGGCTTGAGACAGCGAGGGAATAGTCGTTGCGGATTGAGAGACCTCCGACTCAGCACCAGGTGTCGCGGACCTAGTGTGGCTAGGTGTGCCTTCGACCGATTCAGCGTCGCTGTTCTCGAGCTCAGCAAGCTCGGCGAACAAGCTCTGACCACCAGGCTGGGGCGTTCCAACAGCGCTGCCCATAGCAGCACTGCCCGGGCTGCTCTGGAAAGCCGCTTCCTCGCTCACTTGCCTTGACCTACGGTTGATAAGACCTCGGCTGAGCTTTACGCGCATACGCTGGTGTGAATGCTGCGAAGTCGGGGTGCGGATGTACTCAACATAATCGTCGTCCTCGTCAGCTGAGGTGGAAGCAGTGCTGTCGTAAGAGTTGCGGCCACCGCCAAGCCCCAGGTTCTGGGCACGAAGCTCCCGGCCTTTAGACGGGCTCATCTCTGTTTCTGTCTCTGAGTCGGAGCCAGAGATATCCTCGGCACCTGTCTGGAAGTCTTCAGTCTCGGTTCCCCGCTCATTCGCAGTTTCAAAGGCAGCATCACTGGTCTCGTTGGCTGTCTCAAAGTGGTCGCTGGTATCTGTAAATTGAGGTCTGTAGCTGCTACCAGGTCTGCGGACGGTCGAGGTCGAGTGGGCGGTTGGTGAGGTTCTAGGGCTGCCAATTTCTGTGGCTTCTTCCCATTCAGGGTCCTCCGTGTATACCTCGTTTCTGCTGTGTCGGTGGCCTCCAAGTAAGCCGCGGGAAGGCTTCTTGAACTCTCTGGACTCGACCTTGCGGTTACGGCGAGCAGGCGCAGGAGCAGCGTCGGTGCGCAGCTTCTCCAGCTCGTCGCGAGTATCTTGGAGCAGTCGCTTAAGCTCGAGCTTCTCGGTCTTTTCACGGTGGATGACGGTCTTCTGACTCTGGATGGTACGCTGAGCATGCAGCAATGAGCTCTTGAGAGTCTCTGACTCCAGCATAGCATGGCGAGGGGTTCCCTTGATGGGAGACGGAGGTGGAGAGTGCTCGGGCGTGAAACCATCTGCGGCAGACTCGAGGTCTTCATCACTAATGCCACGGCCGAAATCGCGGTCAGAAGTACGACCACGCTGGGATGAGATAGCTCGGGCAAGCTCCTGGTTCTGGTTCATCAACTCATCAACCTTGCGCTGCAGTGCGTTCCTCTCGGTCTCTGCGACAGCGGCATTCTTCTTGGCTGTGGTTAAGTCCAAGTCAAGATGCCTAGCGAACCGTTCTTGCTCTTCGGCGAGCTTGGCCAGAGACACTTTGGCCTCATCGAGCTCCTTTTGCGCCGAGTTCTTCTCTGCTTGCAGCACGTTGAGACTTTGCGTCAATCTCTTCTCACGATCCGCAGCATCCTTCTGAGAGGCGATCAAATCGTGTATTTGGGTTTCCAAGTTCCAGTTTTCGTCCTTGTACCTGTTCTCGCTTTCATCGAGGGCCTTAACACGCTGCTGGAAGCTCTCGGTTTCGAGTTCTAATCTTGACTTATCGACTTTGATATCGCGGAGCTCCTCATCCTTCTCGGCAAGGAGAGCTTGAAGGTTTCGAACCTGGGCGATCAGCGAAGTGCTGATTTCGGCAGCGAATTCGATATCGTGAATGCGGCTGGACGGCTGATTGCGGACTTTGCGATTTGGCACACTCAGCTTCGAAGGCGACCCGGTGGCTTGACTCTCAAACTTGGAAGGGCTGACGGAGCGCTATAATTTCAAAATTAGTGCCTGGACGCAGAATTCTGCAGGCGAAAACTTACTCTTCCAATCTTTCCATCAGGGACGTAGGGTGAGCCTCCCGCAGCTTCGTTGCTGGGAACTCTCTGTTTGGGCAGGAAGGCCCTTGCAGTCTCTCTGGCGACATCATTGAATTCCTTTTCGATCTCGACGAGCTTTGCGCGCAGATCAGGTGTAAGTTCTCCTTCGGTTTGCAGGTCTTCGACCTCCTTTAATCGCTCGGCCAACTCCTTGCGCTGCTGAACAAGAGCTGTTCCCAGCTTTCCGGCTTCATCTAGGCGACGTTCGGTATCGGCAATGTGTGCTTGCAGGGCACGCTTGGCCTGATCTGGGGATGCGCCGGAGCCGAGGGCAAAGAACTGGCTGTCGTAGCCCGAGTATCGCTGGTTGGCGGGACCGGGCGGGGAGACGAAAGGGTCGTTCGCATCCGCATCAGCGGGCGCCAGATGGGGTTTATCGACGGCGAGTGAAGTAGCCATGTTGGTGGTAACGATGGGGGGGATGCGCCGCCGTTAAATGCGTTGCGGCAACATCCAGTGCAATTGTTCGCAGTATATCGTGGGGTGGCCTCAATCTGTTGTGGGTTGTGTCGCGATCGGTAGTCGAATCACGGCCAAGCTCAAGCAATTATGCGAAGAGGATGAGGTAATGTCTTCTGCAGATGGGAGCGCGGGGGCGTGCAGAGCCGGCTGCCGTCTACAGAAGCAGATGTCGCCACGAATACACACAAGAGAGTGTGAGAAGGGGAAAAAAAAACGAGGTGAGGCGATTGCGGTCGCCGTCGGATGGTCGAAAACGGAAAGAGAAAATGAGGTGCGAAGGGGGGGGAGAGGTGATGTTTTTTGTTGACTTGACTTTTGTTATTTGTTTCCCCCCAGACACACAGGCTGTGTTGTTGATTGGAATGCGTTCTCAGTGGTCGATCCCGCTCTGGGGTTGTGTGATCGAGCCGCCGGCCAGAAATGGGCTACGCAACCAGCTACGAGGGCCAGAGAAGGCAAGGTAGTGCCTGTCGGGTCTGTTGTTTGGCTCAGAGCCAGCTGCACGGAAGATGCAGCTAAAGGATGGGACGGGGTTGTGGGATGAGCTAGACGCGCCCGCACCTGCCTTGTTGCTGCACTAGAACGTCAGGTCCCGGTGGATTTGGGTGGGCTGTGGTCGTCGTATTTTGTTGCTTTCTCCCCACACACAGACACACTCTCTTTTTTTGGTGTGTGAGTATGGGATGAGCGGAAGAGAACCGGGCGACGAGGAGGTCCAAGAAAAGGCTGGTCAAACGAAGGCCAGGGGTTTGTTGGCGGGAAGGAAAAGATGGAATAAAAAAAGAGACAATGAGAAGTAACGGCGATAATAAGACAATAGTATTATTAGGGAACGGGTCTGCCGTTTCCCGTAGTCTCGGTTGGGGAGGGCGAGCGATACCAGGTAAGAAAAAGCAAGAGAGCTGGCGTGTTGGTGGGAGAGCAAGGTCTCAGTTCTCAGTCCCCGGGAGCTAGGGGAGTTGATTATTGCACTTGATTATGAAGCGATAAAAATGCGCTGCAACACAAATGCAATACAGTATACGAAATAGCTGTAGGCGGAGGGGGTAAAGGACTGGACAGGACACCGTTGGTGACTGACTCTGACTCTATCTTTGGCTTCTGGTTGGATGCTCGCAAGGTCGCAAATCGGTCGGTTGATCGGTCGGAAACGAATGAGGAGTACGGCGGGCGACGGCGCACAACAACAAGAGTCGCGCGAAAAAAAGAGGGTAATGAAAGTGAGAAAGTAAAGAATAACAAAAAACAACTGAACAGGTAAAGAAAGGTGGTAGTGAGGGAATAAGGTCGGGTAGATGCAGGTAAGATACCTGTAGGTTGGCGGCCAAAAGGTAGGGAAGGTGGGAGTAAACTGCAACGCGCGTAGATAAAAGCGACGTTGGGGGGGAGAAAGGGCAATGATGTATGGCAGAATAAGAAAAAAAAAGACGGAATGACAAGAAGGGTAAATTAAAACAAAAAGTCCCGAACCAGCATCAGCATGGGAATAAAAATTAAAAAAGAGCGAAACAAAGCCAGAGATTGCTACGTCTCTCACTCGTTTCCCTTCTTTTCTTCTTTCTTCTTCTTCTCTCTGCTGGTCTTCGCTCACGGGTGTCAAATCGACTCGCGAAGAACGAGTACAAATTGGTGACCCGGAAAGGAAGAAGAGGGACGCAAAAGTGACGCGGTCGCGGTTGTCGGCGTCGGCGTCGGCACGAGAATAAGAGGAGGGGGTGGAGGGAGAGGGAAAGGAGGGAGAAGGGGTTAGAGAGGAGAAAGAATGGGAGACAGAGAGGGTATTGAGAATGTTTTTTGTTCTTTTTTCCTAATTCCCCTCGTCTTTCCCCTACCGCAAACTGGATCCAGACCAGGACTGGATAGGACGGGACCCAGTAGATGAGGTTTTGACGAGAGGAACCATCATCTCCTCTCTCCCCGTCCCTAGCCAGAGCAAAGCCCCATCTCATGTTCCTGTTCTTGAGCCTGAACCTGTCCTCCTTGCCTGTCCATGCCTGTCTGTGGCCCAGGGTATTTGCAGGGTCTCCAATGAACCCAGGTCTCCACGGTGGAGCTGTGAAGGCCTGTAAGGCACTATGGTATGCGTAGCGAACTATGTGGTCTGCTATGTATGACTGTGCAAGTCAGCAGCCCGGGTACCTTGCATTTGTGGGCTCTTCGGCGGGAAGGTAAGGATACGTAGTCCGTTGACTCTGGTAATTTTTTTAATGCTTGAGTGAGGCGGTTTAGAAAGGTGGCCTGGCTTGCATCGCTTTCAATAATTCCTCTCATCAAAGCTAGCTATTGCACCGCCCAGCCATCTCCAGCTAAGGTAAGCTAAGCTAACACTACTTGCTACGTGGATTACTACTACCTACTGATATGGCCACAACTTGTGCTCAAAGCTCCCCACGCCAAGTGTGACTTTTGCTCATTTGTACGTACTTTGTAGTATCCCTCTCCCTTTAACCAGGCCCAGCTTCCCAGAACCAAGCTACAAGCTACAAGCTACCCTGGCCACCCACTGGTCACTCGTTTCCGTTCATCGTCATCGTCGAAGCTAAATGTAGCTCAGCTCTCCTCTTCTGGAAGCCTTCAATTTCACCGTACCTTAGCGAAGGCTTCCCGGATCCATTCAGCGAGACAATGCGAAGCCACCGTGACGACTGCTGCAGGGACACGGGAATGGGCAGATCAGATTGTAATTCCCTTTCGTCCACTGTGACTGTGTGCCACGGTACGGAGACGAGATGGGCCAGACCAGACACATTAGACAAATACAGTCAGATAAGCCCCCCTAACTGCGCGCAGCACAGCTCCTGCACACTACTGCGCACTGCGCTTCTCAGGTGCCTTTACCTACATGCCATGTATGCAGTCCTAAGTCAACCCCATTATGGGATGTGTTTTACGATGGCTTCATGCATCATCGAGGGGTGATCTCTCTACTCATTCGTCCAATCTTTTTTTTGTTTCCCTCAGAATCAGACACTTTTTTTTGGAGCTGTTTGTTTACATATTTGCATCTGTGGCCAATCCGAAAGTCCAAATTCAACAACACAACCTCATCCTCGCACACAAACCTTTACCCCCGCCATCTTTGTCCTCAACACCCCCAAAGGCCAAGTCATCAAATTATGTAGCTTTACGGAGCATTTTCATCCCCGCGAAGAGAGGCCCCCAAGCCTTCTTTCCCCAGCATGGCCACTTATGCAAGCAATCCGTCGTATCGCATCACATCGCATGGTATCGGCAAGGCATAACCCATACATTGCTCACTCCTTCCCCGCCAATCCATACCGCCATATCACATTGATACAAAACAAAAACACGCGAGCCTATGTTTTTGTCTGCTGGCCACAGCCCGCATAACTTTGGCCAATTTTAGTCCAGCTCCACATGATTTCGTGCTAACCTATCCTGGCCGTGCACCCCTGTCAGGTCACTCGTAATGCCCCTGCCGTTGTCCAATAACCTTTAACCACTAAATACCGCTGATTTGTTCCTGCCCACTGGCGTCAACCCAAAGCCCCAGATGCTCCACCCATCACCTGATTGGCTTCACCCGTCAGAATTGTAACCGAGCTCAAGCCACAAGATTTGTCAGCCCTGTCTGTGGCTTGATCTCCAGCCTTCCAGAAGTTCGCCGTTTGCGATCGACGTCAAAGCTAAAAGAGGTATCCAAGGATCACCCAAACATTATTTCACCTACTACCATTGCCCAGCCCCAGCTGCTAAAAAGAAATCTCCGACAAACGAGATAAAACCCCGTCATCGCTCATAAGACACCTATTCCTAACGAAACGAGTCTGACCGGATCCATCGACCATGGACACAGACAGCGCGGCAGCTCCCGTCGCCGTCTTCAAGCGTCGAGGCGCAAAGGGCAAGGCCAACATCCGCAAGAGGCCTGCTACGCCGCCGCCTGCCAACAGCGACTCCGACTCCGACTACTCTTCCTCGGAGGATGAAGCAGGGCAGCGGGTGAAACGGCGGAAGAAGAACACGGGCGCTATTACGGCATCCTCCAAAGACCAGGCTACTGCCAGAGACGACCTTTCAGCCACAGTCTTCACGGCCGACCGCAGCGTTCCCATAACTGATAGCAACGATGCAACAAAACACAGTAACTGGTACGATGAGGACAGTAAGGACGCACTCTCGTCGAAGAACTTGCTAGGTACAACAAGGGGGAAGTCGTCTCAGGCACCTGACGGAACATACAAGGGACTAGCGAACCAGACGTCCTTTATTCAGAAGAACCCAGACGCTCCTAGCAAGACTGTTGGCCCCATCAAGGCTCCCACAAATATTAGAACCATCACTGTTACCGACTTTGCACCAGACGTGTGCAAAGATTATAAAACAACCGGTTTCTGTGGATTTGGCGACAACTGCAAGTTCCTTCACGCTCGAGAGGACTACAAGCAGGGCTGGCAGCTCGATAAGGAATGGGAAAATGTCACTAAGGGAAAGAAAAATGTGGGAGGCACCGTGGTGGCGAGTGCGGATCGGAGCAAGACGGATAATGAGGACGATGATGACGAAGACGCGATGTTGGAGAATATCCCATTCGCATGCATCATCTGTAGAGAGGCATATAAGGCGCCAGTCGTTACAAGATGCGGCCATTACTTCTGCGAACCATGCGCACTCAAGCGGTATAGAAAAGATCCGACATGTGCTGCCTGCGGGGCAGGCACAAATGGCGTGTTCAACTCTGCCTCACGCTTGAAGAAGCTGCTGGATCGCAAAAGAGAGCGCGCAGCGAAGCGGCGCCAGGAGGCGATAGAGGCCGGAGAAGAAGTGAGTGATGAGGAGGAAGAGGAGGATTAAAATGTAACTGTAAATTTAGAGATACCAGCGGCTATGCCATGACCCAATACTACATGTTCATTTCGGATCTCGTGATGCAAATTGAAGACCGTCTTCTCTGTGAGATTGTTTAATCAGAGCTTCGGTGGCGACCCACTCTTTACTAGGTGAGCTGGTGACCTCTGTTCCCAGTTACCATGCCAGCGCGCAGGGACGGGGCACTGTCGTGGGCTTTGCTAGGCATAATCGCCACTCTCATCGCTTTCGTCGCTTCATCTTTCTTGCAAGTCTGCTTTTCATGATTTATAAGGGGGGTTCAAAGACTCCTCGATACCTTTGGCTGGCAAACACGAGTTTCAGGCAGGATGAGCGGCTGCCTGTGCAGTAGACACACCACCGCCCACCACTAAAACAAAATCTGCAATGCTATGGCCTATGTAGGCGCCTCAGGGCCGTTTGAACGGTTCTGACAAATAGGATCCGTGCCCTTTCGCCGTCTCGATCGATGGCGCGTGTGCCTCCCGAAATCCCGTCACCCCTTCCAGGTTGAGGGCTTCACCTTCACCTCACCGTAGTACACCAACCCTGATAAGATAAGCCCCTCTCCAACAAGCGTCACCCCGCCACCTTCTTCCCTGTCCAATCGTGAGACAACCCCGCCATCCATGTGATCGCCCGGAACAGCTGCCACAGCTCTACTCCCAGTTCACCGACATCAGGCGGAACCTCCTAGGCTACATTATTCCGGTGACGACAAAGCCAGGCTGCGACCCAGACTTTACTCTTACATACAACCTTTACGATACAGCAAGTTAAGACGTCGGTCGCATCGCAACAAGCACAGACCAGACTATCTTAGTTTAAACTCCGTCCTACCCATCGATAACACCTAGACCTACCAGATTCCGTGTCGCGAGCAACCATGAATCTCCTCTACTCGACCGTAAATACCCTCCGCGACCGGTATACTCCGGTCTCGCACAAGTCCACCTTCCGCCAGACCGGCCAGATCACCCCAGAGGAGTTCGTCGCAGCGGGCGACTACCTCGTCTACAAGTTCCCGACCTGGTCCTGGGGCGACGCGGACTCCGACAGCCGCCGCGTCAGCTATCTTCCGCCCGGGAAGCAGTATCTCGTCACGCGCAACGTCCCCTGCAACCGCCGTCTCGACGACGACTTTGCCGGCGATGCTGGCCATGAGGAGGCCGTCGTCGAAGGGGCCAAGGGCGACGATGATGACGGCTGGCTGCGTACGGGCGGCCTGGCGAGCTCACAGCCTTTAAAGGTCAGGGAGGTGCGGACAGTGGATGACTCGGGTAACGTTGGCGAGAGGGAGATTGTTGATGACGACGAGATTCCGGATATGGAGGACGAGGATGACGATGAGGCTATCATCCGTGATGCAGGAGACAACGGCAAGAATAGGTATTTACTAGTCCTCGCTACGGATTTTGCCAGGATGCTAACAAGTGTGATAACAGCGGCCGCCGAACATACACTCTTTACATTATGTATTCTACCTACTATCGCACACCTCGCCTCTACCTTTCGGGCTACCTCCCCGACGGACAACCACTACCGCCACACGCAATGATGGATGACATCGTTGGCGACTACAAGGACAAGACGGTGACGCTCGAAGACTTCCCGTTCTTCGCGAACAACATCAAGATGGCAAGTGTGCACCCCTGCAAGCACGCATCTGTCATGAAAACGCTTCTCGACCGCGCCGACGCCGCTCTGCGCATCCGACGTGAGAAGCTGCGAGCCGGCAAGGCGGTGGGCGGAGACCAGGGCATGGAGGGGCTTGTGGACGAACTCGGCAAGCTCGATGTGAAGGACGCTCAGGCCGCCGCCGATAAGAACGACGAGTGGGAAGAGGTTGAGCAAAGCGAGGTTTACGACCAAGAGGTTGCCATCCGGGTGGATCAGTATCTGGTTGTTTTCCTAAAGGTAACCATTTCCCCTTGTGAGCAAGATTATGAGGATTTGCTGACGATGTTACAGTTCATGGCTAGTGTGACGCCTGGTATCGAGCACGATTTCACAATGGGAGTGTAAATGTTGCGTTTTACGGTTCTGGATTAGGCGTCTTTCTCCTTTCGGCTCTAAGCGCCGCTGTGCATGTTGTCTTTTATGGTTATTTTATTACTTTGGACACGGTGGTTAGATTACGGTTAACGGTGATGACGAGAATTCCATTAGACTACAAAGTCAAGACGGGCTGTTTCTACTTTTCATCCAAGTCAGCGGTCCATCTTGCTCTCGTGAGGTTTCAGTTTATAGGCAGGGTGAGACATGTCCTTCGTGTGTATCCGGAGATCCGTGAACTCGCCTCGCTTTTGTATGTTTAGTACAGCTGCCCTGCTCCGGAAATGTTTTTGAGTACCAGTTGAGCAAAATCGATAAAATATGCCACTTGCTGAGACTGTTACTTTGAAAGTAAAGGAGACTGGTATTCAACCTAGATATAATGCCGTAGCTTGTGGTTGCGCCTAGTTGTGATAGGTCAAATAGGATGGCAGGGCGCAGCGCGGATTGGCATTACAAAAACTATTGGTGGCCTCAAACTACATTCATTGTAAGCGCCAGCCTGATTCTACAGCTGCAGCCTGATACAACGGACGGGGTTTTTCCCCAACGACATTCGACGACTTTCGTGAACATTGCTGCGTTTCAAGCTGTTTCGCGGCAACTCCTGCTGGGCAAGACTAAATTCAAAGACGCATATCCGGCGACACGCTTGACGATACTCGCCATGGCCTTTCCTCAACCCCGTCGTCGTAGCGATTTCCAAGTCGCTATTATTTGCGCGCTGCCTCTTGAATACGACGCCGCTGCTCTGGCATTTGATCAGTTCTGGTCCTGGGATCAGATAGAAAGTGGCTCGGAAGGCCACGACAACTACAGAATCGGCCGGATCGGACGCCACAATGCCGTGTTGGCACTGCTTCCCGGCATGGGAAAGGTTAATGCAACGAGCGCAGCGACCAGTCTCAAAGCTACCTTTGATGGGCTCAAGTTGGCCATCTTGACAGGCATTTGCGGCGGAGTGCCCCGACCCAAGACGGGCAACGATGAGATTATGTTAGGGGACGTGGCCGTCAGCAAAGGCATCGTACAGTACGACTTTGCCCGACAATATCCTGACAGGTTGGCTAGAAAAGACACATTAGGAGACAACCTTGGAAGACCGAATAAGGACATACGTACTCTTCTCGCTACATTTGAGACACAGCTTGGCCTGGATGACTTGCAGTACCAGGCCGCACAAGCCTTAAGTGGAATCCAGCAAAAGGCCATCGACACAGGACACAGGATCGGATATAATCGCCCTACAGAAGTTGGAGATGTGCTTTTCGAACCGGACTACGTTCACAGACATCGAGATCATCGGGGCTGTGGCTGCTGTGAGTCTAACGCGTGTGAGCAGGCGATCAGCGCGTCTTGCGAGGAGATCCAATGTGACACTGGACATTGCGTACCCAGAAGACCTCTCGCACCTGGGAGGAATCGGGATTTCCGGATACATATCGGCCACATAGGATCAGGCGACACTGTGATGAAGTCTGGTTTGCACAGGGATGGGATTGCTGCTGAGCACGGACTGATTGCCTTTGAGATGGAGGCAGCCGGTATATGGGATGAGATCCCTTGTATCGTCACAAAGGGAGTATGCGATTACGCAGACAGTCATAAGAACAAAAGTTGGCAGAACTTTGCAGCAGCTACGGGAGCAGCTACGACGAAGGCCATCATCGGCTTCTATACTCCCATGAAAATGATAGAAGCATCTAGCTCATGGTGTAAGTGACTGACCTAACTATATTGACTGTGCTGACAAGATCCAGTCATCGTCCCGTATGGCCAGAATTACGACTTTGTCAGCCGAACCGATATACTGGATCAGATAAAAAGACTATTTGGGCACGACCAGTCTCCAACTCTCGCTACTAGAAGGCAACCACGGGTGGCGCTCCATGGTCTTGGTGGTATAGGGTAAGCTATGTGATGGTAATGAACCTTCGCATCCGCTGACTTTTCTTAGGAAAACACAAATTGCATTGGCCTATGTTTACTGGTTGCGAGAAGCATTCCCTGATATATCAGTGTTCTGGGTCCACGCAAGCAACACTGAGCGTTTTCACCAGGCGTACCTTTCCATCGCCCAAGAATGTCACATACCAGGATGTGATGATCCCAAAGCGGATGTGCTTCCGCTCGTAAAGGCTTGGTTAGAGAAAAAATCTCAAGGTCGGTGGGTCATGGTAATCGACAATGCCGACGATACAGAAGTCTTTTTCCCGACCCAGCCAGGACATGGCCATACAACGGTTGACCGCGAGGCGAAGGAACCAAGTTACGTAGGCCGCTATATCCCCGAATGCAAGAACGGGTCGGTCCTAATCACAACAAGAAACAAACAAGCCGCGCTCAAACTTACGCGAGGGAAAAAACCACTTGAAATCGCGACGATGACTGATGAAGAAGCAAATCAGCTATTTTGTGCAGCCCTTGGCGAAGAAGCTATTCCTACCGAAGAAACAAGCCAACTTTCAGCTCGTCTTGAGTATTTGCCACTCGCATTAGCGCAACAGCAGCATTCATTCTGGAAAACGACATATCCATCCAAACATACATCCAAATTTTGGACGAGGGTAGCTCTACCTTGGTAGATCAGCTTAGCGAGCCATTTGAAGCAATCGGAAGGGATTCCGAGATACCACACGCTGTGACCGCAACGTGGATGGTCTCTTTCGAACAGATCAAGCGAAGAAATATCTTTGCTAGCAATGTTCTTTCTTTCATTAGTCTTCTCGACCGACAAGCAGTTCCCGAGGCTTTTGTAGTCGATTATTACCATTTAAGCCAACCGGAAAGGCCACAGGCAAGTCCAACAGTGGAAGTGGTAAAATCACTCGGCATTCTAGTGTCGTTTTCGTTTATCAAAAGGGCAGAAGACGGAACTTACGAAATGCACCGTCTGGTACAGTTGGTAACGCAGAAATGGTTGCTAAACGAGCGTCGTCTCACCGAATTCGCACAACAAGCGTTGGAAGTGCTGTCAGATGCATACCCGTTTGGCGATTACGAAACATGGGAGTTGTGCTCAAAATATTTTTCCCACGCCAAAGCTGTTTTGGATCACAACTACGAAGAGAAAAATCTTGAAAAATCCAAAATCTTGCATAATATAGGCACTTACCTTATTCATATGGGACAATATGCTTCTGCTGAGAGATACCTGTTGCAGGCAGTTGTGATACGCGCATCTTCACTCGGAGAGGAGCATACTGATACGTTGACGAGTATGAACAACCTAGCGTCAACATTTGGGAATCAAGGCCGATGGAAGGAGGCGGAAGAGATAGGGGTACAGGTGCTAGATATAAGTAAGAGAGTCCTCGGAGAGGAGAATATTAATACGTTGATAAGCATGAATAACCTAGCGTTTCTATATAGGAAACAAGGCCGATCGAAGGAGGCGGAAGAGATACATGTACAGGCGCTAGATATAAGTAAGAGAGTCCTCGGAGAGGAGCACCCTGCTACGTTGACAAGTATGAATAACCTAGCGGTAACATATAAGGATCAAGGCCGATCGAAGGAGGCGGAAGAGATAGAGGTAAAGGTGCTAGATATAAGGAAGAGAGTCCTTGGAGAGGAACACCCTCAGACGTTGACGAGCATGAACGACCTAGCGTCAACATATCAGGATCAGGGCCGATTGGACGAGGCGGAAGAGATAGGGGTACAGGTGCTAGATATAAGGAAGAGAGTCCTTGGAGAGGAACACCCTCATACGTTGACGAGTATGAATAACCTAGCTAACACATGGAAAGACCAAGGCCGTCGGAAGGATGCATTGCAATTGATGCGAGAATGCCTTGGTCACCGAAAGCGTTGCCTTGGATCGGATCACCCGGATACTGAGTCCTCCTCTGCATTAATTGTGGAATGGGAAGAAGAGGATTCATCTGAGAATAATGAGGCATTGTCTACAAAAGAAGACGAATATGGGCATGGTCTGGAGGAGTCTGATATTATTTAAGGCAAATATGAGTTCGTATTGGGAATTGGTTGTAAACGAGATACATACGTTGGGTTAGGTCCGCTTGCCCTCTGCTCCTGTATTGATTAGTCCGAACTGTGCCGTGGTCATCGTCTCGTATTGCGCCACAGGATCGACATTTCCTCTCAGTCTGGAATAAGGGACTCAAGATCTTACTACGTCTTCTCATACATTTAAATATTAACATTATTTGTCGCCTAGCCAGTCAAATGATAACCATAGGTGCCTCGCAAGGGCCACGAGGAATTTGACTTGGTATTAGTACATGACGCAGGACAACATCGCAACAGGTAGCACGGCCTGATGCCGAAGGTCTTTTCAGTATAAGTCCGTGAAACGGGAGAATTTGAATGGTACACAAGAGCCATTTTCCCTCGACCGCCCTCAGGTGGTTTACTCGGTCCCTTGTTCCACGCCTTTAAAATGAAGATGTCCGTCAAGCCCCGCTGCAATTGAATGGTTCCGGGTATGGCAACTTTAGATAGGAGAATGAATGATTTCTGTGTACGGGATCAAGGCAGCTGTCTTTCAAATCTCCTTGTTCGATACTTGCGGCCTTTAATACTACTTTCACGAGACGTCAACATCATGCCTGCAACCGTGATCATTTCGCTCTGTACCAGAATATGCCTCTGCGATGCAACTATTCTCGAGCTTTTTCTAGCAAGAATACATTTACAGCCTGCATCTGTTGGAGTGGAACGAGACATGGCCTAAGTCGTTCCGGACAGCGCAACGCCAACTAGGAAGTGTTGAACTAGCCTTTACCATTCGGGTCATGCCAGAATGACCTTTGAGACCATCATCTGATACAGTTCAGTCCAACTTATGCTTCAGGCAGCACAGAATCCCGTAACTAGTACACAAATCACGGCCGCCACTTCGGAACACAACAGGCGCGAACGTCGCCGCACACGGAGCGGGACTGCCAAAGTCAGTATGCCGTGACCGTCGTTGTTCTGTCCTGTCACGCGCAACTATACGTCGTTCTTTTTAGTAAACAGTGGGCAGGGACTCAGAGGAAGTCTGAGGTAGGTTACAACAACCGAAGTCAACCTGACTGGACGTAGATGCGACCTTTTCCAACCACCACATTGATAATCACATGCCCGTTGTATTCCCAAGCCCACATAGGTTGCCTTTACAGGCCGCCCGCATTATGCAGCATCCAGAGATAACAGCAACCTGCAAGCCTCTCTCTCGACGTGTCCCGCGCATCACCAGTCAGCAAAGTGACCCTCCAACAAGGTCCAAGTGCAAAACCCATCGACCCGCCGCACCGGCACACATGTCCTTATTTACCAAAACCTGCAACTCCATCTTTGCTGGCGGTCAGCATATTTCGATAGGCCACGCGTCACAATCGCTAAGAAAAGACACCATCCCACGCACCGTCGCTCACGCGCGCGCCAGATGCAGAGAAAAAAAACACACCAGCACTAACGGTCCTTTGAGCTAACGCAATGCCCACCAGACCAACAGCGTTGTGGTCACCCCCTCCCTCCACTGGGTGGGCGAGCATGTATCCCAACCCAAGGGAACGAACGGCGGATCTCAGTCCTCCCTAAAGCACCGAAACCCGCATGGCAGTCAAAGAGAGTCTGACAGGCCTCCCTCCACCGCCGCTGCCGATCTACCCGTTACCACCGCTGGTCTTGGCAGAAGCTTGACTTGATGTCTTATTTTCCAGCTAATCGAGCTGCAAACGCCTCTTTTCTCCGGCTGTTCGGAATCTGTTTAAGCTCGCCGATTTCGGTCCGGAAGGATTAGTTTGCTGAGCAAGCAAGATCATATCGACGGGCCTGTTGGCGTCTTATGTGGCGTCCCCTGGCATCATCACAATAGTCGCCCGAGTGATCCGTATAACGTTTGAGATGTTAAGCCCATTAAATACGTGGAGGAAAAAACATGAACTCCGAGGCACGACTCCGCCGACTTGGCACCGGAAGTGAAGCAAGTCCCCGCGCGGCCGCGGACATGTCGAATTTTCCTCTCTCTCTCTCCTCCACCCTGAACGCACCATCAAACCACACCGCCGCGTGCAAGGCACCAAGCGCCTCCCGGGTCCGTAGCTATGGAGGGGAGGAGAGTAGTCCGCGGTGCCAAGACGGCTTCAACCTCGTCGGCCCCGCGTTTCCCGTGGTGGTGGACTAAAACAAAGCTTGAGAGAGGTCCGCCCACGCACGCCAACCGGCGACTACAGCACATGCATGCATGAGATGGGTAAGCAGTAGTAGTAGTAGAAAGAAGAAGAAGAAGCATACGGGTAGCGCCCATGTGTGATGTAAGTTGCTACTTTAGCCTCCGCCGGCCTGGAAAGGAGTAGAAAAGGCGCATCTTCATGAAGGGAGTAGTGAAAAAAAGAGGGGGTCGGTTCGCGCTGCGCAGGCGAACTAAAAACGAAAGCCAACCAACCCATCCTGAAAAGCGACCATCGTTGCTCTATTTCACATCTCCTGCATCGAGCCAACTTCCAGCCCACGCATGATCGTGCATATCGGCCTTTTTTTTCATGTTTTCTTTTTTCCTCGCCGGCTCTTGGCCAACAATGCTTTGACTGCAGCGAGGCAGAAGAAGACGAAGGGACAACACATACCGCTTCATGTAGTTTGAGTTCCCCCTCCTCAGACTGGTAACTTCCCCCTTCATCGAAAGCACGACCGGCAATGGAGGGTTTACAAGAAGGGGGCGTGTACCCAAGGAAGGGAGACACTTGAACGAACAATCAAGCAAAAGCTGCATATTATCAACCGTCAAACCGCAGAGCCGAACCCGACAATGGATGTTGTCTACCTAGCTTTAGCCTGGGCAACCGTAGGATGCACACAGGGCTGGGGCTGGGACTGGGCTAACATAACTAACCGACTAACTAGCAAAGCTGACCACCACCTTCAATATCGCGTTGCAAGATGACGGGAGCACGCACACACCGCATCCATCCAGCAATAAAAAAACAATAACGCCCAGGGAAAACTAGAGAGTCAGAAAGTCGTGCAAAAGGCACATGGGGTAAAACCCAGGCGGGGGAAAATGGGGGAGAAGGGGGATGATGTTACCTATTTCGCCCAGGAGGGACCCAGATGGGCTGATTGGACCGCCTACGAAATATCCTCGTCCGGTTGTTTTCCCGCTTGGCTGGAAAAAGTATGAAAGTATCTGGTATTATACCAACGAACAGCTTACCATTCTCTCTCCCCCTCCCCCCCTTCCACCCACCCAGCACCCCCCCTCACGATAACCACAAGACGTCAGGCTGGGAGTCCCGGTTAGGTGTGTGTAACCAATACTTCAAATGTCCTCCGCATTGCCTTCTCCTCCCCCGCCATCGTTTGGTAGATAGATGCCTGTGTGTGTGTACCTTGCTTGCCGCGGGGGGATCTCCCACTTTTTGATTCCCACCCCTCTCTTTTTTCCTTGAACGTGAGCCACATACGTCGTACCTAACACTCCTTGGCGAATCCTTCTCGGGCGTGCCAAAAAGATGACAAACGAGTCACCGACGAGGTCTATAGTGTGCCTGTGCCGGTGTCAATATGCCCATGCTCGCATTTCTCAATCCAGACACACGGCAGTTCAGGTCAAGGGGGAGAGAGAAAGAGTAAGCCCACTGCCGTACCAAACGACCACCCGACTGTCTGGTCTGACTAGTCTCTTATTCGCGAGTTGTACGGGCCAAAGCATCCACGAGGTCAAAAAACAAGAAGAACAATAAAAAGAAAACACAAAATGATTCGAATTTTGTTTTGATTCAATTATTCATAGGATTAATAAAGACTGAAAAGTGCTCGCTTTGATCTAGTCGAGCTTTTCTCTATCCCATAAAAAAGGTGTACTCATAGTAACTTTGTGCGTCCATGACGCTCTTCCCTTATTCTCCTGAACATGTGTGTGCAGGTCAATGTCACTTTGGACTGCCTGCTCGCGCATATTGTCAATGAAAAGGGTTTGATTATGTACGGCGGCGACCAACACATCTTCCCCCCGCCCCAGTGCCCTCTTCTTCGGCCTGGGCCTTCTCATGTGCGCGCGCAAATCTTTGTAAGCACAGCAAGGCTCAATAGCCTGTTTTGCTCCAATGATTAAGTTTGTTCCATCCAAACAGAAAAAAAGCCACCCCTCCTAGGCTTGTTTCCTTTAAAAGCCTTTGTGAACGCCATATATGTGTGAGCGCGTCTTCATGCGGGCTCAGTAATTAGAGCCGACGCCAAATGTGAAAATCGCGGCTATGCAGAAAATAAAAGATATGATAATTCGTACAGTCATGGCCGAGTGTTGTCAATACCCAGCTTGGCCAGGCATTTTTCCTAGCGAATGTCCGTGGCTCTGGAGCGGCAGGTGGTTGTGACAGAACACCTTGTTCTCCAGCTTAGCGTCACCCTTCTTAGATGCATCAATCATGGTCGCCGGGTCGTCGTAGTTCTCCAGCTGACAGCACTCGATGCTCTTGACCCATCGGTGGTTGATAATCTCCGAGATGCTTGCCCTCTTGCTGGGGTCGGGGTTCAGCATCTTGAGCATAACGCGGCGGAGCGCAGGCGGCCGGACGTATTGGTCGAAGGGGTAGTAAGCAGGGTAGTCCGTCTCCGTCATTTTCGCGTCGGGATCGGGGTGCTTCCTGTTCCACTTGTTCCATGCCTGCACCAACTTGTCGTAGTTGTTTCCCTTGCTAGTTCCAGCATCTTTGGACTCCTCTGCCCTGCCCCACATGGCACCGCCAAAGCAGAGATAAATCATAATGACACCAGAGCTCCACACATCAAGGCCACGGGGGTCGTATTGGCAATCCTTCTTCAGCACCTCGGGCGCCACGAAGGGTTCGCTACCGCACATGCCGGGAGAGCACAAGCGGACATCGCACATGTTCTTGCCACACTGTCCGCCGGCTTCCCGAAGACCGGGGTGGGTTCCAGAGAAGACTTCCGAGACGCCGAAGTCGGTAATCTTAAGTTTGCTGTCCTTGGTAATAAGCAGGTTCTCGGGCTTGATATCGCGATGAGCGATACCGTTGTTGTGGAGATAGTTGACGCCCTGGATAAGCTGCTTGAACAAGCAAAGGCGGTCATTCAGTCTGTCAGCGTCCCTGAGGTAGTTCTTCTCCAGCAGAGAAAACAAGTCGCCCATTCCGCAGTACTCCATAACGTGGTTCCAGCGGCCGTGATCCGTGCAGAGTCTGACCGTCTCGACAATGTTGGGGTGGTGCAAGCTTTTGGCGATGCTAAACTCGGACTTGATCTTCTTCTCGTACTCCTCCTGCGACTCCTTCTTCGTCTTGCCTCTAAACTCCTTCACGGCGTAGAGCTCACCGGGGCAGCCCTTTCGGCTCATCAGGGTGACCTTTGAAGTGGCGCCCTTGCCGAGGTGCTTGCCGTGGCGGCCAAACTTGGATTGGTACTCGAACTCGGCGAGTAGATCGGCAACGTCAACTTGGAAATCGTCGGGGAGACTCAGACTCAAGCGGCGAGCCTTAATACCGACACCAGCGTCAGGCAATTGCGCCCAAGGAGAATTCTTTTCCAAGGGAATGACGGGGTTCTTGGGGTCGGCGAAGTGATTTGTTGCGGGAGTGTTGCGGGGGACATTCTCGAAGCTACTGGCACGGCGTCTGCCCAGGTGTGGCTTGGGGGCGCCCTGCTTGTCCCGTCCAGAGACGTTGGCGCTGACAAAGTTGACAGCACGTCCGCGCAGAGAGAGACCGGTTGACGCTCTGTTCTTCTTCTTAAAGTCCTCGTTAGTCGGCATCAAGGATGACTCCTTGTACGAGGATGCGACCTCGACGGGCGAGCCCGGCGAGGGAGGCGTGTTAGACCTCGTGGTGGTGTGTGAGGTATTCATGGAGAATCGTCTGCCAGTGTTCTTTGGAGGAGCTGAGTCGACCAATACACTCTCGGAGGCACCGCTAGCTTGCTCAAGCGAAAAGCCAAGATCCGGTCTGTTTATGGATGAGTTGGATCTCCGGAAGATGTTGGACATAGTCCGCTTAAAGCTGTGGGTAGAGCCGACGCGGGTGGGTCGCCTTGACAGAGGAGTCGGTGGCGTATCTTGGTCAGCAGCAGCTGTTGCTGGGGTTGGGGCTGCCGGGTCAGCGGCCTTTTGGGTCGATGTCGAGTTGACAGGCGAGGCCGAAGGAGTGGGTGCGGTGGTGTTAACCAGTAAAGGTTTTGGTGTGGTTTGCACCTGATGTATGTCGTGATGGTCCTGACTGGGACGAGTGGTGAACTCCTGCGACTGTCGCCCACTACTAATGGGGGTCACGGGCTCGTTTGGAGATTCGCTTTCGGATTCATCGGCCTCGAGGATGGGAGAGGTGAGATCTGAGGGAAATTGACGGGGGGACGAAGACAGGCTGCTGGTGTTTTGTTGCGTGGAATGCTGCTTGTCTAGAGTCGCAAGCGTTTGTTAGCACGCAGCCAGGGAAGCGGTGGACGGAAACAGGGCGGGTAGGAAGCGGAAGCGCTCAATGACGGAAGGGCTTTGCCAATACGGCAGGGGGGGGGGAGGGCGCTGGGGGCAGCGGAATGAGGATGCAGCGTACCTTGGGAGATGGAGGCGGGCTGGGGCACCGCCAGGCTGGTGACTACGGCTGCCATTGCTGTCGGGTAGTGTCTGGTGGGCAGGGAGATAGTGGCCGGGTGCTCTGATCAAGTATGGGCCAGTACGTAATTGGACCACACACACCAAGAAAAAAAAGCTTGGTGCCGGCGTTGGTAGTGCTGGCTGGTACTGCTGGTGCCGTTGTTGGTTGGCAGGTACACCTTGGGCTTCCGCGGCGTTACCGATGGGGGGGAGGTAGCAGTGGCGCTGATAGCAGAGACCTGGTATTCTCTGACCTAGCTGAGTGACAAATGGAGGGGGTGGGTGAGTGGTTTCCCCCAATTATCGGTTCTGAAGCACCAACGTGAGCGGATCGATAAGTCGAGTCGGGTTCGGCCAAGGAGTGTTTTGACGAGACGATAAGCCTTGGAGGCCGAGGGAGGCAGCAGACGCAAAAGAGAGACACGTCAAAAAAGAAAAAGACAACAAGAAGGTTGGATGGTCTTGGTCCTTATCCCATTGCTCGTGGCTGCATGCGTTTTAATGCTTGTGTCGCGTTCCGTCGGGCTCGTCCAGGTTTGCTTTGTGTGTCGAATTAAACAGCTCGAGGCTTTTTAAAGTTGGTGTTGCCCTTTTGCAGAGAGAGACAACGCAGACGAGATGACACTTTTGCCCGAGTGTGTAAGTGCGGGTGCAAGAGTAAAGCTGTGCGGGATAGAAAAAGCCGCTGCTGTTTTCTGGGTATCGACGAGGTAAAACTGAGAAGGCTCGTTACTTTGGAGGGTGAATCGGCGACGTCCTTTCTTTGGAGGGGTAGAGACGAGGAGGTTATGGGTGCAGTATATATGTTGAAAAGCGAAGTGACTTCTTTGCCAATCGCACTCTTGGGGGACGAGAGTGGAATTGGTGATGAGGTAACACTTTGCTACGGATGGAAAGAATGATTAGAAGAGAGTTAGGTCAGAGCTGGGAAGAGGCGAAGAAGAGGAAGAGAGACGATGATAACATTTCAGGCGTCCACTTCTGAGCTGACGGCTCGGGGGGTGGGAAGGCTTCGAGTTTTGAATCGTCGAGGGGCACATTCGCGAGAGAACGAGTAGGGGAGGGGGGCCTAGCCGTTTCTCAATTTGGATGAAGACAAGCTGGAGAAAGAGAGAGAGAGAGATAGAGACCCCCGCCGGTGCGCTTAGAGGGGGGTGGGGAGGAGTGAGGATTGAAAAAGGCGCTTTAATTCCCGCCGGGGGGGATTGGGTGTGGGTTAAGAAAATGGTATGCAGAGCTGTGCGAAAGTGGGTGCGAGTCCTGTCTGGGAGAAGGGTAGATGGGAAATGGGAAATGGGCATGGAGATGGGATGGGTACAGAAGACCAGGTACGAAGTACAGCAAAAGGTACGTTTCTGCACTGGCTTTGGGGGAAGGGTTCTAGTAGTGGACTGTATCCGTAGTGCTACGGATGATGCTACCTGTTACTACGGGTATGTCTGAGTGGGAAAGGGATGTGTGAATTGGATTTGGATTGTGGATGGGGGATAAGATGGGGCAATGGGGAGGGGGGTTTGGGGGAGGCAACAAACGGACCTGACTGGCTGAATCATGGGCTGGAGGACCTTGTCCTAGGTACTCTGTACGGTACAGAAAAGGCGAAGAAGGACTGAGGGATGTAAGGAAGGAGTGGGTGATGGATGGTGGCGGCTTTGACGGGCTTTCAACGCCCCCCTTCCCGCTGTTGCTGCTGCGATTCCGCGGAGGAGCCAACCGGATCAAACTCGGCGGAAACAATGGGCGGCGGCGGCCACCAAACCGGCACCAGCACAAACGAAAAGACAACGGAGGCAGTGACAGCCAGCAACGGCCAGCGACGCCAGGAGCAACTAGGTACTGTACTACCACTACTACTACAACAGCAACAACAACAGCAGCAGCAACAATGGGTAAGAGCAGTCGGTGGCAGCAGTAGCAACAGCAACAGTAACAGCAACACCGGCCAAGCCAAGCCTGGACCAGCCCAAAATTATGAATACTTGGTGGCCAAGACGGTGTCCAGCCAACAAAAAGACACACACATACACACCCTTATTTTGTGGTATACAAGACAACACAAGTGAGGGAAAATGATGAGCAGTGACAATCAATCCATAGAATGTCTGCCTCTCTCTTTTTCGTCCTGTCTGGTTGCCGCAAGTAAAGGAAGGGGTCATGTCAAAGTCACTACGTAATCCACGCAAAAGTAGCCAGTACCTACTACGAAGTGACCTGGCCGTCCCGTCCGCTCTGACAGATTTGAGCGAGTATTCGCACCCGCACTTAGAGTGCCCTCCTGCCCTTTCTTGGCACCTGCGTCCTCCACCCCTGCACACTGCACCGAACCTCACCAAAAAAGACAAGACCGCAACGAAGCTGGGATGAAAGGGAAAAGCGGGGGTCTGGAGAATGCCCTGGAGTGGGGTCGTTTTCTTTTCGATGGGTATCCGGGGATCCACTCCACTGGCTTTTGCACACTGATGGATGAGCCCTGCCCTATCTGTTCCTGTGTCTTGTGCTGCACCTGCGCCTGTCCTCCACACCCATGTCAATAAACTCCTGCGATGCACCACGGTATCCTCTCTCGCTGCGCAGCCGCTTCAGCCCGCGCTCAGCACATAGGATACCATCGTTGTCCATGGTGGCTGAACTGCACAATACTGGAGCTTTCAAAATGCGCGCTTCGCACACTGCCTGCCTTCTGGCTGCGCTGCCACTCGATCTCGCCGAAGTCGGGTTCGCTTTGGCTCGATACCAAATACAATACCTATCACCCATTAAATGTCTTGTCTGGTTGTCTGTCTGCCTGGCTGGCCGGGCGTGACCGAGGCGGACAATGACCAAGTATGACTGAAAGTGACCGAAGAAGCGGCAGATCATGCCAGGAACAGCATGAGGACGGCATTCGCCCCTCCAAAGCATGGAACCCCAACAGAAGGACCCGAAAGCTTCCAACTTTTTATTTTTATTTTCCCCCCTAGCCTTGGTGGCTGTCTATCACAAGGAAGGAAAAGGATCAAACCCATACACCAACGACACTTTGCCAACAAAAATCACTATAAGCTTTACTAACGGATATGGCATACTGTTACCTCGAGCCTGCATATCCGAATCTTTTACTCAATCTGGTACGTACAAAATCGATGTGTATCTGTAACAACAACTTCCATTCATAGCTGTGCTGGTATTGGCATTAGCTCTTTAGCTCGCATGTATTATTGGCACCAAGCACTGGCCGAGCGAGCTTCCATGGGGGGGGAGCGCCAGCAAGCAAGAAAAAAATACAGGCAGGCTACGCAGCTTCACCCTTTTTCGCCAACCATGCCATACCCCATCCATGTCTTAATTACTTCTCGCCTCGTTTGCGCGTATTTTAGGGAGGGGCGTATGTGGGCGTTGCGCGCGAGCCCCAACATGCGTGACCGCCATCATCGAACCCCGTCAAAAGCCTAGGCCAAGCCAATCCAGTCGACAGCTTTAAAGAGAGAGAGAGAAAGACACAGACAGACATGCCAGGCTAGGACAAGACACAGGCAAGACAAGACACACACCAGGGGGCAGCCTGCATCGCATTGCATGGGGGTTTCCCGACTCCCACTCGATTCCTTCATAAAAAAACGGGCGAATAAGACCAACGAATGGCGTGTGGGGTGGATGATGCGATTGTTGCTTGGCTGCAAACCGCTGCTCGGCTTTTCCTGGAAATCATCGTGCTGGCTCCATATTCTTCTTGGTCTGTTGCTGCTTCTGGAGAAAAGGAAATGCGAATGGGGACTCTACCCTCGCGTATCTGCTCTAGCGCGCAGAGCCATCTGGGGTTTCCTCTCGCCCTCGTGCCCTCTCACACCTCACTCACCTTATGGCCTCATCTAAGCTTGCCCTGCACCGTCAGCCAACTGAATTGCTGCTTCGTCGTTGGCCGACGTAAGAGAAAGCACCCCCTTCATCGTCCAGGGCCTTATTACACCCGTATCCGCACATGCACATGCACCTGGCACATCCATGCCATGCTAACCGTGGATGACGATGGCTCTGCTTCTTTTGGGGAATCCGAACCCATTGTACTGTCATCCCGGCCCTGTCTGTGGTACGGTCCCATATGTATCCGTATTCCCGTGTTTTTGCCCGTGTATCCGCTCGACTGCTTCAAGATGGAGATGGGATGGGGCTGGAGGACAACGGGGAAGCACGCTTGTCTGTGTGTCTGACTTTGGAAAGCATTTACCGGATTATCATTTGGATCTTCTTACCTCAGACCGTTGAGAGGGGGGGAGGGGGGTGTTTGTTTCTCGAGACTAACACCAAGTCATTCACTTTGCTTGGCCAGGCTTGGCTGTGACTATCATGATTGATACTACCCACCAAGCACGTCGTCCACAGGCATTTTGCTTATTTTCTGGGCAATTTTCTGGAGACGTACACAGGACGTGGAGGCGCAGGTGCAACATCCCCCAGAGTCGAACGGGGGAAAACCGTCAGCTTGGCTCTGGGCTGGCCGCAATGCGCGCCCCTGGAACATGGCTGTGACCGAGAGCTGCGGTTGTGGCTGCCATTTGGGACATGCAATACTGTTCTTCTGATGCTGCTGCTCTGTTCCACTCCTGTCTCACATGCTCTCGATTCACAGCACGCGTGAATAATGATGAGGGTGTAGGCAGGTCGGCAGACGACAACGAAAGTTGGGCTCTTGGGTTGGAGCTTGACAGATCATCGGTGGGTGCCAAACAGAGTGATTGCACTGGCTCCTCGGTCGGAGTTGTTACGAGAGTACAAAGGTACATGATGTAGGCATCGAGATATCTTTGTCGGAGCATGCCCGTGACCATCGACAAGACGACACCAAAAAGGTCGAGAATGAGTGGTTTTACACGCGCTCCAACAAAACGTTCGGTACTTGGTATCTGTATGGACACTAGAGGTTCGGTGGGTGCGGAACTGACACCGACAGTTGGGTCGACCTGTGAGAAAAGAAGAAAATGGCCAGCAAGGGGGTAAAGAGACACTGGACTTGCACTGGTCCAGGACAGGTATCCAG